ATTTAAATGTGTGATTTATTAAAACTGCATGATATGTCTGATTTGGTTGGTATTTTATTTTGTTTATAATATGTATTATCTCTATTTGTGTATATAAATATATAAACATAATAGTTATATAGATATATATATTATACTTTTGTTTATATTTATTTTTTATAAGTTTTATAATATAGTATAACAACTTTTTTTTTTTTTTTTTTTTTTTTTTTTTTTTTTTTTTTTTTATGTGAAAAGTTGCCAAACGAGCAGACGGTTCACCTGATGGTAAGTGAATACCGCCGCCCATGGACATCTGCTACACCCGAGGGTTACAGATGTGTTGACAACCTTTTGAAAATTGGCTCCGGCCACCTCAATCACCAGACGAAACGCGAAAGTATTTGTCATACTTCACTTTACGCTGGTCTTCTGTGAGGTCGTGGTACTTACCCGGACGGGCCTGCCCATTCGTGCAACAGCCGAGGCTGCTGCGTGGCCCTACCACCGTACTTGTTATACTTCTTCGGTTATGTTATTAACGTTGTAAAGTATTTACATTTTAATTCCATAAGTAAATAATTAGAGAGATCGTATTGTTTATTGAAGATTAAACCTGTAATTTGTATACCTACTTATATTACAAAGAGGTATTAAATATTGTGTTTATTTGTAAGTCGAGATGGATACTTTAACTAATTCTTAATTTATTTCGCAATGCTGCATTAACCCAAAGTAACATGGACCAATTATATGTAATTTTGGAGCTAAATTCCTTATCCTTTTATATTAATACTTGGCGAATGTAAACATAAAGTACGCGTAAAGAGTGTAAGATATTATCCGCCACTATGTGTCATGTAGTTGTGGTGTACGACTATCTATTAATTTTAATATAGTTTCACAATTAAGTTTCATCAGCAGACTCGAATAAATAGTACAAAAATAATGAAAATAGAATTATTAATTAATGTTTACTTTTATACTTTTTAAGAGTGATTTGCTTTAAAGGCAGCAACGCATCTACAACCTTACGGGTGTTACATATGTCCATGGGCAGCGGATATCACTTAATTTCAAGTGAACCGCCGGCTATCTTGTCACGTTTTCACATAAAAAAGTAAGTGTGTACTTATGTACGCACGCCAGTTATACATCTTTAGCGTAAAGACATTAAATGCAATTGTAAATGTTAAAAAGTTGTTATTGGTTGCTAAGATTAAATTGGTTACCAAGCAAGCATCATGCCGTTTTTTGAGGGTGGGTGTGCGTGCGCATCGTAAAAATTTTACTACATTAGAAACATTGTGATGATAAATTTACGTACCTATGTAAGGTTGGTTTACTAGTGCAAAGATGCTATCTATATTTTATTATAAAACGAGGAACGTGATAAGATCTTGTGTACTATAGTACAAGGTGTTCGACGTGCAGATCTAAAACACTGGCGTTAGAAACTTTAACTTTAGATAAATCACTTACAATATTAGGTTTTGTAACTTTTCAATACTAGGTTTTGTATCTTTTATTTCGTAGAAATTCATAAAGAAAGATTATTTTTAATATCTCCTATGGGATTCAGACTCCATTAATAGGCGTAGCTTATATGAAAGTACGTCATTTTTATCAATAATATTTATAATAATGGCGAAAAGTTTTAGATCTTTCCATAAAAACTTTTCTTTACGTTTTATCTTTTACTCTTAAAAGCGTAAGCTAGAGGATAGACGATTTATTAAAACGCACCATTTTCATTGAGCATCGAATCTTGTTATTTGATTGCCAATACTGAAATAATTGCATCGTGAATTTTAAAAATTCAGCCCCAAAAGCATAAAGCTCATCTAATAGACACCGTAAATTCGAAGTTTGTATACAATGTTATTCTTTCTTCGCAGCGGTGCAGTGTGCTCATCGGATTTGAAATTATAAAAATTAGCATTTTTCGTTTGGATTCAAACTTAAGCGGTTTGAGATATTAATATTCATATAAATTTTCTCGACATACGATGCACACGAAGTCACGAGCGTTGGCTATTAAATATTAAAGGTTAATTGAGAAATAAAGCGTAACATACAATTGATAAGGAACGATAAAATTCGTCACATATAAATCAGCCGAGTAAATTTGGGCCATTATCGAAGGTGTGATAATGGCCAAAATTTTACATAAATGCAAAAAAATTAGACGTAAATACTTGATAGTATCTGTTACGTTCACAAAGTCGCCGTTTTACATCAAGCTTGTTTATCTTTCAATGAGGAATTCGTTATCGATGTGGTCTATATCGTATTATTTGAACATGAATGAAGGTGCATTCTGTTGCCAAGAGTGCCGCGTGTTCCCTGTGTGTCACACACGTGACTCAATAGCCACCAACTATGAACGATTAGCGCTAGAAAGCGACCTGAATGAGAGCATATCAGCTGGTCGATCTCGCACTTAACACAACAATTGTATAACATATAGTTGCTCTCTCTGTTGTATACATGAACTGGCTCGAAAGTTCATCGATTATTGTGAAAATTGGCAATCAAAAGCAATGTTGAGACACAGCGTAGAAATAAAGTTATAAACATGTAAGCATATTTAAACTGCAATTATATTGTATATACACTGTATATAATACTTAAAGTTCCTTCGTATTTTATAGACTAATTCATTATACACAAATTAATTAATAAATATGTGTGCCATTTTGTTCAATAATTTGTTGCCATCTTGTAGATTTAGTTGACATAATCCCGTTGCTGTAGAAATTTTGGGACTTCTGATAAAAAAATGCGCCAAGTAGCTTTTATAGTCCTGTCTTGATGTTGACCTAACACTACTGTGGAAATCTGAGGGTGCAAGTCCAGGGCTCTATGGTGAATGCATTTACAGTTCCCAACCAAACTATCAATTCCTGCTGAACGAACTTTTTTGTACGCTGTTGTTTGTGATCCACCTTTAAGATAAGAGATTGATCACACACCCACCTGTGATCAATCTCTTCAAAAATGGATCAGTTTCATTACGTTTAGACAGAAAATCGCAAAAGCGTACACGACTCATTAACATTGGTTTCTTTCAGTGTGTGCACCCGAGCTAGTTTACCTAGACTTTTTCAAAGAGCTCAAAACTGTTTTGTACCCCCCAATTCTGCAGCCACGTCGTAATTACTAATATGCCGATCTTATTCCGATTTTTTAGAAATGACATCGACTTTACCCTTAAAAAGGCAATCAGAACGACCTGCATCTTTGATATCAAAATCCCCGGGCTGAAAACGCTTGATCCAACTTTGTGCTACTCATACTGACACTACATAAGGTCTATAAATTTTCCAATTTCTTCTTTCGGCTTGTCGCGTTTTTTTTTTTATAATAAAAATTCAAAACGTATCGAATTTCTTTGTTATATTCACTGATTGTGATGGACGTCAAATTGTTTTGATACTATTTATTATTCTTTTTAGAGATTTTTCTACAACTTCTTACATACAAAATACGAAAAGACTTATCCCCCGATATAAAATCAAACAGAAACTTAAAAATAGCAAAAAATTAATGTATCAGACAACATTTGAGTATTTTATGAGATGAGCTTTCTTGAGACACTGGATCCGATAAAAATATGTCTGAATTCTGGATTCAATGGATATTTTTTATTTTTATAGCATATTTTCTTATAGCATAATATATAATTACCTACATCCATAATTTTAACTTTACGCAAGCCCAATATTATCTATATTGTTACGTAAATATATACGTGTACATCAGAACGTTTATGATAAATTTATTTTTGTAACACTTCAAATATTATTCTTCACTTCATCGTATAATGTCAAACAAAATTTGCATAAGCTTCTTTTGGGAGACAATAGATGCCCAACATAAGGGAATTTTGATCATCTTGGACACGGTACGACCTAAAAGTTAACTTTTAACGGCCAGTGATATGGTAGCAGATACAGCTGGCGTTTTAATTCATAAAATACTTCTTACTTTTATACCAAATCTTCTAATTGTAATAGAGCTTCTATTTTTTGCTTTATAAACGCTATTTTAATGCTGATACAAACTTGGCAACATATGTATAAAACTATGTGAAATTTTATGCTTTCGTATTTTACAGCTACAATAGGTATCACACAGCAATTGCGTTAACATGATTAACGATAGTTTATTTTTAGAATCATCCTAATAAATTTACGTTGAGTTACATTTGAAGACAACGGAAGTTTCGTTTCTGTCTGTTTACAAAATCGGAACTCCGAATTATTGAAGGATCAAAGGGAGCGTCTGTATCTTTTCAATGTGAATTGTCATGATATGCTAAATTGTGTTTACATCTCACAACTTCCTTATGCGTAACGCAAAATAGCCTTCTTTGGAATTTGAATACAAATCTCTGTACAAAAGTTAACCTTTGTTTATTGTTTTTGCCGCTCGATAAAACTTTACGTGGAATAATAAAAAAGTTATTTTTAGGTCAATTTAATATTTTTAAAAGGTGTTTTTTCCTGATTAAAATGTTATTTTTTTTTTTAAGTAAAATGTAATTTATATTATTACTTCAATAATAATTTCGTAACTATATTTACCATTTACTTTTGTCTCTATACATCTGAAGTAATATTCGCTTCATTTTGTGTAACCATTAGTAAGTATTAGAATTTTTTTGTCATATTGTATAATTATTAGGTAAATACGATAAAATAGCACGAGCTATAAACGTATAACTCAAAAACTAGACTAGTCCAACAAATTTGGTATAGAAATAACAATATATAGTTTTATCGCGTCAACTGCAGCAACTTGTTCGATATTGTTTCGATACATGCAGCGATTTCCATAATTACATAATATTCATAATTATATAAAGGTTATACCTACATCCTAATCGGGTTGATAGCGGGTGAATGGCCTCTTTGTTATATCCGTATTGTAGACTTAAGTGTTAGGACCGTACGATTTTGACATTGAGTCTGCGAAGGAAATAGAGCGTGGGGATAATTCGGGATTGCGCTCTGCAGGCTCGTCGACCCCGCTGGTGTACGTGAGCGAGTCGTGTCTGGAGTGCGAGCGTGTGCGTGCGGCGTGCGAGCGGCTGGGCGCGGTGGAGGTGGCGCGCGCGGGCGACGCGCTGCCACCGCCGCAACAGCCGCCCGCGCCCCCCGCCTACCTCGTGACGACGCCCTTCGAAGGCGAGCTGTTCGACGTCGCCCACAGGGCCAAGTACAGGTGGGTAGCGTTCACCGCGGCACGGGCTGTCACGGTCTGATACGCATATGAAGTGGCTAAAACGAAACTGTGGTAGGGCGACGCAACAGTTCGCTGTTGCAGGAATGGGAGGTCCGTCCGGGGAAATACACAACAATACAAACATATTTTTATATATCAATTGGGAAAATAATAAAAACGTTGAAGAAAGAACTAAAAGTTGATCCCAATTTAGGGCAACGTGTTTATTTATAGATTCTACTGAATTGATCTTTTATAATATATTCATTTATATAAGTACATATAAATCTACTGTTTAATATCCGAATAATAAGGGATATTCCCTTGTTCATATTTAATCCAATTATAATATACTAGCTGCGGCCCGCGACTACATCTGCGTAGAATAGGCTGAAGGCGCAACATTCAGACAGAAAGACAAATATACATGAAATATGTATATATATAAATTATAGCCTATGTCTTATTCTGGTGTATAAGCTATATTATTGTAAAGTTTCATTAGAATCCATTCAGTAGTACTAGCGTGAAAGAGTAACAAACATCCATCCGCACATACAAACTTTCGCCTTTATAATATTAGTAAGGAAGTAAGGATAATTATAATTTCAACGCTTGTTTATAGAATCGAAACACCAGTTGTTACTATCGAGCTGACAAAATTGACAACCACGCAATCTGTTGACTGCGTTAGTGATGGAAAATTATTAAACTACTAATTAAACTGCGAAATTTAATGTGCACTAAAGAGTTCAGTTATATAACATTCAGTGATAGAGCCTCGCTGCATATTATTAGGTACTGTTGTACATGGAGGGACAAGCGCAGAGAATACCAGCATAAAGTAGCAAAATGCTCCTGCCTCGATTTTGTGCATTACTGCTTTAATTTTTTTTATTCTGTTACGTTTCGAACACTTGCTAACATCTCTCGCGAAATGCTGATTCACTGTTACCAGGGACTTTTGTTTTTGGTTATTATTTTATTACGATCTGTATGCTGTTTTGCTTTAATTTTATAAAAAAACTGAATCCTAAACTCGAATAATACCATCTACTATCTTCTCATGTTGGCTATGTATTTTTTATTTATAAGAACTTCAGGAAGCTATAGGCGTTCTGTCCCAGTTCATAGGTTTCGCGTGTAAAATTAGTTTAAATACAAGAAAACGTTATCTTGTTTTGGTTCAGGAAGAATAAATATGTCGTATAGCCTTCATTGTTATGAGGTACCTATCTCATGTTCATCTGAAAAGTTTAAGTAGAGCTGGCTACCTATTTCTGTACAAATTAAACAACTTCGAACTTGCTCTTCTGAACAAGTCGTGTGATCTCACAATTGTTTGTACTCAAGCAAGCAATCTGAATCCCTAATTATAGAGCTGGACTACAACTTGCTTGCCTTATCTGTAAACTTGCTGTAAACCCAAAGAGAGCAGTAATAACCAAATAAAATTTTAAATATGTACAAGCCAAGTGTAAAGAAACAAAAATGCAAAAAATGTTTCAAAATTCATGCTTTTTAGATCCGTTATGATTATTTTAGTATATTATTTAGAAATATTTGGGCCTTAATGAGAAAGTCCATATTTTTTGGGTTAAAGCTTACTTTGAAAATAAGTCCTCTTTAAGTGTACTTAAAGAGGACTTATTTTCTCTTACGTCGATATATAACACATGTCCTCATAATGTATTCCTTCTCCGGCAGATCAAAATACTGGCCTTAGAAAAAATATTCAATCAATGCCCGATATATTAAATTTAAAAATATTTTTATTTTTATATATATATATTTTTTAAATTCTGATAATCCTAATCTAAAAATCCCGATATTTTAAATTCTGCTAATGGTGCTTCACGATTTGGATATTTCGGCGGATTAACCGAAAGAATGTCCTTCGATTAATGCTATCCGACAAGTTTTTACAGCTGAACCATTTACGTTACATCGAGGTAAACGTGTATTTTTCTTTGATGATCTATTATCATTGCTATACTTATTTTCAAATAGAAACATGTTATGAAGCCTGAAAATTCCTAAGAAGAGCGGTGAAAGATTACAGTAGACCTTCAGATGGATGAATGGTCCGAAAATATTCGTCCGTTCGCGTTGGATACGCGGAATGAGTCAGTCGCGACGAAGTCGGCCGTCTGAAGAATCCGAGTGCGAGTGCGGCGCGGAATGCTAACAACAGTGACGCGCTTGCCGATGCCCGGCTCGCTGTCGATTTACGATCTCTATAAACAACGCTCCCCGCGCTGCTTGTAGCGACCCGGCCGTATATCCCCGGACTCTTTGCTATGTTTTTAATCAATGGCCCAATGCTTGACTACAATCGCAACTGATGAGCAGTGAGAGTTTAGAATGGCCCAGTGTTATCCTAGTCCCTTTCGCCTGACATATACTCGGAGTGTGTTGTTTCTACTATTAAAAGTTGTTTATCACGACAACGAAACTACCTTGATATTCGTATAGTGATAGTTCGGCCCAGAAAAACGCCTTTTGCCTGAAAGACACTCGAATTTTATTGTTTCTACTATTAAAAGTTCTGTATCACTACGACTAGTAGTGTAACAAGGTAGTTTAACCTTGAAATTTGGTCTTGTACACGTTAATAGAGATTCCGGTCGTCGCCCGTGCGTATTTGTAGGACCTGTATCTAGATCCGGGATGTAGATAGTTAGATACGCCCAAGTTGCGTCGCTTGTCCGCCAATCATTACATAAATTTTACCGCCTTGTGTTTTAATTTATTTACGAATGGTTAAAAAAAATCGCAACCCAATAAATATTGAGCTTTAATGTATATTATTGTTTGATTATTAATTGCTCTCGTGTGAAGACGTGTTTGTTTGTTATTAATTAAATTGAAGCCGCCTTTTTAATGCTCACACTAGTTTATTTCTCAAATTAGTTTCCTAGACGTGTTATGGTTAAATTTATAATCATCTTACACGATGACAGTGGTCGCGCCATGCACTGGTAAGGATTCGCAAGTATTCTCTGTTGCACGAATGGGCAGGTCCGTCCGGGGAAGTACCACAACCTTACTGAAGACCGGCGTGAAGTGAAAGTGTTGTAGAAGTTGCATTTCGTCTGGTGGAGTGAGGTAGCCGCGGACTACTTTATTATTAAAAGGTGACAACGTATCTGCAATCCTACCTGTGTTGCAAATGTCGATGGGCGGTGGTTATCACTTAATGTCAGTTGAAACCCCCAGTTCTTTTGCCACCTACTTCCATTAAAAAAATGCAGCAACTTCGGCTCCTGCATTAATATACTGGTTCGTCTGGGAAAAGTAGCAAAGTACCATGGCCAAACAATGGTCGACGTTAGATGAAAGCATTCACACTTTTGCATTTCTTCTTGTAATTGAGATAAGCCGGGCCTCCGGGCCCATCTACTCCAGTTGGAAACGCAACAGCAGTCTCACGGCTGTCATGGGCGGCGGTGGTTTCATTACACTAGTTACACCGAATTCATTCGTTTGCCACTTTCACCAATGAAAGGAACAAAGTATTATTAATCACACCTTAGGCTGTCACTCATAACATTATCAAAAACGCGTAAAAGTTATCCACCCATCGCCGTGCATTCGGCGACCTCCGAACGCGTCACAATCGAACACCTCGCCCTGAACGCCAGCCGGGGTTGTTTACACACGCACAGCGTCCATTCGGCGTGAGGTCGCGCGCTCGGTGACTGTATTTCACGGAACGGTGTAAATAAAGGTGCGCGCCCGCGTGTGTGTGGGAGGGCGCGGGGCGGCGCGGCGTAGCACGAGGGTCGCCCTTGCCCGCCGCGCGACGCTCCTCGCTATTTTCGGCCTTACATTCCTCGCGACTGTTTTTCCGATCTAACGTGGAGCGAATAACGCGCGCGCCGCCCGCGCCTTTGTCTCTCTAGACGAGTGAACCCGCAGCGGAACCGCAACGGTCGAGACCGAACGCATTCGTAGTATAGATGCGCGATCGCGGAACGCAGAAGCGGTGTCGGACGCGGCTCGCGATGTGTGCCCGATGTGTTTTCGTGTCTTAGGCGCCGCGAGTGGTGATGAGTTTATCGATATGTAATATGCGGATTTCGTGTGTCCGGATTGTGTCCACTTCAGGGATACGGACTAGTGCCTGATATATGAATAGTGTGTCTCCAATGGGTCCCACGCGGTTGCCGCCGACCCCGGAGGAGGAGGAGGCCCCGCAAGACGTAATACTTTGTTCGGATCAAAATTCACCGGATTCGACACATACAGAATGCAATCAGTAAGCACTGGATTCAAGCCTTTATTCAGATGCCCGAATATCCCTATATTCCTGTAAAGGCAACTAAAGAACATTTTAACATTTCCACTTCCTCTTAAAACTAACACGGCGGCTATTAATATCTCCTTCCCCGCGTAACATGGGTACATATAACTGAAACAAAACGACTAGGAAACTGTGAAAATACCACCTGTCCAAACTCAAGGACTCTATTAACATTTCACAAGAGCTAACATTCTTTAGAGTATTATAGCGTTTATATCGTTTAAAGTCGAGTGTGTCCATGCGGCGATTGCACGCGAGCTGTTGTTGGTCAACAAGATCGATTAGAAATCGGGACAAGTACGTATTTTAACGTTTTTAAATTTATAGTTGTTAAAAAACAATCGTTGAGATTTATTGTATTGTGTTTGAATTACATCACGTATGCCATCACGGATGGTCATGGTTGTCGTATTATTGTAAATTGGCCTTGTAATGTAGTTTCGTATCACTGTTAACAGTTTAACTGGATAGATTCGGCCATCGTTTATCTTCCTGGTTTCATTCTGTGATGTTAGCGTTGTCTGTGTTATAAAGGCTTTTTTTGCCTTTTTTTAAATAGTTATTTTGACTGTTGAGCTTTAGAAATAACATTTTTTTTTCTAAATTCGTAAATGACGTCGTCATTTCGAAAATTTAAATCATGTTCTTCCGGGCAAGCACTATGACTTCACTGAGGGCGTGAAATGGAAGTGTTATACTTTCACGTATGGTGAGTGAGGTAATCGGGACCACTTTATTAAAAGGTGGCAACGCATCTGCAATCCTACGAGTTTAGTTTGGTGAACCGCCAGCTCGGGCGCCTCCTTAACACCTAATGAAAAAGAAAAGTTATTAACTAAATCGGAAGGTGTCGCTTGTCGACTATACTAAAGCCTTCGTAGGAGTATCATAAAATTTAAGTAAGCAAACATCGTTTTATTTACATATTGGCGAAATTCATGCGATCGTAGCAAAAAAAGCGAGAAATATGATTTAATAAATACTCCGAAACATTTCATTTTGTATTCCGTTAACCCAATTTTTCTTTAGAAACGCTGGTGTGTTCAGTGGAATTCGAATTTAATTCGTCAGTACTATTTCGATCGGCCTGTGCCCACGGTATTCGTGTGTACTGCGTGGATCCTGTGACGTCACCACGGTCGGGTTAGGGGCGTCACGACGCGGCTGTCTAACTTCAATACAGATTACACATGTAGATTTTTTCAACAATGACATTTCTCCGTCGCGCATCGCTTGCTACGAATCACAACAGATTTGTAGCAAGCGATGCGCACCACGCCGTTTTTGGACACTCGCGATAGCTTCCGGTGATAAATAGACAACGCTCTGACGTCTCCAAACGCTCAGAAACTATCCGTAACAAATACATTGTTTACATATAATATCCACATAAAAATTCCGTGTCGCGTGAGGTTTCACTTACAAGAAAACACATCTTGGATAAAAACACACACCCGGACACGATCCAACAATTTGTTGGATCACCCGAACACGCAACACGCCACGTTTTAGAAATTGACTACGTACACAACCATACAAACGAAAATGACATCTTCTGCTTCATAAAATTGCTGGCTCGATCACGTCGTTGAATAACATTTCAAGTTCGCTTGTTAATTATTTATACTTAACAAGGAAACATTTCGGTGGCGCCGTTGGTAAGCTATTGCCTTCGGCGTCGGGGGCTGTGGGTTCGATTCGATAATTGTGTGACCCATAATTGTTCCCGATATGGGTGTAAACAGCTTACAACTTACCTTACCTAGGTGGGATAAGGGTAGGATGATAATGAAGGAAGCATGTCCATCGTGTCTTGAAATCTGCACGATTGAAAATCTTATGGCAGTTACAGATAATTCCGTACGTGGAGCTTAATACTGGGCCCATATTTAGACATCTCGGTTAACCTTTATTGTCCATTTTCTGTTGTAAATTATTGCAATAAACATCTAAAAAGTCCATACGCTTCGCACATCAAATATTCAACGTCAAGTAAACTGTAGAAAATTGTATACAAATTAATCTTAAATATTTGTTTGAAAATGTTGTACAAAGCTCTATCCTAATTGAAAAACATGTATTATTCTTTGTCACGCCTTAACGCAAGCGACAATGCCACTTCCGGCAATTGTGAACTCAAATCACGCCGTTTGTGCCACACCATTATAAGGTTTTCAATTATAACCATTACCGTTATTTTTAATTTGAACGTCCTGAGATTGTTTTGTTGTCTTACATTTTCATAAGACTATTACCATTTAATTCATGAGCTTATTGAGATCGTTGAATTAAACGTGCTAGTTAGAAATTTCTTCTTATTTCGTTAATATTTGTCAAATTATTATAACTTTAACGTTTCAAAATTTTATGATGTTGACCATCAGTTCGCGCTTATTGTTTTCTATCAGATTAGAAAATGTAAAAGTGGTCAGTGCCACGACCATGGAATTTATAATAACATTTTATTTATACAGTACCATCGTAATATTCTTGAATTTTTTTAAATATGGTAGTTCTATTGTCGAGGTGAAATTCTAGTAAAATCTTCCTTCTCACTACCCTGTTAATCTGTCACGCCTTCTGCAACAGCTCGGTATGGTACGTTCATATTTAAGCGTTGGTAGCTTTAACCGATAAAGGTTTCGTTTTCAAGTAAAGGTTATAATGCTATTTAACTGATCACGTGGCGTCATTCGCCGGCATCTAGGAAGGAGTAGTTTACTAGTTATCTGGTAAAGAGGGTGGCAAAGCAGGCTACTAAGAAAAATATTTATGTAATTAAAATCTGACACCATTCTAACATTGTTTGAATGACGTCAGATTTTTATTATACAATATTGCAACATCTGAACAACAACAATAATAAGCAATTAAGTTGAACAAAAGTTTAATAAATAAGCTTTTGTTGTTGTGTACCAGTGTATTTAAATTAAACATACACTAGACAGAGACATCTAATGTTATTTGTGTTACATCGAGCATATTTTTAAACGAGACAGGTGATTAACCTTGTCATCGGGCATCAGGCACTTTTACGATACAATGATTGTTTGCTGGTAAGAAATCTGAATACCTGAAAATATTGACGCCTGTTTATTCGACCGATTTTTCGTCTAAGTTTTGTGAGGTTTTTGCAGGAACGGGAAATTCTAACTTTCCATTATTTTAGAGAACAAGCAGACAATGGCCCTCTCGACTTGGTCATATAAATATCCTCTAAATATTATATCTATATATATTATATGCATTTCATTTAATTACAAAACCATTCGATCATAACGGTGGAAGAAGGCAAATCATAGATATAATAGATATTATAATAAACTAAACTATAACTATAAAAATATTATACGTCTAAAAGTATTGATCTAATAAAACTGTGCAGGCAACACATTGTGTATATTAATGAAAGTGTTTAGAGATATTTGACTTTTATTGCAGATACTAGGAATTTGATTCAGAAAAGGTTTTAAATGAATGATAATTTAAAACCTTTGTTAGGCTACCACCTTCGAAGCATTCCTCACATGAAAAAAATATCTGCCCTCAGGGTGCTTGGACCGACGGCGGTACTGCAACTGGCTGATCGCGACGAACCTCCACCCGCAAACGCGCGGCCCCTTTACTCATTGGCGATGCGCGGAGCGGTCATATGTTTCTCGGGCTTCCGAAAGAAAGACGAACTGGTGAGTGTACGCGAAATGTACTTCCATATCGTTTCTATAATGATTTGAATGCAGTAATTATAAAAGAGGTATCGAAATACATTCTGTGTGTATATAAGGTCTCCTTAAAAACTTTCGTAAACTGCACACGTACATAAATAATTATTTATAAAATGCAGCGTCTAATTGATTGATTGCTCAGAAATTTTCTATGGTAAAGTAATGGTTTGTATCTCTCTATGAAGTTGAAAAAATTCAGATAACTCTATAAGTATCACGTTAAATCTCACTATTGTTAATTATAACGTTGATGTGTGTTACTATTAGGATGTATGAAATCACTCTAGTTTGCAAATAATAATGAACGAGTTTAATTCCTCCCGCATGTTTGTTATTTAAACGTTATTGATACATGTTTTTCTCAGTAGAATGTTTTTGTTTTTCGCCTAGCACGAAGATGTTGATTTTCTTTTTAAACAATGCTCTATACGATCTACTACGAAATGAGGTCAAGAATTAATGATTTCGTACAATCGCTTAATGGTATTTCGGAGACAAAGTATACATAAAATTCACTTTATGATGAATTTTGAGGTAATTACAAATAATGTTTTAAGGCATTTTCTGCGGTAGGGTCACACGTCTTCGCTGTTGAACGAATGGGTAGGTCCGTCCCGGGAAGTACCACGACCTCACAGAAGACCAATGTGAAGTAGAAATGTTAAACTTCTGCGTTTCGTCTGATGAGTCAGGTAAGGTGGCAAAACATCTGTAACTCTATCGGTGTTGCAGATGTCAATGGGCGGCGGTTATTACTAAACATCGGGCGAACCGCCAGTTCGCTTGACACCTTCAAAAAATAATAAACCGAGTTTAAAAAATTAATGATTCGTAAGTCAGTATTCCATATAAATTAAGAAACGATAGACTTTAAAGTAGTTTTACTTCACGCTGGTCTTGTGTGATGCCTTTTTACCTCCCTGGATGAGGCTGCCCATTCGGTGTGTCAGTGAAAAATAGTCGGGACCAAATACAACTTTCTGGTAACAAACGTTCCTACTTCGAATGGTAGACAGACTTTAGTACAATAGGCACTTTATCTAATGTATTGGTTTTAAATATTACGCAAAAAATTAATTAATTAATTTAAAGAAAACAACTAAAGGAATAATGTCAGTTTCACCAAAAATGGTTAAAAACAGCTCTCATTTTAGTTATTGGCGACAATTGTATGAACTCTACATGTGATGAAGCGAGCCGATAATTCATTTATTTGAAAAATTCGCAATACACAATACGAATTATTTCATTGCGGTATGCATTTAACGAGTTGCGCATTTACAGGCACATAATATGCAAAATCCAAAATTAAAATTAAATAAAACACGAGCCGGCGATAAATCCGGCTTAGCGGAATGATTTACGCCGCGTTGCATTCCGTCGCTCGCGGCGCGCAATCGGGTCGCGCTAAATCTAACCAGAGTCCCGTCGCCCGTGCTACAGACGTACCTGATAACGTTGATCCACTACATGGGCGGCTCGATACGCAAGGACATGTCGAGCAAGGTGACACACCTGATCGCGGCGGCGGCCACCGGCGACAAGTACCGCTACGCGACGGGCTTCGGGCTGCCGGTGCTGGCGCGCTCCTGGGTGGACGCCTGCTGGGAGCGCCGCGACGACCCCGCCTGCCTCGCCACCGACGAGCTGGTCATTGTAAGGCGACGCCGCAACACTAGCTTTATCATTTCACTCTACACCGTCGGGCTGGTCATTGTAAGACGACGCCGCAACACTAGCTTTATCATTTCACTCTACACCGTCGGGCTGGTCATTGTAAGACGACAACACAACACTAGCTTTATCATTCACTCTACACCGACAGGCTGGTCACTGTAAGACGATGTAGCAACACTAACGTTCTCATTGACTTTACACCGACGCGCTGGTAATTGTAAGGCGACGCCGCAACACTAGCTTTATCATTTCACTCTACACCGACGATCTGGTCACTGTAAGCCGACGCCGCAACACTAACGCTCTCATTTACTTTACACCGACAGGCTGGTCACTGTTAGACGACGTAGCAACACTAACGTTCTCATTGACTTTACACCGACGGGCTGGTCATTGTAAGGCGACGCCGCTACACTAACTTAATCATTCACTCTACAACGACGACCTGGTCATTGTAAGACGACGCCGCAACATTAACTTAATCATTCACTCTACAACGACGACCTGGTCATTGTAAGACGATGCCGCAACACTAAATTAATCATTCACTCTACAACGACGACCTGGTCATTATAAGCCGACGCCGCAACACTAACGTTCTCATTGACTTTACACCGACAGGCCGGTCACTGTATGACGACGTAGCAACACTAACGTTCTCATTGACTTTACACCGACAGGCTGGTCATTGTAAGACGTCGTAGCAGCACTAACGTTTTCATTTACTTTGTTTTATGACTCCGTGACGCAGTTGCCAAGGTATTGGCTTCGGCGTCGGGGTCGTGGGTGTGATCCCCACACGGGACAACTATATGTGTGACCCACAGATAGTTGTTTTGCATCTGGGTGTTTGTCCACGTGAAATTTATGTTTGTAAAACATCCTAACAACACAGGATAATGTTATCTGAGAGTAAGGGTAATGTTCTTTTTTTTAAAAAGACTTCACCGACGAGCTAGTCATTGTAAGTCAACATACCAGCACTAACATTCTCATCGATTTAGCCATTCATGACTTATACAACTGCTTTGCTTTGTATAGACAGTATGGAGCGTGTAACACATGTCTTAATTCAAGAAGCGATTACCTACTTGAACTTGAAATCGGAATCCGAAGAAATTTCAGTCCGATTTTGAATAAGAGATTAATCGTAGTTGTGTATTAATCTAGGTGTGTTCCTTGACTATAACGATCTCCATCGTAATTTATCACCTCGCAAATAATCGAGGAGTTATCTGTCACAAATATGTAGGTTACGATAATTCCGTTGATTTCTTCACGCAGCTCTTATCGTGTTACCGATATCGTATTGAATAGGCTTTCCACTTATGTACTAATGTAGTGATGTGCGATTTTACTTACGACACCCCGCGTCTACTACTCTCGGATACTTGGGCAAAACGCGCGGATTACATGCTATGTGCTTGACCCTACACTAGACATCTCAAGGTCCCAGTACCGAAAGCATCATCCGACGGGGTTCAGCTGGCTGCAATCGCGCCCAAGCACATTTGAAGTTATACTTCTTCTGGCGCGTTTGAGAAAAATGATGAGAGTGATATTTTACGATGCGAGACACTTAAAAGCGACACCAACTTCGTGGTATTACCATGGCAACCAATAACAACTTTTACTAAACGTTTACCTATAAATCCAATTTATTTAATTGAACCGTTATATATAGCATTTTATTTTCAAACAGTACTGGCACACGGGATGAAGTTTTCAGTATTTTTTTTCTTTTTTTACGCTAAAGAAGCGTAACTTCGTACGTGCGTTCATAAGTATACACACACACACACACACGTTTTTATTAATGGTCTAATGTGGTGTGCAGAAGGAGCACAAGCTGCGCGTGTTCGCCGGCGCGCGGGTGTGCTTCGTGGGATTCCCCGAGGACGAGGCGCAGCACATGGCCGAGGTGCTGGCGGGCAACGGTGGCGCCACCTGCCCCCTAGACGACCCGGACTGCACGCACGTCGTGAGTACACGCAACTAACTGGTACGGTCCGCGAAGACGCGGGCACGGCACCGCTGTTATGATTTGAATATTCATACCGTACTTCGTTCGATGCGTCTACGTTTGCCGCGAAGTGTAATGTACACTGCGGTGTGTTTATGTATCTGACGCGGTGACGTAGTGGTGTCGTTTTGCTCCAGGATATTGCCATAGTGACAAAGCTCAGAAGACTCTGGAGGCTTGAGTTCGATTCCCACACGGGACAACTGTTTGTGTCGAGCATAGATTATTGTTTCGGATCTGGGTGTTTGTCCACGTGAAATTTATGTTTGAGAAACGTAATAATAAAGTTATCTTATATTAAGAACAAATAGAAAAGTCATTGATATATTTTTTCAAAATTGTGATAAGTAAAAATATTGATCCGCGAAAACCAACCAACTTGGGCTTATGACACAGCTCCCCTTGTATATGAAAGAAATGTCTGGAATTTGATGTAGAGGCAACATAAACAAGTTGTATACAATTCAGGTCCGCACCAGATACCGTCCTCCATTGGCAAATGTAAATGCATCGAACGTTACCCACATTTTTATATCAATGAAACAGGGGCCGTACGTGAACGTACGGGTGGTAAAGCCGATTGTTCATAGTTTCGCCTTAGTCGGGTGAAATTAGCATACACACGGCGACCGCTATTTTTACACACGCGCGTGTCGCGTCCGCTTGCACTATGGTGCGACCGTTGCTCGTAACGGTGCCAGCGACGCCTTTTGGTTTGCTTTGACGGCAGCGTGGTTACAAATGCATGATCGATGGCCGCATAAAAAAAAATATAACTCGATATTCCTATAGTAAAGTATGCGTTGCTACACCGTGCATTGGATTGCACCTACTATTTTAGATAGCCCGCAGAAACGTTAGATATCTGCGTTCTGCGACCGATAAAACACTATATTCCGTACGCGTCGTGAATAATTCGACAACTGGTATGGAAATAAACTTAATGTGTTACTTATTTCGTTAATAACTAGGATGATTTATAATATATATTATTTTGAAATATGATTGGATTAAAATAAAAATAAATATACATTACTCAATTTAATGCATAGTTTTAAAATACATATTAAAATTATATTTATTATATATATATTATATTAATTATAATTTCAAAAACTGATTATTTATTTGAAGACAGATTTCAAAATGACTATGACACGCTTATCTTATATATAAAAATAGATTGCTGTTCGTTAGTCTCGCTAAAACTCAAGAACGGCTGGACCGATTTAGCTAGTTCGTGATAAAATACACCTATACTATAAAAGTCAATTCATTTTACGCTAACGCGGTACAGGGCTATAACTGTCAGTGATGTTTATTTTGCTTAGCTTCGAAAATATCATTATTCATCAAACATTAGCCACGCTTCCGTAACATAAGTAACATTAGGAAAAACAGAAGTCGTCGCAAACACACAGAAATTTCGAAGCAAATCGATCGCAATTGTCCAATTTATGTGAAACGAATCATCCTTGGATGATTATCACAGAGCGTTTACCCGTTTATCGTTTTATTTATAAACTTTATGACAAATTAGTCACTAATTTTAGCGTTATGAAATCAGCATGCACGTAGACGTTTGGAAATAGAATTCTTAGTTTAGTTTAGTTACTTTGTAGACATTTTCATTAAGGCAACGGTGGGTTTCCTACTTCCCTCATATTACTTTAGCTGTATCTATTCGACCTTAGCCGGTGATTGCTTTACGATTAGCGACCGTCTTCAATGCTGTATGGATGTTTATTTAGTTATTTTTGTACGGATGTAGTAATTATAGAGCTTGGAGTTATTATATAATCAGCGCATCCGATGTTTTAATACGAATTTTGGAACGACGTATTATTTCAAAGAGCCGATATCCATTGAAATGTATTATTTAGTCGCATTTCATCATTAGCATCCTTCCTTACCTTATACAATGGGCCTCCTTCGAACATTGCCGACTCTTCAACCCGGTCTCTGTCACTTTAATTTGTCACGACCTATTCCGCACGGCGTAAAGTCGACCCATTGTCTGTTTACCACATTTGTTTCACCGCATTCTAGCTAGCACCCACGTATAAAATATCATTTGATGTTTCTATGTTTCGCTATCACGGTTCTCGGAATATAGTTATATGTTTGTGTATGTCGCTTCTATATACTGACATTTATCATGCAAGTTCATAGCAACCTTCATTAGTTGTTTTACGCTATATTATTAAATCATTTTTGTTAATTCAAGTGCACTTCGCACCTATTTTATTATTATATATTATTCAACAGTTTAGGCTATATTTCATAATTGCTCTACTCGTGTGAATATATATGACGTTCATATAGAAACGTTACAAGAAAGTGATATATCACATATTGATGTTCACCAGGTAGCAAGCTTTTGTGTTTAACTATCTCTCACACGATAGTAACAATGTCGTAATGCATGTCTGTACTGGAATGGCTTCACTACATCATTGCGTGGTGTGTTTCACACATGTTTCAGGTAATGGCCAATGGGGAGACTTTCGGTCGTTCGCTTGTCCTCTCGCCTCCCACGAACACGCCCAACACTTCCGCGAAACCCTCCCGAACCAGCCCGAACCGTTCCCAAAACACGCCCAAGAGTTCGCTCTACCGTAGGTTGTCCGCTCGCCTCTCGGGCCGCCGCACCAGCCCCAGCAAGCTCAGCGCTGACCACGAGCATAGTAGCTCACAAGACCAAAGGGAGCAGCGCTTGCAGCGCGCCCGAAACAGTATTACGTGCAACCAAAGCAAAGACGAACCGGACAACTCTATATTTAGTTACGTCGGCAAGTCGTTTATTGACGATTTGTGCACGAGCGGCGACAAGAACCAAAGCACTAGTCAAACGGAGCCCGTCCAGCTCCGCCTACACAGAACTTGTGGCAAAGAGAACAAATACGAATCTCAAGCTCATAACGGAAATCGACTCGGTAGCAAGGATAAGAGGGAAGTGTTTAGAAATAAGTCCATGAATGTTTTCAACTTGGTGGAGTGTCTAACAGAAGCGGGATCTATTCACTCGTCATTAACGAAAAGCTTATGCGATTTAGACTGTAAGGCGGAAACGGGATTTATTTTGCCCGCATCGGCCGTCAGTAAGGAGTTACAGCACTCGACGACAACCATATCATCCGGTAAAAAGAGGAGCCGAAATTCGACCGATTCAAATTTTCAAGTTAGCTTAGTCGATACAAATATCTCACCTGACAAATGCGACGAAAGTAACTGGAAATCTATAAAAAGGTTAAAGATCAAAGATTCATTTAAATTTAAGAATAGACCCACCATTTTTAAGAAAACCAAAAAGGAGCCCGTGTCTAAGGCCGCTGGAGACATAACCGTAGAGCCGGTGACCCCAGACAGTGTAAAACCCACAGACCCGGCTGGAGAATTCTTAGCTTCGACGTCGTCTCCGATCAGAGAGGACGATAACGCATCTATTTGCTCACTGAACGTAAGCAAACAATCGGGATTCTTTGACATTTCCTTCGCGTCCATCCGTAGCTCGAAGACGGTCAAATCGGCATCCAAGCTGAGGAGGAGCGTTAAATCGTTCACGGCTTCCTTCAGAAGCGAAAGGAAGAAGAAGTATGAGAAAAGACTCGAGCGCAACACCGTCGAGGTTAACGCGTGTCACCTGCCTTCCGACTTGAAGAATGTCTCCACGCCGAAGAGGGAGCCGGACGAGATGAACTTAGATATATCGCCAGTCCAGGTTGACACGATCGACAGCACAGACATGAGGACACCGCACAAGGAGGACGCCGAGCCGGGCGAATGCGACGATTCTGTCGTATTCAAGACGCCGCAGAGGGTGTGGTTAAGAACTCACCGGCATTCGATTTGCGGGGGCGCAGATCTCAGGTCGAGCCTGTCGCACGCGAGCAACTCGCTCCCCGCCGGCCCCTCCCTCTCCCGGGCCCCCTCGCCCTCCCCCGCACCCTACCCCTCCCCCTTCCCCTCCCCCGCTCCCCGGCCCGCCCGCGACCAGCCGCCGCCCGCCTCGACGCCCCCCACCCGCGACGCCCGCGCCATTTCGCAATGCCATGGACTATCGCTACCGGTACTAACACCATTTAATTCAGTACTACTAAATATTAGACTTGCCATGCCATAGACATAAATTGTGCTGTTATCACCGAGAGGAGCTTAATAAACGCCCAGTGTACTCTCGAATCTATCAGTCTCGCTGTCTTGCATGCCCTATTTAGCATATCAAAATTGTATAGGTGCTTATAAATACGCACAAAGGACTGGGATGTAAACGGATGCGTTACGCAAAAATTTAATGTTATGATCGGAAAGTAGGTTTTTTGGATTTTTCTTATCATAGGGAATTCCATGCATACTTGTAATGTCATAACTCATATGTACAGGTGGTGGATGTACACAACACAGGAGTAGCGCCCGAATGTTCGCCGAGAGTGCATATAGTCAAAGCTGAGTGGTTCTGGGCTTCGGTACAGAACGAGGAGGCACAGGATGAGCGGGAGTTTCTATTTAAAGATGTGAGTATAATTACCGCTATGTCTTAACTTTATTTTTTATTTTTTGAGAAACAAACTAAAACCTCACAATATTCATACACGAGTAATAGATAAGTTTGTAAACTTTAATTAAAGTAAGAAGAAAAAGAAATTATTTCATTCTGTTATTTAATAATCATCTCTATATGACAGTAAAAAAGTTAAGTAACGACCAGCATGAGAAATACTCCTGATACACCTGCCGGTAAAGTCCACCTATACAGAATTTATCTATAGTATCATTCGGTGTATATTCGTTTGTTTGTATGTAATGAGTGGTCTTGTTAAGTTTCAATGAATTGGTTTCTTTTTATGATTGATGATTATTATAATGATGATGAAGTTTTAATAATTATATTCAGTTACAACGTGAGTTGATATTGAAACGGGTAATTCTCCACCGCGTTGCAGTACCTGGAGGAGTTGTCGCGGCGGTCGTCGGTGGGGGGCGCGTGCGCCTCGGGCGCGGGGGGCGTGGCGGGGGGCGGCGGCGAGGAGGCGGGCGGCGCGGGTACGCCGTCGCAGCTGCAGCGGCTGCGCAAGCGGAAGCTGCGCGGAGGCGACGCGGCGCTGCACAAGCGGCGCTCGTCGCTCAGCGACGCCGTGCTGCTCAGCCTCTCCGGCAACCTGCTCGACTGCACGCCCTCGCCCGACGGCAAGCAGCTGCTGGAGGGTGGGAGATGCAATTTTTTTTTGCCATTTGCACCAACGTAAATTTCACGCGGACAAACATCCAGATCCGAAACAATCGTCTATGGGTCACACAGATAATTGTCCCGTTTAGAATCGAACCGATGAACCCCGTCACAGAAGTAACTTGGCAATTTCGCCACGGTGTCGTCGAAGGCGGTTACCTGATATTAAGTGAATACCGCAGCCCATGGACATCTACGGCATCCGATGGACGCTTTGCCAGTTTTTAAAAAGGAAAGCCGTGGTACTTACTACCCTGGACGTGCCTACCTCAATTCCTCAAGCACTGGCGCTTTCCCAAACACTTCAGCTGGAGTGTTTTGGCCTTAGCGTCAAAATCATATCGTCGAACATAGTTGTGTTTTTTTTTGTTATGATAGTATATTAAAATTAAATAGACTTAAAATCACTTTATTTTCTAAGCTGTAAGGTTCAGCGATGTGAGATTATCGTTTTTATGTTTTGGATTCTTGTGTACGAACACACTTGACCGCATTTTGTATTACTTCGTTCCTGTATTTGAAGTAAAAACTACGCTTTTAAATACCTTAACTTTTTTATCTTCTCATATGAAATGTTACAAAGGCATGTTACTTTTTTTAGAGTCGGAGGTACCTGATAATGTGGTGCGAAAACTAATGTCCCCAAGGCAGCAAGTCTTCATGGAGTTATTGCAAACAGAGTCAAATTACGTAGGGATATTACACACTATAGTCACTGTAAGTATAGCTAAAGTGTTTAGATGACTGTTTATTAGTAAACTCTATCTTTTTTTTTAACTTGAAAATATAATTAATACTAGATTATTAAATACCGATCAATAAAATCGATACTGTAATTTTTTAAATAGCCGTATTATAACCGCCTATACAATTATTGCATAGTATTGAAAGCAGAAATAACCGAAATAAAATGTGTTTTTGTAGATGTTTAAACAACCCTTAGAAGAAATGGCCGAAGAGGATAGCAGCAATGGAAAAAGTCAAGCATTGCTCAATAATACTGAACTTAAAATAATATTCGGAAACTTACCGCCTATTTACGAATTACACCAGTAAGTATTTATCTATATGTTGTATCTGTAATAAAACTATACTTTAATAATAATACATTTCATGTTCTGGGTTAATATGAGTTTATCTATATTTTAAACAATGACCAGTAGTATATTTTTTTTTGTTTTTTAAATAATCACTGAGCTTTGACATAAATCGATTAGTCTTTACATAATCACGGACTAGCTGTTAACATTAGCTTTACCGTTTTCAGGCGAATGCTTGAAGAGCTACATTACGCGCAGGCTCATTGGAGCGAGGAGGTGAGCATCGGGCGGCTGGTGCTAAGATACACGCCCGACATGGTGAAGGCCTACCCGCCCTTCGTCAACTTCTTCGAGAACACCAAGGAGATGCTGCAGCAGTGCGACCGTGAGAACCCCAGGTGACGTGCATACATTTACTTTGAAAGTCTAACACTGACCGTCTGACCGACTGCAAACACACACAGGATTACGGGCTAACACCACTGTTTTTGATTTAATATTACAGGTGAGTTCTATGAATGATTGTAATTATGATTTGTGTGGAAAAGTTGAGTAGTAAGTCCCAATGATCTATGCGGCTTAGAAGATCTATTGTTGTCTTTGAAGCTAGATAGGCTCCTCAAAACCCACAACCCTAACGAAGTTGACGGTTGATGAGAATTCAAGAGTCTGGGCTTCCTTGGTTGCCTATTTGTCCAAGTTCCCGACTCCTAATATTGACCAGGAGTCGGAGTATTATCAAAGAAATTTGCGTAATTCACCTCTTAAGAGTTTCAAGTGAGGTTGTACATGACTTGTATGAGGCACATAATTGTGTAATGAAAATGAAAAAAATGTTTTATTGAAATATGGGCTTACAAATATGATATACACTAGTCTCTCACACTAGTTAATTCTCAATTAGGTCAATTCTCAATTTAAACCAGTAGTACATAAGTTTTGTGTTAATTTATTGGACAATACACTTAGACAAATAAGTGACCTTATTTTCTTTTATAGATTTCATGCATTCCTGAAAATATGCCAAACGAGACCCGAGTGTGGCAGGCAGAGCTTACAAGAGCTACTAATTAGACCTGTGCAGCGGTTGCCCAGTATAAGTTTGTTGTTGGATGGTGAGAAATTAATTTATTATTCAAATATTAAATAGCTTTCTATTTCAATTGATACCTAAAAATATTTAAATTTATAATCATAAAATTATTATGCAAGAAATTTTGTATAACCTATCTATCTAACATGAAACTTTGTATAAATTTATCAAACATGTAACTAATAGATAAAAAGAAAAAATTCTTAATACATTATGGGAGTGGCTTTACTACCCTTGCTTAATTTGTTTGCTTGGATTCTGTGTATCGCCCGCCAGCAGGCATAGAGCCAATAAAACTACTGTTACCTATTTAGAGCACTTTTCACCTTGGTTACCTAAAACATACGATTAGGAAGTGTCGTATTAAAAAAAAAGAAATAGTGCGTGGAGTCGCTCCGCGCGTAATGAGTGAGACTTCGAGTGCCACGCATTCACTCTCGCTCTGTCTCTTTCTATTCCCCCTCCCCAGGAGCGTTGAACGTTTAACGCAACAGTACTGGGAGTCGCATTAGAAGTTTCACTTCAAAAAAGATACGAGATATTTTTGATTTTTTAAGATATGGTTTGCATTTACGCAGACATCCTGAAGCACACGCACAAGAACAACCCCGACCACGCGGCGCTGGTGTCGGCGCTGGCCGGGCTACGCGAGGTCATGTCGCACATCAACGAGGATAAGCGCAAGACCGAGGGCCAGCTGCAGATGTTCGATATCTACAACGACATCGACCAGTGCCCGGTCCGTACTAGCGAATGGAAAGAGACAGACAGAAACGTGCGAGCGAGTGGAGGCTACACGCTCGCACATTTCTCTCTCTCTCTCTCTCTCTCTATTCGATCTCTCGATCAATGTTACAAATATATGAACATGAAAAAATTTTTAATTAAATCTTAATCTAGTGACTAACTATTATTTTATTTGAAATTTGCTTATTTTCTGTAGATCTGTTTGTCAGTCGGCAAAGGGCTCCTCCAATCTTTTCCACTCATATATTTCTTGAGCCACCCTATTCCATGTTATGCCTGCCACTTGTCTTATGTCGTCATCCCACCTTTCTCATTAGTAAAGAGCTATTCATGAGTGTAATTGCTAGGCTAAGGCCTACTCTGCATTGAGATTTTTTATTTTTTGAGGCGAGCAGGCGGTTCACCTGATGTTAAGTGATAACCGCAACCCATGGACATTTGCAACTCTCTAATAAAGTGGGCCCCGGCTACCTCACTCACCAGTATTGCAGAAGTATAACATTTCCACTTCACGCCGGTCTTCTGTGACGTCGTGGTACTTACCCGGACGGACCTGTCCATTCGTGCAACAGACGAAGCTGTTGGGTGGCCCTACTACAGTGAAGTTACCTCATTCAACAGAAGTTTTAATAATATCATTATTTGCGTCCAAAGTTATACAAACTGGTTAAATATGACGAATTAATCATATTCATATGCGGCCTCATCGCTGGTACAAATGCTGTTAATAATTGCGAAGATTGACAATATATCAGAGTTGTTTAATTATTAAATAAAATCTACCCTCTTCTGAGTTTTTCATCGAATTATATTTTTCCGTTTTCTTTTTATCTTTTCGTCAGATAAAAGTCTAATCTACTATGTTTGTAATTTTAGGCGCATCTCGTCTCGTCACATCGGTCATTTGTGTCCCGTTGCGAAGTCGTAGAACTGTCGAAAGAGCTCTCTGGCAGGGGAGATCATCTTGTACTATTTCTGTTCACCGATACCATGGAAGTATGCAAAAAAAGATCCAAAGTGAGTCGGAAACTATAGCCATAACAGACAATTTATCTATTTATTTGGAGATTTTATTTAACCATATTTGTCTTTCTAGGCTTTCAACAGCAAAAGTCCTACAAACGGAATGGGCACTATGAGAATAGGTTCGAGTAAACCTTACAGGCATATATCGTTAATGCCCCTTAGTACGGTCAAGCGCGTCGTGGATATTAGAGAAGCAGAGGGTAAGTTGTGTAATTTTTTTTTTATGTGAGAAGGTAGCAAGCGAACCGCGGCGGTTCATCTGTTGTTAAGTGATTATCACCGCCCATGGACAGTTGTAGGGTAAGGTTGCAGATGCGTTGCCACCTTTTAATAAAGAGGGTTCCGGCTACGTCACTCACCAAGTCACCAGGCGAAACGCAGAAATATAACACTTCCACTCCACGCCGGTCTTCTGTGAGGTCGTGGTACTTCCCCGGACGGACAGCGGTGAATAGTACTCCAAAGATATTACCTTCCTCATGAATGATTGTAGAATAAGTTGTTAACATTAACGTTGGGGTTAACGTTTACATCTTGATAAAATTAAAATAAAATTATTTTACGTTTTTATTTAATATACATATGTAAACATAATTTATTCACTAAAGTAAATATGTTTATAAGAAAGTTTTAAGTAAAAATCTACATTATGTCTTACTAATTACATGCTGCGTAGTGCAGCTATAATTCATATAAGTAATAAATTTATTGCACCTAACCTAACTAAATAAAGGAAAATTAAATTTGCCCTTTCAGATTGTCATAACGTTTTCGCGCTTATGTGCCGGAGCAATCAAGAGCTCAAAGAGAAATTATATTCATTTATGATTACGGACGAAACGGTCGACAAGTCCTATTTTCTACGACAGCTATGCAGGCAAATGGCCAACACCGTCTGCAAAGCTGATGCCGTACGTAAATCATATATACTTAATAAATACAATATCGTTTAATTTTTTTTGCCTTTTTACGAGAATTTTGTCTCGCTGTTAAATAATAATATTGAATTAACGATCCATCCGTTTAGTGTTCAGAAGACGTGGGTTTGATTCCCGCGGTGGCAAAAATCGATTCGTTAATTTTTTTCTACAAATTTTAATATTGTCGTATAATTTTATATTTTGTTCATTACCGTCCTTAATGATTTGCAGAAGGCAAATCGTACCATTCAACTTCAGCATGATTACGATCCGATAATATCGTAGTATTGGTATTTGAAATATATATTTTCACATAACGTCGATCAGAAATAAGTGCAGTGAAATATTTGTGCGTAAACAGGACAAGTTTTTGGCGTGTCTGGAGTCACACCAACTCGACATCGATACGAGCGATCTCGCACTTAGTACACTCTCCAGGGTCTCCAAGTTTGCAGCCCGGACGCGAATAAAGGTACTGGATGTACACAAGTAAAGCATTCTATCCACTGACCAAATGAGACGTTTTTCTCTGAGCCCGGTTGTCACTTTTCAACTTGTAAGTGTAGCATGTTTCAATAGACGATCATTGTTATGCAGCTAGCTTAGCTTGCGTTATAAATATAACGACAGTAAAATAACCAAAGTTACCCACTTGGGTATCGCAATTTGTCTGAACGCGTGAAACGTTAATATTGATTTTATAAACCATTCTTAAGTAAGCGCGAACTTTTAAAAATAACCGTGTGTTTGTCTTTTTGAAAGATCAGGCAAATTGCGTTTCTTAATACAGCGTCGTATGTTCTGAATATATTCCGTGGCCTGGCAAAAAGAAGCAAGTGTGCGCTTAACAACGAACCAATGATTACGCTCATTTAATCTGAAATTATCAATATTGTCTATATGTAACTAAGGCATGAAAGCAAACCGTGAATTCATCAGTTCTGATATAAACATACATTAATTTACATGCTTAATTAAAACACGATCATTTAATGGACATAGATGATAGATGAAAAGGTAATTTAAGGCCATATTGAAATTAAATGATAAGCACAATACAGTAAATTATTTTTTAAAGAATTGTATTGTAAATGAAAAATAATGGTGTTGTAAATATCGATTATTTTGTATACATGTAAACAATAATTTTTTTTTTGTGCTATTAAAAATCTATTTCATGGCAAAATTATTTTCCATACATAGTCGTAATCTATGCGACCTGAGCCGTGACTAAAGCGTGTTTGACTTCAACGGTGCAGAAAATCCGTGCATCATAGACTGTGACGTGAAGGAATTTCGTATTACTATCACACTGGGACTTATTTTTAGATTAGGGCGGAAAGAGTCCCAAGTAACCCCGTCTCCCCTCAAGGATGTAGGATATTTAAACATTGAAAAAAGTGAACACTCGCTGTTAGAAAAAATTAAGAACATTGTAAAGAATAATTATTAAAAGACCTCAGAGTTTCTTGCCAGTTCTGCTCTGCACCGGTCTAGTATAGTGAACCGTTGGTAGTTTTTTGACGTTCAATAACAGCTTAAAATAAGCCTGTATTGATTAAAACACTTTGAATTTGGCTTTAAGCCCTCCTAAACTTCCCTTCTTTCGGGAGGGCAGGCTATCTCTTCTAGTGCGTAGGGCGATTAGGGGAGGGGGAGGGGGTTAGTTCGTTAGCGCGGGTGAGTAGTTCGCGGTGTAGCGGAGCGCTCTGTTCCAGCTGGAGGCGCTGGCCGGGCTTGGCGGCTGGCTGCGCGCCGATCCGGGCGCCGCGCTGCTAGACACATGGGTATTGCGCGCTCACTTACTCGCACAGGTCTGACGCGCATCTCGCTCGCACTCCTCTCGCAGCTCTAGTGTCTGTTCCCGCCCGCTAATTACAATGCCCCGCGCTGCTTCCTGCCGTCCGACGTTTTGGCCTCGTCTAGACTTTCCGCCGCTGTCTAATCACTCGCTGTTCGCTGGCTTTGGTTGGCTATTCCTCGCTCTCTGCGGTACAGACAATCCGGGGATTTCCCAATGGGCGTTGGACGCAGGAATCACCGTGGCACTATATGGATGTACGTTGTGGCTTTTTCGACCGATCATTTCAATAACAAATTTCAACAAAGTTGGTGATAATCATTTAACAGCGTTTTTGACACCATTACACTGCGGTCGGACTGGATTTTTGACTGATTATGAGTGGAAAGGAGGGAACATTTGAAGGAGACTCACAAAATTAACGCTTCGCTTCCAATCATGTGTAATTAACTGCGACATTACCGTTTGTGAGCGTGCCATACCTAATGTGATTGTTAACGTTTAGCGTCGTAATGTTCATTTTTTAAAATGGTGATTTCTAAGTCGTTCATTATCAACAAACTGTTCCTTGGTCAGGTTCGAAACTGTACAAAAAAAAGTTAATCCTGTGTAATTCATTGCATGTATGCTATTCTATCAACTAATAGAATTTCCAAGAATATTGTTGAATGCAAATGGCTTCTGAGGAGTAAATAACATACATGTATGCTTTTTAAAATCCTTAAGAAAATTATAATTACGAGTGAAGTTGGCATTCTTTACTATGTATTTTATATAATTACAATAATTCTTGCATAACTTACATATCAAAATGGTCATGATCATGTTGCAATGACAGTATTCCTGTAAACTCAGTATTCCTCATTAGTCTTTTACACTGGCCGTTATGTTTTGGTTAATACGCTAATTAGGTTTCATGATTAAATTTGTATTCAAATGACATGCGCTGAACTCATATTACAATAATTTGGTGTATTGGTTGGGTTCTTATAGTTTTACTTTGGTTATGGTCACGGAACATTTTTAACTTAAATTTAATTTACATATATATTTAATGCAGTATGTGATAAGCTTATGAAGGCAAAACTTCTTTGGTGGCGTTCGCGTCAATCGTAGAGTATTTTTATTGAGAGGGCTACAGGGCAAGCTTAGAGGGGTTCATTAATAAAATTAAACTCTGAATAATCGATTCCTACCTTATCTTGGTCTCTTACAAGTTGGCTTCTTTATTTCATGATTCTACGTTACGTGCACAGGTGGGCCGTGCGTTGTCCTTCAACAAGACTCCGTCGAAGCTGAAGCGCGCGATGTCTTCGATGATCTCGCCCTTTGGCTCCACATCCAACCTGACCCCGGCATCGCAACTGGCCCAGATGAGGCTGGCCAGTTGCAACAATATAAACGTGAGCAATGCACATCTCGATTGGGAATAATGTACAGTTGACGTTCTATCATAGTTGTACAATATACATAGTGTCATAATTTGATAGTTTTGTTGTCGTTTGTGTGCTAAATGTTTTGTTTATCAATAAGCTGCGTAAGGCCTGGAGAAAGGCGGAATAGAAGAGTGAAGGGGCTCACGGTTTACGGTACAGTTGTATTTATATATTGAATCGACGTAACTAAGGAAAATAATGAAACGATCGAGTTGAAGTCTTCTAGATTCGTTTTTCTACATAAAATAATGTATCATAATCATCATTTCAGCCTGTTTGAGTACATTGCTGAATATAGGCCTCCCCACAGACATGCGTATTATGCATACAGTCAATATATTCAAGTTGTGTGTCTAATCTTTCGATCAAATAATTTGAGTAAATTCAACAATATTAACTTGAACTTTGGTTCAACGCATTGGCCGTTGCATACAGTGCGTAGGTCCACGTCGTTGTTCGATCGAGGCCACGAGTCTGACTGAGGAAATATGTTATAAGTATTGCAAGTCAATAATAATAACAATTGAAACGTTCGCAGGAGATGGGCACGAGCGGCGGCAGCGGCGGTGAGGGCGGCGGCGAGGTGCTGGTGGCGCCGCTCTCCGTGCAGCCGACGCGCAAGGCGACGGGCCCGCGCGCGTCCTCCGCCCTGCGACGTTTCTGACGACCGCGCCACTAGCCGCTTCTAGCCGCTTTCAGCCGCCATTAGCCACCACTAGTGGCTATTCGACGCTCGTCGCCGTCGAGCGACGGGCTAGTGACGCAACGCACAAACACGCCCCCGCCCCGTGCGCGCGTCTTTTTCTCAACCAAACAAACCAGTGCTAATTTATAAACAGGGATGTGGCAATTACGTGATCCGTTCCGGATAGGACAGTTAGGGTACCGCAGTGCCTTGGGTTTCGATGGATGGTTTTTAATAATTTATTTTTGATTTGATAGTATTACCATTATGTGGAAATCGTAAAAGGCCTTGAAATTTTTATTCAGATTTTAATGTTAGTGATTTAATCTATGTGAGATTGTAGTTTTAAAATTGTAGGAACGCGAACATGATTGCCTACGCGATGATTGTAAATAGAAGACGGCTTTAACGTGTACATCGATTTCTTTATAATTCGAATAGTTTTGTCTCCACTATCCTGGCGGATATCAACCAGTGGCCAGTTTCTGGGATCTGTGTAATAACATGGGTTAATGTTATTTAGTTTTCATAAACAAGCGACGTGTCACATAGAATAATTGATATTATCGATATAGTCTTTATAATATGTACATATTGTGATATTTTAATTTAATCATGGAGTAAGCCTCGTACATAGGTAGGGTAGTTGTATTTGTTAATCTACCATATCCGTCTGCTGTCAATTTAAACCTTTCCTAATATATTTGCCTTGTCGCTAAATGTGAATGTTTAAATGAATGCCCATTGGTCATTTTGCAGCGAGATTTGAAGCCAGTTGGTGGCTTCTATCGGAATTCCTTGTACATAGCGTGCGCGTCAAGCCCAAATAACCTACGAGGCTCTGTCGTTAAATCAATGTTCTCGAATGTATCTTTCATCTATCTATTTAGTGCTGATGCGTAACAGTTCGTTTCGAGCATCCGTGATCCATTATGTGTACGCATCGTCATGCAATGTACAAAGATCCATATTTATATTTTAAACGATTGAAGGAATAAACATTATTTTCAACAATCAATGCTGTTTTACTTTCATTTTAATGAATATCCATTAGAAGAATGTTAGAACTTCTAAACAATACAATGCATTTGTATAGACAAAAGGTTTTATTTGTGCTTCAATTAATCTTAACAGATTTGAGCTTTAAAATTGCAATTCATCCCTTCCTTCGGAGCCACACTTGTCGCATGAACGAGTATGCATTGCAGCAAGCACGCACCGGCACAGAAATCAAAACAGCCGCCAACGGCGCTAGCGCCATATACATGAAACGTTTCGGCAGCTCGCAGTGCTTGAACACGGTCATTTTCAATATAAGAACGACCTGTGAAAAAGAGACGATCATGTAAAGTTACGTTGTTATGGGCCTTTACATATGAACTATATATGATGAATTATATATGAACTATATATGATGAAATATATATGAACACTAGCTGCTGCCCGCGACTACGTCTGCGTAGAGGGGTGAAAATTTAGGGTTGTATGTATTTTTGTATGCTGTGTCATAAAAAAATAAAAAAAAAATTAGGGGTGGATTACCCTTAACATTTAGGGGGATGAAAAATAGATAGCAGCCGATTCTCAGAACTACTGAATACGCATATAAAATTTGGTAAAAATCGGTCGAGCCGTTTCGGAGGAGTTCAAGTTCGAACCCCGTGACACGAGAATTTTATATATTAGATTAAGTGAAAAAATACTGCAAAAGAACAAGAAAAGTATAATTATTCACAAAACCGTATAATGTTGCTCACGACTGCGTTGATTCAGGTAGGATGTTAGTAGAGATTTGGCCAAATTTTGAATAAAACCACACCAACGTACAGTGAAAACAAAACAATGAGCCAGCTATCTGTGGTAGGACCACGCAACAGACCTCGCTGTTGCACGAATGGGCAGGTCCGTCCGGGTAAGTACCACGACCTCGCAGAAGACCGGCGTAATAGAAGTGTTACACTTCTGCGTGTCGTCTGGTGAGTAAGATAGCCTACTTAATTTAAAGGTGGCACTGGCAACGCATTTGCTATCCTACGGGGGTTGCAAATGTCTATGGTCACTCTCGCACATAAAAAAAAACTGCAATCGCAAGTTGAGTCTACCTCTATTAACTAATTACCGTTAAATCTAAGAGGACGGAGTCAATTACCTAAAGAAACCAATTTGCGAAAGCTTCAATTATGTAGAGTGCCGCCAAATACGTACGATTTATGCCCGGTTCCTATATTCAACGAACGGCCGTTAGTTACATAATCATTATGAAGTCGATACAACGAGTCGTTCTGAAAGTTACGAAGTTATGTAACTAATGGCCGTTCGTTGAATATAGGAACCGGGCATTATTCCCCATCGTTCATCAGTTCTTCGAGATATGCGCATGCCCATTGTATATAATCTTATATAATTATAGTTAAATAAAAAATAATATACATACAACTGTGATAAAAGGTATTATTTGCCACTGAGTGCCGATCCTTGTGGAGCATGTATTGTCTTCTGTGGCGATATGTACATCGGAAACAAAGTCTTGTCCGCGGTACACATACAACAAGCCCACCAGCTCGAGCAGACACACGTACGGCATCGACAAACCGGACATAATAGAATCCACGCTTTCCAATAACACCACGCCACCCTTATGAAAATGATTAGTGTATAGTTTAATTTATAAGATTAGTGTATAGTTTAATTTTTAAGATTAGTGTATAGTTTAATTTAAAATTTTATATTTTATAACCTTTGATTGACTGATACAGAGCAGCTGGTGTGGTTGATGCTATGGGCATGTCGCAACCACTTAACATTAGGTGAACCGCCCACCGTCTTTTCTTAGGGTCCATTTCATATCATTGAATTGGCAATAAAAAACACGAGTAAACGATATGATTTGTTATTTTTATGATGCAAATTAATTTAAGAAAAAAGCTGTAACAAAGCATTTTCGTCTGGAACATCGTGGCATTAACAGCTAAAATGAAACTTACATTGGTGGCTAAGACTAGACTTAACGCCATACAAGATAACATCAACCCTGCAATAACGGCTTGCTCCCTGAAACTACAAATAGAGAAATATTTTAACTTATTGTTCGGATAAAAATATTACTAGCTTATTGTTTAAATTTATACTTACACTAATTTTACTCTATATTCAAATATTGTATGAACAGCAGTCTTCAACAATATAAAGGCAGCCGTCATATAAGAAAACGTTAATCCACTGAACAATAAAGTTGACCTTAGAAATAGGCAAATATAAAGAATTAAAAAATATAAGTTTAAGTATATAACTTCTGTAGTAAGTTTGTTTTTTTATTAAAAAAATACTTACAAGAGGTGTTTATAATTTCCAACTAATGTACACTTTGAATATAAAGGTATAATCCACAAGGTACCTAAAACATAGAATTAAAAATTGTCAATAACGATAACAATAAGTAAGTTTATGTTTATTTAGAAATAGAAATGAGTTGTGTCTCGATCGATCAAAAATAGGCCTTTTAAATTTTATTCCCGAACTTCCCTTCTGAAGTTTTGTCAAATTCTGTTTGACAAGATCAAAACGCTAATTTGCGCAGTTTTTTTTTTAATTAATATTATAAATAGCTACAAGCTAAAGTTCTCACTCTCATACTTGTTGTAGACATGATTTGAATTCGCATGCGCGCAGTCAACAAACGCGCAGAGAGACGCAGCGCCAGTGTGCAGAGCAGTCAACAAAAGCATTAAACCAGAGTGTAACACGTTCTCACTGTTTAAATGGGGGTCTATATGCCCAGACGCTGTTGATACATACACACAAATATATTAACACCAATTATTAAATGTAAATTCAAATATATAATTTTATTTCACATGCATACCGTAATGGTTCAACCCTTTGCCGTGAATAAGTTCAGTGCCCGAACTTGCCGAATGTATATAAAGGGCACATTCAACAGCGTCAGATAAAATCTAAAAATATTGGCTCAACAAATCATGTTATAACAATAACTTTTATTTTACAAAAGACCACCAATATATTGTAATGTATTGTATATAATAAAACATCAATTCTACTTACAACAACTGCTTCCATTGTACTAGTTCGAAAGTATTTACCAAAGCTTTTGTTAATGGTAGTTACATTTGCTATTGCGGTGATCAACAATAGTGTGACCCATAACCAAGGCACAGCTATCAGCCATACGTGGATATTATTCCAGACCATCTGAAATTTTGATTAATAATAAAGTGAGGTGAAGTAAGAAGAAACATGGAGATAAGAGCAAACACGTAATATTTTCAGACATACCCTTCCATAATTAAAACGCTCTATAACCATCAGGACCCAGAGCACAGCCCAAATTAAAATAATACAAAGCGCTAAGGGCACATTTAATTTTGAGAAGCTGAAGTCTGATCGCAGCGAAAGGATTTCTACGCTGTAATATGGCGAAAAGGCTCAAATTAATGTGTTATATTTACATAATTATGACGTTTTACGTTAAATAATTATTTTATTCTTAGAAACCGAACTTACTAGAAAAAATTATACGCTGGCGTATTATACCACGTGGGATAACTGCCATTATATGTTTCTTTACATGTTGGTATTTGCTGCAGTTTACGCCTTCTAGCAATTTTCTCACTAAAATGTAATATGCCTTGTAAACAACTAATGTTATAAGTAGCCCTTTTGTTCAAAAAAGGTGATGACAGTTAGTAGTAACTTTTTATATTAGTGTGGAGCAGAACAGATTAATGAGAGACTTCTTTCTACTGAAATCCACTCTTTGGTATATGGAAAAATCTAATTATTTGCCACTGCTATATTAATTACTACAATTTATATTTTCATTGTAACAATTTACCTTTGATACGTATAGTTTCGCCAAGCACGATCATGAAAACCAACTGTAGTCAGCCTCGACTCTATTTCTGCCCTTGGCTAAATTTTTTTAAACTTCATTAACATATATAACATACATAAGAAAAGGTAAGGATGCATTATATTTATTTTACCTTTGCTAACATAGTTTTAAAGTCTTTAAAAACTGGGTCATAAGGTTTTAAATCGAAATCTCTGCAACAGAACACATGTAATTATAACAATAAAACATATTTTAGTTGTAGCAGGTGCAGTTACTAAGTTAATCGCTTCGGAGCAAGTACTTATGTGACCCACATGTAATTGTTCCCGTCTAGGTGTTTATTCGCAAAGAAGCATGAAAAACCTGGCCAAAGACATTAACAACATGATACATATATTGAGGCGTGCCCACCTAGGTGGGTTAAGGGCCACCTTTCTATCGAATCCCCTCCTTATCATGGCGGAGTGGCTCTAGCCATGACTTGGTGCCCACGGCCACGGAGGTCACACTGGATAGACGCGAGGACGGCTCAACATTAAGTTCCCCATGTCAATAACAAACAAGGTGACTTAAGGGCAGGAGAATGAAGAATGACCTATTAATTAGGTTTTATGTTTTAAAAATATGAATGTCAAATTACAATTTGTTCCTGTCTACAGAAAACTACTCATCACAAGTTCTATCAACTAACCTGCAATGTGTAAAAGGTAGTTTATCATCTTTAACAGAGTGCACAACATACAGTACCGCTATCGCCGCAATAGTGCAACACGTGATCGCCTTTACAATTGCGTTAATGCATATTGCTATACCGATACCTGTCAAAATTTTGTATGAAATTATTGAACATAACGCCCGTTGTCTTTTGACCAAAGACATAATTTTATTGTCAGTGTCTTACAATCCCGCCTTTAACACCTGTCCACTTAACCGACCTAGCGAGAACAGGAATTTAGGATAAATAATTATTTAAGGGAGAATAACTCTTTTGGATGAGAAAGATCAATCGTCAAGGGGTCCCATAACAAATAAAGCCGCGTTCGCTTCGACTTTATAATTGAACACATTTTCTTTAAAAGAGAACCTATAGCTATAGTAGAACAATATGACACATTCTGTCATATGTATACATGTTTTGTCGAGCAAGTCCTCCAAGAACACCTCGAGAAAATTTCACGTTATAAAAAGTATATATTTATATAAAAGGGTATAAATGAAATAATAGTCAGAAAAGAGTTGTATACCGTCTAACATTGGTATGATTCGAAAAGCTCGCCCCGGTCCACTGATGCTCCACTGGCCGAGGTACACCTCAAAGTGGCGCAAAGGATTTGCCAGCAACGCCACCGCCAGTATTAGGAAGAACATGAAAACAACTAAGTATTTTTATTAGTTGACATATTAATTACACTGAAACACAGCAACGATACACTTACAAAATCCGCCTGTAAGCGCAGCGGCTGCGATTCGACAATGCATAGTCAGAAAAGCTCCCAGAGTTAAAGCTCCAATACGCAAACGGCGACGTCCGTGGAAAGGATGTCTGGCCATACCGCCTGCCGCATTGTCCATGCTTGGTATATGAGTTGTAGACCACACGACCGACCACTGACTCTGCTATATAAGGTATAAATTGCTTACTGCATTTCAACATTACTGCCCAATTGATCTGATTTGCACGTTATTAGTAGTAGTTAACTTTATTTAAACTTAATAAATGAGTATAAATTCATTTTGTAACAAGTTGCTAGTTATAATATAGGGACAAGTAAACAAGGGAAATGTAATATCATATAAATTTAATTATACATATAAACTATACAGAATGTTTTATATATTGAATATAAAACATTTGGATATGTATTATTATTCATTTAACCACTTTGACACGCTGTTGTAAGGTCTTCAATACAAAGAGATATAAATCTACAATACAAAGAGGTTGACTAAATTTTAGCGTAAAGCACGTGTGGACATTGTTTAAAATTAAGAGTTTATGTAACTATAAATTTGGGTACAACTTAGGTATTTTTCCCAAATATTTGTTCTTTTAATTTTATAAGTTATTTGTAATATTTACCATAGTGGATATTTTAAATATTCGTACCGTGAGTACTGACTCGGAATATTCAAAATATTACAATAAAATTTAATTCACAAATTCCATAAATTAGATGTTCAATATCCCAAAGACGTGAACGGATTTTATTTAGGTAAATTTTACCGAAAATGTACACCTATGTACTCTTTTTAGGGATCCGTACCCAAAGGATAAAACGGGACCCTATTACTAAGACTCCCGCTGTTATTCTGTGAAAGACAGTTGAAATTTTCACAGATGGTGTATTTCTGTTGCCGTTATAACAACAAATACCTACTAAAAATTATAAAAAACAACCATACAAAGGACATGATTTTTGCCGTTTTTATAGGTAATGGTACGGAATCCTTCGTGCGCGTTTCCAACTCGCTTTTGTAATGTTGCCTATGCTCATTTCTTTGTAAGGATCGTATTACTGTCATTGTATGCACATTTTTGTTGTTTCATTTTCATGAACCCCCTCTGATACTAAAATCTGGCTATGCCTGTCAGTTCTGGTATAAATTTAATGTTACGAATAAAAAGGAAACTCTACTTTCAAATACATATACTACTTAATATGTTTACAAAAGTATAGGAATGGAATTTATTGTTACCACATCTCGGTTTTGATAATTTAAGATTGTTTCCAAAGACTGTCTTTGTGACTCCGCCATTTATACGCCTATTTAATACGGAGTCATATGTGTATTGACATAGCGCTAAAATTTTTATAATTGAAAAGAATGCAAGATAGTTATCAATCAATTGATCATTTGTCGGCAAAAGCGAAAATGGCAGCTTTTGTCAAATAACTATCAAGAAAACTTAAAAACACTGTAGATAAAAAATATTTGGAATGATTATTATTAACCATGAAGGATTTAATACTAGCATAACTTATGTATCTGAATGACAAAACAAAGGATAGGTACCTGAAAATTAATATATACTTTACTTTATTACTTGAAATGAATGAATGAATGAAATATGCTTTATTGTACACCAGACAAAATTACAAAAGTAACAAACAATTACATAAAGGTACAATTGGCGGCCTTATCGCTTAGAAGCGATTTCTTCCAGGCAACCATGTTACTGAGGATACAATGATCAGTGAGAAGGGTTTGAGGTATACGCTATTGTAAATATAGGTATTATAGATACACAACACTACTATACACAAATAAATGCATAAAATAAATAAATATATATATATATGAATAAATACATGTATATTTATATATACAACTTGATCATAGGGAATTCGATTAGAGATCTCTCAACCATACAAATGTGTTTTAAATATATTTTTGCAACGACCATAGGGTTCTATATCCCTATTTATTCAGTGAAAAATAATATTTTCCCAACTTTGTTTTAAAAAAAGACACGCAGATTTTCCCGCCAGTTTCTTAAACGATGTCATCCGGGGGATCCGGGGGTTCATGTTTTCATTATTTCTTTAAATCCTTTTTTCGAAGCATTTTTGGATCCGATGATAAGCAACTCGATGGCTTAACTTAAATCCCATATGATAAACACAGATGTCCTAGTTGGGACACTATTTGCATAGACTCACACTTCGTTCCTGAAGCGGATGGCATAAATAAAATAAATGTCTTAACAGACTACTTATTCGTGTCGTTTGTTGACGGAACTAGTAACGTGTGGTCACAACCAACAATTCCAAGAAAATTGTATCCATGACTTATCATTGCAAATGGCGATCAAGGTTTCAGGTCTTTTTCACCGATTTCATGTATTTTTGGAATTTTCGTATTCTGGATTCTATCACGTTTATTATCCGACGTTCCGAACACTTTGAATAAATTATGGTCCGTCTTGTTACCAAAATATATTTATTATATGTTTGTAACGATGCTGTGAGCTATATAGCTTCTATAAGCAAGTGCCTTTTAATGCTAGGTTTATGTTCTGTGATATAATTTGTTGCAGGTCTCGATCCAAAAAGGGCTACATCGCAGGTACTTACGGTTGGTAGTATATGAAACTATTTGCAAAGCCTAATATCATTCCAATGTCACATTATATCATGTATATCATGCATGCCATAAAAAAAAACAAATTTTTAATATTTCATAACTTTATATTTTAATGGTTATTACTTTTTCTGTTATAATAAAATAAAAACCTTTAAATAAACAAACACGGAAACAAATATCATTGCATGTCCAATGTAATATTTACATAAATGAGTATCCAAAATGTTTGAATATAATAAAAAATTACGATTTGGTTTTATTTATACATTGTAGTTAATTGTGCAAAAATATCGCAATCCCTTTATTTTAAATACAAATACTTTATATACTAACATATAGCGGTTTTATTTATACTTACATCTATAGACTCAACAGTAAATTATTATAAGCAAACAGATTTTTGAAATATCGAGTAGAATACTCAAAAAACACAACCCATAGAGGCATAATAAAAAAATTAGATTGAAAATAAAGTAGTTTAGCTCTTAAGATAAAAATAACATCCACAATATATCCCCAGGATATTAAAGACAGCTAGGATATTTCCTCAGTGTTGCTATTATAAGGTTTTTTTAACATAACATAACATAACATCCACAATATATCCCCAGGATATTAAAGACAGCTAGGATATTTCCTCAGTGTTGCTATTATAAGGTTTTTTTAACATAACATAACATAACATCCACAATATATCCCCAGGATATTAAAGACAGCTAGGATATTTCCTCAGTGTTGCTATTATAAGGTTTTTTTACTAAAGGACAAAGTGGTGATACTGAGTAAGAAAAGGTTCACTTGTCCACCTAATGAATATTTTCGCCCATAAGATAATAATACATTAGTCTGCAAATGAGACGAAACTATTTATAATTTGCAAGGAACTAGTTTTTAACAGAGTACTTTCGAGTAGGTAACATATTCAATAAAACATATAAATATACTGGTCAACGAAACGGCATATCTTTTCGACGTCGCAGATGGCTCTAGTCAGAGTATTCGAAGCATCGTTCGCGATAAACCGGTCTATTGACGAGTGAACTGTTCACGTCTACAAAGAAGTTGTACGGCCTAGTTTGCATACGGGCCATATTGGCGGTAGGAGTCTATGAAATAAATGTTCAGCAAAAGTTGTTCCGCGTACATTTCGACAATGTGCAACCAAGGTCGGGCGGTGTGTGTAGACGGCCTAGTTTCCATACGGTCTAAATGGGCGGCAGAAGTCTGTGAAATGATCCATTACTGTAGAAAAATATTGTTCCGCGTCCACTCCGGCAATGTGCACTCCGGTGCGAATATACAGCCTACTTTCCGTACGGGTCATACGGGCCATATGTTCGGTAAGAGCATGTGAAATTATCCGTGACAGTGGCAGTTGTAAAAGTTGTTCCGCGTCCGCTCCGGCAGTGTGCACCCAGGGTAGTGGGCGGCAGTCCCGCATTGCGCCGCTGCGTCAGTGCATGCCGTGGTGCGGGACCGGCAGCTGCAGCTACGGGGGCGGGGGGGCGGCCGGCTGCGGCGCGTCCTGGGGCAGCGTGAAGTTGGTCAGCAGGTCGCGCACCGCCGGCCACAGCGTGCACTCCGAATGCGGCTGGTTAAACTCGCTGAACCTGGACGGAGGGCGAGCGCGATGAGATCAGATGATCGGTGAACGGAGTTTACTGAGGTGCGACCACGCCACAGTCCTCGATGGTGCACGAATGGACAGGTCCGCGTAAGTACCACGTCCTCACAGAAGTGCAAGTGTTTACTTCTGCGTTTCGTCTGGCGGGTGAGGTAGCCGGGTCCCACTTTACGAATTTGCAATCCTACGGATGTTGTAAATGTCAATGGGCGGCGGTTATAAATTCACATACATCAGGTGGACCAGAAACGAATCTGACACAGCGCAGTGGCTGAGCATATGGCTAATGCGCAATACATCGTTGATCCGAAAAGAATAAATCGTGATGCCGCCTCTTGAGCGGTTGTTCGATGATAATTCTGTCTACGTAGAGGCCCTGAAAGAGGAGGACAGGCGTTGGTGTCTTCTGACTAGCAGTTAGAGCAGGAAAGTAATTAGCTTGTTCCAATTCGCTGATTGAAAGTTAGCAACTTGTAAATTAGAAAACACGGTTAAGCGAGTCCAAAATTAATTACAGCACTATTTGATGTGGAAGCAGGTTTAAAAGATCTGTCATAGGTTTATTAGCATGCAACACATTAAAGAACGATTAGACAAAATAAATAGGTTTGTCTGTAATTAAACTGCGGTGATTTCAGGCTTAATATTGTTATACATTTTTAAGTTAATGTTGAATAAAAAAACTTTACCGCTTGAGGTGCAAGTTGACGGCAATAAGGTGCGGCTGCGCGTCACGCTTGTCCGCGAGCTGTGTGCTGTTGTTCTGCACGTCGTACACCAACGGCAGAACCAGCTGCGTGTCGCCGCGTGTTAGGCAGATCTGCGAACAAATGCATAAATAATACCTACATTAAAGGTTCAGGAAAAGCAATTTCAATCTAAAGTTACAATTATTCAATCACGTCGAGCAAACGAGATGAGTTAGTTAGTGCACTAATAACAACTATTGGAGGCACCGCGTGCCCTCGGGCGATACTCACGAAGAAGAGTATCTTGTGCTTGGCGAGTGGCTAGGTCGAGTGTATTTCTGGCACGATACCACCGTAGCCAACAGAGGGCGTGTCGCAGGCACCGCGTGCCCTCGGGCGATACTCACGAAGAAGAGTATCTTGTGCTTGGCGAGTGGCTAAGTCGAGTGTATTTCTGGCACGATACCACCGTAGCCAACAGAGGGCGTGTCGCAGGCACCGCGTGCCCTCGGGCGATACTCACGAAGAAGAGTATCTTGTGCTTGGCGAGTGGCTAGGTCGAGTGTATTTCTGGCACGATACCACCGTAGCCAACAGAGGGCGTGTCGCAGGCACCGCGTGCCCTCGGGCGATACTCACGAAGAAGAGTATCTTGTGCTTGGCGAGTGGCTAGGTCGAGTGTATTTCTGGCACGATACCACCGTAGCCGGGCGATACTCACGAAGAAGAGTATCTTGTGCAACAGAGAAGAAGAGTATCTTGTGCTTGGCGAGTGGCTAGGTCGAGTGTATTTCTGGCACGATACAGGCACCGCGTGCCCTCGGGCGATACTCACGAAGAAGAGTATCTTGTGCTTGGCGAGTGGCTAGGTCGAGTGTATTTCTGGCACGATACCACCGTAGCCAACAGAGGGCGTGTCGCAGGCACCGCGTGCCCTCGGGCGATACTCACGAAGAAGAGTATCTTGTGCTTGGCGAGTGGCTAGGTCGAGTGTATTTCTGGCACGATACCACCGTAGCCAACAGAGGGCGTGTCGCAGGCACCGCGTGCCCTCGGGCGATACTCACGAAGAAGAGTATCTTGTGCTTGGCGAGTGGCTAGGTCGAGTGTATTTCTGGCACGATACCACCGTAGCCAACAGAGGGCGTGTCGCAGGCACCGCGTGCCCTCGGGCGATACTCACGAAGAAGAGTATCTTGTGCTTGGCGAGTGGCTAGGTCGAGTGTATTTCTGGCACGATACCACCGTAGCCAACAGAGGGCGTGTCGCAGGCACCGCGTGCCCTCGGGCGATACTCACGAAGAAGAGTATCTTGTGCTTGGCGAGAGTGGCTAGGTCGAGTGTATTTCTGGCACGATACCACCGTAGCCAACAGAGGGCGTGTCGCAGGCACCGCGTGCCCTCGGGCGATACTCACGAAGAAGAGTATCTTGTGCTTGGCGAGTGGCTACGGTCGAGTGTATTTCTGGCACGATACCACCGTAGCCAACAGAGGGCGTGTCGCAGGCACCGCGTGCCCTCGGGCGATACTCACGAAGAAGAGTATCTTGTGCTTGGCGAGCAGCACGGCCGGGTGCCCCGCCGGCACGATCTGCGGCGCGGCGGGCGGGATGCGCAGCGCCCACTGCAGCTGCCAGAGGGCGGGCGCGGCGGGCGCCAGTTCGGCGCGCATGAGCGCCACCAGCGAGGGCAGCGCCGCCGCGGGGGCGCCCCACGCGCGCGCCCACCCGTGCAGCGCGGTGGCGCGGTACGGCGGGATCGCGACGCGCTGCTCGAAGAACCTCTCCATCACCTGCATTAATAAATCAATTTACATTAGCATTAATACGCCCGGCGGTGGAATTAGCGAAGTGTGCGCGAGCGGGTCCCCAAATTTCGTGTCGGGTCGTACCGGTAAATAACTTATTTTTGTGTATGAAGGTGGCAAATAATCTGGCAGTTCATCCGATGTTAAGTGATAACCGCCGCACATCGACATTTGCGACAACCGCGTTGCCACCTTTTAATAAATTCGATCCCGGCAACCTGTCTCACTAGACGATACGCACAAGAACACTAAAAACACTTCCACTTTAGTTCCTCTAAACCGGTTGGCTCAATTGTCATTGGCAATACAAAATAGATTTCGAAGTTGAGAAAAGATAACCTCTGTACAGGTGGGGTATCGATTCATAGTTCACCATGCATACATGTGAACATATACTGTTGGTGAATGCTATTATAGGACCAAGTTTGGAAGCTAATAATTGTGTGGAAATAAAAAGATGTGCGAACGAAATCGATCGCGAACATCGGAATTCCTTTAATTGTAAGTGTTTTCAAAAAATTTTGCTAGTACCTGCAGATCGTCGGCCGACCACATGTCCTTGTGGTCGGGCAGCGCCGTGAGCTGTAGATGCAGCGACTGCATGTGTTGCGGATGTAGGGCTACTCGTGCCGCCAACCCGGCACCTTCGCAGCGGAACGTCAAGCTTGTTGCCTCCACGGACACCGTCGTCAACTGTTCAATCGAACGTGAAGAAATTTAGTTTTATATTTCTTTTTCTAGTGCATATGCACTGTCTCAAAAATTAAAGTTGAGAATTACTGATTTGTGCTGTAAAACGTGAGCGTCTTCGAGACAAGTGAAAAGAGTGGCCTACTGTACCAGTGACGCTTACCATCAACGACCAAGCAATGGCTAGTTTCTTATATAAAGAAAAAAACTATGCTACAAAAGATGTGAGACAGTTTGTTTGCTACGTTCCCTATGGCCACTTACAAAGTCCTCCTGCTGCACGAAGCGCTGCAGCGTGCGTTTCATGTAGACGCAGGCGAGGAAGCGCTGGAGAGGCGCGAGTGGGGGGCCCGGGGGGGCGCCGGGCGGGGGCTCGCTCGGCGTACACAGCACCTCCAGCTTGCCCACGCAGAGGGGGGCCGCGGCGCCCCCCGCACTTCTGCCCCCGCCCCCGCGGCCGCTTGCAGCCGTCGACGAGCTCGCTTGAGGGCCTGAGTAAACAGACCAAAATATTTATTATCATAGACAATTATAAGTAATATTAAAATTTACAGTTATTAATTGATAATTTCAAAATTATTTTGAAATTATGAATCTTTATTCATCACTTCAAATATAAAATCTAAAAGTATTAAAAACACGAATAAAAACTAAAAGCTTGTAAGACATTAAAAATAATTTCACAGCTGCTACCCTGTTTTGGGTTAGCGAGCATATTTATAGCGAGTAGACGTAATGCGCGTAAATATTTTGTTACGCAGTTCTGACATGGAGACAAGAACCAGCGTCCTCTGATTGAGCGATGAAAATATCGGCTTATACGTTTGGGTGGAAATTCTCATTATATATCTATAACTATAGTACAACAAGTAAGTATTATGAATAGTGAAATATTTAATCAAAACCTAAGATCTGTAAAGACGGGAAGGTGTGTTAAATGTTCAGATATTGAATATAAATAAAGGAAATTGTAAATTAGTAACAGCAATAGCGCTATTGGTTTTCAAAGTGGATTACTTTTGTGGATATACGTACTTCTAACATCGCTAGTTTTTCTGTATTGCTAGTGCTACCTTTGTGGTCGATGTGGTGTCGCGGGGAGGGGTGGTGGCCGGGCGAGGGGCGCGGCAGCGAGGGCGAGGCGGGCCACGCGGTGAAGGGCGAGGTGGGGGGCGGGTGCGGCGAGGCGACGGGCGCGAGCGGCGACGGCGCCAGCGGCGAGGCGGGCGACGCGGACACGCCCGCACCCGCCGCGCCCGCAGCGCCACCGCCCGGCGGCGACGTCAGGTTGAACGAGCCGCCGCCCATCTGGAACAGGGTTTATTTTTTCAATAGACTCTTCAAAACACCATCCACTTTTATTGCTTTAACATATTTATTTTTAGGACAGATTAAATAAAGATTTGTACACTTCTAAGCAAACGCGGTGTTTAAATGGGGGGGGGGGGGGGGGGGGGAGTGCAAGAGACCGAAGTATACGTAATGTAGCTTTCAAAAATCAGCCCTTGTTTTCAGCAGTCGTTTTAGGTTGTTTCCTGCCATAAAGTCGAAATCAAAATTTTCTTAATTAGGTCTATTAACTTCTGCGTCTGTAATTATGTTGCTTGTGTGGGTTCTCGTATATAGCGAAGAATTAATGACGTTAAATGGAAAACAGGTATAATGTAAATTCAAAACTCACAAATGTCATTTTTCTCTTAGAACAAGGTCGTAATCTTACCTGATGTTGGGCGGGTGAGGCCGGATGCGGTGTGACAGGCGCTGAATGAGGCGTGTGCGGTTGCGGGGGCGTCAAAGGCGCCGGGAAGCGTAGGCCTCCTATGGTTATTTTCCAGTTTATAATTGTTTTATTATTCGAGTCGTAAATTATTCACATTTATAATTCTTACTCTCGGACTCAGAACTACACGCTTAGTTTCACCCAGAGAAAAACCAGAAGGAAGGTAAATGGTTAAAAATGATTCGTTTTGTTGTATTCCAAGAAAATTTAACTAAAAATTCAGCTTATTTGAATTTCATGTCCTTATGATAAAAAAATTATGATCACCATGCCGGTACTGGGTCAAATTTTGTTAACTACTGAAGCGTTTTATTTTTTAAATTTTGCAATAATTATTAACATATCGTCTTATTTATCATGCTGAGACTAATTTTAGTATAATTTAAATATATTTCGAGAATTTGCACTTTCGACTTTTTACACCTATCATTTTCTTTTATTCATCTTTTATTATTCCACGTAAAAGGGCTTTTGTGATCTTCCGCCCATATACAAGAATCAGTATTAATATGATGTCTTTATACTAAAATATATCATTAAGTTAATAGTAACACCTAAGTAATGAGGGCGTTATCTTAGTAAGCCAGACACATAGTGATATTCGTTAAGTATGAAATTTGTTAAATATTGTTACGTGTTAGGGGTTCGAAGGATTTGGAGAGAAAGACCTGCTGACTCTTTTGAAGACTTTATTTACTAGCGCTAGGTCCAACACAAAGCACTAGGTCCAAACACTAAGCACTAACGATGTCCTATTTTGTAGCCAAGTCGTAGGTTTCACTGGTATCGCTCTTGATCACTAGTTTTCACTCCGAAGTCGCCTCGAAGGTAGCTCAAACTGAACTGTATTCGCTCGCTTCCCTGCGGCTTTTTATATGGGCCGAGACCGGTTCCAGACTAATCCAGAAAGATCCTTCCTGGAAGGTACCCGACACGCGCGAACATGTTCGTGATTCCGGAAGTTCGCGAATGTACCCGGTTTTCGAGACTATAGTTCCACAGCAGTTCCTCTAACGCCATCTAGTATTGAATAGGGGGTTTTATGTCGTCTTTGTTCTTTAGTGGTTTTAATAGTTGACGCTAGATGGCGTTAGTTCCTTTGTGTGTTCATAACACTACTCCCCTCTTAGAGATGGTCGTCCCGAACATCATTGTTACTGCCATAGTAACGCGCCAGGCGGTCTATGTGTACCACTTTGAATGTCCCTCTTGGTTGCTTTTGAATCCTATAAGTCACATCATTCAGTCGGGTAACCACTTTGTATGGACCGTCCCACTTGGTCTGCAACTTTGGGGATTTCCCTTTCCGACGAGTTGGGTTATGCAGCCACACCAGTGACCCTTCCTCGAAGCCGTTCGTGTTCGATTTCCGGTCGTATCTGGTTTTCATGTTCTCACTTGACTGTAACCCATTTTCCCGAACCAAGGCGTGTATATAGGCGTGTATATAGGTGTCCAAGGCGTGCATTTTTTTTCTTAAATTGCAGACATAGTCTTGTACGGTCTCTGGTCCCTCCGGTGACCCTCCTGTCAATAGGTCTACTGGTAATCGTAGTTCTCTATCGTAATTGACATACGCCGGGGTAGCTTTTATGCTCTCATGCTCGGCGGTTCGGTACGACAGAAGGAAGAGTGGTATATACTTGTCCCAATCCTTTTGTTTGTCGTCTACCAATTTCGCCAGATGCCTCTCAAGGGTTTGGTTAAATCTCTCAACCATTCCATCAGACTGTGGGTGGCACGCGGTGGTCCTCGTCTTATGCATGCCCAAAATTCTACACACTTCCTGGAATACTTGCGATTCGAAGTCCCAGCCCTGATCGGAATGGACTTCTAGAGGCACACCAAAGCGACATATCACTTCTTCGACTAACTTAGAAGCGACTGTTGTAGCTTCTTGGTTTGGTATGGCGAACACTTCGGGCCATTTGGTGAAGTAGTCCATGACGACCATAAAATACTTGTTTCCCGATTCCGTTACAGAAAATGGCCCAGCTACGTCAACTGCAATTCGTTCCCACGGTGCACCGACGTTATACAACCGCAGGTTCCCGCGGCTTCTGGTCTGTGGTCCTTTTACAGCAGCGCAAGTAGTACATTTGCGGCACCAATCCTGTACATCATCTCGACAATGCATCCAGTAGAACCGTTCTCGCACTTTTGTTAACGTCCTCTTGACACCTAGATGACCTCCTGATACGCCATCATGTATTTCACGGAGAACATCTGGTACTCTCGTTCTCGGGACGATTATCTGAAGATGGAGCTCTCTGCCGTTAGTCTTCTCCCATTTCCGGTAGAGTATTCCGTTTTGAAGTATCAGACTGTCCCATTGCGCCCAGTACGCCTTAGTGACGGCGCCAGTGGGAGCAACCTCACTCCAGATTGGTTTTACGTCACCCCGTTTCTTCCATGCGATGATGTGCCGAAGGTCGTCATCTCTTTCTTGAGCCTCCCTCATAGCATCATTCTGCCAGAGACCCAAAGGACTTGTTCTCGTTAGCTTTAATGTTACTTCATTAGATTCCTGCTTGACGCAATGTTTGCAGTCTTCCGAACACGGCCTTCGTGAGAGTGCGTCGGCATTCCCATGCGTCTTTCCACTGCGGTGTTCCGTCTTGAAGTCATACTCCTGGAGCTGTTCAATCCATCGAGCTACTTGACCTTCTGGGTTCTTGAATTGCAGTAGCCACTTCAAGGCTGCGTCATCAGTTCGCAGTAAAAACTGTCTGCCGATGAAATATTTGTTGAAATGTTGTAGTGTCTTTACAACAGCCAAGAGTTCTCTTCTTGTCACACAGACGTTTCTTCAGTTTCTGAAAAGAATCTTCACAAGTCCCATCCCAACTGAATTGTCGTTTATCTTCTGTCAGCCGATACATTGGCTTGGCTATCTCTGAGAACCCCTTAACAAAACGCATGTAGTATGAGCATAGGCCCACTCATGCCACGCCCACTGGCCACGCCCACCTTGCCACGCCCACCGGCGGCACCGCGGCTTCCGCAGCCCCTGAAGTGGCTCTTCAATTAGGAAGTTTAATTAAATTAATGGAGCTGCAAAGGGCTGAAATTCAGACAATGAAGGAGTCACAAGAACGCAAGCTCAGCGCTTTGCAAGCGTCACAAGAGCAAGAAAAAGACCTCCAAGAAAAAGCGCTTTGGGCTATAAATGATGTTAGTAACACGGTGATTAAGCTTCGAAGTGATGTCGACGTAGTCGAAGAACGAGTTACCGGGTTAGGATTGGATATTGAAAATGTGAAAACCGGCCTCACTGAACTACAGAAGAAAGTAGTGCGCCTTGAAACCACGGGAGTCGCGATGTCTAGTGGAACCACTGGAGTGGCGCAAGGACCAAGAGTGAAAGTGCCGCCATACGACGGCACTTCTTCTTGGCACGTTTATCGTCGGCAATTCCAGACTGTTGCTACTGCCAACGGTTGGACGGAAGAGCAATGATTGACCGCTCTCACCGTTGCGCTTAGAGGGCAAGCTTTGTCGGTCCTGGAAGCACTGCCACATACAGGAAATGGGTTCCAAGACCTGATGGAGACACTTGAATCCAGATATGGGGAGCGACACCTGGAGCACGTGTTCCGTGCCCAACTGCGTGACCGAGTCCAACGCTCAGGAGAAGGACTACAACAATGGGCGTTGGAAATTGAAAAACTCGTCAGGAAGGCACACCCAGGAGCCGACACCAAGATGGTAGACACGAACATTGTTCAAGCATTTGTGGACGGAATCAAAGACCTGGAGGTGAGAGCTGCAGTGAGGCTTCGTCACCATACCTCGCTAAAGGAGGCATTGGCGCACGCTTTGGAGGTCGAGGCTATTCGCTATGACGTGCGGCAGCCCCATAAGATCCGCGAGGTCTCTGAGGAAGTCAAGGAAGGCTCCTATGAAGAGAAGTTCTGGAGCCATGTGCTACAAGTGTGGCGAGAGGGGCCATCTTCAGCTCAACTGCCCGCTGAAGGAGACCAGATGGCAAGGATGAAAAGGATTGAGGAACAAATAGAGGAGCTGAAGAAGCAAGGGGCTTCAGGGAGACGAATAAAAGCCGGTACTAAGTGGCGAGTTCTGGCTGACGCGGAGGAAGCCCCAGCAAACAGCAACAACTACGGATCAGTGACTGAGCTACTCGATGACTTCAAGAAGGAACACCGCAGCCGAAAGACGCATGGGAATGCCGACGCACTCTCACAAAGGCCGTGTTCGAAAGACTGCAAACATTGTGTTAAGCAGGAATCTAATGAAGTAACATTAAAGCTGACAAGAACAAGTCCTTTGGGTCTCTGGGAGAATGATGCTATGAGGGAGGCTCAAGAAAGAGATGACGACCTTCGGCACATCATCATATGGAAGAAACGGGGTGACGTAAAACTAATCTGGAGTGAGGTTGCTCCCACTGGCGCCGTCACTAAGGCGTACTGGGCGCAATGGGACAGTCTGATACTTCAAAACGGCATACTCTACCGGGGAAATGGGAGAAGACTAACGGCAGAGAGTTCCATCTTCAGATAATTGTCCCGAGAACGAGAGTATCAGATTTTCTCCGTGAAATACATGATGGCGTATCAGGAGGTCATCTAGGTGTCAAGAGGATGTTAACAAAAGTGCGAGAACGATTCTACTGGTTGCACTGTCGAGATGATGTACAGGATTGGTGCCGCAAATGTACTACTTGCGCTGCTGTAAAAGGACCACAGACCAGAAGCCATGGGAACCTGCGGTTGTATAACGTCGGTGCACCGTGGGAACGAATTGCAGTTGACGAAGATGGGCCATTTCCTGTAACGGAGTCGGGAAACAAGTATTTTATGGTCGTCATGGACTACTTCACCAAATGGCCCGAAGTGTTCGCCATACCAAACCAAGAAGCTACAACAGTCGCTTCTAAGTTAGTCGAAGAAGTGATATGTCGCTTTGGTGTGCCTCTAGAAATCCATTCCGATCAGGGCAGGAACTTCGAATCGCAAGTATTCCAGGAAGTGTGTAGAATTTTGGGCATGCATAAGACGAGGACCACCGCGTGCCACCCACAGTCTGATGGAATGGTTGAGAGATGTAACCAGACCCTTGAGAGGCATCTGGCGAAATTGGTAGACGACAAACAAAAGGATTGGGACAAGTATATACCACTCTTCCTTCAGTCGTACCGAACCGCCGAGCATGAGAGCATAAAAGCTACCCCGGCGTATGTCAATTACGAGAGAGAACTACGATTACCAGTAGACCTATTGACAGGAGGGTCACCGGAGGGACCAGAGACCGTACAAGACTATGTCTGCAATTTAAGGGAAAAAAATGCGCTATATACACGCCTTGGTTCGGGAAAATGGGTTACAGTCAAGTGAGAACATGAAAACCAGATACGACCGGAAATCGAACACGAACGGCTTCGAGGAAGGGTCACTGGTGTGGCTGCATAACCCAACTCGTCGGAAAGGGAAATCCCCAAAGTTGCAGACCAAGTGGGACGGTCCATACAAAGTGGTTACCCGACTGAATGATGTGACTTATAGGATTCAAAAGCAACCAAGAGGAACATTCAAAGTGGTACACATAGACCGCCTGGCGCGTTACTATGGCAGTAACAATGATGTTCGGGACGACCATCTCTAAGAGGGGAGTAGTGTTATGAACACACAAAGGAACTAACGCCATCTAGCGTCAACTATTAAAACCACTAAAGAACAAAGACGACATAAAACCCCCTATTCAATACTAGATGGCGTTAGAGGAACTGCTGTGGAACTATAATCTCGAAAACCGGGTACATTCGCGAACTTTCCGGAATAACGAATATGTTCGCGCGTGTCGGGTACCTTCCAGGAAGGATCTTTCTGGATTAGTCTGGAACCGGTCTCGGCCCATATAAAAAGCCGCAGGGAGGCGAGCGAATACAGTTCAGTTTGATCTACCTTCGAGGCGACTTCGGAGTGAAAACTAGTGATCAAGAGCGATACCAGTGAAACCTACGACTTGGCTACAAAATAGGACATCGTTAGTGCTTAGTGTTTGGACCTAGTGCTTTGTGTTGGACCTAGCGCTAGTAAATAAAGTCTTCAAAAGAGTCAGCAGGTCTTTCTCTCCAAGTCCTTCGAACCCCTAACACATAACAACTGGTGTCATAAGTGGGATTTGGAGATGCCATTGACTCCGAGGGAGGACTTCAAGGAGGGTGTCAGGACAAGGGCACGAGCTGCGGAGGCCACACCCACTGGCGACCAAGCCCCACCCACTGTGAGTCAAGCCCCGCCCACCGGCCCCACCGTCCAGGCCACGCCCACTGACCACGCCCCTCAGACTCCGCCAAACCCTTCGAACCCCTAACACGTAACAACTGGTGTCAGAAGTGGGATATGAAGGATTTGGAGAGAAAGACCTGCTGACTCTTTTGAAGATTTTATTTACTAGCGCTAGGTCCAACACAAGGCACTAAGTCCAAACACTAAGCACTAGCGATGTCCTATTTTGTAGCCAAGTCGTAGGTTTCACTGGTATCGCTCTTGATCACTAGTTTTCACTCCGAAATCGCCTCGAAGGTAGCTCAAACTGAACTGTATTCGCTCGCCTCCCTGCGGCTTTTTATATGGGCCGAGACCGGTTCCAGACTAATCCAGAAAGATCCTTCCTGGAAGGTACCCGACACGCGCGAACATGTTCGTGATTCCGGAAAGTTCGCGAATGTACCCGGTTTTCGAGACTATAGTTCCACAGCAGTTCCTCTAACGCCATCTAGTATTGAATAGGGGGTTTTATGTCGTCTTTGTTCTTTATTGGTTTTAATAGTTGACGCTAGATGGCGTTAGTTCCTTTGTGTGTTCATAACAATATTTTTCAAGTTACGATAAATATAATGTTTATAAAAAAGGCGCATATGATATAACAAAAACCGAACTACGTAAAAAGGCAGATAGTATTTTACACCTCTATACGAGGTTTTCAGTAAATTAATAGGTTTAAATTATTAAGATAAATTTCGTGACAATGAAATGAAAATTTTTACTCACTAATATAATGTTAATATATTTATTAAAAAGTAAATATATAACTATGTCTTACCTGGACTTTCAGTGTTATTATTTTGGTTACGAGGCTCGTCTTCGATGCTTAAATCAGTGCTGTTGTGTTTATTTATGATTTTATTTATAATTTTTTGGGCTCTTGTAAATTGTATCACACCTTTTTTGGTATCATTTTCGTTTAAACCAGCTAAGTTATAAATTAATTTTCGCTAAAAATGCACGAGTATAACTATTATAAAAGACAATCGCCAAAAACTGAGTAAAACGACTGAAGGGGTACCTCCGCCACTTCGCCACATCTCCGACGCGATTACTCTACACCGTACATGGACGCGACTAATTTGTGCACATACGCCTATTTGCCTAAAATTTAATTTTGGATTCTAATTACACTCAATCAAATCCATGGTTAATTACATTCAATTGTATATATTTGTTGTGCACAGAATATTATTTTATTAATGAATCAAGTTGACTACCTGGTGGCATGGGAGACATTGGCGACGGCGGGTTTTCTTCTTCCGCCAACAATCTTGCACTAATATTGTCTTCCACATATCTTGATAAAAAGGCCTGTGAATTTGGACCAGCATTAGTCATTACTTATTTAACTTCATTTATGATATCAGTATCATTATTGGATTACCTTCAGACCAAGAGCTGGTGCAAATTCATCGACAACGGTACTTCGATCGAATTTGGAGTAAGACCCGTCTCGAATGGTCACCATATTCCCTCCCCGAATACCAACTTCTAGTGAGTACGCACCCGCGTAAATAATGCGAATCTGTGGAATATTAAATACAATAAAATCAAATATCAATTTTTATGTACTTGTAGTTTCGACACCAAGTGGATCAAAAAGCGATTTTTCAATTAATGTATGATGATAACGGTATTCAATTTTAATTCCTACTGAAAATTTAAGACCAAAAATTTAAATATTTTAATTACTCAAAAAAAGTGTCATGTGTTACCTTTCTCCAGGAGTGAGCAAGTAAAGTGAACGTGGGAGTGGGCATTTGAGTGCGGACGTGGTGCAGTCCCAGTTGGGGCAAAGTTGGCAGGCGACTGAGTGCCAACAGAGGCGCGTAGGTCTCTCGCAGCACCACACCGAGCGACATGAGATCTTTGTGCCTTTAAAATAAAAAAAAATAACAATTTTTGCTATCATTAATATAACTCGTAAATTAATTATTATGGTATGTTGATAAAAAATGATCTTGGCCCATACTTTAAGGTACCATAACGTTAATGTAGTCATCCGAGCGTTTATATGCCCGATCTTCATAACAATATGGCCAAACCATTTATTGTTGTTATTATATTAAATATTCTGTAAGCTATGTTATAATCATGCAATAATTAAAAGTTGACGCGCACTGAACAGAAAACACTTAATGAAATCTGCATAAGCCTTTATTGTCAACTAGAATACCAACTCCAATCTACAGCGACTTTAGCTACAATCGGAAGAGGAACTATGGTAGAGCAACGCAAGTCTGCTGTTGCACTAATGAGCAGCTCCTCCTGGTAAGTACAACGATCGCACAGAAGACAGGCGTGAAGTGTAAGTGTCATACTGCATTTCGTCTGGTGAGTGAGATAAGGGGGACCCACTACGTTAAACGTAACAATGCATTTGAAACCCTACGGGTATTGCAAATTTCCATAGACGACGGATATCACTTAACATAACAGGTGAACCGCCAGCTCGCTTGCCACCTTACATAACACATAAAAAAAAGAGGTTGTCGTGATCATAGTATGACGTCACTGAGTAGCAGCCGAGGCGGTCGGCACGGACGAAACGGCCGAGGAGGCTGTCGTGGGTCAACGCACCAGTTGATGTAGTGGTCGAGGTGGTGGTGCAACAAGTGGTGCGCGTTGGCGGCCGGCTGGTGCGCGGGCGTGGCGACGGTGTAGCGCTGCGCACTCGCCGACCACTGCAACACCGCCGTGGCCCGCTGCGCCGCTCCGAAGCCCAGCACCAGCGAGCGGTACGTGTACGAGCGGATGCACACGCCCTGCCAGAGTGTCTCTCGCTCTGAATTGAAAGAAACAAACATAAAAAGACTATTACTGATATATATGTATTATATTTGTATACGTCGACGTAACAAAAATTAATTGCTGTCACCCACATAATGGACTTACTGCTAGGGCCCATAAAATTATAGCTTCAAAAATTATAGATCATGGGAAAACAAGTTTCAAAATGTTTATAATCTTTTTTTTTCGAACGAATCGAACGAATCTTGTAAGACGTTATGCCTTATTTGACGGTTTATTATTACCATTTTTGTGGGATACTCTGAAAAAGTAAGAAAGTATATAGGGTTCTTGTTATAGTTGTATTTTAATTGAAATAATCACATTACCTTGGCTAGGCCTCAGCATGAAGTCGTATAACAGGGTATGCAGATGCACAATCGCCGCCCAATCTGCGAGGAATGCATCCGCAGTGCGTCCTGCGTCGGTCCCAAGTTCGTACTGTAGGTAGACACAGCGCCTCTCGCCTGCATTTTATATAGCATAACATATAAATCGCGTATTTGAACATATTTTGCTTCTATAAATGATAAAATCCATATAGCACGCAAATAATTTTTTGTTATATTTTATGTAAAATTAATTTTAATATTTACATTATATGATAAACAGTTCTGAGCAGTTAAGGTTTTAGTAATTTCTCTCAACCAGATACAACTTAATTTTATTTACTTGCCACTAAAAAAGTTTTATCTAATATTGAATTGTTTGTCTGGCATATTGCAATAAACAGTAAATTACTTCAGCGAAACACTGAGAGTATTAACTGTATCCATCTATTTTTTAGAGATAAGGGACGCGTGAACTTATGTACTATGTGAATGTCCGTCGGACCTTGTTCCTTCGGGTTGGGCGTCCTGACCGGGGAGCCGTGGAAGACGATCTCCGCAGTCCAGACGCGCGCCTGGTTCTTGGTGGTGAGGCGGACGGTGGCGGCCAGGAGACGTGCGCGCAGGGCAGCGGCCGCGGCCACACTGGCTCCCTCGGGCCGTGGCAGCGCCACCACTCGCATCGCCAGCGCCGACCCGCTCCACTCGGGCTGCACGCCGCCGTGCGTCACGCCGCGCGCCGCAAGCTGTCGTAAAAATGTGACGTTATAGCTTTTCGAAATTCAAGTGCGTGTGACGTCACGACTGCTCCATATTTCGGAGAGCAATACTGGCCATGCCAATTACACGTTCAACCCATTTTTTTTAAATCCGCAAGACGGTCAACATCATAGGCGTGCGACCGCTCATTTATTTAAAACCTATGACAAATGGAAATCCCGCTCGATTTTGTAACTCGTGGCTAACTGGATGAATTAAGTTGCGGGCGCTCAATTTCATTATAAATACGGATTTATTATGTTGGATATAAATCGAATAAATAATAATATTTAACATATACCTACCTAACAACCACAGTGACATTCAACTTATATTCATTACCGCATAATTTATGGAAATGATTAAAATTCAACCACGTAATATACAGTTGCAATCACCGGAAAGTAAATATAGTTCAATACCCATAATGACAGCGGTAGGTAAAATTTTAAATTGCTTCAATACGAATGGGCACACAGTCGGAAAATTAAGAAAAACATGTATAATCCAAAGCAAAGTAAACAACCTCTTGCGCCAGGCTGACAAAGGGTACGCGTTCGTCGGCGGCGGCGACCACGTGCGCCAGCTCGGGCAGGAAGTAGGCGGGCTGGCGGACACGCACCGCGCGGCTGTTGCTCGCCGACAGCTTCCTCTTGCCCGGCTGCATGCCTGCGCGTGTCACACAATTACGGTTATAAGCGAGCCATTGCACACGCCCAATAGAAGCAGAGGCACACACGCACACGCGTCCACGTACACGCACGCACGCACATTGAATTAGTACCTTGTTATTCATTGGTTTATTAACGAAAACATTTATTTTTAAACTTTTACTAAATACTATGTTCGTTACCGAAGAGTATAGTAGCGCAAATGAGGGATTTTTTTTTATCTATAATGGCCTATATATTAAATACATAAAACATGTTTCTATAGAGGAAAGTGGAAGGAAAGGACATATTGTGCCAACCCCTAATGTGGGATAAGGACAGGAGAAAGAAGAACAAAACACGTTACCATAGTTAAAAATAATATTATATTTTAGATTTGCACTCTTGAAATGAAATGTGGCGGTAAATTTATATTTATTTTTTACGATGTGGATTGAAAAGTTAGTGCAGAGATTAGCAATGAAAATAAATTAAAAAACTTTCTTATGTAATCGATTCGAAAAGTTCTAAAAGTTAATGTAGGCACACGGATAATTTGTTACGAAAAGGCCTTACCAGGAGTGTCAAGTGGCGTGAATGGTCCGTGTGTCAGGGTGAATGTATCAAGTTCAACGAGCGAATGCAATTTGAGAAAGGCACGGGATGCCACCGGTGTATTGGAACTGGAAGTTGCTCCGCTCTGTAACATAAGAAATTTAATCTTTAAGACTAGGGATTGAAGATAAAACTTTTGTTATATTTTCTATTGACAGTGGCTTCATTAACATAACAAAAGATCACAATTCAAAGAGCCTCTTGTAAACTGATAATATATAATTCTAAAATTAATACTATAAATATTTACTAATGTCTAAATTATGGACGGTTTCCTACATAATAGTGAATGGCCGCTGCGGTATACAAAGTGTATAAATTTTTTAATTTAAATGCACCAAACTCCCCGTATTAAGAATTTCATTATAATGCATGTTGCATATGATATATGTTTACACTATGGTTAATATTTACACCCCTCCGAGCGGGTTTTGCTTTGTCAGGGCAGGTGGGCTCAATGAGCCCACACTGGATGTTGGTTCGGTGCCGGGGATAGGTCGAGAGTAGTAGAGGAGGGGCCACTCGTTATCTTCTGCAACCGAGGAGGAGTCGCGGAGGAAAAGTCGCTATTGCGTTAGGGCTCTCTCCCTATCCTCCTCCGCGACTCAGCGGGGCTGCACCGTTGATGCAGTAGAGGTGCAGAGCCACAGGGGGGAGAGGAATGTCGGTATTGCGATACGCCGTTCTCTCTACCCTCTAGGGCCATAACATGGTAAGCGGTGGAGCCACGGACCAGGTCCGCCACTAGGGGCTGAGCGGCTTGCTGCTTGGTAGACTTCCTCTTCTGGCCTCCATGGCTTCTGGTAAGCGAACTCGGTGGAGGTCGTTGACCGTGCAAAAGGGGTCGAGTAGGAAGGTGCGAGTCCGCCGTAACCCGTCCTTGCCTCGCGAGAGCAGGATTCCGTAGGCATTTCCTCCGCGTTAACAAAAAAAATTATTAATATTAACAGATCGATTCTAAATTATGTGCCGTAAATGCACCATCGCATAATTATTAACTATGCGCTCAATTGTTTAGACCTTTATATCTTGCGGTTGCTAAAGAAGGTACCTCGTCCTCGCACTCGTCCGGCGTGCAGCGTTTCGCCCCCGCCAAGTGGAAGGCCAGCGCGACCGAACACGCGCTGCCACTGTTTGCGCAGTTGCTCGTAGTAGCCGTGCTTCCAGCGGCGACCTCTTTCATTTCGACTATCTGCGCAACAAAGAAAAAATTCAAATATCCATACGTCTGTATATATTATTTATAAATATTTTTTTTAATCGTAAGAAGACGGTAAGCGACCTGGCGGTTCACCTGTAGGGTAGCAGATGCGCTGTTGGACCCTACTACAGTCACTGATTCAAACACCATTTTAAAGCTTATGTTTGCCGCTATTGTACAATATTACATAACCATTTGGTGTGCGAAAATTTCGCTCGGTTCAACTATTTCATATTATATTAATAGATACGAATATAACAATAAAACGAATTGAAACGGATAACGAAGCAGTTGAAGAATTTTAAAGTTTTATTTTTTGACTCTGCTATAATGAACATAAGCCAATAGAATATTAGATACATATTTGAAAGTAGTCAAACTACAGCATGGTGTCAAAGTCAAAATTACACATACAAAATATTTACCACTCTATTGTCGACATTAAATCCTCACTATGATTATAAGAATTTTAATCTTAAATTGCATCTCAGACATCTATCTTATAAGTGATTTCTTATAACATAAACTTATACATGTAAGACTGATGTAAATTTCTTACTAATAAATGGTCGGTGTGTCGATGCAAGGTGACGTATAGACGGTCGGGCGAAAGCTTGGTCAACGGATGATCAGGACCGTGGAGAAATGGCAGATGTTCGCATACGCTTGCAGGTAGGTGCTGCAGCGTTTTCTCGCACCGACGCGCGACCAGCCAAAATCTAAAAATAAAAAAATACGTACGTTTTTTCATGTTTAAAAACCCCTGCCTCACAGATATTATTCTTAACGTCTTAGGAAGTCGCATTTATAATTAAAAAACAAGAGATACTAGGGACTGAGGGACAGGCCTGTCGAGGCATAGGCTAAGCAAGCCCAACCTGAGCTGCGTGAGCAGCGCCTTGACGAGCGGCACGTTGGCGGCGGCGAGCGCGGCCGCCAGGTCGGGCATGCGCGGCGTGGCCGGGTAGGCGGGCACGCGCGCGCGCAGCCGGCCGCCGTGCGCGCCCACCGACACCAGCAGCTGCTCGGCGCGCAGGCACGGCCACACCACAGAGCACGCGAGCACGCACGGCCAGCCGCCCACGCTGCACTCCACCTGCGACAATTTTATCATTTATACTCCGTGGCGCGTTTGGGGAATAATGACGGGAGTGGCGTAGTGGGTAGTGTACGTGCCTTCTGAGCTACGCTAGAGGGTATGTGTGATGAACATAGTATTTTTCTAGTGTCCGGGTGTTTATATATGTATTTATTTACAAAAGAAAAGTACGTTTAAGTATGTTTATAGTTATCTAGTACCCATAGTACATGCGTTACTTAGTTTGGGACTAGAGAATGTTGTGTAAAAATGTGTGTCCTAAAATATTTATTTATTTAATAATTTATTGTATTTACGCGATTACACATTACTACATGAAGCTATGTTTACGGATTTATCGCGTTAATTTTTTTTTCAATCCCGACGTTTCGAACCCTTTACAGTGTTAATGGTCACGGGACAAACCAGAGACATTCTTTCATTTTTGACATTTATCCATAATTTCAAATTGTTTAATTTAGGCGTTATCTATATTGCATTTAAAGTATACATTTTATTCACCAACAAAGACTACTGGCACACGAAAAAAAAATTGAGAGGTGTCAAGGGACACCCGGAAGGAACGAAGTTCCTTTCGATTAATTAGTGAAGGAATTGTAATAAATTTTTTTTTTTAATTTATAATAATACTTTTTTTTTATTATTAACAAATATAATGTAATATAAACTTAATCAGTAGGCTCAATTTTAGTAATAATTGGCTTACTAAGCACTTACGCACACACACGTTTTTATTTTTTTATGCGCACGTCGCATTGGAGTGACATGCCGTTGACGTCGACGTTGAATCAAACTGCTCGGCGTACACGTCGGCAATATCACTTACGCCGAGGTCGTTGAGCAGCACTTTAAGGTCGCTGAGGCGCTGACGCGAGCGCACGTGTACGGTGTGCGCGAGCAGCCGCTCCATAGAGGGCGCGTGCGGCGTCAGCGCGGCCGCCACTCGCTCGCCGCCCGCCAGCGCCGGCACGTGCCACACGCAAAGGGACTCCCCCTCAGCGCCCACGATCACCCGGTATCCCAACTCGCAGCCCAGCTCCCTGATGACCGTGATGAGGTTTCGTATCACTTGCTTAAGGATCCCCTCACCTTATACTAAGAGCACTGGCGAGTGACGTGGGAATGAAAATTGTAAAGAAGAAGGTTTGAGAAGGGGAAACCAAAGAATAGAAGGTGAAAGTTGGAAGAAAATGCTTTTCATTTCGAATGATTATTTCGATCTCGAGACAGAGATGAAAAGAAATGAAAATGCGATATCATGATTAAGTCACTTTACAGTGCTATTTGTTAATATTTTTTAAATCATTACAGCTATGATGTTGACAATTCAACGACATTCTAATTGCCTCGATATTGTTACGTGTTAGGGGTTCGAAGGATTTGGAGAGAAAGACCTGCTGACTCTTTTGAAGACTTTATTTACTAGCGCTAGGTCCAACACAAAGCACTAGGTCCAAACACTAAGCACTAACAATGTCCTATTTTGTAGCCAAGTCGTAGGTTTCACTGGTATCGCTCTTGATCACTAGTTTTCACTCCGAAGTCGCCTCGAAGGTAGCTCAAACTGAACTGTAATCGCTCGCCTCCCTGCGGCTTTTTATATGGGCCGAGACCAGTTCCGGACTAATCCAGAAAGATCATTCCTGGAACGTACCCGACACGCACGAACATGTTCGTGATTCCGGAAAGTTCGCGAATGTACCCGGTTTTCGAGACTATAGTTCCACAGTAGTTCCTCTAACGCCATCTAGTATTGAATAGGGGGTTTTATGTCGTCTCTGTTCTTTAGTGGTTTTAATAGTTTACGCTAGATGGCGTTAGTTCCTTTGTGTGTTCATAACACTACTCCCCTCTTAGAGATGCTCGTCCCGAGCATCATTGTTACTGCCATGGTAACGCGCCAGACGGTCTATGTGTACCACTTTGAATGTCCCTCTTGGTTGCTTTTGAATCCCATAAGTCACATCATTCAGTCGGGTAACCACTTTGTATGGACCGTCCCACTTGGTCTGCAACTTTGAGCTCTCTGCCGTTAGTCTTCTCCCATTTCCGGTAGAGTATTCCGTTTTGAAGTATCAGACTGTCCCAATTTCGCCAGATGCCTCTCAAGGGTTGCGCCAACCAGTACGCCTTTGTGACGGCGCCAAGTGGGAGCAGAGGCCTATCACTCTTCGACTAACTTAGAAGCGACTGTTGTAGCTTTTTTGGTATGGCGAACACTTCATTTGGTGAAGTAGTCCATGATGACCATAAAATACTTGTTTCCCGACTCCGTTACAGGAAATGGCCCAGCTACGTCAACTGCAATTCGTGTGCACCGACGTTATACAACCGCAGGTTCCCCGGCTTCTGGTTTCTGTGTCCTTTTACCATGTGATGATGTGCCGAAGGTCGTCATCTCTTTCTTGAGCCTCCCTCATAGCATCATTCTCCCAGAGACCCAAAGGACTTGTCCTCGTTAGCTTTAATGTTACTTCATTAGATTCCTGTTTAACACAATGTTTGCGGTCTTCCGAACACGGCTTTCGTGAGAGTGCGTCGGCATTCCCATGCGTCTTTCCGCTGCGGTATTCCGTCTTGTAGTCACTGAGTAGCTTAGTCTCCGATCCGTAGTTGTTGCTGTTTGCTGGGGCTTCCTCCGCGTCAGCCAGTACTCGCCCCTTAGTCCTGACTTTTATTCGTTTCCCTAAAGCCCCTCGCTTCCTCAGCTCCTCTATTTGTTCCTCAATCCTTTTCATCCTTGCCATCTGGGTCTCCTTCTGCGGGCAGTTGAGCTGAAGATGGCCCCTCTCGCCGCACTTCTAGCAAATGGGTCGAGAACTTCTCTTCGTAGGAGCCTTAACCTCCTTGACTTCCTGAGAGACCTCGCGAATCTTATGGGTCTGCCGTATGTCATAACGAACAGCCTCGACCTCCAAAGCATGCGCCAATGCTTCCTTTAGCGAGGTATGGTGACGAAGTCTTACTGCGGCTCTGACCTCCAGGTCTTTGATTCCGTCCACAAATGCTTGAACAATATTCGTGTCTACCATCTTGGTGTCGGCTCCTGGGTGTGCCTTCCTGACGAGTTTTTCAATTTCCAACGCCCATTGTTGTAGTCCTTCTCCTGAGCGTTGGACTCGGTCACGCAGTTGGGCACGGAACACGTGCTCCATGTGTCGCTCCCCGTATCTGGATTCAAGTGCCTCCATCAAGTCTTGGAACCCATTTCCTGTACGTGGCAGTGCTTCCAGGACCGACAAAGCTTGCCCTCTGAGCGCAACAGTGAGAGCGGTCAGGCATTGCTCTTCCGTCCATCCGTTGACAGTAGCAACAGTCGGGAATTGCCGACGATAAGCGTGCCAAGAAGTAGTGCCGTCGAATGGCGGCACTTTCACTTTTGGTCCTTGTGCCACTCCAGTAGTGCCACTAGACATCGCGATTCCCGTGGTTTCAAGGCGCACTACTTTCTTCTGTATTTCGGTGAGGCCGTTTTTTTTCAACATCCAATCCTAACCCGGTAACTCGTTCTTCCACTACGTCGACATCTTTTCGAAGTTTAATCACCGTGTTACTAACATCATTTATAGCCCAAAGCGCCTTTTCTTGGAGGTCTTTTTGTTGCTCTTGTGATTCTCGAATCGCTCTGATTTCAGCCTTTTGAAACTCTTGAATCGTAGTCAGCTTGCGTTCTTGCGACTCTTGCAAAGCGTCGAGCTTGCGTTCTTGTGACTCTTGCAAAGCGCCGAACTTGCGTTCTTGTGACTCTTGCAAAGCGCCGAACTTGCGTTCTTGTGACTCTTGCAAAGCGCCGAGCTTGCGTTCTTGTGACTCTTGCAAAGCGCTAATTAGTTCAATTAAACTTCCTAATTGAAGGGGCTGCAGAAGTTACGGTGCCGCTGGTGGGCGTGGCAAGGTGGGCGGGGCCCGGTGGGTGGAGTGTGGGCGGTGGCCCAAAGGGGGTGGGGCCTGCAGTGGGCGTGCTTGCACCAAAGGGGCGGGGCCTGAGCCCGAGTGGACGGGGCCTGGCCCCGAGTGGGCGGGGCTTGTGCATGAATAGGCGGAGTCTGAGGGGCGTGGTCAGTGGGCGGGGCCAGGTCGGTGGGGCCAGTGGCTTTGTTCTTTAGTGGTTTTAATAGTTGACGCTAGATGGCGTTAGTTCCTTTGTGTGTTCATAACAATATCATGAGCGGTACACTTTTGCAAAACAAAAAAATAAAGACTTACCTCCAATATGACACCTGGAGTTTCTGGCCTGGAATGTACTTATCGACCTGCAAATGTTTCGACAGACGGTCGCGACAGAGCCGCAGAGTTTGCGTGTAAAGTAGTTCCAGCGAAAGGGAGCGGCAGAAGTATCGCAACGCAGCTAGCGCTCCACTTAAGCCAGCTGCTGCTAAACGTGCTTGCGCAACACCCCGCAACCAAGTCAATTGAGAAGTGTGAACCAGTGGTTTACCCTCTGTAACAAGTCAAAAACATTCATAAACTATATCCCTACAACTTAACACACTTCAGTAGATTAAGTCTTTAGTCATAGCAAATTTATGCCTCAGCAATTAAGGGACAAATTATGTGAAAGAATTAATTTTATAAATATATAACTGAGCAAATCTATTAAATATTATAGCATATTTCACCTCCGGTTTCATAATCCTGGATTAAAATAGCAATATCCAATAAACGCCAAGGTAAATTTGGTGCATCACCCATTACTGTTAATGACACACTGAACTCCTGCCCAACTGAAAAAGTTGCTCTCCCATTTTCGACCTGCACATAAAAGAAATATTACCCCTTTTTAATTAAATAAATAAAAAGATGTTGATAAAATTTAATGCAATGTAGACAAGTTTGTATTTATTTGTATTAATTAAGTAGTTTGTTCGTATTTATACTGTGCCAGCGGGAATGCAAGAGGAAACAATAAAATTCTGAAGGGAATTGTCAATTTTAAAATGTTAATTGAAAGGACATAAGTATCTTGAAAAGAAAATGCTAGGTGATGTGATGAAATGGTACTATAACGATATTATAACAAAGATATATGAGAAAAATTTATTGATCAGATTGATATTCTACATCCATGTATACGACACTTCTTAGTAAGGTTTTTAGAATACGGTCATTTGTCATCCCAGCCTCATATCTTGGTGATAGGTTTTATGAGAGTAGTATCTTCACCTTTAGATTTCGGACGTCAGTTGGTAATGATGCTGTGGTAAGACGCTGTCGGACAACATGTGCTAAGGCACGTAATGTGGAGCGACGTTCGGCAGGTGTTAAAGATGGTGGTGGCACGAGCCGTTCACGAATTACAGCTGGAAGTCGGCTATATGTACCTAATGTCAGAACCTCCACTGCAGCAGCCATGTGGAATGTTGGAAGTCTAAAATATGGAAAATAATGGGATAAACAATTTAGGATGATATGGAAAATAATGGGATTAACAATTTAGGATGATATGAAAACATAAGACTAAAAAGTCACTTAAGTGACTTTCCTTAGAACCAACTTCATACGTCAAATTATATAAATCAAATTAGATAATGAATGTACTATAATAAATATAAAGAAACTCTAACAAAGAGATGTTGAAACATGATAAAAAAAAATTTAAAAATATCATGACTCATGACGAGCAGCGAGTCACAGGTTTGATTCCCACTTGGGACAAGTATTTGTTTTACCCAGAGACTATCTTTGTCAGATCCGGTTGTGTATTTCCAAGGAGTTATTGTCCAGTAGACGGTAGGAGAAAGAAAAAATTTTTATCAACAGAATATTATAAATGAATAAAATGCGTAGTTGACATTCAAGTTTTGGAAAAGCTTAGAAAACACTCCATGAATTTATTAAACTCTGTTAGTTTATAGAATAGTCACCTAGCATGTACTAAGGTCTCACGAGCAACTCGAGCCAGCACATCAGCAGTTTCAACAAATAGAAGAGCTTGTTTATCCAAAAAGGCCATTATGTGTGCAGAACGGTCTACTTTGGTAGCACTACTTGCCCATTTCACAAGGGCCAGCAATCGTACAAATAGTTGTCTCGTACGTGCACTGAATTTATAAATTTCAATTTTCCGTTCCATGTCTGTTTTACGAGGCAACCTGAAGTATTAAAATACAAAATTGTATATAAATAATACCTAGTACGAATTAATATTAAGTAAAATCAGACAACGAAAAGACTACTTACAATTCAGCCAATACCGTGAGCTCATCGTAAGTTCTCTGTACAATAAAGTCTATGAGCAAAGCTAAAGAAATAGAACCACCCCGGGCGCCACCACCTTCAGCACCCTGGTTACATCCTTCAATTGCGACTGGTACCATTTTGCTGGTTTCGTTCAGTTAAACTATTATTAATCAGTGGAGTAATTACATTTTACCACAAAAATTGTTTTGTTTACCGAAATGACTATTACAAGAATTAGTTTTGATTTTAATCAGCCAACAATATTAATAAGAACATCTAATCCATAGATTACCAAGGAAAACAGAAAACTGAAAAGTGAAAACACAGGGGACAGAATACGTATAAAATTAAAATATTTATGAATTTACTCTACATCGAAATATAATTCGATTTAAATATCGATATTGTCGTGGTACGATATGAGCTTAAAGAATTTAAGTTTAAGTTAATTATTATGGTTACGAAACTTAGATAAATAACTTTTGTTGTTGGTTTTCCTAAGATGAAAAATAAATAGTAAAAAAGCATCTATTTAATTTTGGTAACCGACACTGACGTTGGTCAGTGCTGCGCAATTCTCCACGCATAGGCGTAGCGTAGAGTGACATAGTGCGGCACTTGCCGCATTTAATTTAATTTTTTCATTAGCTAGACACGATACTTTTATGTATCGGCTGTTTTTGAATCTTTACGTTACTAGCTTCTGCTCGCGACTTCGTCCGTGTGAAATAGTTTGGGCTAACGCTAACTTTAACCGTATTACGTAGAAGGTTTAAAATTTTTAAATAATACGTACGTTAAGGAGCTGTTTTAGGTACGTATGTAAGAGTGGAACTTCAAAACGTTAGGTAAAAGTACTGGGTTCCCGCTGGCCTTGCACAACATAAATGCGCACGCAGTATTACCAGCGTTCCACAATAGCGCGATTTTCAAGGTATTTCCTGCCTCGCACAACCACCCTGTAGAATCAGCTGCCGCCAGCGATCTTTCCGAGCCGTTACGATCTGGGAACCATACTCCTTCCTAAAAGGCCGACAACACATTTGTGAGCCCTGAGGTGTTGCAGATGTCCTTAGGCGGTGGTAATCACTAACCATCAGGTAAGGCTCCTGCTCATTTGCCCCTATTTTCCATAAAGAAACTACGATATCTCCTAAGATATTCATTGAAATCGAATGATGTAATGGGCAATTTTGTTTTCAAATAAATACTTGTATGATTTGATTAATATGAATAACGTATTTATTTGGATAAGGGTTAATATCAAGTTAAGGGAACAAATTTGGTTAGCATAAAAAAGGTTATAGTGAGCCTTAAAAGTTACGCTGTCACGGATTTTTTTAAACTTTTAAAGGTAAACAATTCTGTCATGTGTGAGTTTTTGCCAAATTTTAACAGTTTACGCAGCACACGCAGCGGGAGCTCTAAAAAGGAAAAAGACTCTATTTTGAAACTATTAATCTAAGCGTAAGTGGCTATCTATCAGTGAACGAAAAGTTTTAAAAATCAGACCAGTAGTTCCTGAGATTAGCGTGTTCAAGCAAGCAAACAAACTCTTCAGCTTTATAATATTCGTACGTTATATACCTACGTCGTGTTGTTACTGTTGTTTAACAGTGACTTTGCATACGATCGTCCGCTAATTACATAATAAATTACGAATCTCCACACATTCAAATTTTTATATTTTTTCGTGAATTGACTATTTTTGTAAATATTATGTTTTATAAATAATTGAGAAAAATATATTTATGTAATTAGCAATTTCCTATTGATTGCAATCCAAGCTGAGGTTCGAACCACCATCTGAACTTTCCTTGTATTGTGTCATACGGGTGATACATCACAATCGTTGGACTAATAGTAAACTTGTACACTTGCACAAAAAAAGAACGCAAGGCAAATTGTGTCATGTGAGAGAATATAAAACTGCTGTTTTTTATAAAAATGCTTAATATAATGTACATTATTAGTACGTTCGATAGGCTTATTAAAGTTAGGTAGGATAGTAGTTTTATTAAAACTAAAAATAAATATTGTTTTCAGAGTTCCAGTAAGTAAAATGTCGTGTTTTATTTATTTTAAACTGTACAAAGACAAAAATAATATTCTCGTGCTGTTAACCTGAACCAGCACTATCAACAAATATATTAATAGGAAAATGTTTAATGAATAAAGCTACTATTATGGATTATATCATTTGTAATTTTACCTTTATACATTGATATTCCGAATATGAGCAGTTCCAATTTATTATCTATGTTTCAGGATTCAGGACAGGTCTGCAGTTTCGTACGGTACACTTTTTAATTTTTGACATTTATGGAGTTTTAAACCTTATGTCAAGCTTGTCAATTGTTGTGACAATAGATAGATTGTTGTCTCTTTTAACTTCAAGGATAATTTAGTGGCATACATGGATTTATGTATAGAAGCGTGTTAAAAGAATCTTAGACTTATCCCGGATAACGTATATAGCTATGGTGTTATATTTTTCTTTTAAAGTTTAGCTTAAAAAATATACATTGTAGTACCGGTTAGTGCCTGATAAATTGTGTTTGAAAATTTTCAATATAGTACATGTACTTGCATTCTGAAAATAGTAAATGAACATTTTCTCTTTACGTCTCCTGAAAGGTTTTGTTTTTGGAAGTATTACAGTTCTTTATAATCTACGTACGTGTTTTCGCCGAATTCAAGTCGTGAACATGGGCTTGCTATCTGAAGGAAGCCCTCTTTCATGGGAAGAAACGAAGGCGTTGGCAGAACACGTGCGACAACATGGTATTGAACAATTTATAAACTTGTACAGGAAACTCAGGGATCGCACTGGAGATGTATTAAAATGGGGAGATGAGGTTAGTCTATTTTATTATCAAGCATTTTTGGCCTAGCTTTTCATGTATTTTTAAAGTGTTTTGCTGTATACACCCCTTTCTTGCTGCGATTTTAGGTGGAATACATCATAGTAAAGTTTGATGATGAAAATGAGCGTGCCATGGTCAGTTTGAGAGCTGATAGTCTCCTGCCAAAACTACAAGAAAAAGAGCAAGCAGATCCCCAAAGTAATATATACATTTTCCACACTACTTGAGTATTCACTTCTTAGGCTTTAAGATTCTTAAAAGTATAAGCTTATTATTATGCTTTCAGCTTATATTTTGATGGATGATTATAATAAAGTTTAATATTAATTAAAATTTTAATATTAATTAAGTTTCCATATTCCACTTTGAAAAACAGAATTTCATTTATAGTTTTCATATTTCATAAACTCTCACAATTCTTAAAGCTAAGCTTATACCCTTTGAGGATGATTTAACTCGACCATTTCATTTGTTCCTTACATATAAAATTAAATATTTTAATAGAACCCATATAGCTGAACAATTGACATCATTAGTTGAACATGTGGTTTTTTTATTTATATAATAGTTGAATCTGCTGAAGTTAATTTACAAAACATGAACACAATATTCTGCAAGTCATCTTGTTGATGATGTCAACATTTATTTTTAAGTTGCGCAATATGCTATTTAAAGATGTTATGTTATATATATATATATATGTTATGTTATATAGTGTTTCTCTTTATATGAATGAAGAATATTGATTGCACATGTTTAGAATACTATCATAAAACAACATCAGCTTTCAAAACAACAACATCATAAAACAACTTTATTATGTCTATTATTACTAGCTGCATTCATTTAAGTGTAATGCAATTGTGAAACAAACAAAAATAAAAATCACTTATAGCCAGTTCACTGCTAATAAGGAAATCTCATGTTACATGTTGGCTAAACAATTCACCATTTGTCTTTTGTTTCATATGTTTATCAGATACAGAGGGTAATACAGCACCTGACTACTTTATAAAACTAATATGAAATATGAATTTGATAATTGTAGATGTCAAATCATTATGGCGTCCAGAATATGGGGCTTACATGATTGAAGGCACACCAGGGAAGCCCTATGGTGGATTATTGGCACACTTTAATATAGTAGAAGCTAATATGCAATATCGCAGAGCTGAGGCCAGTACTCTGTTAAGTAATGGAGAAGTTCTCATGAGCATCACCAACTTTCCCAGGTTCTCCATGATAATTATATGTGTAAAATTCGGGAATTGATAAAAATTTATGAAATAAATATTGAAAGAATTTTTTTATTTTAGATTAGGGTGCCCTAACTTTACTAGCCCACCATATGCACCAAACCCAAAAAGTGGAGTGACTTTATCACATTATTTCCCAGATGAGGCTATTTTTCCAGGGCATCCTCGATTTAAAACTTTAACTTCCAATATTAGGGAAAGGAGAGGGGAAAAGGTTGCTATTAATATACCAAGTAAGTAGACTTTATTCAATCTTGTTTGGGTTCATTGCTAAAATCTTTTATTAGAGATATTAAGAATTTTAAACGATGTTGACTTCACCACGTAAGACTAGACTTAAATTCTGAGGAAATATCATGATGGCCTACAGCATAATACAAAAACATGTAGGTGTATATAAAAAATAAGTTCAATACAGTACAGGAAGTTGCAAACCTATCAATTATTGTGTAATGTGGTAGCTTGGTCAAGGTCAATTCATTGAATGTTTTGTTATTGAAATGATAAAGACATTATAATAGTTTAAACATTACCTACCTAAGATGTGTTACAAATGATAGTGCGTTATTTACGTATTTCTTAAGTTATTATATATTACATTGTAAAAAGTGCTCATTCATCAAAAATGGTTTTGGAATCATCTAATTTATCTAAAAAAGAAGTCATCTCCAACTTAATTATATTGTTCACATTATTAATTATTTTAGTTATTTTGAAACAATTTTTTTTTCATAAGCACAATAAGGCAATGTGTAATGAGAGCTGGCGAATTCTATGTTTTCGTGTCCCGTAGTATTTAAAGATATAAACACGAAGATACCAGTGGACAACTCGCATGTATTGGAACCGGGCGTTGCGCAGCCTGACTGCGTGTACATGGACGCCATGGGGTTCGGAATGGGTTGCTGTTGTCTGCAGCTTACGTTCCAAGCCTGCTGCATCACCGAGGCGCGAACTCTTTACGACCAGCTCGCACCGCTTTGTCCAATCATGGTGAGTCGTGTTTTCAAGATAGGCCGATGAATATTCGATGCTCTTAGTATCCCTCCATGTATAACGTGCAATATATTTTGATATAAAGATCAAGCTGGTCATTTATGACTCATTTTCGTGCTTTTTAAATGCCCGAATATTCGATGCACTATTTTTTTTTTTAAATTCGATGTATTTTCATAGATCAGCTCAAAGACGTCCTGTTTACGTTATCCATATTACAATTTCCCAATAAATTTGTCACGACAGCCTTGCGTTGTCCATTTAATTACTATACATACTATACTATACAATATATCGTGTCTAGACTTGAAAGGTCAAAATAAATATTACTGACTCTCAAAACGTCGGATATTTATGAAATTAATAGACCATCTATACTTTTCTAAGATAGTTGAAAAATAATAGTTAATTTTATCATTTCCTCATAGTCACGCGAAATACGCTCAACGTATGCATTGCCAAATCACATTGCCAATCGAAATTACACTTGAACGGTCGAAGAGAACAGAACTATTGTACTTCGATAAAAAACCGGCTAAGTGCGAGTCGGACTCGCGCACTAAGGAATCCGTACCATTATCTATAAAAACGGAAAAAAAAGTCTGTTGTATGCGAAACCTACTTAAGTATTTCTTTATTCTGTTTTTTAGCATTTTTTGATATAGCGGCAACAGAAATACATCATCTATGAAAATTTCCACTATCTAACTAACAAGGTTCATGAGATCAGCAAGAGATCAGAGAGAACCTGGTGAGACGCGGACAGATAGACAGCAGAGTCTTAGTAATCGGGTTTAACCCTTTTTTCGTTTTACCCTTTGGGTGACCCTAAAAACATTGTGTTGTTTTATGAAACCACAATGCAAGTGAAACTTAACCTAAAAATTTTCCGTTAAATATTAAATATAAATTAAATAGTTATTATATAATTTATATATTAAATATAAATTTAATCGTTAAATAATCATTCAAATTTAATATAAATGATACACGGTTAGCTGAAGCGAGCCATGGGCGCTACCATATTGGCTTTGGCTGCTCTGGCGAGTACCTTTTACTTTACCCTAAGCCCATTTACACGATGCCATTTTCTTGTACATACAAGAGCAATAATTGAATGCAATAAATTGCGCGCAATAATTGACCATCAAGAATTGTAAGCAACAGTTTACACGCAGATATAGTAAAAAAAATTGAATGCGATTATTGTATGCAAGTCTTGACAATAATTGCAAATGTCTTTTGTTTACACCAATGCAATTATGTTTAGGCGATTATTGCTTTCAAGTTTTGACTTGTCTAAACACATGCTTGTATGTGCGTGTACAATTTATTGGCGTGTTGCTTCAAGTATTGCACGTATTTGCGTTGACAAATTTTTCATGCAAGTGTTGAACGTTTTACAAAGGGCTGTTTTTTAAAAAAAATGGCTCAATAATAAATGTTCAAGTTAGATTATGCCGATTAAATATATTTCATTGAGATTTATTTATTATGATCCATATATTATTATTCATATTTTTATCCAACTTTTTTTTACGACCTTTTCTCAATATTTCTATCCTCAAAAGAACAGCAACGATTAAATACCCTCACTCATTGCACTATTTTTTTTTAATTTTTCACAAAGGAAAAGAGAATGCAATTGAATACAAGAATTGCTTAAGAAATTATTGTGTGTGCTGTTTTACACCAAGGAAAGTTTTGAAACAAAACTTGAAGCAAGTCTTGTTCAACAGTCAAGAATGTTATGTGTTGTTTAGACAATGCAACTCATTTATTGCTTCAATTTAATTGTATATAACAGGCAAGAAACTTGCACCGTGTAAATGGGCCTTTACTCGGCCAGTTGTAATGCGACGAGCGATAGATCGACGAAAAAATAGGAGGCGATGAAAAGTTTCACTTTAAAACTGAAAAAATAATATAAAATACTTTCAGACGTCTAAGTACTCTTAACGCCCAGTTTCTGAAACACCACTGATCATCATAGAAGTTAACTAATCAAAATTTATTAACTAATCAAAGAATGATCTTTTTTATGATCATTCTGATCAATTCAGAGAGTTTAACCATCCTTTTAGTAACTTAAATAACGTCTGAAAAGCCATTTGACAGCTGATTAGATAAGTTCCATGATGATGATGACGGTGTTCAAAACGCAGAGAAACAGAATGACAATAAATGCGTAGAAATTGTTTAATTTAATGATCGTACTACATCTGCCGATTCCAATGGCGCCCAGCTCGCTCTGTCCGCCGCGTCGCCGATCTACCGCGGCCACCTGACCGACGTGGACTGCCGCTGGAACGTGATCTCGGCCTCGGTCGACTGCCGCACCAAGGAGGAGCGCGGCCTGGAGCCGCTCAAGGACAACAAGTTCCGCATACAGAAGTCCAGATACGACTCCATCGATTCATACCTGTCGCCGGATCACGAAAAGTAAGTGAGTCGCGTACCTCCAGGTCATCAAGGGCAAAACGCTTCGATCGAAGCGTTTTGACCTTGACTGGGCGCCCTTCGATCGAAGCGTTTTGATCTTGACTGGGGCCCTTCGATCGAAGCGTTTTGACCTTGACTGGGGGCCCTTCGATCAAAGCGTTTTGACCATGACTGAGGGCCCTTCGATCGAAACGATTTGCCCTTGACTGCCACTTGGTGGGGTGGGGTGGGGTGTGGTGGGGCGTTCAAGTCGGAATGATTTGAACATGTCACACAGTTCGGCAGATATACACAACTGTATGATGTTAATCGGTTTTGTGTTTATTTCAAAAATATAGATTTTGAGAAAGCATATTTGTTACGGATACATCAACTGAGGAATTTATAAATAAGAATCACACGCTGTTGTTAAAGAAATATTTATCCAGTCTTCGTGATGATTGGATAAATATTAATACTGTAACTCTACATAATATTTAATACGTAATATTAAACGACAGTGCCGTGCAATGTGTTAGGTTCATAAGATTTCTTTTATTCTTGTATTATTATCAATTATCTCTTGTCCGGTTTGTAGGAATAAAAGCAAAACAATTAGTAATTACACTATCACGTAGGACTTATCGCAAACTTACATAGTTGACACGGCATGACATGAAAATGTTATCTTTAATTAGCCTTGTATTAGTCGGTGAATAAAGTACAAGTGACATTCATATTGTTTTATAACAGTCTCATATAATATTACTAGCGACTCGCCCCGGCTTCACACGGGTGCAATGGTGAATGTTTGTTTTCGACATGGCATTAGTAACCTCAAAAATTATCAGTGTTTCTCTACTATGCATAAATTTTAGATATAAACCTTCCTATTGAATCACTCTATCTATTAAAGAAAACCGCATCAAAATCCGTTGCGTAGCTTTAAAGATATATGCATATCTTGGTTCGTCCTTAAGAATCCTTTTACGCCTCAGGTATAACGACATTCCGATAGTCCACGACGCGGCTATCTACAGGCGCCTCCGCGAGGGCGGCATTGACCACCCACTGGCTTTGCACGTGGCGCACCTCTTCATACGGGACACCGTCTCCCTATTCTCCGAGAGGGTCAACCAGGACGATGAGAACGACACCGACCACTTCGAGGTATGCACACGTTTCTTTTTATGTAAAGTGGCAAAGGAGCTGGCGGTTCACCTGATGTTAAGCGATAACCGCCGCCCATGGACATTTGCAACACCCGTAGGGTTGCAGTTGCCACCTTTAAATAAAGTGGGCCCCGGCTACCTCACTCACCAGACGAAACGCAGAAGTTTAACACTTCTACTTCACGCCGGTCTTATAGAACTCGTGGTACTTACCCGGACGGACCTGCCCATTCGTGCAACAGTGAACACTATTGCGTGGCCCTAGGACAGTTAAACGTCACATCTCTATGTTCACGACCGAATAAAGAATCCTCTGTGCTGCATTCGTAATTACCGATTGTTGATATTTTATTTCGGAGTATGTTTAAAAAGCATAGATTCATTTTGGGTAATTTAGATCTTGCACTCAACAATGTATTGCATTCATGCAAGATTAAAAAAAAATTACCATTAGCCTTGCGAGAGTCTAAAAAATATCACATGTTAATATCACAGACAGACGCTTCAATTGTATTTATATAATTATATGATACATATTACGTTTTCATTTTATACGCAATCACACGTAGAAAAAGAATGATAGATAACTTCTTCGTTTATATTATACTGGGAGACTTAATTAGCGAGTTTATTTTATTCTGTTTGACGATTTGATTGTCATAGAGGAAATTGGCCCTGTCTTTTGCCCCTGAGAACGTAGGTTCCATCCCCACTAAAGGATAATATTATGTGATCAATATATTATTTCTCTAAGTCTATATCTCTATATTTTTGATTTATTTACGAAAGAAAAGCTTGTTTGTACAAGCGTTTCTTAGTTCGTGATACAACGGTAAAGTAACAACCTATAAATGTATCACAGCTGAGCTAAGGCCTCATCTCACTGCGGATTGGCGGACTCCACATACCTTCGAAATATTTTTTTCTTGTTATTATTTCGAAAATATGCAGGTTTCCTCACGATGTTTTTCCTTCACCATATAAAAATTTCAATGGTGCCGGCACCGGATTTTGTACTCTGGTTGCTCGAGCGTATTATTGAATTAAATTTAGACACGTAGCTATCACGGCTCTATAAAACTGTCCTGAAAATTGTAAATTGCGTTCGTCGTATAACTCCCAGTAAATGTGCGATCCAGAACATCCAGTCGACGAACTGGCAGACGATGCGCTTCAAGCCGCCGCCGCCCAACTCCTCGATCGGTTGGCGCGTGGAGTTCCGCCCCTGCGAGGCGCAGCTCACGGACTTCGAGAACGCCGCCTACGTATGCTTCGTCGTCCTTTTGACCAGGGTCATACTCTCCTACCGCCTGAACTTCGTGATGCCGATCAGCAAGGCACGTGTCATTTTCACTTTTTTTTCTCTTTTCTTATTGACCTCTTGATTTTACGCGAATATTATACATGTTAAATGAACCTAGTTTACGGATTTTATCGCGTTTTTATTTTGATTTTGAAATTCCCGACGATTCGAACCCTTTCCAGCGTTCATGGTCACGGGACAGACTTTTCTTTTTTCTTTTAAACATTGCCCTTCCTTTAAGATGACATTATCCTGCGTTGTAAGGACGTTTAGCTAACATAAATTTCACGTGGACAAACACCCAGAAGCGACACAACTATCTGTGTGTCACACAAATGGTTGTCCCGTGTGGGAATCGACCCTTCAACCTCCGACGCAGAAGCCAATACCTCGGCACTGTGTCGCATTATTATGTTGAGAACCGCCCTGGAACGCGGGTATCCCTTACGCCGTGCTCGTAAGCGAGGAAGAACTCATAGGTTATGATGTATTAACACTGTGTGGATATAGTGTTGACTGATTATTTTAACAAACTCGTACCATCTGTCATATTGCCGATCGATGTCGAACCCTATTATTATGTAGCGTCGTTAGATAGCGATCTGAGAGTCGAAAACGGCATGAGTGTTTCGAATTCAAGTTTGAATTTGAGTTAAAGTTAAGTTTAAATCTCACATTTGTCAGGCAGGAAATCGCGTTGTGCCTTCCTCCATGTGATTAATTTTATAACTCTTGAATTTTGAATGAAATGAAAACTGCTAAACTGGCAGATGTATAATGAGCCCGTCCGCTTTTCGCCCTTTTCTTTCCGTCCTTCGTGAAGGGTAAACATCCAAGTTAGTCTCAACAACTTTTAATTTATAACTAAAAAGTGGGGTGTTATTCCAACGGTATGTACGACCGATCATTCCGCCAGCCTCATTTTTTATATAAGGAGATGACAAACGAGCTGGAGGTTCACCTCATGTTAAGTGATGACCGCCACCCATGGACGTTTGCAACACCCGTAGGGTTGAAAATGCGTTGACACCTTCTATTAAAGTAGGCTCCAGTTACCACACTCACCAGACAAAACGCAGCGGTATAACACTTCCACTTCACGCCGGTGCTCTGTGACGGTGTGCGGGTCGTGATACTTTCCCGGACGCACCTGCTGACAGCGAAGACTGTTGCGTGGCGCCACCGCAGTTAAAACGTTCAACGACATTAAACAAAATGGAACTTTCCTGAACTGCCCGTTCGTGCAGCAGCGAAGACTGTGACGCGGCCCCACCACGGTTAAAACATTCAACGGCATTAAATGGTACTTTCCGGCCATGCCCGTTGGTGCAGAAGCGAAGACTGTTGCGCGGCCCCACAACGGTGAAAACATTCAACGGCATTAAATGGTACTTACCGGAGCTGCCCGTTGGTGCAGCAAAGAAATCTGTGGCGCGGTCCCACCACAGTTCAAACCTCCAGCGACATAAAGAAAAACGGAACTTTCTGCGACGCGTACAGGTGGACGAGAACATGCAGAGGGCGCAGCGGCGCGGCGCGTGCGCGTCGCAGCGCTTCTGGTGGCGGCGTGACGTCGGCGCGCCGCCAGAGGTCGCGCCCCACTCGGCAGACGCCCACGACCACGACCAGTACGCGGAGATGACCATCGACGAGATCGTCAACGGAAAGGTGAGCTAGTCACGCTCTAGTCCCTCACCCTATCGTGACATCACAACGCGGTCTACTTTTTTCATGCGAGACGTTTAGACTGTGTTAAGTTAGACGACTGAAGACTCGTGGACAACAAAAACTCCATGACGGTGGCGAGTGCGTTACCAACTTTTAAGTGGCGCCCCGGTCACCTCGCCCGCTATAGTACTTCTCTTTTCTGCTGCTTCTCGGAAGACAACTTACTATTACGATTGATGTACCCGGAGGCTCACACCATCGTGTTTCTGATTATACCCCACTAGCTGCTGCCCGCGACTACGTCTGCGTAGAATAGGCTGAAGGCGTAACATTCAGACAGAAAGACAAATATACATACAATATGTATATAAATTATGGCCTATGTCTTATTCAGATGTATACGCTATGTTATTGTAAAGTTTCATTAAAATCCATTCAGTAGTATTTGCGTGAAAGGGTAACAAACATCCATCCATACATACAAACTTTCGCGTTTATAATGTTAGTAAGGATATAAGAAAGGATATTAATCCGAATTTAGTTAATTGTTTGTTTATCGTTAGATATGTCATAAGAATTTAAAATAAATCTCAGGTGTATAAACAATTTCAGAATTGACGATATCCATTACCATTGATATAACCGTTATTTTATGTAATCCATTCACTAAAACTGCAATGGAACGATGCAGGAGGGCGTGTTCCCCGGTCTGGTGCCGCTTATCGAGTCGTACCTGTCGGGCATGGACGTAGACGCGGACACGCACTGCTCCGTGCAACAGTACCTGAAGCTGATACAGCGCCGAGCCGCCAACGAGATCTCCACTATGGCCACGTGGATGCGCGAGTTCGTCACCACCCACCCTAAATACCAGTGAGTGCGCTCAGATAGTATTTTATTAAGGCCAAAGCGTACGTAATCAAATATATTCAGTGTAGATTCAATGTACCTGATCGGAGAAATTTAAATGTTCGCATCTTGAAAACTTATTAAATTTCAATATATTTATTTGACTCAGTTTTTGAACATTCAATGCAATAGGCACCTGCTTATAATCACCGCGTAAATGTAATTAACATTTTAACTGACAAATACACAACAATTCGTTTCCAATCCACTCATAAAAATAATCCTGAAAATATATAATAAATATATTTTTTGCATAGTATTTCAAAAATATAAAAGAGTGAAGGTAGGCACTTTTATACTATTCATTAGTTGCCAAATGAAAACAAAGTTACATTACCTTTGAATAAAATAGCGCACTATCGTTCGGCTTACACCTTCCGTTTCAAGAATTTGTGAAATATATCGGGCATGCCGTGATTGGTTTCCTGGTTTCAGGGTGAAATTGAAGTCATGAGCATCCTTTTAGACCAAGACCCTATATATCCAAGTAGAGGTGCTGTACGATGCGGACACGCAGCACCTCCCTGTGCTCATCGTGCTGAGTCTCGCTGCGGACTCACTGGCTCCCAGAGGCCCTAGGTACAGGAGCGAGTGGGGGGCCTATTCGAGAGCTTTGTCCGACTTCAGTTTCGGTGCACCCATTTCAACCGCGGAGGAAGTGGAGCAGGCCGCGCGCAAAATCACCTGTAAAATACAGAAAGAATTGCGCGCGGCAACCAAGGCGGTGCCAGTGGTGCACCGAAAAAACACTCCCGCGTATGGTCCTCAATCAGCTGCACGAATAGAGGGAGCTCAGGAAGTTGTGGGCACGCACCCGCTGCCTACGAGTGAAGACACGTCTCAATCGGGTCATGGATGAGCTGTCGGCTGCCATCAAGGCTTACAGGGGTGAGGGGTGGGAGCGCCGCATAGAGCAGGCCTCCGAGTCGCAGACCTCCATTTACCACCTTAACCGGCAGCTCAGCTGAACACCACAGCCTATCTGTTCACTCGTGGCTAGCGATGGGCGTAAGCACGTTGCAGCCCAAGACAGGGCTGACATACTGGCAGAGCACTTAGAAGGGCAATTTGTACCCAATACATCGGCCTCAGGCGCTATTGCGTTCCACCAGAAAGTGGAGCGGCACATACAGGTGTTCCTGTCGGAGCCGGTGCCACGGCTGGATGGTGGTCTTTTCATCACTCTGGCCGAAGTGCGTAGAATTGCGAGTCATCTCGCGCTCAGCAAGCACCCGGTACCGACGGAATCACATCGTTGGCGATAGGACAACTACCGAAAAGGCGTTAGTGGCGCTGTGCCGCCTATACAATGGTGTACTGCGCACGGCGCACTTCCCCTCTGAGTGGAAAACCGGCAAGATCATCGTCCTGCCGCAACCGGGCAAGGACCGCCGATTTCCGGCGAGCTACCGGCCTATTACGCTACTGCCGCACGTAGCGAAACTTTTTGAACGGTTGCTGCTGCGGACAATAATTCCCTGCATCGAGCTACGCAGGGAACAGTTCGGTTTCCCCAGCGGCCATTCCACCGCGGCGCAGCTGGCCCAAGTGCTGCACTATCTTGCGGCCCAGTACAACAAGGGCCGCATCTGTCTGGGGATCCTTCTCGACATGGAGAATGCCTTCGACAGAGTGAGGCACGAGGACCTACTGTACAAACTGCTTAATGACAGCACCATCCACCGTGCGCTCGTACGGTTCGTAGCGTTATTTCTCCAGGACCGGAAGTTCGTCGTACACGTCGAGGGAGCCGACTCGGCGGTACGGTGTATAGAAGCCGGTGTACCACAAGGTAGTTGTCTGTCGCCACACCTGTATGCGGTGTACACGGACATTCCCACCTTGGAGCAAAACGCCTCCGACTGTACTGTTGGCCCTGTACGCGGACGACAGTGCGTTACGTCTTCTCACGACGCAGCGATTGCGGCGAGGATAATGCAGCGCCAACTGGACCTGCTGCCTGAGTGGCTGGATAAGTGGCGAATGTCTTTCAAATTCGACAAGACGTCCGCCATCTACATCCGCCACGTTATCAACATGAGCATGAGCTTGCGAGGTGAAGTGATCAACAACCAGGGCACCATCACGTGCCGGATAAATCGCTCGCTGCGTATGGCTCCCCAGGTCGACCACTGCGTTCGACAAGCCAGGGCACCTCGAGCCATGCTCTACCCTATTCTGGCATCCCGGTTACCTGTTAAGACCGAGCTCGGCGTCTATAAGACGTACGTTCGCTCGCGCTTGACCTACGCCGCTCCGGCGTGGTACGGTCCAGACCCAGCAAAACCTCGCCCTTCGAGTGATCGTGGGGGCTGGGCGTTACGTCAGGAACGACGTAATTGCCCGTGATTTAAAAATGGAGTCCATCAAGGAGTTTGTGGTCCGGTTAGCCCGTCGCATGAACTTCAGGGCCCATAACGGGCCACATCCACACCTACAAAACATCGCACCCCTTCACGCCCGTCCACCTGACGGGCGCCCGCTCCCACGAGAGCTACGCCGGTCGGAACAGGACTGCACCGGACCCGACCGTACTTTCGCCGCCATTGAGAAGACGATGTCGTCCACGCGTTACACACCGCGTGTAACGCTGTACACCCGTCAGTCCCGCTACCGCGGTCAGAATGTGGAATGGCCGCTGGCCATCCACACCACTGACCAGCTATTTGCTGGTCGGGATTTCGCCCGAGACATGAGGGTAGCCCCGAACCTCGCATAAAAGCAGGCCTCGCGCCAGCTTAAGTACATCCTCCCTCCCTATATATGATACTAGTTACATTAAGACTAAAATTATGTTAATCAAAAAATATTTATGCATTATTGATGTAAGTACGGAAATCCTCAAATATCTAGTTAACATTGAGTATAATATTTTGTGGTCACATTAAAATACGTTTTTATTGCAAATTATCAGGAGAAATAATAAAAACACGTAACGAAGAAATAGGTCAACGAACTGAAGAGAAAATTAGGTAATAATTCTAGTTCAAGGTCCTTAGGTACGGCCGGCCCAGCTCAAAGCAAAAGGCGCACCGCCGTTCTTAATGTAACTAGTATCATGTATAGGGTCTTAGTTTAACAGGATGCACATGACTTCAATTTCACTCTGTATAATACAAGCAATTGCATGCTGCGACCAAATGCTGCCTTTTCGCAGGAAAGACTCCATTGTAACGGACAAGATTAATTACGACCTGCTTAAGACGGCGCACGGTATTCAAACGGGCAAGATCCCGGCGCCCACCCTGCTTGGCAGCAGCAACGTGTCCAAGACCAACGAAGACATTCCCAAGGCCTTTAGCAAGATGATGAGCAAGGACTGCCCCTAGCCGGTGCCGTGCATCCATTTTGGTACAGTGCCTTTGGTTACAGGTTCAGTTGATTTGATCTATGTAATTGTTAAAAACACAATTATGGTTGCCTTAAATATATTATGCCTTTTTAAGGTTATAGCTACATGTTTAGAATGTATTGGAAGAGATACACATAGTATGGTTTAAATACACCAAGAGTTATTGGACAGTAACTTGTTGATAAAATTAATTTATATGAATTTTTCCATATTTTCGGTTGCCAGCTTGCAATACTTTTTTTTCGACATCTGTATATAATATTTGCAAAGTATTATCTAATTTTTAATATAACCATGTCAATAATGTTCTTGACTTTTGTTATTGTTAACTGATATTTACCATCTCAAACACCAAATTATGACGATGAAATTTGTTTGCAATAAAAGTTTTTAATTGATTATGTCTATTTTGCTAAGCATGGATTAATTTATACAAAGATAACATTAATTACATAACAGGATGTTAAAAATCGGATACTTATTTACGAGTTTATATTTAGTATAAAATATACCACATATTTCTTTTGATTAATATATCGCACAGCATTTATTTATTGCTCATAAATTAATTTTTCTAAGAGAGTAAGAGGCCTAAGAGGATATGACATTGGATCAAAAACCACACAGGAAAATTTAATGATTACTATTATTATGATTATGATTATTACGATTAATAATTGTACTTTGTTCATATTGGAATTGGGAAATTTGTAACTATTCTTAATAATTGAATGAAAATATTAAATATTAGACATTTTGATGTAAGAATAATAAGGCCATTGCTTAGTATCAATAGTAGAAATAATAAAAACAACGGAAACTGTGTAATGCATTTAAATATAGTAACAGCCTTAAAAACAAAGCAACTAAATAAAATATAACTTAAATAAATGATTGTCATTAAAAAACCGAAGGTTGTTATTATGGTAAATGTTCTTTAAATTGTATAGTTAAAATTTAGGTGCTATGCTTAAGTAGTGATAGACATACTTAAAATTGGAGAAAAACCAATTTACGTTATTGGGGTTTTATAATTTTTACTTAAATAATTATGATACTAAAAATATAATTGAAAATATTTTCAAAACATAATACCTAATGACATAAACATATTCTAAACTAACTGCAGGCGGTTAATATGAATATTAATATTTTTTCTCAAATCTAAATCATTAGTTTATTAAAACACAAGGGATTTGAATACTGAAATATTGAATATAAAATTGGACACAAATCAATCTAAAAAAATTTACTACGTTTTTACAATAACACAAGTAGATTTTGTCATACAATCAAATTTCTGAACTCTTATAAATGTTTTCCACATACTTGTAAACTGTACTGTTGTTTAAAACAGTTAATTAAATACTTCTTAAATAAGTAGGGTTCAGGAATGCAGTCTTTTTTATTCTTAATACCCAACATTCTATTTAGTTCCAGATTTTAATTTGTGCCACTTAGTGTATGGGGCACTATAACAATATTATCAATTCAAAATCTTATTGACGCATTAAAGTTCTGACTTAATCTAGCCAAAATAAAAATTTTACGAGTTTAAGAGTATAACGCACATGTGGCGTTATACTTTATAACTTTCAAAAATTGTAATAACATCATTCCAAACAAATCCATTTTAAGATTTAATAAAAAATACGCGTCTTTTAGCAAATTGTCTAAATTATTGAATTTAATTAAAATATTTGTTAATAATATAAGAGCTCATTTTACTCAGATCGATAAATAAAACTACTTAATAAAATTATTTTATAGAGATAAATAATTGACTATTTATGTCAAACAAAATTTATCGGTTTTTATATGGCGTTTTTTTTTGTATACTGTTAAACATAATTCAGTCGTTTGTAAATGTGCGAAAATTTAAACAAAAGATGTTTATAAAATTATTTGAAGGTTACATAACATTAAATCACGTTCTTTTTCAAAAACAAACCCAAACAATTCTTAGAGGACAAATTAAATACCTTTTTCTGAGTTGCAATAACATAAAAGTGTTTTTTTTTACTTTTTAACATAAAGGTTTATTATAAAAACATCGAACATTCATCTTAAAAGCTAATTTTTAATAAAACCTGATTTTGTTTGTAAAACTATGTTTTTTAATAATATTTTAAAGTAAAAAAAAAATCTATACTCATACTTTTGTATCTTAGACAAAAGTCGATATGATAAATGATTCATGATACTACCATAAAACCTATATCATAGTAAATATATCGAGACAGTGATGAATAGTAATAATATATAAATATCTCAAGTAATAAATATAACTTCGGAGATGGACAATTTGCTAAAACGGAATTTTTAACAATAATCACATTAAACAGTATTATTTCTTAACATGATCATGAAGTAGTTCCTATGATATAAGAGGTCACTAATGAATATGGTTGTGAAAAAAGCATTCAACCAAAATAATTATGCTCATACAAACTCAACCTAATAATTGGATCTATCCTATGGATGAAAACTGTAAGTATATTGTAAACTGACATCATAGGGACTGTTAGCTTAAAAAGTCTGATTTAATAAACTTGACAACGTGACACTATTATTGCACTCCACTTTTTTTGTTCATTTAAATAAATAAATTTATGTGACTAGAAAGAAAAAATTTACTAAAATATACTCATAATAAAATAGTATAGACAAATATTTTTCTTTGTTTATGTTTTTGTGCATACTTCCCTTAGTAGAGTAAAAATGTTATATTAAAAAGATGATATATATGTTCAACATTTTCATATTGTTTCCAGCAACTAGCGCTTTCAATAATATGCAATTATTGTATTGTTATGTAGTTTTATTTATAGCCACAGTATTATGTTCCCTTTTTACAAGTAAAGAAACAGTAGTCATATTTTTCGTTTGTGCTTTGCTACCATATTATTTTAAATTTAATAGGCGATAATCACAAACCATACCTTTATAAAATTTCTTTTAATCCTATGCAGAAATATGAGATTTCAGTTTTTTTTTATTTTTAAAATATCTTTGGCTTCAGTTAATTTTATTGTATCTATTTATAAATTGAAAAAAATGAACTTTTGAAAATATTTGATGGGCACAAAAAATACTTGTTAAATCATTAATTATAAAGAAGTTCATTAATTTTGTTTCCTTTTTATATTCTTAGAACGTAAATTTGTTATACTTTTATTTTGTTCTGTTACCAGTAATCTTTTTAGTAGGTAATTTTTCATGAAATAAAAGGGGTTTAATGTTACATAAGGCTTTTATTTACTTCCTCTTGCATCTCTCTAAAACTTATCCACCAATTGTAATATATGTTGTTGTTCTTGCTGGCGCCACTCCTCACTTCCGGCATCACCAAGGTTACCAGCGTACTCTGTTGAAAGAAAAGTAAGTAATTTCAATGACTTAAAATTTTAACCTTAAATGATAGTTTTCTTTGTCAATTTACTATTCAAACATTGGATCGCTAAACATTGGTACTATTTTTTCGGTTTAACATTAAAGTGATACATATAAAAAGTGAGCAACATAATATATTTCCTTACATTTTGTCTTATAAACTTATAAAAAACGATTGAAGATGGAACTTTTAAGTAACTTTCGCCGCTTGAACCTAGGCATGTTAGTGAAAAATGAGTTTATGCTGATATAAAGCACGTATTGCTTAAAACGTAAAAAGACAAAAGGTAGATGTCTGATACAAACCCATCCACCGTAATTGTTTACAAAATTAATTATACAGTGTCATTACCACCGCGACAATAAATGAACACACATACAGTGGATAACTTTTGGATTTGTGTTATGAATGGATTTTGTTTAACGTTAATATTTTTTATGATTATTGGCAAGTAGCGTTAGACGTGTGTTCATTTATTGTCGCGATGGTAACGACACGCTGTATATTACATGCAAATATGTCACGTGAATATACCATACATACCTCTCATAACGTGTCGTATAATCTTCAAGGAGCCGCCGCGTAAAGACAAAACGCGTTGTACACGCTGCTTTATTGTTGGAGGTCCTGCGGTACATACCTAAACAAGTTGTACAAGTTATTAACATGGAAAAACCTAACTGCATAAGACTATTTGAATATCCTATATTCAATTTGAATATTATATATTAATACCCTATATCAATCCCACAATTAAGAATAATGTAATAATACCTTTTATGTTAATATCAACCGTTTATGATTACAGAGCGTGTGAAATTACAAAGGTTTTTAAAGTTCGCGGAATACCAGAGTTGTTCGTGTTCAATGAGTCATAATTAATATAAATATAGTTTATTACAGTTGTACCATTAGTTTTCGAATTAAGCAAATCAATTAGGAAGAATGTTTATAAAATCACGCCCCCGTCAAGTTTCTTACCGAGCAAGAAAAAGTTGCAAATGTCCATAGGCGACGGTTATCACTAAACATCAGGTGAATCGCGTCTCACTTGCCAGCTCCTTATATAAAGATATCGTTATGAACTTGAATTCTAGCAAGACTCCATGCAGTAGCATAAATGGGGTGCAGTACCTCCCAAGAAGTTTAACGTGTCACAAAGTCACAATCAGCCGGAAAACTCATTTCAACTGTTTTTTGGGACTCTGTAGGAATCTTAAAGGGATAAAGGTATTTCTATAACCGGAGATTACTACGCAACAATGGATTAAAAGAAGCTATTAAAGAAAAAAGAACAGGAAAATTATGCAGAGGCGTCTTCCTCTTACGCGACAATGTGCCCGTCGACAAGAGGCGTATTGCACTGGCTGCCTTGGTCTCGATATTTACTAAAAGGTTGGTCTCGATATTTCAAATGACCTACCTCATAGTCCAGACCATGTACAAGTGATACCACCATCAAAAATAAAAAAGAGCTTTTCTTGAAAAGAAATTTAACCGATGAAGAAGTTAATGAATAAGGTAACAGTAAAATTATAGTTGAAGTGGTTTTGATTATTTTATTAGTGTAAGTAAAGGTATTTAGTTGGAATTTAACGATATAGAGTAGTCAGATGATACACCAGTCCTGGCTGGTGTTGCAGCGACTCAGAAATAAATATAAAGTCAATAGTATAGAAAGGACGACAGTACGTTTTTCCGAATCTCACAAGAAAATGGGGCACTCGATCAGAGATGTACATAACCACTGCGGAGTGTATTCTTAAAGTATTCACTTAAGTAGTAAACAACTGTTACACCCTCATTAAAATTTCTAAGTGTAAATTTAAGTATACAGCGTGTCGTTACCACCGCGACAATAAATGAACACACATATAGAGGATAATTTTTTAAAATTGTATTAAACATTTACATTCTTCAAACATCAATATTTACAGAGTTATTAAATTTTCCAAAACAAACAATTTTAGAACACCCTTACGAATAAAACTGTAACGTAAAGGTCACAAAGCATATGAATTGGTTGAATGAATTTAAAAGAGACAAAACATACTGTTAGAAGGAGAGGCTTGTAATGCGACGCTGTGTAGGATGTTACAAATTTTGTTTCTTTTTTACTTAATTAGTTTGTTTGAAAAATATTTTTTTTTAATTATGGATTTAGTTTAACGTTAATATTTTTTTATGATTATTGGCAAGTAGCGTTAGACGTGTGTTCATTTATTGTCGCGATGGTAACGACACGCTGTATAATATTATTACCTCCAAAATTATTCTATCAATTAGTTGCAACGTGAAGAGGCCGCCAGACAGTCTTTTCAAATATTGGGCGTCGTCATCAATCTCTTCAGTATCTTGCTGAAATAAGTTACGAATTTATAATGTTATCTATACTATACAACCTCAAACACATATGACAGAGGCACCAGACCATAGACAGGGAGGCTAAAGTGCTGGGGCCTTTCTTTACTTCACTACGTCATGCAAGCAGGCGACAATTAATATGAACTCTTCATTGACACATGTACACTCCAATCCGATGGTCAAATTATCCAATTTGGTTCACGCCCACGAGGGCTTCCTCCGATAGGCTACTTTCAATAACATTTATTGCTTACAACTTAGTATTCATAAACGTAAAAATGTAACTTAGAATTGGTATGAATACTAACCTTCAAAATTAATAAAAGTTCAAAATTAAAAAAAATACGTTTTAAGAAAATTAATGAATTATAAGTAATTTAAATTTAAAAAAATCAGAATCGAAAACTTATACAAGTGATAAACACTTACCTCCATTTCTTTTTCTGTTCTATCAACTTTGTCCATATATTTAAAATGTAATTCTAATAGCCTGTCAACTTTTTCGAGATCATTCTCAGTAAACTTTGCCAAAAGACGTTGCCTTTGGCTTCCTTGACAATTCCGTAACATTGAAGCTATTATAGAAACAACATGTTCTGAAAAACCAAAGGGAATATAAAAAAATTTAAGTTTCACTTACCTATACATATAGTCCATCAAAATAGAGAAATACGTTTTGATATTTTTCATGTCGGAAAAACTTTGCCCTATCATATGCAAATACGATTTTTTTTTTAAATTGTTTTTAGCTAATTTCATAGTGAAAAACTAATTACTATAAATTAACATTTTGACAACTTCAAATAAACTGTTTATCAATTTTATGGAGAATACATCCATATTTCATAAGACTCATTTACTTTTAGCTTATTTCTAGACAAGTTAAACTAAGAGCTGCCAAAATGTATATCAGATCAGATGGAATTAAATTTTCTATTCAATATTAATGTTTTCTTAAATATTATTTACTCATCATCATTATAATTTTAACATGTTCAAGTCTAATCATGGACATAGGCCTCAACAATACTCTACATAATTATTACCTTCATGCTGATCTACTGTTAACAGTCTTTTCCTCTTTGGAGTTTTCATGAAAAGTGGAAACACAGTTCTTAGACCCAATATATCTACAAACTTATTGCAGTTATCTTTTCCATCAGGACCTGCCAGAGCATGGTCAAGCACTTTTAATGATCCATTTCGCGACATTTTCTTTTCCCTTGAAACAGAATAACACAAAAGTACACAGCTTTAAAAAAAAACAATTAAAAGCTGTTGAATTAAATGATTCAAAGAATGTTAAGTAATCAAAAACTGCAATTTCTTGAAGCAATATCACATCAAACGTTCATTTAATGTGAATGAAACATCTTTAATAAAATAGAGTTATATACTGACCTTAACATTAGATTCATGAGTTGCAAACCCTCTCCACGTAAGAAACGATCTCTGTTAGCAGGCTCCATAAGAGCACAACATAATGTATCAAACATATTTTCCATAGCTTCTTGTTCTTCTGCCCCACTAGGGTCATGTCTTTTATAAAACTTTAGGAGGGAAAAATTTATTTTTAATTGATTAGAAATTTTTTATACTAAAATTTACTCGTGAATTAGTTTATTTACCGCCAACTGTTGCAATAATACATCAATACCATCCAACTCGCCCAACAATTTCCTATTTTCAGGTGTGTTTTGAAGCAGTATTGATAAAATTTCTGTTGCGTACAATTTGTTTCCATCAAATGGTACTTTTAACTATAAATTAAAGATTAATTAATAACACCTCAATAATCTTTCGTGCTGCAAATACTCAATATAATACATACCCTTAATCTTTTGAGTATCCATTGTATAAACCCTTGTTTTGCAACCTCATGACATAGTTCTGGTCTAAACTCAGTAATATTCTCTATTACACCTAAAAAATGAAATAGTGTACTTAGACATGTACAGAATAGTGTACATCATTCATTCAACATTATTAAATTATAAGCTGTTTTAGGTAGATTGTGAACATTATAATAAGAAAGCAAGTTATTAAATATGACGAGAATAAAATATGTAATTTTATACACATTATTTTTATACTAAGTAAAACAAAAGAGACAATTTAAGGGAAATGGACAATAAAAAATATTATTAAAAAAACCTAATGTGTTATGTACAGCATCACGCTCATCTGGTACTTGCTCATCAAGACGAGCTAGATTGTGCAACAATAGAGCTGGAGCATCAGCTTCTGCCAAAGCCTTGATCAGCTCTTCTGCTCCTTCTTCACTTTCATGAAGAATGTCCACATCGGTAAATTCCTAGCAAAGGAGTTTAATCTGGGATATTGTTTTTTATACTAAGTATATACATACATGTGTAGACCCATTTGTAGGGCCACGCAGCAGCATCGGGTATTGCACAAATAGGCAGACTCGTCCAGGGAAGTATTACAACCTCAATGAAGACTGGCATATAGTGGAAGTATAATACTTTCTCATTTCATAAGGTGAGCAAGGTGACCAGTGGCCTCTTTTTTAATGTTGTTGATGCTTTTGCAACCTCTGTTGATTAGTTGTCAATGGGTTGTAGTAATCACTTAATATCACATGAACTGCATGCTTGTTTGCCAACTTCTAACATATGATTCAAAATGTTAAATATATAAAGTAATATTGAGGCACTGGCTTAACTGTGCTATGACCACGCAACAGCTTGAGCTGCTGTAAAGTATTATACTTTTGCATTTGATCTGGTGTGTGAATACCAGGGTCCACTGTTTTTAAGTGTTGGGAACTCGGGTGTTGTTGATGTCCATGGGCAGCAGTAAATACGTCTACTGAACCACTTAAGCACATTCATAATTAAAAAAAAAAAGAAAAAATTATGTACCTGTAAAAGATGGACAACCTTAGTAGAAATGTCAGTGTTGTCATGTGATAACAATTCCAAAAGTGAATTAATGCACTTTAGTTCCACTAGTAATGGGTATTGATCTGGTACTGTTGCAACAGCACTAAGGTCCTTGAAAATAGCACACTCAAAATTAAATAATAATCAGACAAAAAAAATAACAACTATTTGTCACATAAGATGGTAGTTAAAATTACTATTCTCATGGTTAAATGAATATAAAAAAAATAATTTATGTTTTTGTTTTTTTAGAGTTTATACAAGTCGTGAAAGCAAGCTTTTTCCTGGGATCAGTATCAATTGTAGTCTTCCCTTCAAAAACATTACCATTTACTGTAGGATAACATATATGTTGCAATAATGTTTTGCATAGATAAATATTACATAGACACAAAAATAAATAGTTGTCTTGAGTAGGAATCAAACCCACAACCCTGTCACCAAAGCCACTATGCCACCGAGTCATCATGAAATATTAGAGGAAGCTTTATAGTCTTCAGACTGAAAGCATAACTTGTATCAAGCATTTGTATAAAGTAGTAAAAGATATTATGAAATAATAAAATAAGACGGGCATTACACCTTTCTTTGATAATTACTAGATCTTTTGAGTATTATTTTATCTTTAGAGGTCATTTTATAAGATTTGTGAACACAGAGCTAAAAGTAAATTATTTGATACCTGCAAAGCTTCATGTAAATCAATTTCACTATCCATAAATTTCTCTGGTTGATCTGGAAATTTTATCCTCATTTCCCTATTTTTAAGTGCTTTTTTCTCAAAGTTAAGAACCAACTTTTTAACTGTAGTATCATCAAGAATTTCTCCCTGAAATTAATATTAGGAGAATAAAAACAATTCTACAATAGAATTAAAAACAATTTCACTTATCCTTTAATTTGATTACCTCTGTGGCCTCCGTTTCAACAAATTTAAGGATATCTTCCCTCTCTTTATCGGTAATCATGGGCTCTTTGGGAAGAGTTTGACCTTTTAGATAAGCTATTCGCTCTGTTTTAGATGATACTACACGCCTTGACTTGGACGGTCTAGGGGTCTCATCTCCAGAGTCATCACTGTCTTCGTCATTTGGTCTCTTAGGCGTTGGCGTTGGCTAAAACACAATTAATACAACTGAATTTATTTGAAATAATATCGAATAAACATAAATAAAAACGTTTTTTTCCAAAAAATAAAAGATGAAAATTTTGTCATAATATAATAACCTTAAAAGAAAGTAATTCGCCGACATCCATTATTTACTTAATAACTTCTTATCCGTAACAAGATGAATATGTACTTAATACTTATGTATCCAGAATTCTAATATAAAACGAATTTTCAGATATTGTTTAATGTTTACTACAACACATACACAACTATAGTAAGCATATATACTGAAGTATACATGTATGTACACAACAATACCTAGTTTTTTTTATTAGTATTAGTAGGCATGGAAAAATATCGATATTTTTCCATATAATCATCGATATATATCGTAGATATTTTTGACCGCGATATATCGATGTTCGATATTTATTTAAACTATCGAATTCGTGATAATATATATTTTTAACGCAACTCTGGTTTCGTGTTTAATGTTACTAGATTTTCTTTGCATGCTCCGCGAGCAGGGTCTATTCTTTTTTATGAATTTTGAATGGTTTGTAAATATGTGTGAATAATCATGCGAAAACAGACGATATCTCGTTATTTTTCACTCGATATTTATCGACACTTCTTCAACATTAGCAATCCTTTTGGCAACTCACTCAACATTTGAAAAGACATTTGACAGCTGTGAGTTGACTTTAGGCATGAGATATACCTGCAACATTCTTTACCCGGCCTCAAAGGTACGGGTATCGCCGTATACCCGGTGCTAAAACCCAGTATCAAAATACCTATAGGTATTAGTTATGTTCAGACCTTCTTTTGGAGACGCGGTCGAATCAAATGAATTGAATCTTTGGTTGGAATTGGAATTTAAATGTTTTTTTAAGCAATCAGTTTTTTTTTAATTGAGATTTAATCAGTCTAAAATAAGCTCCATCTGTACCAACAAAGGAAAGGTAAAGAACCCTATTATAAAAAAAAAAGTAATTCAAAATAAATTTTACTGTTTACTGTAACCTTATTACGCAATTATTTAATTAACTTATGGTCATAGAAACAAAGAATAAATTTATCTCAAGGAATTATTTGGTATAAAATGCCTCAATCATACGTTTCAATTCGGGCATGATCGGGAAGAGCCGCCGTAAGCGTTCGGGGAACTTCGTACCTATTCGGCCGGCGGGTTGTCGCGAGCGTATATACCGCCACTGTCGGACGAGGCGGCCATACCTATCGGGTATGGATCGGGCCTCTGCCGTACATACGTCATACCCGGAGTGCGGGCGGGTTGTCGCGAGCGTATATACCGCGACCGTCGGACGAGGCGGCCATACCTATCGGGAATGGAACGGGTCTCTGCCGTACATACACGGTATGCGTACTGGTATGTTCATACTGGGTATTTATACCTGTGCCAGTATATACGCCTCATCCCTAGTTGACTTGTAGGATGATCAGTGCAGTCTTGAGTCTGGCGAAACTAGGAACAAAAAACTTTACGCGGCAAATAATGGTGGATATTGCTATCACTCTCCCTCAATGCTTTTTCTCTTTCTTGCAATACAAGAAGTGCCATGTTTTTTGTCAAAACTTAATTTCGTACGGCGTATTTTGAATGTAATTGCTTATTATATTGTAAATTTAAATTGTTTAGAGTAAACTTTCTCACGAAAACTAGTGACAGGTGATCAGAGTTGTACTTTTAATTCAAAATGCCTAAAAGACGGTTTATTACCTGTGAAATTGGTGAAAATCGAGCAAGTCATTCAAATCTTGAAAAAAGGATGTTTATGGCGAGATTTCCCTTAGATGAAACCCATGTAAGCACTTAAATATGATACTTTGCAGCCATATGTAAGTAGAGCAGGCTAATTACAAATAAAATTAACAAATTTATCTCATTTAAATTGTGTGCTAGTGATGTACTGCAACTGTAATATCCACATATCGATAGCTACGTTAATTTTTATCATTGAAAAAAAATAAGAAATAAAATGTTGCGTGAAAGAGTAGGGGCACAAAGTTTTACATATTAGCATGGTGTGCATAAATAAATCAGCAAGGATCGAAATAGGTGAATTTTGCAGGATTTTGAAACATAATCTCTGTAATATTTCTACGTGATATAATTAATTTCGTGTGCTGAGTATGCAAGAAAACTAAAATAATTTTTGGATTTTGATTCTATTTTTATGTTTTAATTATTTCCAGACTCCAGGACAACAGCTGTTGAAGAATCAAGAAACAAATTTCATTTCAGTAATAAAATTTTATTTTAATTAACAGAAACCGTTTTTTATCTTATTTCGTCCGTATTCAAGTCCAATCTTCTACCAAATGTACCCTCATCAACATTGGACATAAATAGACTCGATACTTACCTACTAAAATTAATAAAAAAGTATTAAGTGGAAACCTCTGTTTCTACCTAGTATCTTTCATCGATATCGATAAGAAGCTAATCTAGGTTGGTTAAGCACTATTTGGCTCGTTACGTTGGTACTCATGTTGTTTGACATCTTTGTGGTATTTTTGTGGCATGGTTGGTATTGGAGTGCCGCGTAAACTGGCTAGTATGGAAGTCCCGTCTCTTAAACGTAAAGATTGGAAACTCTTTGGATTAGTTTTTCAGAAACCGGGCGTCAGCTCTCTCTCTCTCTCTCTCTCTCTATTGTATTAAAGATAATATAGGTATCCTTATTATCTCTGTTATCTGTGTTCCAGAGTACTACATATTATACAGAGTTAAAGTTTTTTTTTGTTAGTATCAAGAGACTTTATAACCAAATATATTTGGGTCTTTGGTTTGTGTATCTATCTAATTCAATATCTAATATCTATACTTCAATCTACATCATAAATTAACACTACCCACTGGCTACTTATAATCAAATACTTTAATCATTTTATAACTTAACATTGAACTAACTTTCATATAAATATCGTCACCATGATGATGCACTTTTAATTATTAAATATAGACTTTGATCATTAGAATATAAAACATGGTATTTAATTGTTAGATGAATGAAAACCTCATAAGAAAATAACCTAGGCAGTTGTTTTACAAAGATGCGCTTCTACATCAATCATTAAAATAAAACATATTTCATTGATACAAATGAAAATAGCACTAATTTCAATGAAATTAGCACGTAGAAGGTTAAATTTTATTATCTGTTTGGTTAGATTTAAAAAAAAATTGGGATGGCGCCAAAAGTTCAAGCGGATAGTTTGAAATTAATAATATATGAAAGATTTATTATGGTGAGAATGCTTAAAAATCATTATTTTTACAATAGTTTGATACAATGTATGAATACACACCAGACGTCTCCGAGGCTACTAGTAAGTGAACAGCATCAGTAAGAATAATAATAGATAATTATGTAAAAGTAAAAATAAAGTTATTGTATTATTTTATTTTTGATACGGTTTGCGTTTTTTTATATGCATCATGGTGAATAGCATAATAGTTAATATTACGAGTATCCTCTGTCAGGGTTTAAAGATTTAACATCTTATTTTCAGAATTTTGCTATATCGATGCAATATGCCGAGAAAAACGATTTATGCCAAGTATTGGAATTATTACACGTTTCTCAGGACATGCAAGTACAAGTTAAATTATTTTCCATCTTAGCAGTTTATTTGGTATCAAATGTAAGCTTCTTATAGTTTTATAAACTTTATGTATTAGTAGTTATTTTAATTGGATGGTTTTGACACTGTTGTATTTATACTTATCTATCATCAGGATAAGTAAATTTTAAAACGATAATTCCGATTATAATGAGAACTGAGCAATTAAAAAATACTTAAGTAAGTAAGTTGTAGAAAGGGAATTAAATTTGGGATTAAATTTAATTGAATAATTATGTAAGCATTAATTGACTTCTTTGAGTCGGCAGGTTGTGTTAAGCAATTATTATTTTTGACACACACCTACTATAAGAAATAGATCACAAAGTAGTCATCAGTGTCATCATTTTAGCCTGCCTTCGACGCAGGCCGCGATCGTTCTTGAACCACCTGCATCCTTCGACTTCCCGCACATTTGAAAAGGTTGTCCGTCAATCACAGAGCAATGCGAAATAGTAAAACATTTTCGCTTAACCTAAAACGTTAGTTGTTAATTAACGTTTAAGCTAACTTTAATGTTACAACGAACCGTTTACACGATCGCAGGGCACACACAGCGATATGATAATAAAATTCAACCCGTTATACGACAAAATATGCGCGGTACTAGCTAGGGGTTTGCCGCAAAAGACCAATGTAACGTTGAACTTCATCACTGCCCTGCTCTACACGGATATCGTGGCGGCGACGCGGCGTCGGGCCCTTGTCGCGTACGCACAGAACATGTTGCGAACTAGCGGTTGCCTCACAGCCATGGCGAACCTTTTCACCGCTTGCATGATTGTGAGTCTGATGCCATTCCCTTTTCATCGACCACGAGTCGTTTTGTCATTGTTATGTTCCCTTTTCCGTGTACTCTCTGTGCATGCACGTAGGTAATTAATTCGCGAGGTTACGCTTAATAAATATAAAAGAAAAACTGAATTTAAAATTTTGTGAATGTTATGAACAATTTTAACATATCTTAAAAAAAAACATAACTTTGGCATAATTTATATAAATTAATTTTTTTTTATAGTGCTAATCTCTGCACTTAAGATTAAACATTAATTTTTTTTTGTACAATGGATGCGCCAAACATTGCTTCAAATACTAAAAAAAAAACAATGTAGATAAAAGACGTTTAGATTTTCATCAGTGTGGCAATCAGTCGTTTAGCTTAGTGACTAAAGCATCAGGCCGCGAATGCCGAAGACGTGGGTTCGATTCCCACAGCGGCGACAATCTTTTCGTACCTTTTGTACAAATTTTAAAAATTTGGTATTTATATTATGTTCAATATCTAGCTCAAAAAGTGAATTATTGGAATAATTGTCGATTAACATGGCTGTAATAGAGGAGTCTAACTGTTAACAGCAAAATCGCGGAATGTGAAGCTTGTACGCACATTCGCTTAAAAAATGCTCAACCAATTCACATATAATCAGTAAATATTAAAAAAAATTAACAATTTGTCAATTTCTATAATCCAAGTAAAGTAAGTATCGGTATATACACATAATATATATACCACTGCTGGACCAAGGTCTTCTCTGTACTGACAGTATGAACCTACTACGGATAGGCCGAGTTCACATATCTTCTAAAGTACTTTTTTTTGTTATTGTTTCGAAAAAATGTAGGTTTTCTGACGATGTTTTCCTTCACCGCTGAGCACGTGATAATTCAGCACTTAAAATTAACAATTTCAATGGTTGGCACCGGGATTTGAACACAGGTTGCTGGAGTACAATGAACTAATAGTGAGCTTCGGACACTGACATATCACATTATCGGCTCTATAATTTACCGAATGGAATTATTTTTGTTTACATAAAAAAAAAACGTTTTCTGCACTTGGTCATGATTACAATGATCGTCGATAAGCTTACATTTGAGGATTGTAACTGGCAAATATAATGATTGGATCAGGTTTATCGCTTCCTTATTTAAAGCATATTGAGATTCCTAAACGAACATTTTTTTTAAACATAACATGGACGATATTACTCATGGATCAGGTTGATTCGTATTAGTGACGAATTAAGTAATTGAATAACGCATTACCGAGTGTAATTAAGGAATTATTACTTTTTTTTAAATATGAAGTGAAAACGACGAAACGCAAAAGCAAGCATTTCCACTGTACACCGTTCTTTTTGGAGCTCATGATAATATAATAATAACGGTAAAAACGTCGAAACGTCGGTGGTTAAAATAAAGAAAGAAAAACACGAGTTAAGAAATAGTTTTATTAAGATTTACCCGATTGAAGAATAATCTGAATTCTGGCTGCAGCAACAGGAGACGTGGCGGGCACTTTGCCAATGTCTGGCAGAAACATGCAATGGGATGGAAAAGAATCAGAATTACTGCTCGCACCTCATTCCTTTGGTATGGCGCTTCGTAAATACTAGTGTTTTTGAAATTAAAATTTCTAGAAGAGATCATTGTTTAATATATTCATGATATTTGCGTTGCCCACTTTGTTAAAAGATGGGTGTTGCAAATGTCAATGGGCGGAGGCTATTACTTAACATCAGGTGAACCGTCAGCTCGCTTGTCATCATCTCACGTAAAAAAATATTGTTTTCTTAGTTTATTTGTGAAGATTTCGTTTTGTGAGTGCATTCAAGCTTGAAAGTACATCTTTAGTTTACCGTAACTGGATAAAGACAGATGGGCGTATGGTTTCCATTTATTTAGGCGGTTCACCTTATATGAGTGATCTTAATTACCTACCTTCGCCCTTGTTTAAACAAAACACCCGTTGCTACTAAATTCGAAATGATTAATACAGAAACAAAAGGTAATACTAATCAGTTACGTTAAAAATCCGACATTTGTTTAATATTTCGATGAAAATAAAATGTTTATTTTCTAACTTGATTTATTGCAACCTCTCCATTTCCATGGCGGATGTACACAATGTTGCAGTCCTTGTGATATTTGTAGGGCGCGTTTAATGTTAACGGTTTAAAATTAACCCTTATTTTCGTTCCGTGCAGTGCGTTCGTCGTTGTAACCAGGGAAGTGAGTACGTGTTTCAGTTACTACAAAGTTTGTTGCACAACAACGATCATAATATGCAATTGTTTTACGAAACCGGCGGCCATAATGTGTTTTCGAGGTCTGTGTTAGGCTCATTTTACCTAAACAACTTGTACAAAAACTCTGTATGCATGCAATGTATGCAGTGTAAATAAATAAAGCCGAACTTTCGTTATTTTTCAGGGAGTTTTTAAAGTATGACCAGTGCTTGCAGCTCTTGAGTACAGTCATTTCGAAACCAGATTATAAAATTAAACTCTTAGAAGAAACCAACATTTTTGCTGAATTGAAAGATTTAAAACGATTGTACGGTATTTCGTCTGAAGTACGTATTATCTCTGATTAAATCGTACTCACTGAAAGTGAACTTTATTTTAATATATTATTTATTGCATTCATAGGTAGGTCAATGGGCCACAGTAATTTTGTACGCTATAAACAACACAACAAAAGCTCCAGGTAAATGTAAAATAGATTAAAATTAATAATTAATTGGGTTTGACATAATTACTCCTAAGGTAAAAGTTAGTTTCAGAAACTTGCAAAGGCTTAGGGAAGGAACCCAATGTTATTGATGATGTAGGAGACCGTAAATATGTAAGAGACCATAAAATATCGAGTAATAATTATACTAAAAACCAAAATATTACCAGTACGCCAGACCTCAATGTTACTAATTGTGGAAATGACACTTCGGAGTTATTTCAAAATGTCATCAGAGAAGTTTTAAATTTCGAACCTCGACTCAAAACTGGTACGTCTACGAGAATAAATAAACCAAATATAAATATTAAAAGAAACGCTCATAGAAGCTCCAGTCAAATAATAAATGGTGTAGAAGACTATTCTAAAGATACTATTAACTTACCGAAACCACGTGATCCGTTTTTACGCCCATATTTACCGAAGCGCAACTCCGATAAGGAGTATAATTTAAAAAATAATAATATTCAAAACGTTACCAAGTTTAGTACAACTCAAAATAATAAATTGAAGAAAAAATATCTGAATCTAGAAGAAACTAAAACTAACTGTTACGACGCAAGTAGTTTCAATAAGACACCAATAAAAGACACGATCATACCGGATGAAACTATCATTGATTTTAGACCTACGTTCGTATCTACGCCAAAAGTAGTACACAGAACTGATTTAAATGGGCTTAATATGTCTTATGTGTCAAAAAGATATTCACCGATCAATAAAAAATATAATAGCCGCATTCAACGCGGTCGAATGGAGTCCAAATTTAAAACTGATAATAAAAACAACAGAAGCGAGCGCCATCGTTCTATAGGAGCTCGGCTTTTTGACGTCATTAACGAATCCTGTACAACGCTAATAAAGACAGTCAAGAACGTGTTCCAAACGAAGAGGGCAGAGAAAAGCCCCGCTAAGGTCTCCACGAAATCGAACGATGACGATTCATGCAAAACTCATCGTGCAAACAGTTTCACGAGCTACATGCGGAAAAGGGACGCCTACATTAAAGGCGACCGCAGTAGTATTTGGGACGAATCACAAAACGAATGTTTCACTTGCAACGACACTCTCAGCCTAAAGCAAAAGTTCGTCAACGATGATGTCCTAAAGGAAAACGTTCAAAGGCTAAAGTTAGGCATCAATTTGTACGGATGCGATTTTAAGGTGATTTTGAATAAGTAAATACTAAATAGGTGCATAATTGAATAAGTAAATAATGCAATGTGATAAAAGAATTTATTAAATTTTGTATTCTTTCAGAAAATATCGAAAACCCTTTGGAGGAACGAAAATTATATGACACCATCTGTTCTCTACAATCTATATCGAAAACTTATCCTAAAATGACCTGCTCTTTGTTTTTCATGGAAATGCATGAAAAAAAAGAAAGCATGTTGAAGATATTAACGGGTAATTTTTATGACTTCAGATGTACCTAACTTGTAAGAAGTAATAAGGAAATTAAAATATCTGAATCAGATGAGTTTTTTTGGCCCAATTCATTATCAGGAATAATCAATTGACCTAGTGAAACAATTTAGTTCTTTCTTTACCAAAGTATTTTGAAACCAACTTTCATAATCGTCGACATTTTATTACTTAAGAAGTTAATAATGAAAATGTTAATTTAATTTTATAGGCACTTTATCGTCTAGTAATTTTATACATTTGTAGCATGAAACAGTTATAATATCGAAAGTGTTACGAAAAGAAGACGTTTCAAGCCTTTCTGTCAAGTATTTTTGTATACCACGATGACTTTATTATTGATGATTACGGAGATAAGTCTGGAGGAAACAGAAACGGTCTAAAAACGCATGTTCTCTTCTCGATTGCTATTAGACGAAATCTATGAGATAAACGCTATTATTTTTTATCTCATAAAGTTAGAAGGTGGTAAGCAAGCTGGCGGTTCAGTTAATGTTAAATGATAACCGCCGCCCTTGGACATTTGTACCCTTTTAATAAAGTGGGTACCTCACTCACCTGACAAACGCAGAAATTTAACATTTCTACTGCCCGCTGGTCTTCTGTGAGGTCGTGGTAGTTCCCCGGACGGTCCTGCCCATTGCTGCCACGCAACAGTTCGCTGTTCGCGTGGCCCTACCACAACTTGTCTATGACTCTAATATTGTAATTGACATCGTGATGAAATCTGAATATACAGCTACGAACCCGAAACCAAAAGACAATCAGCTCATTGGGTTCTCTTTTTGACGATCAGCCAACTAAAGTAAAGAGAGGAAGAAGTCAAGGAAAAATGATGATTGCATTGTTCTGTGGTCGGAAAAGTCATTTCTTAGTGGTGCTGGAAGATGGAAAGACAGTTACTGCAGACTGGTATATTAACTGTTGTTTGTCTGTTGTCTTGGAAAATGTTCGACAGCAGAATCAGGATCCTCCTTCACCATGTCAAATCTTCAGCTCACTCTGCGGCCTTTTAAAAAAGAGTATGCTCTCTTCTTGAAGGTTCCCAGGTCGTAACGGTTCGGAAAGATCCCCGGCAGCAGCTGGCTCCACAGAGTGGTTGTGCGAGGCAGGAAATGCCTTGAAAATCGCGCTGTTGTGGAACGCTGGACATCGAGGTGGTGTGGAGGAAATTTTTGGTTCTGGCGCGATGTCCAATGGTGGAATTCAGCTGCCGGGATCAATCCAAACAATTCCTCGGAACACTCCCCGTGATAAATGCGGTAGAAGATGCAGAGTGATCCAACATCTCTACGCAGAGCCAAAGGATAAAGCGGATCGGAAAGACTGATCGTTGATAACCCTAGCCGCTAGAAGAAGCTGGTAATAGAGGGCTCCCGCCCAGAGATGAGAACAGTACTCCATGTGGGGCCGAATTTGCGCCTTATAGAGGTTTAGGCATTGAGCCGTAGCTGTGAAGTACTGTCTCGCCTTGCTGAGCACACCAAGCTTCTTTGAGGCCAATTTGGCTTTACCTTCCAATTGACCGCGGAACTGGACGTTGCTTGAGATTTCGAAGAATATTTTTTTTATTATTTCTAAAATATGGAGGTTTCCTCACGATGTTTTCGTGTGCGCACGTGATAATTCAGCACTTAAAATTGACAATTTTATTGTTGCTGGAACCTGGGATCGAACTCAGGTTGCTCGAGTATATTAAATTAAAGGCGAGCACCCGGACACTGAGCTATCACGGCTGGTTTTTGGTTTATGGTCTACAGTTTTGGCTAAAACTCTTATTTTTTATTGATGTTTGTGTTTTCAGAATGCAATACCGAATGCCTCTGCGGCATCAAAAAACCCGCCAAGTGCGAAACGGCCTCGCACACGAAGGGTTCCGTACTATTATCTATAACAAAAACATGTCTGTTGTATTAAAAAAAATATTGCTTAAATATTTTTTTTTTTGTTTTGTTTTTACTATTTGTTATTATAGCGGCAACATAAATACATGTGTGAAAATTTCAACTGTTTATGTTCATAAGATACAGCTTGACGACAGAAAGACAAACAGACAGCGGAGTCTTAGTAATAGGAACTCGTTTTACCCTTTGGGTACGTAAACCTAAAAAAAGCGCACTCGTACATATGGGAAGGGGCTGGTTAGGGCACTTTAGAGTACGTTAGCCAAAAATCTTCTTGCGAAGACTTATAAATGGATAGGGGAGTGAAGAGATTTTTAAAAATTAAAAAGTATGCATGTTTAATATGGAATTAAATAAATACGTATGTATTATAGAAATAAATTACAATTTACTATAGATGGATTCATGGACTACCATGTCTTTAGTTATGTCTGCTACGGATGGAGTACCTGCGGAGAAAAAGGTATTTTTAAAGAAATAAAGCAGCTTGTTCGTTTCTTGAAATTGTGTCAACAATGTATACACATCGCTATGTCAATTCATAAATATATTATATACTTACCCTTTCTCTTTACTTACCTTATAAAAGAATGAACACTGAGAATAAAGACCCAATTTATGAAACCTAACCTTTTACTGTGGTAGGGCCACGCAACAGTCTTCGCTGTTGCACGAATGGGCACGTCCGTCCGGGGGAGTACCACGACCTCACTAAAGACCGTCGTGAAGTGGAAGTGTCTTTCGCCTGGTGCCTTTCGTCTGGTGAGTGAGGCAGCCGGGGCCCACTTATTTAACAGGTGGCAAGCACATTTGCAACCCTACGCGTGTTGCAGATGTCAATGGGTCGACGGTTATCGCTTAATAACAGACCAATCGCCAGCTCGTTTGCCACTTTCTCATATAAAAAAAAACCCGTATTGAATTATGTGTTAGTTATAGCAACTACCTGCTATTTGGAATGTATACTCCAGTTCAGTTCTAAATATGTTGAGCATGCGTTGAACACCAGCTTGTCCTCCTATAGCCAACCCCCACAAAGCTGGACGCCCCACGAATACCTGAGAAAAGAATATGATGCAAATGTGATAATTAATTTTATCAACACCTTAATTCATCTCACAACTGGGTAAATATCTCTCGCACTCTTCCTCTCTAAAATTGTAGTATTTATCAATTCCGTATAGATATGGTTAGTGGAAAATGTATTCTCTAATAACTATTTTTAAAATGGTAAATCAACATTCAAAAACTCAATTAATAGGTCTTTACCTATGACATTGCCCTTCTTCAGTACTGGCCATTTCAAACAAAAAAAAAGTTTTGATTGGCTGTGAATTCCAAATAAAAATTAATTTTGTTTTAAAAACATGAGATTCCTTTTACAAAGTCAGTCTTTTTGTTTATTGATTAGGTTATTTTTTTTTATTCATTATATTTAATAATTTTTCACGATAATGGAGACTTTAAAAGTTCGTGTTATTATGGAATACGAGTCCCGTGGTGCCACCAATATCAACAATGATTACGGAGAGAACTTTAAAAACTAACGCACAACCCGTTATTGGTTTCACCAGTTCCGTTTTGGAAATTTTGACTTGAAAAATGAACCTTCTGGTCGTCTGGACACTTCGGCCAACAATAATGAATTAAAGGCGATTGTGAAAGCTGATGATACTCAATCTACAGCCGAGCTTTTGATGTTAGCATCAAAGTAATATTATTTAATTTTTGGCAAGGTAATTGGCTTGATAGATGGGTGCCCCAAGAACTTAACGATCGCCAAAGCAACGTACGCGTCGAGACCTGACTCGCGCTGTTCCACAGGCACAGAAATGAAGGAATTTTGAACCGAATTGTTACGTGCGACGAAAAATGGATTCTGTTCGACAATCGAAAACGCTCAGCATGTTGGTTATATCCTGGGTCAGCACCAAAGCAAATGCCCTAAACGAAAAATTCCTTGCGATTGGAAGCTCTCCCTCATCCGCCATATTCACCAGACCATGCACTAACCGGCTATTACTTTTTCCAAAATTTGGACAACTTTTAGCGCGAAAAAACTCAATTCTTGAGAGGCAGTACAAAATGCCTTTGAAGAAAGTTTGTTGTCTCTAAAATAAAACTGCCAATGCGTTGGCAAAGATACATCGATTGCATAGGTGATTATGATTACTTTGAATAGCAGAAATAAAAAAAGTTTGAAATAAAAATACTTTAACTTATTTCATACAAAACGGTCATTCATAGGTAACGATTACAACTTAAGAATTTTAATGTATCAATCTTATGTCAATAATTTTAATTATAATCCAATATTAAAAAAAAACATATGATCTTATAGCTTTTCAGTAAGCTTGTCGCCGTACATGGGAACGGTTACGATGTTAGTCAATTTTGGGAATAACAAAGTTTATAAATTAATTAATTTAATAATTATTAGAGACTCACTGGGATTCTAATCAGCAGGCTACTTCGACGTTCCAGGCGTTGGGTCAACAATCGCATTAATCTTACGCAATTAATCAACTCCTAATATTAATAATTATTTAAAAACAAAAGCTTAGAAATAATTATTTACCGCTTTAGCACCAAGCGTTAAGGCTTTATAGACATCAGTGCCTGTGGTGACACCACCATCCAAGTACACTTCCACGTCGTAATTCTTCACCGCTTGTACTATTTCTGGAAGTACTTCAATCTGAAATTGTGATGATATTGTTAAAACAAATCAAAGGCCGATCTTCATAATGAGCTCCGCTAACGTAACATTCTTATCAATATATAACCCACTCCAAGTGAGAAACAAAAGTGCTTGTCGATTATGATCACTGCTTAATTCTCCTTTCTACATTTTTGGCATATACTCGTATATATTTCCGATTTGTAAATATCTGGTAACTTCTAAGCCCCTTCGACCGAGTTCCCACCTTGTCGTGGCGGAGGGGCTTAGTAGCCGTAGCTTGGTCACCGACGTCGAAGCCAAGAGGAACACTGAGCCGGCCCGTGGTGTAAGGCCGGCCCAAGAGGGCCGCTCAGAGAGGGCCACTCACGCCACTCTGGATGCGTTCTGGAGGGTGCAGGGGACAGGTGCTGGTGCAGGTCAAGGGTGGTAGGAGGAGCCTCTCCCTGCCTTCTGTTACTGAGGAGGAGGCGACTAAGAGTAGTGCCGGTATCGCGTTTCGCCGCGGCCGGAACGTGGTGAGCGGCGAAACCACAGACTATGTCACCGCTGGAGGTTTTCGTTGGTGCGAGTCCGACATAAACCATCCTTTCCTTTGCGCGGGCGGATGTGCGTAGGCATTTCCACAAACAATCGTTAACAAAAAAAAAGTATTGACTTTTAAGAGTTGCATACCGTTGCCGGCACTCCATCTAATTGTCTAGCTCCGTGGTTTGAAACCAAAATAGCGTCGCATCCAGCTTCAACGGCTTTTACAGCTTCGTCGCCACGGAGAATGCCTTTTGCAATAATGGGCAACTTTGTGAAGCTACGTAAATAAAAAAAATATCTAATATAATTCAACAACAAAGTATTACGTCAGAAATTGATAAAATTATGTAAACATATTTATGTTACCTTTTCAACCACCTTATCTCATCCCATGTCAAACTCTTGTCGAAAAGATTATTAACATATGTATTTAATCCACTTCCTTCGCCGGATGTATGGATTTTAGTAGAAAGATGGCCTTCGAAATTTGCAAGCCTTAAAACAAATTTCTTCCGTTACTACATAGATTTAATAACATACCTAATATATTAACCAAGTGCGAGTCGGGCTCGCGCACGAAGGATTCCGTACCATTATCTATTAAAATGGAAAAAAATGAAGTCTATTGTATGGGATTAAATAATTTTTTATTCTGTTTTTAGCTGATGTTATAGCCGCAACAGTAATACATCATGTAAACATGTCAATTTTCTATCTATCACTGTTCATGAGATGCAGCCTGGTGACAGACAGACAGACAGCGGAGTCTTTGTAATAGGGTCTCTTTTTACCCTTTGGGTACGGAATCCTAAAAACTGACTAACAAACGTTCACGATTATAAAAATAAATATCATCATTAATACATACGCACGTAATACATTATCTCAACCATAAATGTCGCAAGTAAGTCCAACAATAATATTTTACGTAATAATTTCTAAATAAAGTCTGACCGAAGTTTCAATTGATGCACTGATGCCGGAGCAGCGGTCACTTGAACCACTAGTGCTGTTTGTTGTTATAATAGTTGTTAATATTCAAGTTCAGTTATAGTTAAAATATTACGATCAAGGTAAAAACGTTAGAACTCTTATACATATTTGAGAGCCTGGAGGCTGGGTGGCAGAGCAAGGTGGCTAACCTTGCAAAAGAATTGTGGCAGAAAAAAAAGAGAAAAAGAGTAGGGCCACGCACCACTTTCAACTGTTGCACGAATGCGCAGGTCTCTTCTGCGTTTCGGCAGGTATGTGGGGTAGCTGGGGACAACTTTATTAAAAGGTAGCAAAGCAACTGCAACCCTAAGGTTGTTGAAATCGCCAGCTCTCTTGACACCTTCTCACATGAGTCTCATATTCTTTGGAAAGACGATTTGATATACATATAATATAAATAATAATAACGAAAGAAATCTAAATCTGATAAACATCTGAAATCCAAATCTGATAAACATCTGATGAACGAAAGTTGTAATTGGACCTTTAGATTAGAAATAAAAAAAAAGAAATACGAGAGGTTTTATCACCCCTCTGGCGAAGAACGGCAAAAAAGGGATTATTTTTTTTACTATTATTTTTTTATTATTTTTTTTATTATTGATACCAAAATCACGCATCTGTATATGTATCAAAGAATTTGATCCCACGGTCACACTTGTTTGACTTATCTTACATCGGATTTCTCTCAACTCTGGTACCAAATATATTAAAAACTTGCTATAATTGCTCAAAACGACAATTCAGTATTAAATTCGTTAGGTTACACAAATTAAAAGAAAATATTTCGGTCATAAATAGAAAGAAAGCAAATAACAGGTTCCAACTTCTGTTTAAAATGTTGTTTCGGTCGCACACTAATAATCGAAAATGTGCTATAGATATGTATATTATCTTTAATATTAAAGAAATTACTTACGTGTTATAAGTAACTAGCGACTCGCCCCGGCTTCGCACGGGTGCAATGTATTATACATATAAACCTTCCTACTGAATCACTCTATCTAGTAAAAAAACCGCATCAAGATCCGTTGCGTACTTTTAAAGATCTAACTTTGTTTTATATTATGTAGGGATACTTACGTACCTCAAATGAGGGGGTAAAGTAAATTTATTTCGAACATCCGCTCGCCTCAGTCCAAAAAGCGGAGTGTCAACTGTAAGTGCGATTGCTTTAAAACCTGCTCTTTCGGCCCTCAAAACTAAATTTCTTGTTACTTCCCTTAAACAAAATTATAATAAAAATATGGAGGGTAGAATAAAGGAGGACCGGCTCGTATGGGGGATTAGTCGAAAAAGTGTCCAATTGTAAACAGCAAATTATTGTTCGAACTCTCACCGAAATAGCGCTAGTGTAGCAAGTGGAAATGATATGACATGACTTTCAACGGACACTTTTTAATACACTGAGATGGTCCTCCTTTATTCTACCCTCCATACTCCAATACCTATTTTATTATGGCTCTAAAGTGTTAATAATGGAAAATAAATAACCTAATAACTTCTTAATGGCGGTTGTTGCACGAATAAGCTAACACGATTTAAAGATTCGACACAGCCGTGATTGCTTAGTGTCCACTCGCTTTAATTTCAATATACTCGAGCAACCGGAGTTCAAATCCCGGTACCGGTACCTATAAAATGTTTAATTACAATTTGAAGTGCTGACTTATCAAATACTCAGCGGTTTAAGAAAACATCGTGAGGAAATCTGTATACTTTCGAAAAAAATAACAAAAAAAAATATCGGAGATATGTGAAGTTTGTTTATCCGCGGCGGGGTCTCGTAGTGGACTATGCGCTAATACCCTCAGTACTGAAGGGGCATTACCTATCGTTGTAAATGTAGAGTTGAAACCATTTTATTGCTTTGGGGGCAGCCTCCGCTACTTCTTCGATTGAACTAGTTGCGATTGTACTTAAAGTAAAAATGACACCCTCTTTCTCCGCAGCTGAAATGAAATTAAAAGAAATATAAAAACACGCTATTCACGGAAATTATTATTTTCAATATGTGCTACCCAATTTCTTCTTTACCTTTAACATTCGCAATTTCGCCATCAGGATGGGCCATTCTCTGCATTGCAGTGGGCGATATTCCTACCGGCATAGATACTTCATTTCCTAATACAGTTGTGTGTAGGTTGCAATCAGTTAAGCCAACGAAACACTTTGGTCGAATTCGCAATCTGTGAAATCAGAAGATTCTATTTCCGCAAATTTGATTGAGAAGAATTTATATTTCAGAAGAAGATTAATAGACTTTACATATTTGCAAATATTTACCACTTTATGATCTATTCTCTATAATATATCTATAGGCTTATAATATACCTTTGGAATGCGCGTTTATTTTCTTGTAATGTATATTCGTCCGTTGCACCGCTCTTGTAATAATCTCTAGCAGCTTTGGGTAGGATAGAAGCGGCTGCTTCTTCCAAATCGTTGATGCTTATATATTTTTCCATTCTAAATTTACAGAGTACTGGTCTTTGCCGAAGAAAATCAGAGAATGAACTTAAATATCATTTACTCTTGATAACAAGGTTTGCTAATGATTTATCAATATACATGGGTCACAGGTCAAAAGTCTGTTATGTTTGATCATTGTTTTTTGCTGGGCACATGCAAATTCCGTGATTATTAAAATTTATTTTTATAATAAATTAATATTTGGTAGGCCCGTGCAGCATATATTTCCGGATCATATGAGTGAGCATCACGATCTCAAAGAATACCGGTGTAAAGTAAAAGAGGATCTTTTGCATTTCGTTTAGTGAGTGAGGTAAACGGGAATTATCCTCTCAAAGGTAAATTTTTTCTCTGTGAGAAGGTAGCAAATGAGCTGGCGGTGGACCTGATGTTGTGATAACCGCTTTTTGGCATTTGCAACACCCGTAGGGTTGCATTAACACCTTTTAATAAGGTGGGCCCGGCTACCTCACTCTACAGACAAAACGCAGAAGTATAAAACTTCCCGGACGGACCAGCCCATTATAAAAACCTATGGACCCTATATTCAATTAATATATTAAGTATATTAAAAGTGGTATGAACGTTTGCCACTTTATCACATAAAAAAGGTTTTTCGAAAATAAATATTGCTCTACTGGGATTATCCGGGGCGGAAACAGTGATTGCTAACTAATGGTTTAATTTTAATGGTCGGCGGTAACCAATCGTGTAAACCGCTTGCCCATTTAAGAGGCGGTACTTTATTCTTTCATAAAAAGTATGGTACCTACATCATGATACTACTGCTACTTGCTTTTTCTTTTTTTAGATACTAGCTTATACCCGTGATGACACGTACATGAACGTAGCTCTCGTAATAGAATTAACAAGAACCTTGGTATAACTTTTTAAGGATGGATTTTTTAAAATCACACGAGGTCTTCTAACTTGTTACCCAATGAGAAAAAACAGTTTTATGGATTTGCTGGACTATGAGACAGAAAGGCAGAAAAAAATGCTCTTGTTTATTTATATAACAAGAACTTTGGGACAACGAGATCGAGTAAAAAAACTTGAAAATCTTATGCATACTGCGTGGCGATTTTATATTGCGAACCCCCAAATAAAAACAACAAATATTCAACTTGCTTACGTGACTTTATTTTACAAAAATATTAGATCAATTATCTATTTACTTTCCTGCCCTTTTCAATGAACAAAATGAAAAAAGTCGCATTGGGCTTAGTGGGATTTGAAGATTTTATCAATTGTAATTTTGAGCCACTCCTTTCACAAGAAAACACCGAAACACGGGGTAAAAAAAATCTTAGATATATCACTAAAGATGGAACACATTAGAATACCTAGTCCATTTTACAATGAATTTAGTAAGTACCAAGCTAGTCCATTTGACCGCTTGTTGGAAAATAATTCTGAGTTTCCGAATGACGTCCTTGTCGTAACCAAAATAATGTATGTACCTTGCAGAAAATTCATCATAAATTCTTGTCAGTTAAGGAACAGTAGCTCGAAGTTTGATGTAAAACAGAGATTTAGGTTGGACAATACCAAATGGTTTGAAACTATGATGGTTTATTTCTTCCTAATATTTATCAAGACGCTGGGGGAGCTCTTGTAGTTAGATTCTACAGCAGTTCTGTCTTTCATATCAAAATGTCCAAGTCCTCAAAATTTTCATTTCCATAAAAAATCAATAAAAAATCTATTAACTATTTAGATACGTCGGCGTAAAAGTACAATTTTTAGGCTATAATTTTTAAAACACTCTTATCCAGATGTTTGTATTATATACCTACTCTCGTGTTTGGTTTACTTCTACATAACATAGTAAATTGAAGTCGACTAAGCTGGTAAGAGTGTGGATTTGCTTCTCTTGTATCGATACTTTTCTGGTACTGATGGGATCACAAATGTTATAGTGTCGATACAAGTTTAAATAATTCAGTTCTTTAATAGCGTCGTGATGTACGCTCCACCAAGTATGTACTATTGTTTTGGCTGACACGCCTACACTTAGAGAATGGTTTTCACAAGGCACAAACACTTTAGGTGTTTCCACAATCGTAAGGCGTCCCTATTAAATATAATCAAGCACCCTGAGTTCAAATCCTGGTACTGGCATCGATGAAATTATTAATTCAATTTTAAATGCTCACTTATCATCACATCAGTGATAAAGGAAAATATCGTGAGAAATCCTTGACATTGTCGAAAGACCAACAAAAAAAAATTCGGAGGTATGTGAAGTCTGCAAATCCGCAGTTGGATTGCGTGGGGCACTATGCCCTAATTTCCTCTTTACAGCGGAGCTATTAGCCTATTATTCATACGTAAAATCGAAGTAGCCTTTCCCTCTCTGAACACGAGGGTGACAAACTTAAATGCGCCTCTGAAATTCGTATTCTAGATAATCCTTACGAATATTATAAAGGCGAAAGTTTGTATTTATGCATGGATGTTTGTTACTCTTTCACGAAAATACTACTGTATGGATTTTGATGAAACTACAATAATATAGCTTATACATCAGAATAAGACATAGGCTATAATTTATGTACATATTTCATGAATCTGTCTTAATGTTACACCTTCAGCCTATTACTGCGCAGACGTAGTCGCAGGCAGCAGCTAAAAGCTGTTGAGGAAGCCCTCAAACGTTACAAATGACTAAGAGCTTTAAGACAATATTAGACGAATGTATCGATTGTATAAGTTTAAATTTGGAAGAAAACTACAAATGTGGCTCAGGCACGAAGAAGTGAATAAAACAAACGAGTTTTGTAAATTTATTTCCTTGATTTTATTATTACATTTGAATGCAATTTTAGAGCATTCTATAATGTCAAATGCCATTTCGTTACATATTTGCCATAGAAATATTATATAAAACTCAACTGGTCTTACAATTATTAAATTATTATAAATTTTACACCATTTAGGCTAGTGTTTGCGGTGGAATCGAAAGACAATATAACTGTAATGGATGTTGATGCCAAAATTCATATTTGACCCATGACTGACTTAAATTATTTACGAGTTTCAAAATGGATTGATTGTAACTGTTAATATTAAAAATGACTCAATATAGTTAACGATATTTACAAAATATTGAAACTCGTAAATTATATTTGGAACCAGACTGTTTTTGGCAGTATGTTTTGTTAACTCGCATTTCTATCTCACCTATCTAAGTCTAAGGTCAATCACATTTATTTTCAATAACAAAACATCGTTTACTTTGCATTTTATAAAAGATACAAAACTTTATATTTATTAAGCTATGAAGAAAAAGGGCCGCGAAATTACCTCGAACCTACAAACCCATCTTTGGTAATAAGTTAATAACAATCAACGGCTAACGCACCAGACTAAAAAAATCCTCATAATATATTACTATACAAAATTCATTCGTGCTATAAGCATGACAAGCATTTATGCGAATAAATCCTTAACACTGTCACATTTAACGTCAGCCGGAACAATTTCGTAAATAAGCTTTGGTTTTCCGTAACCATCACATAAGAAAAAAAAAATTTAAGGTGCCAGCAAATTGAGCAAAGAAAATTAAAATAAGGCACAATGTCGTCGAGACTATTATTTAAACCTTTTTGTATACATATATACATATATATCATTAAGTGCTCACTACATATAAAATATCGCGGTGGTTTAATCAGAGAAGTTATCCAAGTCCTACAGATTTTGTGTAATAATAATGGAATATAAGTATTTTAAAATGTTACATTTAATTTGTTTTATATTTTCTCAGTTGTGATGATTATAAAACCCATTTTAATCTTAAATGTTAGTATAAGTTCTCATTTTAAGTATTAATATACGTGAAATCTATCAAATTCATTTTATATTTTTCCCTGACTGCCTAAATTTAATCACTATTAAGAAAGAAAGCATACAACCGTACAGAAATATAAAAATAAATAACATAATATATTACAAAGCAGAACATTGATGTAGTGGCAACATTTTCAGTAAGACTAGTCAATAATACCTACATAACTATATTTTGTAATGAATTTCACTGATGCAGTTTTTAACAGAACACTATTAAGCTTAATTCGTACTAGGCCTGAATAATGTTCCAAATAGGAATACATAAAATAAAAAGGGACTTACAAAAAAATTCAGAATTTTAAGAACATGTGCAACCTGCTTAATACTCAAGATTTTTTTAACATACAACAGACTGCATATATGTCACCGCCACGTTTTTTTTAATAATTACTGTGACGAGGTAAAATATAGACGCAAATTTTATTGCGTCTCTTATGCTCGTCCAAATGACTGTACACTTCATAGATATTGGGAGAGGTACATGCGGCGTACGGCGGGAGTACCATCATTTCTTGCGCCAACTCTATGTCTATGTCTCTTTTAGTGTAAAGCAACTATAACATAGGTTTTTAGACACTTTATTAAGAACAAAGCCAGAGAAGCCAACTTAATCTAGACGTATGTCAGTTTTGAGCGTTCCATAAAAACTGAAGGCGATCATTTTATTTTAGAATAAAAGAACAAGATAGATACGTCCATTTAGTGCTACATAGCAAGGGTAAAAAAAACTGACTGAAACAAACTATTTTCAAGACTTTTTGTAAGTGCATAAACATCATTAAAAAAACAAGTTAAAATACTTATTGTACATTGGTTCAATTAAGAAGTCGACAGGACTTTGCTTAATTTTAAAATGTGCCCTTTTCATTTCAGGCCGTCGAACGACAATAGTCGACGACGAGATTATTTTTAGAACAGTAAATTTACAAAACAAAACAATAGCAAAATTTGAATATGCAGGATAGTTAAAAAATCTCCAAATCTAAGTTATTAACTAAGAGCCTATGCAAATACTTTCCATGAATGTACTTCAAGAAGTCTTCACTATATCAATGACTATTTTTACTGATGGGATAATGATATGATAACCTCATACTACATATGAACTTCTTCATACTCATCGTGGATTCATTAAATAGCAATTCAAAAGTTTGATGAGCTTGTTAGTCATCCGACGTCAAACTTGTCGCCAAAAACTTCCCACTAACTAAATATGGGGGGCAAGAAATGGTCCAAGAATTTTATTTAACTTGGACCGACTACAGTGCAAGACCACTACAGATACAATACAAATTGTTGACACTACAAATACAAATTGCTCTTATAAAGATATTAATTTTATTACCTTTTGACAATTTTTAAAAATCAAGTACAAAAAACCTTAAGCGCGCTGCAGTCTTGTCCTTTTTAATTTTATATTCATAAAAAAATTACATGATCAAAATTTTAGCACACGATAGTTATACACATTTTTAATACATGGTTTCTGCAAGTTTTTGATTTTTCTTCTGCTTTTCAAATTATAAGTTAAACATAAGTGACTAAAATATAAAAATAAATGGATTTTCAACGAAAAAAAAGAAAAGACGTCAAACCAGATGCAGTGCAGTAGCAGCTTTTCCGTATTTTAAAACAAAACCTGTGATTGTTTCGGTTGCACACTCCATTAAACTTCCTTATAATAGTTAAACTTTAATATGCTACGCGTAAATAGAAAATAAATTCTCTTACTGGATAAGATTACGAATAAATCTTAATTAGAAAAAATAAATACTATGGTACTTTTAAAGCGGAACATTAAGTTACATAAATAATAAAACAAAAAGTATCAACGGCTCGATGGAGCTACAAAGAATGAACTAGAGCGTGTACCGTAGATTTTGAAGCTCCATCGCGGTCGCTTTTGTTAATAATATACAGGGCGCGATGTGAACTTCTCAACGTAATACTTAATTATAAATGCCCTCATACATAAGCTTTACATATATCGTTAACATCACAGAACAAAACTACGGCTAAGCGTAAACCCGACGACGTAGCGCCGACCACCCTAACGGAACTATGAACAATACGTATGGTGCGGTTGTTTGACTCGTTTCACATTTTATAGGTTAATTTGAAAGCATCGAATCAATTTATTTTCTAGATAGAAATACAATATGCTCAAAAATAATGAAATCATCGACATAGAGGTAAAAATAAAGAGAAAAAGATTTCTTACACACAAAATATGCGTACTAAATGTATCTGTGTGCATAAATGTATCAATAAAAGAAGGCAATGTATTTAGTACCGACAAAAAATATGTTTAAAATCCAATATGCAGTAAACTAAAAGCTTCCCAAAGAACATGGTCATATCGCGGATTGCGTTAAGCGTGATCAAGATACACGTTTCAACAGTGTGAGTCCGATATTGTAATGGTTAGTCCGTTAGGGGTAGCGGCTTCGAGCGCGTTTGGCGACGTTTGCTTTAGCGTACGCCGGGGGTTCGACGTAAGCGCGACGGGTGGACCCGGCGTTTTGTGAACGATGGGCGGGATAAAAACAAACAGTTACGCGGGGGCAGACTAGAGGCACGTTTAGCGGGCGGGCCGCGGGCTTTCAGAGGCCGACGTAGGGGTCGGGCGGGGCGGGGCTGGCGGGGCCGGCGGGGGGAGCGGGCGGCGCGGGCGCGGGCGGTGCGAGCTGAAGGCGCCGGGAGGGCGGCTCCTCCTCCTCGGGCGCATCCTCCTCCTCACCGCTGCCCTCCCCCTCCCCCGCCTCGCCCGAACCCGAGCCCTCCGCCACATCGCGCGCCTCATCCTCCTCGTCGTCCTCGTCTGGGCACAGCTGGTACGCCCTGTTGGTGATCGGAATCGTGTTATTAAAGGTCCATGTTGATTAAGTCCGTTAGAGTTCAATAAGCTGCTTGGGAGTTCCTCTCTTGAGCATTGTTGAATCTTTGTGAGCTTCATAACTTGAGGAAATAACATTCTCCATTATTCGTCACTGCATCCTTTTTTTCCGTAGATTATACATATATAATACATTCTTAAACAGCATGAGATATATGTTTATAATATGTTCAGATCTGATTCAATGTTTGTTAATTGCACTTATATTTGAATACATATTAAATTGTGACGTACAATAGCCAAACTTTATAATCAGCAGGGACATACTTCTACATCATAATATTTTATGTGTAATGAGAACGATTCAACAAATGTCAACAAGGTTTAGTTACTAATAATTGAAATAAACTAATGAAATAATTTAATGAAACTCACTTCTCAAGTGTTTTGCGGGCAGAGTTGCTTCGCTCTAAGAAATAACCACTAGACGTTTCGTTCGAAGTGCCGGGCGGTGACCAAGTGCCGTAGGAACCGTAACCGCCAGGACCGTACTTCTGGAACAAATTGTTTAGTTAATCTATGTATTTTATTTTTAACTGTTTGAATAGTTGGTATGATAAAAAATTTAATTAATTACAACACCCTTACTTACTTACACAATTTTCCACTCACTTTTGCAAACGATAATTTATTTTCTTTACTCCGTCCTCATTCATACTCTGTCCTATCCTAAATATTGCAATCCTGTCTGCAGTGACAACATCATCATCATCATTTCAGCCTGTTCTGTTCTGTGCCACCCGCATGTGCGGGTGGCACCGGATTCGACTTCTCGCTAGTTTTTGCACAGGTCGTCACTCCATCTAATGGGGGTCGTACTTGACTGCGATGGCTATTATGGGGCGCACTTGGCCCTCGTACTTTTCTTCGCCATTGATTATCGGTTGCACGAACTACGTTGCCTGCCCATAGCCACTTTTAATTACTTTTTCTACGTGAAAAGTAGTCTAGCGAGCAGGCGGTTCACCTGACGTTCACTTCACATGCCTCATGTCCGCTCATGGCCATCCATCTACAAAACCCGATAGCTTGCACACATGTTGACAACCTTTAAAAAAAGTGGGCCCGATTAGCTCACTCACCAGACGAAACGCGAAAGTTTCATACATCCACTTCATGCCAATCCTCTGCGTGGCCGTGTACTTTCCCGAACGTGCCTGCCCATTCGAGCAACAGTAGAAGCAGTTGCGTGGCCCCACCACAGGTATACTGTGACTATTCTTCTGAGCTACACCGGTGGATAAATGCAATGAAGGCGGGCACGTACGCGATCGAGCTCGTCCTGCAGCCAGGCGAGCAGCTGCCGCCAGCGGCGCCTCGCGTCCACCTGCGCGTGCACCGCCCGCACGGCCGCCGGCGCGCGGCACATCACCCCCACAACCAGCTTCACGCACGCGTACGCGCGCTTCTGGTAGTGGCCGCGCGCGCGCAACGCCGTCTCCAGCAGCCCGGGCCTCTCGTCCGACACGCCCTGTGGAGCCACGCGTAAAATACACGCAAATAGGCAATGCTCCTTTCGTCTTTTTTTTTAAGACGAAGTTGATACTAATTGAATTGCTCGCTATATCGAACAATATTTATGTAAAACAATATTTTTTTTGAATACAAAAACAATACAAATATACCCGACACATCTTGTGTGTGGCATTTATAACGAATGTGTAGTGCAACACAAGAAACATCATTAAGAAAAGGATGAAAACCTGCTGAGCGATCAATCGTTGGATGGCAGAGGCAAGGGCCTTATCGTGCCACTCTCCGAAATGTATTATATAAATATATTTACATTTCGGAAAGGAAAGCACCTGCAGGACAGGTTTCTATGCACTACATAATATATAGAGCACCTTGATTGCGTTGTGGATTCGGTGCTGCTGCCAGCTGTCCTCCATCAGCAGGAGGGCGCTGAGCGCGTCCGCGTGCCTGCGCAGCTCGTGGCAGTACGCGTACGCCATCTGCCACAGGAGCTCGGCCAATGCGGCGCGCGACCAGCCCGCGTGCTCCCAGCACAGGAACTGCAACAGGCGCACGCCCTCCTCGCAGCCGCAGCACTCCTCCGTCAGCTTCTTTATATAAGCGCTGCAAAAATAAATGGTACAATTAGAAATGACCACACCATCATATTATATATTAAAATTCATGTGTTCATAGCTAATGAACTAATTGTCCTATATATTACAGGTATAGACAATATTGGTACTACAAAAATAATAAAAAATAATTATAAGCCTAAAAGATAAACAACAGGAATTGAACACTAACGTTGAAATATTTTGGCAATTAGTCTCCTTTTTATGCTAATATTAAATTATAATGTTTATTAATGTCTAATGGAATGGTATAATAAAATGGTAAGAACAATGTATAAAATACAATGGTATCCGATATTGTAAAAAGCCCTAATCACTGATTAAAATGGTTATTGAAGACGCAGTAATCATTTGTATCGTATTGATTTGATGGAGGCGACCCGCGTACTGATTTAAATCACTAGGCACTAAACGCACACGTTTAAAATGTGCATAAGATACATAAGAGACAACGATGAGTAGCTGTTCGGTTGCGTAACTCCGAGCAGAAATTATGACTACGTTTACGGGCTTGGTGACTAACACCTGTAAATGCAATGTATTTTGTGTGTGAGTAACAATAAATGATGTCTTGATCTATCTATCTCGCCTGGTCTTGTTGTAGAGCACGTCCGCCACGACGGACGAGAGGGGCGGGCGGGCAATGTGCGCGAGGTGGGCCGGCTGCTGCTCGGCGTACGGGTTGGGCAGCGGGCCCTCCGGCGCGTTCGCAGACTGGCAGCGCGCGCTCACGTCGCAGCAACGCGCCAACACGCACACGACCTGCGATCAGTCTCACATTTCCTCAAATGTCTTTATTTATCGATACGCCATAACTTTCGTAGTTTATCAATATTTATAATTCGTACACCGCTTTATAGAGTACTAGCGGCCCGGCTTCGCACGGGTGTAACGTTGAATGTTTGTTTTCGACATCGAATTAGAAATCTCTAAAATTGTCAGTGTTTCTCTACTTTATTATGCATGAATTATATATATAAACCTTCTTCTTGAATCTCTCTATCTATTAAAGAAAACCGCATTAAAATCCGTTGCGTAGTTTTAAAGATCTAATTATATATAGGGACAGACATACAGCGGGATAACTTTGTTTTATATTATGTAGTGATGTATACCGCTATTCAGGAAAATTAGACAATAAGAATAATGTTACAATCCAGTGACTGATTAATTATATTTGATTTGCGTTAGGGACACGCAGCAGTCGCTGTTGCACGAATGGGTGGTCTCGTCTGGAGAAGTACCAGGATCTCACTTTATTAAAAGGTGGCAACACATCTGCAACCCTACGGTGTTTCAGATTGCGTAAAATTGTACCAAAATGAAACCTTTCTAAATAATCTAATACAATTATAAAATTCTCGTGTCACGGTGTGAACTCCTCCGAAACGGCTCGACCGATTTTCGTGAAATTTTGTGTACATATCGGCCAGGTTGGAGAATCGGACAACATCTATTTTTCATCCCCCTAAATGTTAAGGGTGATCCACCCCAAACATTTTTGAATTTATATAGCAGAACAACGTTTGGCGGGTCAGCTAGTTTTAATATATTTTTTTAAATAATGTGAACATATTCTTAGCATACCTGATGTATTTTAGCTGACTCTGGATACTGATATTTTCCCATTGAAGCAGTAGAATCGTCCATGCAGATAGTCAACACGATGTCCAGAATTTTCAACTAAGACAAAGAAATAAAATTGTAAATTTAAGCATTTCCTTATAAATATTTATCTTTTTTTTAAAATATTTATGTCCACAATCCGCAACTACGAAAACACAAGTTCACAAAATCAAACTTAATGAATGTTCACAACAAACATGAACATGTAGTAGGATTTGGAGAAAAAGCGATTTAGACCGCAGCGTGAGGAGGCGGCAAAAACCACTTCCAAGGCTTGAGCAAACATAACGGCTGGTAGGGCCACGCAGCAGCTTCTTATGCTGTTGCATGAATGGATCAAGGCTATCCAGCGAATTACCACGGACTCACAGAAGACCGGCGGGAAGGGGAGGTATTATACTTTCGCATTTCATCTGGTGAGTGAAGTAGATGGGACTGAAATCAACGCATCAGCAAGCCAGCAGGCGTTGTAGATGTCCTAGAGCGGCGGCATCAATTCAACATCAGGTTAACAGCGTGCTCGCTTGACAACTTTTCACATAAAAAAAAACTCAACAGATGAAATGCGCACTTTTTCAATGGTCGGCAAAGCATTTGGAATCCGTCAGACGTCGTATGGTTACGGGCGGGGGTAACCGAATGCCATAAAAAAAAAAAACGTTTTACGCGTCGGCGTGCGTTTTCAAATTTGGAACAACTCACGCGCAGCAGCTGCTGCTTCTCGTTGTAGCCGAGCGCCGCGTACGCGTGGAACAGGTTGAAGAGCAGCGGCAGGTGGCGGTGCGTGTGCGAGTCCGCGTGGCTGGGCGCGGCGAGGGCGCGCGCCGCGCACACCACCTGGTCCGACAGCGAGGTCGCCTCCTCGCGGGACGCCCACGAGCCCCAGCCGCTGTTCACTGCGAGCGCACCAGTAATGAGCGCGCATCTCGAGTTTTTTTTTTAATAAAGATTTTATGGCCTGGTAGCAAGACCTTTAAGCCAAGTTTCTCGAGTTTGGTTTGTTGTTATAGCCAATAATATTATATACGAATACGAGACAGACACTAGAGCACCGAAATTTAGCTACTCGAATTACACCATTTGGTGTGATTAGATTCTAATTCTGTAGACTGCATCTCTTTCAGTATCATACTTTCTATATCATCTGTCATGTCATATGATGTAAAGCGGAACAATTTTTACATGATAAAAACATCATTGGTTATAGCTTGACAATGTAAGTTGTTAAATTTGACGACAATATAGGCGTTATGATGATAGTGGAGCTGTGTTGCGCCAAGGTGGCGCCAAGGTTGTAGGTTTGTACACGCTACTGAAAAAATATTGTGTGATGAACTTTTTTTTCTAGTGTCTGGTTGTTTATATCAATAACTAGCTACCCGGACAGACTTCGTTTTGCAAATTTTTTTTAATAGTATTAAAACCTTCCGTGGACCTTAAGGAACATAGAAAAAAAAATAGCGGAATTTGTCCAGCCACTCTTGAGTTATGCGCTTACCAACATTCATTTATATTTATTAAAGATGTGTATTAAATTAAACAAAGAAAAGGTTGCATTATACTATACCTTAACTATAAATAATTATTATAAAAATATACTTACCCGGTGGATCTTGAAGTGAATAATGTGCCAAAAAGACTATAATTTTCATAAATACAACACGAACTTCAGCCGACGGACACGATAGGAGATAATCGCATAATCTAAAAAGAATGAATCATTTTAAAATTGCGCCAAAAATAAAGTTCATTATTTGATTGACCACTATGTTACCTGTAGGCGTGTTTGAAAAGATCGGATGCAAACCAGGCTCGAACAGCTTGTGAGCATCGTAAATGTTGGCACAAAATATCATGCCTAGAAAAATAAATTTGTAATTTTATTCAAATTCAAAGACGTATTATCTGTTATTTATAATATATTTACCTATGTATAGGTACTATAATTTTAAAAATAACATACCAGTCCGACGCGGGACCTCGTAAAGTTTTTTTCGTGTGGAAACCGACTTGAAATAAAAACTTAGTCGCTAACTGTACCGATAGCATTGACATTTCTTCGTGTTCCTTAAATCAAAAACATATGTTCCATTTAAACATTGTATGGAGTGGAAACATAACGATTACAAAAATAACATCACCCATACAGCGCTCTGCGATCCCGGCGTGACTTGTAGACGAATGTAACAGAGCTTTTTCATGAAATTGAAATGCTCCAGACTGAACTGATCCTGATTGTGGCAGAAAGCTATGTTACTGCGCCGAACCGATTGCCAAATAGGCTTTGGAATAGCACTTTCTCTGCAAATGGCAAAGAAAAAAAATATTGAGCAATGCGTATAAAACAATTAATATTTTTTTTATTTATAACTATGCAATTATTAAACAATATTATATATTTAGTACACTTTGAAGTTAAAAATACACACGGGGTAACTCACTTGAGCGACATGTTTCTCATAGATTGTTCCATTGAATATGTTTCAATAGTGTCTTTCCTTGTATAAAATAGCATATAAGCATTCCACCATCTCTTTTGGCGCTTATATGACACCCGCTTTATGGTGGAATCGAAAACCTAAAATATAATTTTTTTTATCATAAAATAAATCATTTGTATTCTTATTTTTAATAGTAATATATGTAGAGCCATGGTAGTTCAATGTACGAACGTTCGTTTTTAAACCATTATCCTCAGTGGTTGTTTTGGTTCCAGCTCCAATGAAATTGTAAATTGACCGTAAATATCGTGAGAAACCTGTATATCTTTTAAATATCATCATCATCATCATCATATCAGCCGTAGGACGTCCACTGCTGAACATCTTTTAAATATATCATACAAAAAATATTTTCCTGCCTTGTTCATCATAACAAAAACTAACAATGAATTAAAACTTGAAAAAAAATATCATTGCACACTAATATAATACTTCATTGTCAAAAGTAATGAATGGCAAACTTGTATTTGAATTGTGCATTTAAACTTGAAACTGGCAACCGTACCAGTTGCAAATTGCAACAAATGGTCAAATGCGAGTTGAACTCGTACGCCGACGGTTCCGTACCTACCAATTATACCACCATAATAAAATTGGTAAATAATCACCACAGACTTTCTCAGGAACGAGTGAACTTAGCAAGTTGAAATTTATAACAGATACTTTTATTCCAAAACGTATAGGGTACGTCTTCCGGGTGACCTAGAATTGTCAATTTTGGTTATAACCGAGGTCTTACAGCACAAGTAAAGAGAAAATTGGGAAAAATAAAAAAAAGTTGAAAATTAATGTATATTGTTTTTACACACCTAACAGAGTCCCTATTAGACCCTATAGACCTCAGTATCAGGTATAAATTTCAACTTGCTAGGTCTCCATTCCAGAGAAAATAGGTGGTAAACACACGGACAGACAGACGGACAAGAGAGTGATCTTATAAAAGGGTTCCTTTATAAGGTGTGGAACCCTAAAAAAGAGAAAGAAACTCACTTCGCTCATGTACTCGCCGCCGAAGCACTGCGCCTTCATCTCCTCGTCGTCGTGCATGGCGCACTCGGAGACGTCGCCGTCGTCCATCTTCACCCACCGTCCGCCCTCGCTGCCGTCATCTCTGGCAGCAGAGCAATTCAGTCATCATATATAAAAGATAAAACAGTTACACACACAATTATAAGCTATTCTCTGTAAACGTGACTTAACAGACCCGAAAGAATCGCGATATGTTTCGTCTAGTATAAAAATTAATTAATAAAAATCTAAAATAAAAGTATAGATCTGTACAAAGCCAAATGGCAATGTTAGTCGCTGTACATGTACATGTATTGAGAGCAACACAGAAAAATATTCACTCTTCCCAGGCGATAAATAAAAAGTTTGAAGAGTATTATATGTAGAAGGACAGTCTTAGTTATATTCTGTAATGGTAATGTAAAAGATATTTCTGGCATGTCGCATTCAGAAAACTTTTCCGGCATTATGTGCGCTGTGTTTTGTCAAATGATGTATACCTAATTTTTGAATAAACATTTAAGAACCTTAACAGCACATATGAGTAGTAGTGTCCGCCGGAGGCTTGTCCAGAGTGAACAACAATTCCGCTAAGCTGATAATGTGTTTCAGCTCTTTCCTCGCCACCCTCCCACAATGTAGCGTCGCCTTCAGCACGTGCCAAGCCCCACGCTAAAAGAAGTAAAAACGTCATTATTTGAAACTTATTTTCATTGCCAAAATACACCGTAACTTAAATATGTTGTGAAAAATGCACCAATACATACCCGTGTAAGGTTCGACATCGAGTTCTCGCGGAAACTCGAAATAGTCGTTGAATTTTATTGCACACACCTTTTCAAAATCATATTCGAACCTTTTAAGCTGTATTACTAACACTGGTGGTAATTTATTCAGGCACAGCCTCTTAACTGTAACCACCTGCAAAATAAATTGTTTATTTAATAATCATCAAAATATAAATCCATAATAATCATCCATCATTCATTACATATTTTTTATGCGAGAAGGCGACAAACGAGCTGATAATTTGCTAGATCTTGCTATCTATATTGTGGCCGTCCAAAGAAATCCAACAATTGTAGTAACTCATGTAGGTTAGATATTTTCAAATCTTTAGGAGAGTGAGCCCAATTACTTCACTCACCAGAAGAGACACAAAAATAATCCAAACGGCAATTAATGAAAGTGCAGGTTGGTTTTTGAGAGATTATGGCATTGGATAAATCAGTGCATTCATACATCAGAAGACACTCTTGTTAGGCTAACATGCTAAATAAATATTCTGTTAATAAAATTTCATCTACCTTTTTACTACATTTATCACAGTAGTATGCATCAGCACCTTCAAGTAATTCTCCTCGAACATAAGCTTCTAAAGATTCTTGTAAGCGAGACATGTTTCTAATATCTAATGAAACCACACTGAAGGGTTCCTCTTTACAATACCTGGAAATGTTTAATGATAATCACATATTGTAAATTAACTTTTAAATAAAAAAAATATAAATAAAAAAAAATTAAGAAAAATCAAGAGACATTTAATATTGTATTTACATATAAATCAAATTGAGAGATAAGAGAATAAACTTAATCTTATTAATGTTACAACTAAGATAACAATCTTTGATGTAATCTAAGCACTTCATGTTTTATATGACCACAAATCATTACATCATTAACAGACAAAAGACATAGTAAGCATTACATGAGCATTTATGCTAGTGGTAGTGAAATTGGTTACTGTTTGATGATTTTCAAGAGAAGCTTCAATGATGAAAAACACATAACTACTGTTTATTAAAATTATACAATCCAGAAATGTGCTGGATTCAGTTATTTAATTATTAACAATTAAATACCTGTGTGGGCAACCTTTGCAAATTTTTTGATCAGAATATGTTCCTCCCATTGTTTTCGCCATTAGTTGCTCTTGCCCTAAAGTTTTTAACGCTTCATCTAACGATTCCACGAGAGACATGAAAAATTCGACTGCGTCTTGTTGCTCACGTAAATTCACTGGTTCGCCTTGAAGTCTGTATAAAAGATATGATATACTTTCATGTTATTTAACACAAAGAATTATGAAGATCATTATTTAAACTTACTTAAAGTGCGCCCACAGGCCTCTTGGCACGTAATACTGTAGTTTACTATAATGTAGATGTGCAAAAATAGCTTGAACTTGTTTTAAGATTGTTATATTATAATCGCCATTACTCTGTAACAAAATAATTTGAAGATAATGCAAAATTCATAACTTAATTAGAAAAAGTATAGAATATATAAAGTATAGTGTCGTGTTAAACATACCTCAGTATTATTCTCCATTAAGCTATGATGGTTTTCGCCTGAAAAATCTTCATTTGGATCAGTAGCAGCACCTATAATCGGAGTTTATGTGCTGATGTAAAAAATGCTCATGTAAGGCTTATTATATAAGATGAAACTTAACCCTGTGTTAAAATAATAGTGTCGCATAATTTACCACACGCCCGAATCCTGCAGTGGCGAAAACTTTTTTTACACAATTTTTAAGTTTCATCTTAAGTGGAAATTCTAGGACTACAAATTAAAAATATGTAGAACAATTTAATCATCTAATTACAAATTAAGAGAACAATAATTGTAAATTTAATGTGATGAACATTAACATGTAATAACTAATTTCTATTTCTTTAAAAGAAATACTATCATATAACATAAGTGCATTTAATTATTTGTTTATTTGGATAACATAAATAATTACACATTTAAGGATTAAATATTTAATACAAATAAGAATGTTTCCAATGTAGAATTTAATTAACACTTTCTAGCGCACAAACATGTTAAATTTGGGAAAATCATGCAATTTATTTATTTGCATACCTGATCCTATAAAGAAGTAACGTCTACTGGTACTTATAACAATTAGCAAACCTTGAACAGTTAACAAGAAGTCGCGCACAGCACGCACACAATACAACTGCTGCAGCACGGAGTTCATGTAGCACGTGGCGCCAGCATTCTTAAGACCCACCAGGCCAGCGGGCGGACGTGGACCCACACAAGGCATGTACTCCCATTCCGCTAATGGCATATTTTTATCTGCAATAAAAAGATTTTATGGCACAACTAGATAACCCGACGTACATTAATCTGCCGCTTCATTTTTTCTGTATCAGTAATACATTCTAGCACAGATGTGATTTTTTTTCTGGAAACGAAATTACATTAAACAGATGAGAATATAATCACAATTATCAATAAATTAAATCACTTGGGATTCGCTCGGTGGCGCCATTACTAAGCTATTGATTTCGGCACGGCGGGTCGTGGGTTCGATTCCCACGCGGGATAAGTATTTGTGCGACCCACAGATAATTGTTCCGGATGTTCTGGGTATTTGTTTCCCAAGTTGCGTCAGGCAGGCGGCCGGTCGTAAAAATATAGCCAAAACCGCTTACAACATGATTCACGTATGTTGTGTCGATATCACCTATGCTATGGGATAAAGGATGATGATGACTTGGAATTATAGGTAAATTTCAAAAAGTAATCGATTGCCACGGTAATGCAATGAAGTGGGTGTCGCTTTTATGTGTCGCGAACTCTTTCGCACCGTTTTCAATAAAACTTCAAAACAAAAAAAAATATGGGTTATTTTTACCATTGTAGAACATGCAGTCGAGCAGCTGCGCCACGGCGGCCATGTTGGGCACGCAGCCGTGCACGAGCGCCAGCAGCAGGTCGGCGGCGGCGGCGGCGGCGGGCGGCGTGCGGCACAGCGGCGGCGACGGCTCGCCGCCCGCGTCCGCGTCGCCCTCGCCCTCGCCCATGCGGCACCACGCCCACGAGTACGGCCACAGAAACTCCGTCATCAGCTCCTGCGATCGCGGCGGAGCGGCTTAGCGGAACAGTCATCGGTTTTATGTGTATGGACGGTGCGGGATACCGCAAGACAACAAGTCGTTGTGGCGAGGCGTTTTGTTTGACATCAATTTAATCAGGGTTTTGCCTGATATACAAGAGGATTTTCTAAGCGTATCCATTTTTTTATTAAATTCTAGACATAAATAATGTTAAATAAAAATGATAAATATTTAATAACACTTGTAATTAATTAATTACATTCATTTTTACTTATCTCAAAAAGTGCGTGATTTATGGACAACGTTATTCATTTATTTATTTTACGATTCATACGTCATTTATTTTACGAGCGATCATTCATAACTAACACGCACACAAGCTCATTTCAAATATATACGAAGCATTTATGAATGACTATCGCATTGTCAACAAGTTCTGTTTTTTAGGCAATAGAATTGCAATTTTTTTTGGAAAAAAAAGTTTGTTTTACGTTCAATAAACTATTATATTACCGAGTCTGAACCTCCTGTGTGAATTTGGGCACCTTTAGATAAGCCATTCTGTATATGGAAATTGCGTATGGATGTAGTGTATTAATCGATTTATACACCTTTCTTGACAACCATTTTTAACCAACAATATTAGTTTAACAACATTATTAGTGACACCTCAAGTTTCTCCTAAAGACTTGCTTGCTAATTTATACACATTGTGACACGTAAAACACGGACATTGTTACAAAAGCGATCATCATAATTATCACCATCGATAAACTGTGGTAGCCCACTAATTAGAGTATAGGGTCGCCGGTAGGCTCCACGAACTAAGAAACAATATTTTAATCCTGAATCGTAGTGGGTATTTCAATTCTCGTACTATACACATTGCTATTATTCCTTCAAGGAATGAAAAAGATTAATACTATAAACTAGCCAGAGTTCTAGAAAGTAATCCAAATAAAAAAACTGAAAATATTTGTACTGTTTTACCCAAACTACACGTGAATTGACGTAGCGAAAACTGTTATTTTGATAGTGTACCTTAATGAGACCAGCATCTTTGTGATCCGGATGAGCTCCATACTGAAATTTTACTTGAGCGGGTACTTGACTGAACAGCTCTTTAGTTAAATTCAGGTGCCCTTCAAGAAGCGTATCGTCCAGTAATTCGCGATTTGCGCGAATGGTACGCAACCAATTGACCTGCAATATGAAATTTTATAAATATAAAATTTGACTTTGTATAGCTGTAAGATGGATTTTTTATCCTTAATGATTATCATTACTATTATTAACTTTTAGCATTGTAAAGAATCATCAGTTAAGCAAAAGGTTTAATATGATTCAGCGACGCAGTCGACAAGTAAAAACATAACAGTTAAGAAAAAATCTGTGCCAGAGCTTTATAGCACAAAATAAATGAAAAGGAATCAAATGCCTAATTACTTTTAATTTGTGTACGTAAACAATAAACACCGCATTTATTTATTTCACAGTGATTATTACATCACAGGGTAGTGTAAAATCTGAGATTAATTATTATTCTTCGGATCTGGGATCACATACATAAATTTCACGAACATTTCTGAACAATCAGTTCATGTGAAATTTATGTATGTAAAACGTCCTTACAACACTGGATAAAGTTCTCGAAGTGAATACTACAACAGATCTTCTTGATCGCAGTGATCGTTAGGACTCACTACTTGGGTAGCCTATCCTTGCATACATAACAATTTTTTTTTACTAACGAAAATCATAACAGACTTCGAATATCTCGCTCTGTATTCATTTTATAATTGATTTTCAGGATTTCCCTAAGTATCTCCGGAGTCGAAGATCCAATGCCAATGAAATTAATATGGGACCACATGGGAAGCACCAGCTTTCAAATAAAAAAAGAATCATCAAAATCACAATAAACGTACGGTAACAAACATAAAAAAAATACAGTCGAATTGAGAACCTCCTCCTTTTGGAGTCGTTTAAAAATACAAATGCAAATTACATACGCACCTCGTAGGCGAGGTCGTCGCGGGTGCGCGGAGTGGGCCCCGCGAGCGAGACGAGCCGGCACAGCAGCTGCAGGAACTGCTGCGCGTTTCGCGCGTGCCGCTGCAGCCGCGCCCCCCCCGCGCCCCCTGCGCCGAGCACGCTCAAGGCCGCGCGCGCCCCCCCGCCGCCGCCCCACGCGCACATCGCCAGCAGCTGCTCCGCGCAAGACACGCGCACCTGTCCAACACGCACTAGCATTCACCACACACGCGTTTGTAAACATTTATAGGGTTTCGTATCAAAGGGTAAAACGGGACCCTATTACTAACACTCCGTTGTCAATCACGTCACTCGATTTGCGCGTTCTTCGTTCAAAACCTAGTACGACACGTGCATCTGTCCAACGCACACACGCTTTTATATAGGTTTTATTCGAATCGAAATAAAATACGGATGTATAATAAAATAAACATTTCGATTTTAAAAATAAATAATTAGTAATATAAATAATACCTGAGGATTGGGGCAATCTATCATCAGGTAAAGAGCGGTGTCTTGCCACCAAAGTTCGTGAAGTAACGTCTCAAGATGGCCCCCACCGAGCGCCATGCAGATAGTAACTACTTCCATGCACTCTCGAACCACTATAAAAGAACTTAGATTCAAACATCGAGTTCATAGGAGATGAACGAATGTTAATCATTATCAAAAGTAACTGCACTTGTATAGTGCGCACAAAACAGATACGCCTCTGAAGTCCGTCCAAGTCCACATTTTTAGAGTTACATTAAGAATGAGGGGATCTACAATGTGTACTGTCGCTAACAACGTTGTTGTTCCATTAAGTGAAAGTACGATTTTTGACGGTACCAGAGCCATCTTCACACAGGCGTACTTATGTTTCACGCGACCTACAAGTAGTAGGCTATTGATAGTTCGCTTCGAAAAACTTACAAGTGACGTCATCGGGGTGTACTGCACAGGGGGTGTCAGTGGGCTGCGCGACGCAGTAAGCGAGCGAATAGAGGGCGCGTACAGTCGCTGTCGTCGGCACGCGCCACCAAACCAGTGACGACACTGAGTCGCCTTCGTCTCGACTAGTTACCACCTAAGAGAAAAACTACGCGTAAACACATCACTGTATAAAAATAAGATCACAATATAAAATTTTTGCAGTATATTATAAATATAATTTACTTAGTTTGTGCTTTACAACCTACGGCGATAAACTCCATTTATTGAGAAAATTATGATCAAAGAATGGAATGAAAATATAATTATATTTATAGAATATGTTGCTTACTGATATTATTGTTTGTCGTTCTGAGTAATTTTCGTTTTGTGCACAATAACTTAAACGTTTAATATTATTTCGACACTCAGACATGTCAACGGGCCTTGCCTCAAACGGGGTGTAATACCCTCCAAGACTGTGTACTACTTTGTAAGACTGGGTGCGGCGTTTGGACAATACAATATAAAACATAGTTTTGAGTAAGCTTTTCTTTTAGTCAAAGATAAACGTCAGTTATTTTTCTAGCAGTACCCAATAATACCCATTTATTTACCTGTTCGCCCAACATATTCGCTAATTTCTCAGCAACAGCCTTTACAATTAATTCACAGCTATTGTTCGGTACTGTCTGAAGAGCCTCACGTAATATTGTGACGTCCATTCTGCACAAAAAACGGTAAAATATTTACAAACTGCCTAATTATCATTGACTTACACGATTTAAAATAATTACCTAAACTCTCTGTCTATCGTGGTGTCAGAACCGTCTGGTGCCAATATTTCGAAAACATGGCCTAATGTATTCAAAACCAACTTGGCTAATCGAACCAAGGCTAAAAATCCAACCCTGAAAGATAAAAATAAGAATAAAAAGGAACGTGTCAATAAACTTTGACGCATATATAAATAAATATAAAGTATTGTAACAATCAATATATGATACATCCCACTGTTGGGCAAAGGTGTCATATAGTGGTAATTCGTGTACAGGTTGTAACTACTATTGCAACTACTTTAATACATATACTTGAAATCAAGTAATACCTTCTTGTATGAGGAGCAGCACCAATTAAGAAATCTTTGTCAGACAAACACTGTACCAATAAAGGGGCTTTCTTTACACAGGCCAACTGAAAACTGCGACTGCGGTCTAGTTTACTCTCTGACGATGGCAGCACCATACTATGGAGGACCTGCAGAAACAAAGGCATTGAACTCAAAACACATAAATTATCAGGAAAACTCATAATTACGTAACATTCTAGACCAAAATTAAGAGGACATACCTCGATGTTGTAAGCTACTGTAGGTGGAGCTGGTCCATACAACATATCTCTTAACTTACTATCATCGCGACACAAAAGCGCCTCCGTCAGTTTTTCAACCTGAAAAATGATTAGTTTTTAAAATTGTTTCCCAGAGCGAAAAAATACAACCATCAAAATTATATTCCATACATACAGTTTGTTTGTGCGCGGGACAAATTTGGGAGAGTAGATGTGCAGCTTCTGTCAATTGCACATGTCCTTTGGTGATACCAATGTGTTCTAAGTCTAGTATAAATGGCAGGTACCATGAACCTTGTGCGAACAACTGGAAAAATGTAAAAATAACAGATAGAGTAGATGTAGAATACTGTAGTGCACGTTTCCATAACACATTTTGCGAAAACAAACTTACATATTCATCTAGTTTGTTGGTCTCATTATGCGAATTAAAACGTGATTTGATTTGATAATACATATTTTCTAAATGATGAATTATAAATCGTGTGGAAACACATTATTATTGAATTTATACATACGACGCCAGGCAAGGCGTGCTCCGGAGTAGGCGGCGATGGTGGTGATGATGTACTGGAATCGCTGCTGGACTCATTAGTGGAACCGCATCCACCGCTCCCACACACTTGACCGTCGTAGACCTGTTAATAATGAAATTGTTATAACGTTTTTCGTAATAAATGACACATTCATAAGTATGCGAAGGATTTTACCTTGGCTACAACCACTGTTTTATCTCTTATGGGGGTTTGAGAAAGTATTTTTCGGTCATAAACTGTGTCCAAAAATACGCCGTTGACATAAAGTTCTAATTTGTTAACAAACATTTCTAACTTTATATTACTATCTGAAGCATTTTTTATCCTGGAACGGAAAAAAATATTATTCATATTGTAATCTGAATTATATTTCTATCACCCGTTCTACAATATAAACATATATTACCTTCTTTGTATTGCTGTACGTAAGGAGTGTAGTGTCTCATTAGAATGTGAGTATAATTCAACATCATCAATTTGTCTTTGACCAGTTTGAAAGTTAAATCTTACTATTATAGTGCACTGTCGGCCTCTACCAGACCTATAAATCGGTAGGATTTGTCGATCAGCTGAAAATCTTCTATCACATTCGTTTATATATTCTTGTATGGCACGAATAACTCTACACATTCTTGTGCAACTTTCAGTTGCATCTGAAAAGTACATCATAATATATGGCCCATGACAAACATGTAACAATGGGTAAGCAACAACGGGTGAGTGGTAATTTAGTTATTGTACTTAGTTACAGTTCTGTCAAGTTAGTCTTAACTCCACAGTAACCCATTTTACATAGGAACAACTCTATTCTTATAAAAAAGGGAATTGAATTCTATTTATTCACATAACATTGGACGTTACTTAGAGACAAAAAATTGAAATTGAACAAATGAAAACAGAGAAATTGAAATTAAAAATTTTATGAATTGAATAGAAATCAGGATCAGGATTGCACAGTACACGGTTGATATAAATTTGACTGATTCTTAACGTCGCTGTCGGATTTTACTCTGCTTTGCTTCTTCTACAAGTGTAAAAAGGCGAAAGATTTATATGTTTTGCAAGGAAATCAGAGCCGTGATTCCCCTGTGTCGGATGTTCGCTTTTAATTCAATATGCTCGAGCAACCGGAGTTAAAATCCCAATGTTGCCGGCACTAATGAAACTGTTAATTATAAATGCCGATTTAACACGTGATCAGTGACTTACTGCAGTGAAACATGCATATTTAAAAAAATATATCTTAAGGTAATCCGCTAATCGGAAGTGGGGTCGTATGATGAGTACGACCTAATACGGAGGGTATTCGGGCGTAGTACACCGTACTGAGTGCACAGCATTTGTTCAGCAGCGGGGACCATATAGTTAGTTAGTAGTTTTCACTACGGACCTTCCTGTTGCTCCATCTCCTTCTGCAGCCGCTGCGTCCTAGCGCAGCACTGCGTGAGAAACGCCTCGTGGTGCTGCGCGGGCGACAGCTGCTGTCCGGTGCACGTGCACACCTCCCGCAGCAGCTCGATGCCGCGGCCGGATATGTCGTCGTCGCACTCCGTTATCACCTGCCAAACGCTGCTCGTTACACGGGATATTTCTTTTTTTATGTATATCTGTCTATCTGTCATATATTTATGTACATATAAATTATAGCCTATGTGTTATCCTGATGTATAAGCTTATGTAGTATTTGCGTGAACGAGTAACAAACATCCATCCATACATACAAACTTTCGCCTTTATAATATTAAGTAAGGAAGTTGTCAAGCGAACAAGCGGGTTCACTTGATGTTCACGGTATATACCGCCTCTAATAGACAAAACCCGACGGCTTGCAGATGCATTGACGACGTTCAAAAAACCGAGATCCCGGTTACCTCACTCACCAGTAACGCGAAATTTTAATACTTTCACTTCACGCCGGTCTTCTGTGAGACTTCCCCGGACGCGCCTGCCTATTCGTGCAACAGCAGAAGAGCTGTCCCTGCCACAGTATAAAATACACCTTGTACCAAACCGCATCTCATCACGCCTGGTGCTCTTCGAAATGTATGGTAGTAAATCTCGATAAGTAAAGAAAGATAGAGAAAGAGAGTAAGACACATGAACAAGTAAAAGTTAACTGTGTGTGAAATTTACACGATTATAATGTTGTTATCTATTTGTACGAAGCAGATATAGGTCGAAATGCTCACCCTCCATAAATAATCTAATCCTATGAGATCAGCGTCATTAATTAGATAACTACGCCGCTTAACTTTAAGTTTACCCTCTTTGGAGTTAACAGTTTTAAAAAACCTGCAATAAAAAAATCAAAATGAAATTAATAAATAGATGACAAAACTAACAAAATAACAAAAATATTTATAAACGCCAACCTTTCAAAACACTTAATACCATTATGCGTAAGTAGATTGGGAGGCAACGTCATAATATTTCTCCTAAAAAAGTGAAGATTAATATTTGGATCCAGATCCGGTTCATCACCCATCAGTTTACTGAACCACCTGAAACATGCCTCGCGATCGCCTAGATGCGCCGGCCTTTCTGCAAGGCACATCCATATTTGCTTAGCCTAAAAGAGAACAAGTTTTATTACACATATCTTTAATTATTTTTATCTGCTCCAATCCAAGGAAGGTGCTTTGCGGTAGTATATACATATATATATATACAGCGTGTCGTTACAACCGCGACAATAAATGAACACACATATAGAGGATAACTTTTTAAAATTGTATTAAGCATTTACATTTTTTAAACATCAATATTTACCGAGTTATTAAATTTTACAAAACAAACATTTTAGAACACCCTTACGTATAGAACTGTAACGTACAGTTCATTTGTAAAGGTCACAAAGCACATGAACGGGTTGAATGAATTTAAATAAGATAAAACATACTGTTAGGAGAGACTGTAATGCGACGTTGTGGCAACGAATGAAAAAGTCTCTGCATGTATGTATAGGTTTCGGGTTCTATTTGAGATAAACCTATAATAGTTGTCGCGTTTGTAAATCAAACTATAATTGCTCAGCACAGGTATATTGTTTATTTACACTTTAAAACACGTAACATATACATATACAACGTTAGAACTCACACATACACAACAGAGATTTAATTGTCCAAATATTAGCACTGGATTCGCAAGGTTTACGTATCGGTACAAGTGACGCAGTTTAATGTATGGAAGCCGTGAGCGCACTACTGTATCGCGCGATGCAACGGCGCTTCCAACTCCAGCGCAGCCGCGACGCATCTCGTGCAGAAATGTGTAAGTATAATTTGTAATACGATTAATATTTAATTTATTATTTTTATTTAATATTCTTTTTCCTTTCAGGTGGCGTGCCAGATCACTACCGAAACCGGTTCACGGTCGATAGTATTTTGGAAAATGTACCGTTCTTCCGCTTCTCGTCTTTTTTTCAGTTTGCTGAGGTGAAGGGGGTGGTAGTTCGGGTGCGGTAGTCATCACTGGCATCTGGAATTCTTCGTCCCTGCAGATGACGTCTCTCGTGAGGTAAGCCGGTTTTATTCTGTCTATTGTAACAGTCATTTCTTTGCCTTGTACTTCTATTTTAAATGTTTTTGGGCCGTGTTCTAGGACTTTATACGGACCTGTGTACGGTGACTGTAGGGGACGTTTCTCAGGACCACGGCGCAGGAACACGAACTTACTTGTCCAGATATCTTTGGGTATATAGAATGGTTTATTCTTGTTGTGATTAGATGCAGGTACCGGTGCTAAACCAACTATATGTTTTCGCAGCCGTTCCACGTAGTCAGACGGATCTAAGGTATGTTCAGCCGCCGGCTTAAAAAATTCTCCCGGTAGTCTAATAGGCTCGCCGTAAACCAGTTCTGCTGACGAAGCTTTCAGGTCTTCCTTCCAAGCTGCTCACATGCCAAGGAGCACTAGAGGTAGCGCTTCCGACCATTGAGTTGCATTGTGACACGCGATGGCAGCTTTCAGTTGTCGGTGAAGCCTCTCCACCATTCCATTACATTGAGGATGGTATGAGGTGGTGGGGCGGTGCTCAGTGCCAATAAGTTTTGGAAAAGATGCGACTGAAATTGCTGACCTCTGTCCGTAGTAATTGATTCTGGGCATCCGTATCGTGACACCCAGCCGGAAACAAAAGCTTTGGCGCACGTTTCAGCGGTGATGTCCGGCAGCGGGTAGACTTCAGGCCAGCGTGTGAAGCGGTCGATTGCAGTCAAACAGTACCTGAAACCATTACAATATGGCAGTGGGCCAATTAAGTCAACGTGGACTTGGGAGAAACGTTGTGAAGGAATGGGGAACGTGGACAAAGGAGAGGAAGTATGACGGGTTATTTTGTTTAGTTGGCAATCTGCGCATTGTTTTGTCCAAGTTTTACAGTCTCGCCTTATTCCAGGCCAAACAAATCTTTCTGCGACTAGCTTAGCGGTAACTAAAGCACCTGGGTGACTGAGTTCATCATGCATTTTTCGGAAGACTTGTTTGCGAAACCTGGGTGTAATGTAAGGGCGAACTTGTTCAGTCGAAAAATCACAATACAGTTGATTGTTTGGCAACTTCTTTAGCTTCAGCGCGGTATCTTTTTTAAGTAGATCTTGCAGTTCAGGATCTTTTTCCTGATCTCTTGCAAGATCGGTAAAATCTACTGCTCGTTTTACTTCCTCGATTCTTGAAAGTGCATCAGCCACAACATTGTCTTTGCCTGGCACGTGTCTGATGTCTGTCGTAAATTGGGATATGTAATCCAAATAGCGGAATTGTCTTGGTGAGCATTTGTCTCTTTTTGTTGTAAACGCGAATGTTATTGATTTGTGGTCTGTGTATACGACAAAATCTCTAGCTTCCAGCATGAACCTGAAATGTTTAATGGCTTCGTAGATGGCAAGAAGTTCCCTGTCATAAGGACTATAGTTTTGTTGTGCTGAAGAAAGTTTGCGGGAAAAGAAACCCAGTGGTTCCCACACGTTGTTCCTTTTTTGTTGCAGCACCGCTCCAATTGCTTCGTCTGAAGCGTCGTAAATAAAGCTAGTTCTGCTTGTACATCTGGATGTGACAGAAGTGTAGCTTTTGTCAGACTTTCCTTACATTTGTGGAAGGCTCTTAACATCTTGTCCGTCATGTTTATGGGTGTTGCTCCTTTGATGTTTCCTGTGAGTGCTTCATTCAATGGGCTTTGGAGTTCGGCTGCGTGAGCGATAAATCTTCGGTAGTAGTTTACCATTCCCAGAAATCTTCGCAATTGTCTTGCGGTTTTAGGTGGTTCAAGTAGCTGTATAGCTTCTACTTTCTCTAAAAGGTGGCGTGTGCCCTCAGACGATACGTGGTAACCAAGAAACGTGACTTCTGGTACTCCGAAAGTGCACTTCACTGTGTTAATAAGTACACCGTATTTTTTGAATCTATCAAACAGTTGCTGAAAGTGATACAAGTGTTCTTCATCTGTTTTTGAGAATACCAGTATGTCGTCTAGGTACCCGTAGACGTAGTCCATCCCTTGCGTCACTTCGTCTATGAACCGTTGGAAGGTTTGAGCCGCGTTTCTTAATCCAAAATGCATAAATGGGAACTCAATAGTCTCCGCATGGACGCCATCCATCGTCTTTCTTCCGCGCTAGGTGTAATGGCGACGCCCATGGGCTCTCAGATCGACGTGCAGTTCCGTTGTGCAACATCTCCTCGGATTCCTTTTTGGCAATTGCTAGACGATCAGGAGCTAGTCGGCGTGGACGTGCGTTCACTGGCGGTCCAGGAGATGTTCTGATGTGATGCTTGGTACTATGTTTGGGTACGGTAGGAGTACCTGCAGGTCTTGTAATTTCTGGATATTGTTTCAGTAGATCATGAAATGGTGAATTTCCAGAAACTGCTTTAACTGTGACATTTTCATCCCTGGTTATGTTCCGATGATCGATGGACACTGACAGGCTGGTGAGATTGTCAATGAGGCGATGGTGTCGACAGTCCACAAGCAAATTGTAGTGGCTTAAAAAATCAACACCAATTATCGGCTTTATTACATCTGCAACAACAAACTTCCAAGTAAAATCTCTCCTCAGCCCGAAATCCAGATGTAACTGTAAATAACCATAAGTGGATATCGTTGTGTTATTTGCAGCGAATAGTTCGAACTTTGTTTTGTTTCGATGCCCTGCGGTCGCCTTTTTCGGGTAAACACAGAGGTCTGATCCCGTATCTACAAGGAATTCTATCTTTGTCTTCTTTTCTGTTATAAAGAGGCGGCCGTTGCACTCATCAAGGCAGTCATTAGCCGCCACTGGCTGCCGTTGGCATTTCCCTGCTGGAAACGACATGGTTTTGTGCACTTATACGCACGGCTACCGAACTTGTTGTGGTAGTAACAAATATCACTCCTGCTTTGAGATCTTGAACGAGATCTTGACCGTCTTCGGTAAAATCTCCTTCCCGGTGGGTGGTTCTGACGTGCGCTTAATGCAGCTACTTGCTTTGTTAGCTCTGTTATCTGCTTTGCCATCGCTTCCATCGCTACCCAAGTTTGGTTCAAAGCGCCTGAAGTAGAAGGCGTTATCTCTGCGACTTGAGGTGTTGGAGCAGCTATCGCAAGTATTTTATCTGCCAATTCTGCCAACTTTTCTATGGGCATGTCACAGTGCGACGCTATAATGGGCTGTATGTTCTGTGGCAGTCGGTTGTGCCTTGTCGTGCGTATGAGTTCTTCTGGTATTTGCGGTCCAGCCAGATGTTGAAGGTGCCGCAAAAATTGGGAGGGTTTTCTATTTCCCATCTCCTCACTACTAAGAAACTTTTTGATCTCTTCTTCTCGGGGAGCCGATAGTCTACGTATTAGTTCTGCTTTTAACGTTTGGTACTTGCTCTCCTTTGGAGGGTTCTCAATAATGTCGCCCACTTCCACCGCGTATTGGTGATCTAAGTTGCTGCACGCAAAATAAAATTTGGTAGTATCCGAATTTATACCTGATAATATAAATTGGCCTTCTAGTTGCGCGAACCATAAAGCTGGGCGATCCGGCCAGAATGGGGACACTTTGACACCGACTCGAAATAATTCTGAACCCGTTTGTAAATTTTCAGTGTCGGCCTTATGCGGCGGGACCGTCTCCTTCGCCGGGTTGAGTTCACGTGGACGCGACATCTTTTGTTTGTTGAAAAATTGCAGGTAGGTCTTACTTTAAGGTCCTCAGATCACGTCGGGGTCACCAGTTTATAGGTTTCGGGTTCTATTTGAGATAAACCTATAATAGTTGTCGCGTTTGTAAATCAAACTATAATTGTTCAGCACAGGTATATTGTTTATTTACACTTTAAAACACGTAACATATACATATACAACGTTAGAACTCACACATACACAACAGAGATTTAATTGTCCAAATATTAGCACTGGATTCGCAAGGTTTACGTATCGGTACAAGTGACGCAGTTTAATGTATGGAAGCCGTGAGCGCACTACTGTATCGCGCGATGCAACGGCGCTTCCAACTCCAGCGCAGCCGCGACGCATCTCGTGCAGAAATGTGTAAGTATAATTTGTAATACGATTAATATTTATTTATTATTTTTATTTAATATTCTTTTTCCTTTCAGGTGGCGTGCCACATATGAATCAGTCAGTTGTAGTTGTATAGGATGTTACAAATGTTGTTTCTATTTTATTTAATTACTTTGTTTGAAAAATATTTTTTTTATTATGGATTTTTTAACGTTTTATATTGTTTTAAGATTATTCGCAAGTAGCGTTAGACGTGTGTTCTTTTATTGTCGCGGTTGTAACGATACGCGGTATATATATGTTTGACGTATTGTTTAGTTGTGAGAATGACATAATAATTAAACCAACACCATAACAATTTCATACAAGATGCAAATAAATGATACATATATTTAATTAAATTAGATCAATGTGAGGGAAGGGTTGATTTTTAAATTAATTTGTTTACTTCATCTTATGATATATCTTACATTATCTGAATTCTCAGCATCTTCATGCCATCTAATATAAGTAGACGCGTGTTAAATATTCGGCTACTTTTATTCTAATCGACCGAATGTCGAATATATTCTCAGGCGTTCAATGTATTCTCGTTATCGTAGCGATATGATGACTCCGTGGCGCCGTTGCCAAGGTATTGGCTTCGGCGTCGGGGGTCGTGGATTCGATTCCCACGTGGGACAACTATTTGTGCGACCCACAGATAGTTGTTTCGCACCTGGTTGTTTGTCCTCGTGCAATTTATGTTTGTAAAACGTCCTTACAACACAGGATAATGTTATCCTAAAGTGAGGGCAATGTTTTTTAAAAAAAGAAAAAAATATATATTAAAGATGAGGGTAATTTAATTATCCCATTAGCTCTTTGACATAAAATTTCATTTAATTGTCACGATTTGTATTCAAGATTACGAAAAGGCAACTACAATGACTGATATGATACGACAATGTTGAAAACATCGAGCACCACGCTGTGATAAAATTCTAAGTATTGAAGCCGACTCCAGTGCAGGTTAGTGCCACTGCTGCAGTAAACGACAAAATCGTTAAAACTTGTAAAAGATAATACCAACGAAGAGTGAAAACATTACCAGAAAGGACTAGAAAGAAAACAAAACATTTTTTGACCTTTATACATATTTGCTTAATTTAATTGAATCAATGAAAATTAACCACAGCTCTTCGTCAGGATAACACGCCGGTTCACATAGAGCGCGTTGCCAAGGTGATTAATACTATTATAACTTATACTAATAAGCAGTTTAAAATAAGTGGCGCAGCGTGGTAGTTGTAAGTAAATTTGAACAAAAGAGCGAGAAACAATCGTTTTTCTTTTGCCTGATATTTGGCATGTTGCCGAATATACTATTATTGGTTGCAAATCTAAATATTAGTAATTAAAATTAATATATATATTCAATATTTAAATATAAAAATCTTCTAGATCATATACAAAAATTTCAATAACTCCATCATACCTGTTCGGCGCACAACCACAGCTGTCCATCTTTTAGTAAAAATCTAAGAAAGCTCAATCGTTCATGGACCTGGGTCGCGTGAGGATATCTGCCGTCAGGGAGCCAATTCTCCCAATCGATTTCACCCTCCTCTGAGAGAGAAATATTATATTAATAATGGTTTAATATAATAAGAAAAATGGAAGGTAAAATTTAAATTAACATTCAAGTTATTAAAACCCTTTGTTTCTCTAGTAGCTTTATTTATCAGACCATGATTGTATCATGTAGCATAAAAACGAAATTTTTAACTATATGATTTATATTATTAGATTATAGATTAGATTAACTTACCGAGAAGCTTATTCCTCACGCCATCCATATAATTAGTGAGGGAATCGGTGACTAGTATAACAAGTGAGTGTTGAGTCTGTAAACGGTCTATCAACTCCTGGCGAGTGACGTGCGGCCTAACGCCGGTGCCACCTCCGGATTCATACAAACAACATATCTCGCGCATCATTTTTAAAGCTGGTATCACCCACCTCTCATTATTCTGCAACTCCTCTACACATCTGGAAAAATATAGGAAATTAATTTTACATTCAAAATAGAGTACCAATGGCCCGATATATAATGTAGGACTTAATATTTCCTCACTTGTCAAGCCAAAGTGTTTTCTGGGCATCCCTATCCTGACAGCAGCTGTAATCCAAAATCTTGTTCAAATTGGCTAATGCTACATCCATAATTTCTGTACAAACTTCATCTGAATGTGCCAAATTCCAAAACAGGACTAATACCTGAAATAATAAAGCAAGGTAAGAAATTTACTAAAAGATGTGCAAGTCCAACAAGCAGCATAATAACGTTTTTAGACATTTAGAATACCTTATTAGCCATGACACCATCTTTATCATCTTCTGCTAGCCTTCTAATTACTTCCAAAAGTTTGTCACTTTGCTTCTTACTTGATGTAGCCCAACTTGCCTAAACAAAATTAAAATACATTATTTAGTAAGCAAATAAAATGTAAAAATAAATATGAGAAAATGGCAAACAAGCTGGCGGTTCACCTGATGTTAAGTGATAACCGCCGCCCATGGACATTTGCAACACCCCTTAGGGTTGCAAATGTGTTGCCACCCTTAAATAAAGTGGGCTCTGGCTACCTCACTCTCCAGACGAAACGCACAAGTATAACACTTCTACTTTACGCCGGTCTTCTGTGAGGGTTTGGTACTTACCCGGAATGACCTGCCCAATTGTGCAACAGTGAATATTGTTGCGTGGCCCTACCACTGTTATTAAATAAAATAAATCTATATTTATTACCCTATTATTTTTGTCATCTCTCAAAACAGTGTTTACTATTAACCTTATGTCATAAATATAACTAAAAAAGTAGTGTCTGAATGAATTATTCTTATACAAACCTTAAAGCAATCAAAGAGATGATCAAGCTGATCAGGAGTGAAGTCCCATGCAAGCTTAGCTAGAAGGTCATGAAGATTTTTCACAATAGCTTCATGTTTTCCATGTTGAGCCTTCCATATTGCATCCAAATCTTCCCTAGTTAAAGAATTCTCTTTTATCATAAATCTTAGCATTTTTTCTAATCTATCCACATATTGAGGCTGATGTAGCGAATCGCGTAAAACAATGTCCACAACTTTATTTTCCCGAATCCAATTCTGGAAAATATACATAGAGTATGACAAAAATATGTGTTTTTCTGTATTCTTATTTCAATAAATTTATTCTCTTCTATTTGCTTATATATAATACAACAATGTATAATCAACAGTTTAATTTAATAAAAAGGCAATATTTAAATGAATGAAATCTACCTATTGTACTAGAATAATATGTGAATATATTCCTTACTGTTATGACAGCGGGTGTAAGCCATTCTGGTTTAGGTTGCTGGGAGATTGTACTTATCAGTTGATTGATTTCATTTAATGCTGACATCTTTCCATTAAATGATGACATTTGAAGTAATCTCAATATCATTTTTAGTCGGAACATCTCTAAAGCTGCAATAATACAAATACATTTATAAAATTACCTTTTAAATTTAAATAAAAATACACAGCTAGTTATTTATGCAGTAGTTGCAAAATAATTATTTTATAAACAACATTAACACCATAATGTATACAAAAAAATATATAAAGACTATATAGAGACGATAATTTCAATGAAACCGCTGAGCTGTTTAGGCACCACCAGTGATGAAAAATGGTCTCAGTTACATACAATGTAGCAGCATAGGGGAGGAAATTATACTGCGCCCCTAAGCAGCTACAGGGTGTGCAACTGGACTCAGTTAGCACTTTCATTTTCTTTTCTTTCTTGAACTTCATCCTGAATTATACACCAGTAAGGAAAACACAGACTAATATACAGAAAATGTGGACATACACCAATAACAATATTTGTTAGAACATAATTGTTTAGTTACAAAATGTATAACATAGAATTATCATAATAATATATTGTTAGTAAACAACACATTTTATCATCAACTTTTTCCATAAAGTAAAGAAATATAAGCATTTTATGAATCAATTCTTGTCTAAATTTAAGACAAAACTTTTAAATTATACATTGAGTAAACTTATTTAAATGTAAGTTTCAAATAAGATGTTACAAGCTATGTGCAAAGACTGTGTTTGATGGTAACTATATTCATATGTAACATTTTAGTATTCAAAAAGTTTTAGGGGTCTGGTGAAGTCACCATTTTGTGAGTTACAGGAAATAAGCTTTTCTATACAGGTATTCTATGTGAAGTGGAAAGGTAAAAAATTTAGTTTTTTCAGATTTTAGAAATATTTGATTATGTTATACTTAAATATTATTATGTCCTTAACAAGTTAGAAAGCTCGAAAATTTTAACCTAACCAACATGCATGCATTGAAATAAATTAAAAAAAAATTGTTGTTCATTTGACTTTCATTTTAATTTTTTTAGAATTTTTTTTTTCGAAATAAAAATTATATAATAGGTACATTACATGTAAACTTAAAGCCGTAGGTGAATGTCAGTACGCACGCTTTTATTTCAATTCAATCGAGTTTCAATTCAATACTACGTATTTTAATTATATTACACAAAACATATAAATAAAAGATGTGACTTTCATTAATTCTTTAAAATGTGATGAACACAAGTAGTTACGGCACTTCTCAGTCAATTTATATTTTAATTGTAGAGATCTTCTTGCATGTCTATGAATTCCAATTCTCCAAATGGTTTTTGAGTCATAATTATATAGGAAATGGAAAACTCTGTTACTCTCGGAAATGTTAATTTCAAAATCAAAAAATCAAGAGGCACGCACGTATCTATACAGAGGAGACCTTTGCTCAGCAATAGAGCATATATAGGTGGTTACTAAACTTTACTTTTTTTTTAAATTACAAAGTTGGATCAAATATTATTTCACAAAGAAATAATAATTATTCTGCGCTACTTTATATTTGTTAGAGCAAAGTGATCATCTGGTCTGAGCATTGGTTTTAAACGAGAATTATACAAGGTCAAAGAAATGTGTTTTGAAATGAACAAGTGCATGCACATTTAGGGTTGGTTTAACATATTTGCGTAAATCAGAAATATTGCTTCAGAGCTCATACATTGGACTCCTTAAGGTTGGCAATTTCCCATTACACACCTAGCTTAGATTGTATTAAAAGATGCTCTGATTTAATTTTCAATTTTTTGTTGCAGACATGTGGCTACTGTACTGCCTGCATGTGCTCCAGAGTTGGCACTGGTTTTAATTCGTCTTTTCCAGCACTCTTATATGTACTTTAGCTTCAGTTCCGAAATCATGGAAGGTGGCTTTAGTGCACCTGATCCCTAAAAAATGCAACCGCTCGGATCCGTCCAGTTACCGGCCTATAGCCATCACCTCCTTGTTCTCCAAGATAAAGGAGTCCTTTATCAACTGCCAGCTCCTAGTACCTAGGCGAGCACCGGCTGATTAGCGACCGCCAGAACGGTCTACCTAACACATAGATGGGCAAAAGCAGTTGATAGCAAGGGGGAAGCGCTTGCAGCCAGTCTGGACATAGTGAAGGCCTCTGATTGGGTATGACACAAAGCCCTTCTTTCGAAGCTGCCTTGCTATGGGCTTCCCGAGAAATAATGCAACTGGATCACCAGTTTTTTAACAGATCAGAGTACTATCAAGGTCGTCGTCGACGGTGCATGGTCTGATCCGAAATTTATCAATGCTCGTGTTCCACAAGGCGTCGCAATATCTCCCACACTGTTTCGTCTGCATATCAATGACTTGTTATAAATCATGGGTCGACGAAACTTGGTCCAGAAAGACACAAGTTTACGCGTTAACCGCTAAAAGGTTCTTCTGTTTCATACTCTGTCGTAACTCCTCTGTTTCATACTCTTTTTTCAAGGCATTTCCTGCCTCACACAACAACTCTGTGGAACCAGTTGGGGTGTTGCAGGTGAGCTTCATGCTCGTTTGCCCCCTAATTTAATCTAATCAAGTCAATCATTGCTGATCTATAAACTATAGATATATTTAGAAAAAAATTCAGAAATATAAAATGGAAGTTCAAATATATTAAAAGTTGCAGAAAATTTTTTTACAAATTTTAAGGGTAGAGTTAGACACTATGAATTTTTATACATAACTTTATATAAAATTTTAGTTTAAAGACATGTCATAATCAAATATAACTTAAATCTGAAGTATCAATTTTTTTTCCCTTTTTGCTTTATATGGAATGCCTTATGTCAAAGTTTTCTTATTTATAAACATTAGTTTTACTGTACCCCAAAGGTCATTTATTACAGTTCTAGTTTATAATGTGTTGCAGTTCTTAGGAAAAATTCTTAAATATAAATAAACAATAGATAATTTCCATTAGGTACATATCTCAATGCCAATTGTGGAATTTTGACTATAAAATTAACATGCTAAAATATAATGGTTAATGTAAACAATACAAACATTTAATAAATAACTGTCATACAAGGATAATATCACTTTTACTTTGAATATGCATGGCCATTATTTCTATTATAAAAATAAAACAATTAATTTAATACTTACACTTAAGTAGACTATGATGCTGGGGTGTTTTGATTGATACACATTTGCAAGCTCGAATTAAACATGAAACGGTATCATTTTTGTTCTCACTACCTCTAGCTTCTCTTTTTAACTCTTCATCAGTCAAACTTTCCAAAAGGGTAGGTATACATTCCTATGGAATAATTATATATTTATTAAATCCTATCTGGCTGACTATGAGAACAACAAAAAATTAAAGAAATTTTAACTATACCAAAATAGGCAAAAGATAAACTGTGACAGTGTGAGGTGTCAACAAGTCATGGCAAAGACTGAGTGGTCTCAACAACTGCCATACTGCCGCAACACGTGTCTCTCCATTTATTGATTGCTCCATTGATGATAATGGCTCACTTTTTGAAGATATTGTACTCTGAAAATAATATCAACATTTGTATAAACTACATTTTAACAAATTTTCACATAGAAAATGGTCTTGTTTTATTATTTCTATTCTTGACATTTAAACATTTTATAACAAAACTAGAATTATTTAAACGAAACCTAAAATTATTTTAAGTTAATACCATTTTGGTTAGTGGATTTCTAAAATCGACATTTACGCTTTGTGTAAAGCTATCTAGTGTCTGCATTGCGTTCAAAGTTTCAGTTTCGACTAGTCGAAAAAAGTCCAATCGGCCATATACGGAAGGTTAGCATTTGTACCGCGACATTCCAGTAGCTCAGCGTGAATACGTGCGTGTAGAGTTTTTGTTTGTAAATTGACTTCATGGATTTATGGGAATGTTGAACTTATATTCTATATACAGCGTGTCTTTACAATCGCGGCAATAAATCAACACACATATAGAGGATAACTTTTCAAAATTGTATTAAATATCTACTTTCTTTAATCAAATTTTTTTATAATATTTTTTTTATGTAAATCTTTTTTATGAATATTGGTAAAAAGCATTAGAAGTAGAAAGATGCTGTATATTATGCATGTATATAGCTTTCTTTAACACACATCAGTTGCCCCAACTCTTATCATATCTGACATATCTCCCTTAAGTCTTATTTATTTATCTATATATAAAATTCTCATAGCACATTGTTGTTGGCCATACGGTCGTAATCGTAATAAGGGTGGACCACCCCAAACATTTCTTTCTACATCAATAAAAATTCCCTAGAAATAATTTAAATGGCAAAAAAACCTTTGGAAAAATTTAAAAAATACATTACTTCTTCAGCATACATAGAAATTTCAATGTTTTATCAAGTTTCTGTTTCGGGCGAAACTATGACCAAGTCTGAAAGTTTGGTCAAGGTTTTATGTGTATTGACACTACTTTTATCATTATACTATAAAATAATGAAAAAATACCTCGGTATTATCTGAAGTAAAAGGTAAATTTTCTGTGACATCTACTTTATTTTCTTCATTTCCTTTTTCAGATGTTTCTAACAAAACTTTTTCTTCAGCATTGACAGACATTGTCAAATCATTTTTTTGAAAACCCATTATGGCCTCAAAACGTTCGCGTAATTTTACGAATCCACCAGCCTGACCGAATCTACAAATAAAAATATATGGCAATTAGTTATCTACAACAATATTTTCAGTAACACAAAAAATACTTCAACCACATAAATAATTAATGATTTACTTTAAATATTAATAAATATTGTTTGCCCTTAACTTGCCCTTCACAAAATGTAAAAAGAATAAATAAAGCATTTGTAAAGGCAAAGTCAAAAAAATCATGCTAAAGTTAGGCATTTGTGCACAGTATATGGCTATGATATTACTAATATAATATTACTGTGCCAATTAAAATTTATCAATTAAAAGTCTTGTTTATAATTATATCTCTAAATATTTATTTATAATAACTACCTAATGTTTCTCTGCAAGTTTGATAGATTAGGTGGGAATATTATGCCCCTTTTTCACCATCAATCCACAACTTTTAAGGCCCATTTACACGATGCCATTTTCTTGTACATACAAGAGCAATAATTGAATGCAATAAGTTGCACGCAATAATTGACCATCAAAAATTGTAAGCAACAGTTTACACGCAGATATAGTAAAAAAAATTGAATGCGATTATTGAATGCAAGTCTTTTGATAGGAAATAATTGCAAAGGTCTTTTGTTTACACCAATGCAATTATGTTTAGGCGATTATTGCTTTCAAGTTTTGACTTGTCTAAACAGATGCTTGTATGTGCGTGTACAATTTATTGGCGTGTTGCTTCAAGTATTACACGCATTTGCGTTGACAAATTTTTCATGCAAGTGTTGAACGTTTTACAAATGGCTGTTTTTTTTTAAAATGGCTCAATAATAAGTGTTCAAGTTAGATTATGCTGATTAAATATATTTCATTGAGATTTATTTATTATGATCCATATATTATTATTCATATTTTTATCCAAACTTTTTTTACGACCTTTTCTCAATATTTCTATCCTCAAAAGAACAGCAATGATTAATACCGTCACTCATTGCACTAATTTTTGCAAAGGAAGAGAGAATGCAATTGAATACAAGAATTGCTTAAGAAATTATTGTGTGTGCTGTTTACACCAAGGAAAGTTTTGAAACAAAACTTGAAGCAAGTCTTGTTCAACAGTCAAGAATGTTATGTGCTGTTTAGACAATGCAACTCATTTATTGCTTCAATTTAATTGTATATAACAGGCAAGAAACTTGCACCGTGTAAATGGGCCTTTAGGAACAAAATAAAAAAATTAAGAGCTAGTTTTGTTTAAACCGCTGCTTAAGTGTCACCTAAAGTTAAGGAGTTACCATAAAAATAAGGGCTTGATGTTTGGCTTTTTAGTGCTAAGTAACATAAACTTTTATGAGCACATGCATATAATTTTTCTATCAAGTTTTAATGATATTCCTTGATACTTTTTAGCAATTAAAGTTTTAAGTAAAGAAATATACATATAAAAATGTAATTTCTGCAAATTTTTCACACTATTATTGTATATTTATTTTCGTATGTTAAAACTTAAAACTATAAATAATATGTAAGTAAAGTAACAGCTTATACATGTCCGACTGCTGGGCGGTCCACCACGCGGCCCCACTGCGGATTGGCGGACTTCACATATCTTCGAAAAAATATTTTTTTTTTGTTATTATTTCGAAAATATGTAGGTTTCCTCACGATGTTTTACTTCACCGCGGAGCACGTGATAAGTCAGCACTTAAAGTTAAAAACTTCGTTGGTGCCAGCACCAGGGATCAAACTCAGGTTGCTCGAGTATATTAAATTAAAGGCGACGGCCTGGACACTGAGCTATCACAGCTCTGTATATAATATGTACTGTATAATATGTATTAAAAATCTGTCACCTAGACATTGGTGAAAACAATTTTTGGCGATGGGCTTATTTAGTGTTCTCTTAGGTTAGGGCAACCTTAATAAGGGAGTGTTTGAAAGTACAATGGTGAAAACGGGCACAAGACTTTTATATAGATTTATAGTTGATATAGAATGACTTTCTCTGATGCAAAATACTAAATATGAAATTTTTTCTTCTGTGGATTTAATATAGCAATGATGACAAAAGATTTCACAATATAATCAATGCTTAATTTTTAATTAAAGATATTTTAAAATACTGTCTTTATCAATGTTCACATATCACATTTTTTAAATTGAGCATTTTTTTTATGTGAGAAGGTAGCAAGCAAGCTGGCGGTTTGTCCGATGTTAAGTGATAACTGCCGCCAATCAACATTTGCAACCCTTGTAGGGTTACAGATGCATTGCCACCTTTTAATAAAGGGGGCCCTGGCTAACAATTGCAATTAGTATATTGTAACCAGTTTTAGTGGCATTTTATTGCAAACAAGTTATTTACCAAAATCATCAAGACACAAACACTGTATTTGATGGTTCATAAATTGTAAAAAAACTTTTAAACTTCATAATACTAACACATTAATCAGATGGACCAGCCATCCCCGTGGAGTACGATGATCCTGAGATCTAGCATATATTTCAGGTTCTTGTATTGAACCTTGTCCAGTATTAGCTGTATTTTGTGTCACTGACAAACCTTCACAAGTACGGGAAGCATTAAATGTGTGAAATCTGAAATCAACAAATAACCCAATACATTTTTACAAATAACATATACATTAAACACATATGAATTTAATGCCTTACTTGTTATTTGGATTAAATGCCATTGACAACAATAGTAAAAACCTGGCATCATCTAATTTCATGGCACAGAGTTTCACTAGTTTCTCGCAATTTGAACGAACACATTGCTGTATATTATTTTTCCATGAAGAAACAGCATCATCTGTCAATATCTTGGTAAAGGATAATGTAAGTGAATCATTGTAAAATTGCTGACAAGCAGCATTATTTACATCTTCCCCTGAAATAAATAATTTGATCATAACATTCAAGCTTCACAGGGTTATTTTATCATATAAACATATATTGAAAATAATAAGGATTTTTTTTTAATTTAGTTACAATAAAATTTGGGTATTGCTTTAGCATACGGTAGCTCGTGTAGGGAGGGGGGAGATGGCGGGGGTGGTTAGGGGGAAGTAGTGAACCCCTTAAAAGGAGGGTGTGGAAATCTAGTGTTTGAAATGTATTAAAAAACTATCCTAACCGATGCAATCTTCCTTGGCCTCGCTATGTGGGGCTCCTATTTCTGAGTATAATATAATAACCACAAAGTATAACCTTCTGACCTAACCTGTCCAAGTCTGATTGCTCTGTATCCGGCCTGTCAACCATATTGAATGATGATATCAAAAAACTTATCCAACTTGAAATATTAATTTTTATTATTATAATACATATAAATCTCTTGAGCCGAAAGCGAAAACAATACTGTTCTATACAATTCTTAGTAGTTAACATATAATACTTAAAAAAATATTTCTCTAAAACTGCAGAAAATCCTACTATTATTTACTTCAATGGTCCAATACTCACATATTAAAATTATAACGAAAATTGTGCTACCCTATACTAAAGCAAAGCCAAAATTTTTTTGACATTAATTCATTATAAGATATTAAGGATTAAAATTTGTAGAAAAACATTAAGGATTCTACATAAATGTTCAAAAAATAAGTTGTGTGGATATTTATTTATTTACCTTTAACAGCTAGTTCAATGGCAGCTAAAAGCAGTGCTTCCAACTCTTGTTCTGGCAAAACAGGTACAATCCATCGAGGGTGTGAAACTTTTTCTTCAAGTGCTTTAAGTTTTGCCTCGGGGAATGTCATCTGAAATATTAAACCGAAGGATTCAGTAAAAATAAAGAAGTGCTACTACCATATTCCAGTAAGACTGACTTACCACCCCGGGCATATGTTCTTGTTCTTTCATAGATATGGTCATTATTTTTTCATTTCTTCTATCATTGCCCTTTCTGAAAAGAACTTCAAACATAAATGTATAATTTTGAATTGAATATATGACTTGATTTCCATTTTATTTACCTCATTGTAATTCAATTCTTTGTAAATCTTATTATCCGATAGTCTAACACAATTGAGCAAAAAGATATAGGTATAAATAAAATTAAAGCTATGTTTATAATAAACGATTACGAAAAAATATTGTGAAAGAGCGAAGGATACAATTATTCGTCAGTTCTATAGATCGGCTTTCGGTATGTACCTACACTACGCATAAAGAAACTGACAATTCCATTACCCTTTACAGTTTACCATTGAAGTTATAGAATGCAAAACATTCCTGTGACATAAATGTTATAAATAATTAAAATTTATTTCAATTCTGCAAGAAGGGAATACAAAATCGATATTTTATTTATCTGAATTTTAAGCTTAACTGTTACAACTATATTAAGTACAATCGGTATTGAAATAATCAATCTAAAATTAACTCAACACTTCATTTATTCTTTAAAACGAATGATAGAAGAAATTGAAAATTCAAAATAATATATCGAATCAGCCGGCGCGACAAAATGGCGTCATACTTCTAAACAAGGCAAAAATCGAAAACAATCATATTATTGATATATTAAAAATAAAATAGATATGAGAATATACCACAGGATAATGAAATATAGTTTTTACCTTCAGTATGCGATCAATTTATGAAAAATGTACTTAAATTACAAATCTAGTGGAGGACACTTTTGACGTATGAACGAAAATAGATGAAAAATGTATGTCGTTCGCAGTTCGCTTTTCGCAGCATTCGATAAAAATATTGTAATCTGAAAATTGAAAATATGAAGTATGAATTTGTAAGCGAATAAAGGAATGACCTATATGTAATATTTATAACCTTTTAATTATTATGATGCTATTGATGATGCTTATTTCAATATTCATCGTTGACTTTTTATAGATTTTTACAGGAGTCCCACTTGCCTTCAAGAGCCAAACGTTGAAACGAACGCTGGATTTTCTAAGCTCCACAGGACCGAAGCAATAGAAGAGACCGAAAATAAGACCGAAAGTTTAATAAAAATTTCATAAATCACTAAAATTTATTTGCTTTCCGATTCCAAATTATTTATATTTTGTTTCATAATAAAATTAATTGTTTGGAGCGAGTTATGGTCGTGCTATAATGGAATTTAGAAGCTTTCCAAGACTTGGCATGCGTGACTTTTAGACTCAGGAGGCGCTGCGTGTAATTAAAGTGGTGTTTGGTGCGCTCCAGTATTGCTAAACCTGCTGTTCCGTATGGTGTTTTTTTTGGATGAGTGATAGATTTTAAGTACACTAACGTATTTTTTGTTGCTTGCATATGTACCTTTCTGAATACAGGAAGGGAGACTCAATACTTACTCACCAGATCCATCATGGGCCGAGCTATAATTGCGTACTGTGGGTTACAAGCGAACTTCAGTTGTTGAATCTCGGTTAAGACCTGAGTGCCACAATCCGAAAAGCGTCATCCTAAGACCTTTGACATCCGCGTCCATCCCCGTAATAAGATGAAGATGACGGATTTTCCCTAAGGGCCATTAGGCCCGGGCCTAGGGTAGCCTGATTTTAGGGGCGGTTAATCGTGACAAAAATTCACTGATGACAAGACAGTTAACTCAAAGTGTGTAAATATTCTTTTAAGGATCTCGCAAGTTATGGCGGACTGCACTTCACCGCATCGTATAACAATAATCTTGATTTATGAAGATTATTGTTCTATCTTTCGTACATTTTATGTACATAATATAGAAATGTTAAATATGTAGAGTTGTAAAGCCAAGCTGGCTTCTAAAAAAGCTCGGTGTCCTTAATAGAGCGATACAGTATTTCCTGCCGGAACATCGCTTGCAGCTTTATAATACACAGATCCGGCTGCACATAGAAAACTATTTCTTACCTCTGGACTGGGGAACAAAAATACCAGCTCCTTGTATTTGACCGCATCGACCTGGTCTGATCACCTCGACCCTTTAGATTTGCGAAGGGATGTTGCACCGCTTTTCATTTTCTATCGCATACATGTATCACGGGGAGTGATCTGAGGATTCAATTCGGATTGAATTTTTGAACGCCGTTCCGGAAATCGAACCCACGTCTTTTTAATTTGCGCCCAGACGCTTTAATCCCTAAACTAATTGGCTGATTGCCACATAAAAAAATTACAAATAATTACAACGATAATTCCAAAGAGAATGTAATCACTACGTTTAATATTGGATAATTCGAATGAGTGACATCACCATTGCTATTTCATATAGCAATGGTGATGTCACTCATTGAAAATCAATGAAAATTAAGTTTTTATGGAGCTAATATCTGCACTTAAGATGAAACATTAAAATTCCTTGTGGCAATCAGCCGTTTAACTAAGGGATTTAAGCGTCCCGGTGCGAATTCGGAAGACGTGAGTAATCGAACCCTTTAAAAAGTTTTAGTTATTTTTTCTACAAAATTAAACATCATAAAATCCTTATAATATCCTAAATTGTATGAGAATAAATCTTTAGTTAAATAAATAAAATCGAAAACTGTTTAAATGTTTCATTAATTTAAAGGCAAATATCTCTAAAACATTGGAAAATATTACAAACTAACAGCTTTGATAGATAGCTTTCTGGATCGATTTTAATAAAAGTTGGCAATAAAGTAAATTCATGATGTAATTTTTATGTTGGGTGCTGAAAAAGGGGCGGCTGGTATTTACTACATGGCTTGGGGCGTAGGGCGGCCAAGACTGGAAATCTGCCACTGATGATGACTCGAATGGATCGAGTGGTTTTCATCGCCTATGGACATTTACAACAGCCGTAAGGTTGCAGATGCGTTATTACCTTTTATACTATATTTTACCTAAGTTTAACAAATCCACTTCACGCCGTTCTTCTTTGAGGTCGTGATACTTCCCCGACGGACCTGCCCATTCATGCAACAGCAAAGATCGTTGCTTGGCCTTACTGCAGATAAATAATTGATTTTTTTAATGAGAATGTTGCAAGAAAGCTGGTGATTCCCCTGATGTTAAATGATAACAGCCGTTCCCGTTGACATTTGCAACACCCGTAGGGTTACAGGTACGTCCCCACCTTTTAATATAGTGGAACCCGGCTACTTCACTCACCAGACGAAGCGGGGAAGTATAACAATTCCAATTCACGCCGGTCTTCTGTGAGGTCATGGTACCCTGTTGCGTGGCCCTACCACAATAAAAATGATGTCACAGATAAGCTTGATATCGATGTCAAAATTGCCTTGTACTACGGAACGCATAGGTGGCGGGTAGTCACACTCCTTGCTGGAGCCTGAGTCGAGCGAGGCACCTGCAGGTGTTTCGCTCTGAAGAATAGGAGAATGGTTACGTCGAGGCAAGCTTTTTAACCCTCTGCGACTGTTGAGAGTCGAGTATGAGAGGGCATATAATTGGCAACGGTATCACTGATTTGGGATGAGGCAACTGATTGGTACTTTGATAATAATACGGCACAGGTGACACCGTCCGTACAGTGAAGTTCCCCTCTTCGGGGAGCCGGAGATGGCACAGAACCAAGTTCTATGATTATTTTGTACGTAAATCGCCAATAAGATGGCACACATCACGAAGACACTTTGTGGAATGGGAGGCCTCGCGCTAACAGGCCATCGATCTCCTCCGAGTTCGCTGACTACAGGTCATGGGAGATAGGAGAGCCATTTCATTAAGTAATAAGAGTCCCAGCCTTCAGCGGCGGACCTGACCTGTGGTTCCCCCGGTCCTTGCTCGTTTGGACAGCGTAGCTTAGGTAAATCGGGACACTGTAATGCAACACTCATTCGTTTTATTTTATTTATTTGGGGAGAAAAATTCTTTTGATCGATATTGGACTGACGCAAACTGCACCATATCGTGAAAAACGTCAGCGTTTAAATGTGTATGAATTTAATGTATATTGTGGTCGGGCAGGCAACAGTGTTCGCTGTTGCACGCATGGGCAGGTTACAATAATAGGAACGTTTAATAAAAAATAGTTAACAAGTTATAAAATACGCATAGTAGATACTCAAACAATATTGCATAAATATTTTTACCAATACATGAAAACACAAATGTTTTTATAAAATATTCCAAATAGGATTATGTTTTCGTTAACAGAAATCATCTTCAGTTCCGGGACGCGTTCCTGTCCAAAAAGGAAGTACCGGAACGACGGAGCGTTCCGGCTCGACAACACCACTGGTATTAATGTAGTGTAATGCTCGTAGGCAGGTTCCTGTTCTGTAAGTAGAATTCTATACACACTTCTCACCTCAGAGGCGGCATTGTTTTATTTAATAACTATATGCTTGTTGCGATAGGCGACAGCTAAGTCACCACCCTAGCGCACCTAAAACGCAGGCGAATTGGTTGTTATTTTTAGACATACAACTCCCTGCCCCAAAGGCTCAAGCGCTCGAAATGGGTTCCCTCCTAGAGGAATTCCTTCGCCAACGATGTCCCGAAGTGTGGGCATATTTTCTCGCGTTCGCGAAAGAACAATGGTTAGTCGTCGAGTTCGCCAGCGACAGCCCGGCTTCACCGGCAGTCGCCTCGCCGCCATCTCTGATGCCCTCTGTGCCCGCTAACGAGTCGCCATCAGCGACAGTAGTAACGCCCGTCGCGTCGAATTCCGCCGCTGCGATCGAACCCAACGCGCCTTTCGCGCAACCAATTTCGGCTTCCTTCCGCGCTGTCGTTCCCGAACCACAATCGGACGGTGGCTCGGACATGGAGGTCGAAACGACCCCCGCTAATAACGCGAAAGCTGACGGCTTAACCGTCGTAAATTCACGTAAGAAGGGCAAAAAACGCCTCGCAACCGATAGGGACCTCGAATGCGAGGCCGCCTCGTCGAACTGTCCCACCGCGACGCCCGCCAAAAAGGCAGCCGCGACTGCCCAAATGGAAGGTGAATTCGTCGCCGAGCGAAAAATGAAGCCATCGCCTCCTATTATAATTCAAGAAAAGGCAAAGTGGCATCAAGTATGTTTGTGGTTTGAACGCCCCAACATCCGCGATCCCCGGTCAAAAATACTCAAATGGGTATCCGCGTGTACAGATAGATCCTAGATACAACGGACGATTTCTGCCGCGTAACGAAGTACTTACGCGAAAATAAGGTAGGTTTTCATACCTACTCGGTGCCCGAAGAGCGAAAACTTCAGGTAGTAATAAAGAGAGTCCTCAAAGAGTAGGATGTCGATAAGGCTAAGGTCGACATCCGCACTCTGTTCACGCTATTCGTCGCCTCAGGCACCCTCGAACCCGTGTCCCTATGGACATGGTCATGGTCGAACTTGATCCTACCCCGGAAGATAAGGCCATCTTCAACCTGAAGAGGGTCTGTGGGCTCAGTGATCTAGTCATCGAGCCCCCGCGGAAGTCAGGAGTTGTGACACAGTGCCACAACTGTCAACATTATGGTCACACGGCCAACAATTGCTTCGCTCACCCTACGTGCGTCAAATGCACCGGTGACCACGGCACGACCGAGTGCACGCGGCCAAAAGATTGTGCAGATCCACCGGACTGCGTAAACTGCCACGCTACCGGCCAACCGGCTAGTTACAGAGGCTGCGCTAAGGGCCCGAAAACTCCCGCGAAAACAACATTGCCCAAACCTGCGCTCGTGAAATACGTTCCCGCGCCCGTACCCGTCGTCAACGCCTGGGAGAAAACCCCCGGTGGCCACGTAGGTGGCCGCGCAGGTAGTCGCGCCCCCTTTCCTCACAACCAACGCTAGTTCAATCGCAGCCCGCCATTCAAACGGTGCCGAGGCCGCAGGTGCAGTCAACACCATCGGTATTCACCAAACAAAGACGACCCATTCGCCCAAATCGCGAACAGCTACCGCTTATTATACCGCATTAATAGAAAAGAGCTCGCCGTATTGTCCGCTAAAATAGCGGCCGCCACATCTGGCACCGAGCGGTTCAAAGCCACTAGCGAACATAAAATGCTTGTAGAATGGTCATTTACGAGCCAACCATAAAACTATAGTCCGCGCAATAAAACCGCGCTCCGCCGCGTCGTTAGTTAGAACTCATAAAAACTTTTATAGAAACTTTTGTACAACCGCAGGTAGAACAAAACCTCGGGATCTGGTTGTCGAAATCGCAGAATTCCTTCGCGATTATAATGTAGATATTTTTCTAGTGCAAGAGATCTTGTTAAAACCTAGTGTTCGCGATCCCAAAATTGCAAACTACAACATAGTCCGCCACGACCGGTTAGCAAACCGTCTGGGAGGCACCTTAATTTATTACAAACGGTCCTTGCACTCTAGCCCGCTCAACATTCCAGAGCTAAGCCATAAAGAGGCATCCGCGTGTAGGTAAGCGCTCACCGGCCTACCTCTCAGCCTACCTCCGAGGTAACAAAACCTTATTACTGGAACGTCAATCAAAGGCGTGTGTAAGCAACAGACTTGTTTATTGAATAGCAACTTAATCTACCCTCCACCATAGTAATTATAAAATTATGACAAGACGTTACATTCTCTCCCCACTTAGCTTACAATCACTATGATAATTATATTTCATAAAATCTTACTCTAAATTTTAAATATTGCGTTTAGCTAGTTTTAGAGCACGCAGTGCTCGAGCTGATGTATGTGGTGAAGGCGACTCAGGCACAGGCGCTGGAGAGATCTGCCCGGACTATGTCTGTGGCGCTTCCACCGCTTCCAAGGGTTCATTCAAGGTCTCATCCCTATTTGAAGCGTCCTCAAATACTTCATCTTCGGCCCTATTATCGACCTCTGTCGTATCCGATTTTAAACCACTGCTGTCCGCCGACTTACGTAACTTGGTCAACATTTCTACGCCACTCTACACCATTTCCTAAGTCGACTTTATAAGAGACCGGTCCCGTCTTCTTAACAATTATAGCTTCAGCCCACTTGCTTCCCTTCGTTCTGTAGTCACGTGCGACCGCATCCCCCACGCGAAACTCCCTATGTGCGCCGGCGGTGCGTGCTACCTGCTGCTCTTGCTTAGAGCACACTGCGGCCACCACGTCTGGCCGCAGTGCGTCCAGCCGGCCGCGCAGCCTCCTGCCCTGTAGTGCCACCGCCGGTGAGACGCCTGTCGTTGCGTGCTCACAGTTGCGATATTCTAAAAGGAATTTAATAAGAGTCGCGTTAAGATCCTCGCCTTCGTACAGTGCTCTTTTTATTGTTTTTTTAATAGTTTTGACGGCATTTTCCGCAAAACCGTTTCCCTGAGGACGATAAGGGGCCGAGGTGGTATGCTTACAATATATTTGAAATTATTCAATTATTCTTACAATATATTTGAAACTCTTGTGAAGAAAATGGTGGTCCATTAACCGTCACAAACAGCGATGGCAAACCGAATCTTGCAAAAACAGTTCTAAAATTTTTTATCGTGGAATTTGCGCTTGTACCCTGCATACGTATGGCCTCGATCCATTTAGAATGTGCGTCAATTATAATTAAGTAGCGTGTACCCCCACTGTCTGCAAAGTCAGCATGTACGCGCTGCCACGGGTGCAACGGGAACTCCCATGGGTGCAGATGCGACCGCGGGGGTGCGTCGAGCATAGATCGCAACGCATGATCTACAAGTTTCCTCGATGATTCCGGGACTAAATTCGCCCAGTATACGTAACTCCGCGATAAACATTTCATTTTGTTCATTCCTAGGACCTTCGTGGATCTCGTCAATTTTTTTTTTTTTGCAAAAAAAGGGAACTTCTATTCTGTATTTATAAATTACGCAACCTTGCTCTACGGCTATATAGTGTTTTCTCGCAAAATAAGGTCTTTCCGCATCGCAGCTTGGTTCTGGCGGCCAACCGAAAAATAAATATCGTTTAATCTTACATAATAATGCGTCACGTTCGGTTTGCAAGACCCATGCAGCGTAACCGCTCGAGTACAGCTCTCAAATTTTTCATATGTTCTAACTTATTCGGACCTGTAACGCAAATATCATCTAAAAATACTACGCAACCGGGCGTACCACGCAAAGTCTCCTCCATTAACTTTTGAAATTTTTCAGGGATACAAGACAAACCGTACGGTGTACGCATAAGTTCCCATGTGCGTCGGTGAGGATGCATTGTTCGTAAGCGTGCCTTAAATCTATTTTTGTAAATTTTTCCCCTCCTCTAAGATTCGCAAATAGCTCCTCAATACGTGGTAGAGGATAATAATCAAGTTTGGATTAATCGTGATCTTATAATCACCACAAATACGTATTTTCCCATTTTTCTTTACAACGGGAACTATCGTAGTGTCATAACTGGAATAATCCACGCGATATATTAGCCGTCGGTCTCGAGACGCGCTAACTCCTCCTCGACCCATGCGCCCAGCGCCAGGCACCGGACACGCTCGCACGTAAACCGGTTCATCGTCGAAGAGCTGTAGTCGGATGGTTCGCTTGCATGTCCCTAGTTTATCGCTAAACACTTCCGGGAACTCTTTACATAATTTTTTTACGAATTCGTCATCTATAATTTCGTTGAGGTTAATTTGTTTTATTTTTAAGACACGCATCCACTCTCGACCTAATAACGGTCGTGCCCCACCCATAAGACATATAAGCGTAATGATTTTTCTTTTATTTTACCTAAACACCAACCTCAATATTGTTACGTGTTAGGGTTTCGAAGGATTTGGAGAGAAAGACCTGCTGACTCTTTTGAAGTCTTTATTCACTAGCACTAGGTCCAAATACTAAGCACTGACGATGTCCTAGGTTGTAGCCAAGTCGTAGGTTTCGCAGGTATCACTCTTGATCACTAGTTTTCATTTCGAAGTCACCTCGAAGGTAGCTCAAACTGAACTGAACTGGCTCGCCTCCCTGCGGCTCTTTATGTGGGTTGAGACGAGCCCCAGACTATTCCAGAAAGTTCCTTCCTGGAACGTACCCGACTTGCGCGAACGTGATCGTGATTCCGGAAAGTACGCGAATGTACCCGGTTTTCGAGACTATATAGTTCTTTATAGTTTCACAGTAGTTCCTCTAACGCCATCTAGTAGGGTGTTTCATCGAGCATCGTTGTTGCTGCCATGGTAACGCGCCAGGCGGTCTATGTGTACCACTTTGAATGTCCCTCGGGGTTGCTTTTGAATCCTATAAGTCACGTCATTCAGTCGGGTAAGCACATTGTATGGACCGTCCCACTTGGTCTGCAACTTTGGAGATTTCCCTTTCTGGCGAGTTGGGTTATGCAGCCACACCAGTGACCCTTCCTCGAAGCCCTCGTGTTCGATTTCCGGTCCTGGTTTTCATGGTCTCACTTGACTGTTACCCATTTTCCCGAACAAAGGCATGTATATAGGGCATTATTTCCCTTAAATGGCAGACATAGTCTTGTACGGTAGGACGGTAGGTCTACCCTCCTTTCAATAGATCTACTGGTATTTGAAGTTCTCTACCGTAATTGACATACGCCGGGGTACTTTTATGCTCTCATGCTCGGCGGTTCGGTATGACAGAAGGAAGAGTGGTATATACTTGTCCCAATCCTTTTGTTTGTCGTCTACCAATTTCGCCAAATGCCTCTCAAGGGTCTGGTTAAATCTCTCAACCATTCTATCAGACTGTGGGTGGCCCGCGGTGGTCCTCGTCTTATGCATGCCCAAAATTCTGCACACTTCCTGGAATACTTGCGATTCGAAGTTCCGGCCCTGATCAGAATGGATTTCTAGAGGCACACCAAAGCGACATATCACTTCTTTGACTAACTTAGAAGCGACTATTTTAGCATCTTGGTTTGGTATGGCGAACACTACGGGCCATTTGGTGAAGTAGTCCATGACGACCATAAAATACTTATTTCCCGATTCCGTTACAGAAAATGGCCCAGCTACGTCAACTGCAATTCGTTCCCACGGTGCACCGACGTTATACTACCCCAGGTTCCCACGGCTCCTGGTCTGTGGTCCTTTTACAGCAGCGCAAGTAGTACATTTGCGGCACCAATCCAGTACATCATCTCGACAACGCAGCAGTAGAATCGTTCTCGCACTTTTGTTAACGTCCTCTTGACACCTAGATGACCTCCTGATACGCCATCATGTATTTCCCGGAGAACATCTGGTACTCTCGTTCTTGGGACAATTATCTGAAGATGGAAGTCTCTGCCGTTATTCTTCTCCCATTTCCGGTAGAGTATTCCGTTTTGAAGTATCAGACTGACCCATTGCGCCCAGTACGCCTTAGTGACAGCGCCAGTGGGTGCAACCTCACTCCAGATTGTTACGTCACCCCGTTTCTTCTATGTGATGATGTGCCCAAGGTCGTCATCTCTTTCTTCAGCCTCCCTCATAGCATGATTCTCCCAGAAACCCAAAGGACTTGTTCTTGTTAGCTTTAATGTTACTTCATTAGATTCTTGCATAACACAATGTTTGCAATTTTCCGAACACGGCCATCGTGAGAGTGCGTCGGCATTCCCATGCGTCTTTCCGCTGCGGTGTTCCGTCTTGAAGTCATACTCCTGGAGCTATTCAATCCATCGAGCTACTTGACCTTCTGGGTTCTTGAATTGCAGTAGCCACTTCAAGGCTGCGTGATCAGTTCGCAGTAAAAACTGTCTGCCGATGAGATATTTCTTGAAATGTTGTAGCGTCTCTACAACAGCCAAGAGTTCTCTTCTTGTCACACAGTAGTTTCTCTCTGGCTTGGATAAAGATTTGCTGAAATATGCAATAACAACTTCTCTTTCACCCTGTTTTTGAGATAACACCCCTCCAATGGCCGTGTTGCTTGCATCCGTGTCGACTATAAACCGGCCTTCAGTATGTGGATACCCTAGGGTTGGTGTTTCACATAGATGTTTCTTCAGTTTCTGAAAAAAATCTTCACAAGTCCCATCCCAACTGAATGGTCGTTTATCTTCTGTCAGCCGAAGTAATAGCTTGGCTATCTCTGAGAATCCCTTAACAAACGCCTGTAGTATGAGCATAGGCCGAGGAATGCACGCACTTCGGTTTTGTCCTTAGGGGTAGGCCATTTTTGAACTGCTTCCAGTTTCTCCGGGTCTGTTTGGATTCCATCACTGGAGATAACATAGCCGAGATAATTGACCTTACTCCTGAAGAAACGACTCTTTTTCGGATTCAAATTTAATTTGGCTGCCTCTATTTTGGCGAAAACTCGCTCCAAGTTTTGCAAATGGTCCTCGAAGTCACGGCCGATAACGATGACGTCATCTAAGTAGACTAAGCAAGCTTCTCCAACTAAGCCTGCCAGTACACACTCCATGAGTCGCTCAAATGTGGCAGGTGCGTTGCACAATCCGAAGGGCATGACGTTAAATTGCCATAAACCCTTACCGATCGAGAAAGCAGTCTTCTCTTTGTCTTTTGAATGAATTTCCACCTGCAAAAGGCCTTCAACTTCTTTTTCCTTTGCAATTGGTATGCTCGTTGACGAATTGGTCTCTCGCTTCCGGTATCTATCCTGTGCTGAACCATCGACGTTCTTCCAAGGTCCCCTTTTTGACTGGAGAAGATATTCGCGTAGCGCTATAAAAATTTCCTAGCTTTCATGCCCTACGAATAAGTCAGATTACTCTTGCAGTCATCGAGTAGCTAAGTCACTAATCCATAGTTGTTGCTGTTTGCTGGGGCTTTCTCGGCGTAAGCCAGTACTCGCCCCTTAGTCCTGGCTTTTATTCGTATCCCTGATCCCGGGCAGCGGACGAAGCCTCTCGCTTCTTCAACTCCTCTATTTGTTCCTCGATCCTTTTCATCCTTGCCATCTGGGTCTCCTTCTGCGGGCAGTTGAGCTGAAGATGGCGCCGCTCGCCGCACTTGTAGCACATGGCTCCAGAACTTTTCTTCGTAGGAGCCTTAACCTCCGGGGATCTTATGGGTCTGCCGTATGTCATAACGAACAGCCTCGACCTCCAAAGCGTGCGCCAATGCCTCGAGGTATGGTGACGAAGCCGCACTGCAGCTCTGACCTCCAGGTCTTTGATTCCGTCCACAAATGCTTGAACAATATTCGTGTCTACCATCTTGGTGTCGGCTCCTGGTGTGCCTTCCTGACGAGTGTTTCAATTTCCAACGCCCATTGTTGTAGTCCTTCTCCTGAGCTCTGGACACGGTCACGCAGTTGGGCAAGGAACACGTGCTCGAGGTGTCGCTCCACGTATCTGGATTCAAGTGCCTCCATCAGGCCTTGGAACCCATTTCCTGTATGTGGCAGTGCTTCCAAGACCGACAAAGCTTGCACTCTGAGTGCAACAGTGAGAGCGGTCAGGCATTGTTCTTCCGTCCATCAGTTGGCAGTAGCAACAGTCGGGAATTGCCGACGATGAGCGTGCCAAGAAGTAGTTCCGTCGTATGGCGGCACTTTTACTCTCGGTCCTTGCGCCACTCTTTGTAGTTCCACTAGACATCACGAAACCCGTGGTTTCAAGGCGCACTACTTTCTTTTTGTAGTTCAGTGAAGCAGGTTTTCACATTTTCAACATCCAATCCTAACCCGGTAACTCGTTCTTGCACTTAAGTGGGCGGAGTCTGAGGGGAGTGGTCGGTGGGCGTGGCCTGGCCGGTGGGGATAGTGGGCGGGGCTTGCCCCAGAGTGAGCGGAGCTTGGTCCCTAGTGGGTGTGGCCTCCGCAGCTCGTGCCCTTGTCCTAACGCCCTCCTTGAAGTCCTCTCTCGGAGTCAATGGCATCTCCAAATCCCACTTCTGACACCAGTTGTTCCGTGTTGGGGTTCGAAGGATTTGGAGAGAAAGACCTGCTGACTCTTTTGAAGACTTTATTCACTAGAACTAGGTCCAACACAAAGCACTAGGTCCAAACACTAAGCACTGACATTGTCCTAGGTTGTAGCCAAGTCGTAGGTTTCGCTGGTATAATTCTTGATCACTTGTTTTCACTTCGAAGTCGCCTCGAAGGTAGCTCAAACTGAAATGTGCTGTCTCGCCTCTCTGCAGATTTTTATATGGGCCGAGACGAGCCCTAGACTATTCCAGAAAGTTCTTTCCTGGAACGTACCCGACTTGTGCGAACGTGATAGTGATTCCGGAAAGTTCGCGAATGTACCCGGTTTTAGAGACTATAGTTCCACAGTAGTTCCTCTAACGCCATCTAGTATTGAATAGGGGGCTTTATGTTGTCTTTGTTCTTTAGTGGTTTTACTGGTTGACGCTAGATGGCGCTAGTTTCTTTGTGTGTTCATAACAATAAGTTCATCCGCCGCGCAACCGGTACGCAGTGGTATCAACGCAACGTCGACCGGCACAGCGATTGCAGACTCCCGACGATTCGCGAATATTTTAAAGACCTGACCAAACGGTTTTTCGATAGAGCCGAACATCATCCCAACCCTCTGGTGGTAAGCGCAGCAAATTACCAACCCGACACAAACGCGAACGTCAACAAGCGTCACCCGCGAAACGTCCTCATCGACCCGGTCGAGTAAGGGGACTTAGATACGTCGGACCCACCGCCAGATAACAGTGCACGCACAGTTAGTGCAACAACAAACACAATAGTTCGCCCTCGCCTCCGAGCACGGCGAGACCAACACAACGCGTACACAAGGTACACCCGCGTTCCGGGGCGGTTCTCACCGCTCCCAGCCACCGATTAACTAACTGACAGCCAGTGACCTCGATGGTCCTTAGATGACACACCATAGTTAAACGCACGCAAGAGCACATGCGTGGCCCTACCCACAGCGGAGGGCCCAAGCCCGTGGGTTCTGGCTAGCCCACCGGTTCTGCGTCAGATGAAGCTTTAATAGTCTCGGGACTGAAAGCAAAAAAAAATTTGATACAAGATACAGCCAAAAAAACAACAATGAACAATATAAACATTTTTTTTTCAACAAAACCACTGTTTTCTTCCTTTCTTCTTCCTTTTACTTGTCATTGGCTCATTAGTTTAAAGGCTAATAAAATGCCACAACCATAGATAGAAAAAAAATCATTTTTTTTGACAGATGACAATTACATAGACAACACAACATCAACAACTTAAGACAATGCTAAAATGATGAACGATCACATTATTTTACCTATTAATGAGTTATCGTACAGGTACATAGTGAATAATGTTTTAAACTTAATTGCTTAGTTTTTTTTGTTATGTTTATTTTAAAATACTACACAAACAAATATCATTAATATAGTCTAATAATTACCTCATCAGATTTATCTACTGAGAATCATTTGGTCTTGTAAAAAAATGAATCCTAAGAGTCCAGAAGCCAGAATGCGTCATGGAGATCCTTTTGAAGGTTTTAAGATATCAAATACGCATACCCTTGATAAGATCAAAGCTAGAAGTCAATGTCCACGTTGCGGTAAATCTCGAATGTACTTTTGTTACACATGTTTTATCCCCATATCTCAACTAAATGGAAGGATTCCTAAATGCAATGTAAGATATACATTTAATTCGGCTTTCCTTTAGTTTACGCCAGCACGAATTTCCTCCTAATTTTAATAGGTAGGTAATAAGTCATTGAAGAAAATACTAGAAGGATTTTTTGCGTAAATTAGTGTTCGAAAATATATTTTTTTTAAGTTTTAAAGGTTAAATACTAGGAATCGGTTAGAACAGTATTGTTTCGTATTTGGGCCCAAAAGATTGCATAATTACATTCTTAAACATAAGAAAGAGACAATGATTATATCATCTCTTAACATATTTTATTTCAGACCGCAAAAATATTTTTGGCTTATGGTAAATCTTTGCCTTAAAAAAAGAGACTGAAATAGAAAATAAACAGAAGTAAATTATATTTTAATGGTCTTTCAAGTTATTTAAGTTTTTTGATGTCATAGTTGATACCTCTTACAGGCGGGTTCACAACTTTCACATCACCCCCTGCGTTCCCCGCCCCCTCACCCCATCCTACGCGTGCTACTGTATACTAAAGTAATACCTTTAATTCTCTTTAGAAATTTGTTACAAATTTATATGAACACCATTTTATTCTTCCAGTTACCCATTAAGGTGGACATTATTAAACATAGAAGAGAAATAGATGGAAAAAGCACAGCAGCACATGCAGCTGTCTTAGCCCCTGGAGATGTTCATATCTATACCTATCCAGAAATTCCAGAATATGATATTGATAATGGTAGAACTGTTTTGCTCTACCCAGGAGCAAATTCTATTTCAGTGCAGCAGCTATTTTCAGGCCAAACCTCAGAGACTTATTATAAGCACCTACTTTCAGAATTACCTGTAGGGTATAATGTAGGTACTTTAATCACAAAGACAATTCAATGTGATAATGATATTGACATATATCATGTTAATAAATGGCCCATTGATCGTGTAATCTTGATAGATAGTACATGGAATCAAAGCCGTGGCATATTTGCAGATAAAAGATTGCAAAGACTTCCTACAATAGTTCTACAGAAGAGACCATCACAGTTTTGGCGTCATCAAAAAGGAAGCCCCCGTTGGTATCTTTCTACAATAGAAGCGTTGCATCAATTATTATTAGAGTTACATATATGTGCGTGGGGTTGCAGTGAAACATATAATTCATGCCTTACTTCACACTTTCCTGTTCATAGAACTCATGGAAATAATTATTGTACGCCATATGATGGACAGTATGATGACTTACTATTTTTTTTTAAGTTTATGTATGAAAAGTTACACACTCTTTATAACCATGAAGCTATGCTGGCATATAAAAGACCTATGACTTGATATATTAGTTCTTACCAAATTTTTTTAATCATGTCAATTGAAGTATAAAATCTATGAATATTGTCTAGCGGAAGCAATGCTTAACAATGTGCTGTCTCCGATTGTCTGATATGTGTGAGTGCCGCTTGTGTACTTATTGTAAGCAGACGTAAAAGTGTGCGTGTTTAGGGATACCTGTTCCAAATTATAGACTTAGTTTTCCCCATTATTTAATAAGGTAAAAGTAAAATAAAATAAGTTGAACAAAGTAATTATTTTATACATTATTATCTTATTTATTTTAGTAACAAAAAAAAATACTATGAAAAAATATTAGTTTATACATCAAAATCTGTTTCTAAAATCAGCTGTATAATCGTTCTTCAGCCTCTTAATAAACTGACAACACCGGGGCCAACCAGACCTAATGCCCAGTTAGGTCAGAAACACTGATCATCATAGAAGTTAACTAATCAGCTGTCAAATGGCTTTTCAAATGTTATTTAAGTTGCCAAAAGGATGGTAAAACCCTCTGAAATTGATCATTCTGATCAATTCAGTGTTTCAGAGACCGGGTGTTAGGTCTGGTTGGCCTCGGTGTTGTTAGTTTATTACTAAGAAGTTGTAGGAAAACTACGGGAGAAAAAATAACCAATATCATTACGTACAATGAAACGCGAAGCTACCAATTTTAGTAGACATTTTTTGCGCCGTTTGGTACGGCTAATGGGTTACAGACAAGTATTTTATTGGTTAACTAGTTAAGGAAAAATATTTAACAATCCATCATAGTGTTGTTTTTCATATGAGAAGGTGGGAAATAAACAAGCTGTTCACCCAATGTTAAATTATTACTACCTGGAGACGTGATTTTGGGTGAGCGGGACGGGATAGTCTTAAACCTCACCACGTATCACCAAGTGGGAGGAGAGGGGTTAAAAATGCTAAAAACACATCATGTGACTAATGGACGGCCCCTAAGGGTGTAATGTAAGAAGAATTTCAACTTTTTTTTCAAGTCTTAGGTTATAGATACGGTAACTCAGTAAAAAACACAAGTGATGGTCCAAAATGAATCCATGAGTAAATATACTGAGCCTTACAAAGGTTTGGGTGAACTTATGATAAGTGTATGATGAACCCGTAAATTCATATTATAAAAAAAAATTGTGTTGTAGTTTAGTGAAGTTAATGGATTTATTAAGTTTACGTTGTTTCATATTCGCCCACCTGACAAAATGTAACTTTAATTGTAGAAATGTGTAAAGATTGAACTTTTTTTAACTCTTTGATAATCAATATAAAGTCTAACTCATAAAATGTATTTTAATCAGTGGTACGTTTTCTGTCCTCAGTAACAATAAACTAAATGCACACTTGACAGTTTTTTTTTTCAGTAGTACTTGTAATCTAGTAGAGCCGTGATAGCTGTGTCTGGGTGCTCGCTCACCTTTAATTTAATATACTCGAGCAATCTGAGTTCAATCCCCAGTGCAGGCACCAATGAAATAGTTAATTTCAAGTGCTGAATTATCACGTGCTCAGCGGTGAACGAAAACATCGTGAGGACCTGCATATTTTCGAAATAATAATGAAAAAAATTTTCGAAGATATGTGAAGTAAGTCCGCTAATCCGCAGTGGGGCTGCGTGGTGGACTATGCCCTGATATCCTATGTACAGAGGTGGCCTTTGCCCAGCAGTGGGACATGTTTAGGCTGATACTTTACTTACTTGTAATCTTATTTTAAAGACTCAATTTGATCAGCTTAATAAAATTTTAAACTGCTAAATAAATAATTCATGTGGAAGTGTTCATAAATGGAATAGATAAGATTTAAATGAAAATTAAAAAAAAATCATCTGTATAATAAAGTAGAACCTATAGCCACAACCCCTTAGGACAATTCATGCATTACAATGTCACTTTTGAAACACATACCATATTAGTACTAAAAATATGTCTTGATACCTTAAAATAGTGCAGTTAATAAGGAAGCAGATCAACTGCTTTTAAAACACTTCATACAAAGAACTACATAAAAAATATTTTGTATGTTTGATCTAATCGAAAATTAATTCTCTAAGTTTTGCTGATTTTTATTTTATTAATTTATTTTTAATGAAAATATCACATTATATTTGACACAATAAAATCAAGTTTTTAGAGTTACTACTTGACATGGGGTTTATATCAATGTGATAATAAACATCTATAAGCAAGATAAGGCAAAATACTTTAATTAAATCAGCAAAGCAATGTCACAAAAACATCAGTACAGATCAAATGTGGTACAGAGTATGTATGTATATTATTTTTAAATATATTATATTCTCTAAAATACAATTCCAAACTGAATGAATAATATAAACACCCACACCTTCATTTTATATAGTCTATCAGTTTATAATGTAAAAAATTAATGGTCAATGTGACCTTTAATAATTTACATCATTTTGCATTTGTTATAGCTTGCGTAAGTCTAATACAAAAACATTTCCGTCACTTGCGCTTGCACCAACTTTTGTGCCACGTGAATTCCAGCACACTTCAAAGATTCCTCCGGTTCCTTTGTAAGAATGCACTAGACCACCAGTTTGGGTTGACCAAATATGAACGCATTTATCAAATGACCCACTAGCAAGAAATTTGCCATCAGGCGAAAAGGCAACACTGTAGACTGGTTCTGTGTGTTTAGTTAATGTGTGTATACATACACCTCTTTCAACATCCCATAGACGAACAGTAGAATCAAAAGATGCACTTGCCAGAATTAAATTCATATTAGGATTCTGCGTGCCTGGTCCTGTTGGAGACCATTTAATGGTGTAAATCTCTTTTGAATGTGCTTCTAAGTCATGGACACAGGTGTCCTGCTTCATGGACCAGATCTTCAATGTCTTGTCATCTGAACATGATGCAAGCAACTGCCCTTGTGGATCCCATTTAATGGCATTAACCTCATTCTGAAAGTTATAAATAAATCTTTATCATGTAAATAAAAAAAGAAAATTATTTTAAACAATATTATAGTAAAAGTACAGTTCATCTCACAAAAACATTGTTAACTAAACATATTGTATCAAATAGCATGATTTCCTACTTACAGTATGACCTTGAAAACTTTTTATTGGCTTGTCCACATGCAATCTGCATACATGTATACATTGATCAGTAGAGCAAGATGCAAATGAAGTGTTAGTTTGCCAATCTACATCAAGGGCTGGAGCTGAGTGAAAAGAAAATTGTTGAGTGCATTGGCCAGATGCTGCATCCCAAATTATAGTAGTTTTATCAACCTGAAATAGAAGTGGTATTATAGAGAAAAAGTTACATCAAAAATATGATAGATTAAGAGGAATGCTCCTATGTCTTTGTATAATACAAACCCCAGCACTCAAAATGTAATTTCCTCTTTTATTCCACTTTAATGCAAATATGGGGCCCTTGTGCTGACCAAGTGTTGAGGCTAAGGTACCATCAGTTGTCCAAATTCTGGCATAACCATCATATGATCCTGTTGCCAATAGGTTGCCATCACACTAAAACATGCAACAAAACAATTAACAGAGTGTGGGTACCTTATATAGTATAATCATAAAAACCCGCTGAACATATAGCTGACATAAAACTAAAGATCAAACATGTATGCAGTCTTTGAGCACACTAAGTTTCCAGACATTTAGCTATCCCTAAAAAAATTTTTACAAAAAAAAAACTTTTTCTGGACATCATTTTACACATTATCTAGTCTTAAAGTCAAAATAATGGAACTGATAAACTTACTGACATAATTTTGCTGTGAATATATACATATTTTAGGTAAGAGACAGTTTCACTATCAGCTACACCAATCGGGCTATCAATGCTCTAATGTACTACATGTGGAAATAGGATAAAATTACTATTCTTACATTCCAATCCAGTGATGTTACATCCTTGTTGCTGGGTACTTCAGCTCCTCCCCTCTGAATGCAATGTCTCAATACCAATTGATTGGGTGTTGTTGCCGGATTGTCAGACATGTCCCAAATCCTAAGATAAATAATTATACATAAATCAAAAGGAATAAAATGTTTACTTCAGATTTATTGTGGGAATATTTTTGAAAAAGTAAAATTTTTATTTTTGGTAATTCCTGATTTACTTTACCTATGAGGAGACTAACAAAAAAGTAACTAATCTTTCAATATACAAGTGAACACTGATAATTTTATATAATCATGTTCATATACATTTTAATAATATACATATTATAATTTCTTAAATATAATTAACAATAATAAATAAACGACTAAAAGTCTGCAAAATCAGGAGTGAATATTATTTTTTTATATTAAAATTATGAATTGTAATTTGTATACAAAATCCTACTTAAGCAGTTTAAATACCTTGCAGTACTATCACCCGAACCACTTGCTAATAAATCTGTGCTGGGGTTCCATGCACAAATAAATACTTCTGATTCATGGCCGCTGAGTACAGTTGCTTTACTGGCTGGAATCTCTATAGATTGATCAACATCCATATTTTCTGGAGCAACTGGTGTTGGTGCTCCACCTGGAGCTGGTGGAGCACTACATGTAGTAGTACCCTGTAACATTTGAATAATGGTAATATCTGATTAATTCTGTTTTTACCTTTTCTCATTTTATAGACTTCTTAAATAGGCTTGGACCCAATTAACTGTGTCAGCCATATTAAAAAAAACTTACCATTCATTATCTCCATCATACAAGTGATACAAATTAAATAAAAGTACAACTAAATCTAAGAAAGCATTAAAAAATAAATATTAAATAAATTTCAAAATAAAATAACTTGTGTAAACTTTTAATCAGTTTTGTCTTACGAGTGTAATTACAAACTATTACATACATAGTCCATGGAAAATAAATTTAGAAAACTCTTTTTAAAATATCCAAATTCACTTTATTAACAACTTGCTGATGTTACAAAAACACAGAACAAATAATATATTTCTTGCATAACACAACACACACAGTATTTTTTTATATGAAAACTTGGCAAGCGAGCAGATGGTTCACCTGATATTAAGTGAATACCGCCGCCCATGGACATTCGCTACACCCGAGGATTGGAGATGCATTGACTGACAACCTTTTGAAAATCGGGCTCCGGCCACCTCCCTCACCAGAAGAAATGCGAAAGTAATATACTTCCACTTTACGCCAGTCTTCTGTGAGGTTGTGGTACTTACCCGGACGAGCCTGCCCATTCATGCAACAGCCGAGGTTGCTGTATCTTGTATTAACTGATGTTTTTGCTTTCAGTCCCGAGACTATTAAAGCTTCATCTGACGCAGAACCGGTGGGCTAGCCAGAACCCACGGGTTTGGGCCCTCCGCTGTGGGTAGGGCCGCGCATGTGCTCATGCGTGCGTTTAACTACGACATGTCATCTAAGGGCCATCGAAGTTGCGGTGCGGACCGAGACCCCGATGGCCGTCGACTGTGTTTTTAGCTAATCGGTGGCTGCGGGCGGTGAGAACCGCCCTGGAACGCGGGTGTACCTTGTGTACGCGTTGTGTTGGTCTCGCCGTGCTCGGAGGCGAGGGCGAACTATTGTGTTTGTTCATACACTAGCTGTGGGTGTAGTGTTATCCGGCGGGATCCCCGGCGGTGGGTCCGGCGTATCTAAGTCCCCTTCCTCGACCGGGTCGATGAGGACGTTTCGCGGGCGACGTTTGTTGACGTTCGCGTTTGTGTCGGGTTGGTAATTTGCTGCGCTTACCACCAGAGGGTTGGGATGATGTTCGGCTCTATCGAAAAACCGTTTTGTCAGATCTTTGAAATATTCGCGAATCGTCGGGAGTCTGCAATCGCTGTGCAGATCGACGTTGCGTTGATACCACTGCGCACCGGTTGCACGGCGGATGAACTTATTTTGTACTATTTGCAGCTTGTACAAGCGAGTAGGGTGCGTGTGGGCGAAGATCATGCATGCGTAGGACATAATAGGTCGTACGCAGGTCTTATATAATAATAATTTGTGCCTTAAGGGCATTTTACTTTTAGCGTTAGTTAAATTGTGTAGCCGGCCGGAGACGAACGCGGCTCTATTACGAACGTTATTAATGTGCGTAGTAAATGACATACGCGAGTCGAAAGTGACTCCTAAGTATTTGACCTTTTTCTCCCAGGGGAGCGGTTGGCCATAAAGGGATATTTGCCCCAACTTTCTGCATTGGCGAGGGCCATTATAAAGATGTGACGGGTAAGTACTTCGTGTGAAGTGAATCGCCACACTTTTTTCGGGATTTATTTCTATTCTCCATTTGCGGAACCAATCGCCGAGGCGGTCGGCGGCGCTTTGGAGTCGAGTGGTTAGTATTCTAAGGTTGCGGTCTGAATAAAAGAGCGCGGTGTCATCCGCGAAAAGCGCGAGATTGACGTGGGGGTCTTTGGGTATGTCGCTCGTGTAGAGCGTAAAGAGCAAAGGTGAGAGGCAGGAGCCTTGTGGTACGCCGGCCGTGAGGCGGCGGCTTGTGGAGAGGGTGCCCTCGACTCGATATCGAAAAGAGCGATTCAACAAAAAGGCCCGGATGGTGTGTAAGAGCCTATCTGGCACTTTGAGTGTGTACAGCTTGTAAAGCAAGCCGTTGTGCCAGACCTTTTCGAATGCCTTTGCGACATCGAAGAAAACAGCCCCTGTACTGATATGTTTCGGGTGGTTTAGGCCTTTTAGGATGTGCTCCGTTAGGCGGTATAACTGGTCGGGACAAGAGTGTCTAGCTCGAAAGCCGAATTGTTCCGTGGGCAGAAGGCCGTTGGAAAATACGTGCTCTTTGAGCCTGTTTAATAAGAGCTGCTCGTAGAGCTTCCCCAGGCAACTGAGGAGGCTGATGGGACGATCCGAGGTTGCTGCGTGGCCCTACCACCATATAATTATCTAACTTTACATCTAGACTATGGGTCATCTAGCATTTGAAATTTGAACAAGAAATAATCCCATTTTTTGGAAAATGTGGTAATCAGTCAGAAAAAAAGCCATTTCCACTTGATACATACATCAACACCATTCTGCTCACCACCTGAGCCAGGTTCTTTGATAGCTTGTTTTTGAGCATTATGAGCATTCTGACGAGCAGCAACTATATCAGGAGTAACTGCATCAATTAAACTCAAACTTTCAGTAAGACGGGTTTCAGTACCTGAAATATTTAATGTCCACAATAAATGAATGTGCAATATCCAACAGAAATCACTTAAAGCTTGTGATATTTACCATCTTCCCCTATTGTTATTTCAGCTTCTGTGTATAATAAACCTTTCTGTAAAATATTGAGCAATGCTGCTGGCGGTACAAGTGCTCCATTTATGTTACTTTGGGAAATATGAGACTCAATCCCAAATGTATAAGCTGAATGATGAAATCCTGTGAAAAGACAAAGTACTGTCTTCATTTTTAATTCCATAAGCATGAAATAAGACAAACAACAACATACAGTTGTGTTATAGACATCTCTGCACAGGCAAAAGCTAAGAAATTTTTTGCTATATTACAATTTAGGGTAAGATTCTAGAATCTACTATTAAGCGCATTAAAGCTTGACTTACACTGATCAAATGTTTAGTGAAGTAGACAAGTACATACAGTGGTGTAAACCAGGGGACAGTAGCGATTCAACTTGGCTTACAAGTTGCTTTGCAATTAGACCCAAATAGAATCACTAAGTTTATACTACAAGTGCACCCCCCGCGTGCCCGCTTAACCCCCGGTGGCATTTAACTCGTCACTTGCCATAGTGTAAACAGTCAAAATGATGCTTTAGCCGCTTACATGCAACAAAATTGCACATATTTTCTGACGTTGCTCGTCCGTTTCGACAGAGAAATGCCACTGGACTCGCTGTAGTGTACACAACTATTTGTCCGGTGTCTGCCACTGGCCACTGTACTCGTACTCGCGACTCGCCACTGTCCTTGATCAATGTAAATCGGGCTTAAGACATCCAAAGCATTTGTTAAAATCAATGAGTATAATATGAAAATACCTGATTCTTGTAAATAACGATAGACAAGAAAATTAACTTCGTCGATAGAAAAACTCATATTTGTACATATATTGTGACTAACTTATTTAATTGCACTAACAAAAACCCTAAGCACTTGTCATGATATTTATATTAAAAAGGCACGAAAGTGGATTATTATTTTATAATTAAATAAAACAGATAATATTAAATCAACATTAACCCAGAAAGATGCATGCATTCAGTCAATAAGGCACAGACACAGAAATTCAACAGAAATGGTAGAGATGCTAGCACAGATATATAAAAGTACTCTTTGGCTAGCGCAATCACGGAACATAAAATAAACATATATTTACATACTTTAGTTAGGGAGACCAGTTATGGAGAATAGTATTTGACAAAAATTTTTATAGTACACTATTATTTTCATAATTAATGCACCAAAAATAAATTATTTCATTCAAAAACTCGCAGAAAATAGTTATCACTTTGAATTTTCAATAAGAATGTAACGGCCGTATGATAAAAATAATAAATTAATCGTACTATGTCTAGACAATGATGAACTTTATTAACTACTTCTTTGAATGCAATGTGTAAAGTGACTATTTGAGAAAGCGGAGTATCGAAAAAAAAGTACCATTCACGGCAAGTCCCCGTTAATTGTTCATCAATGACAACTATTTATTAACCGACTTCACAAAGGAGGAGGTTTCTCAATTCGACTGTATACAAATTTTAAAGTTTTTTTATAGTGCTAATCTCTGCACTTAAGATTGAACATCTATAAACATGTAGAAAAAGTACGAAAAGATTGTCGCCACTGTGGGAATCGAACCCACGTCTTCGGCATTCGTTCGTTTCACAACGATAATTCGAACGAGAGATGTCGCCATTGCTTTTTTTATAAATATTAAAGTTTTTTTTTATAGTGCTAATCTCTACACTTAAGATTGAACATTAAAACATGTAAAAAAAGTACGAAAAGATTGTCGCCGCTGTGGGAATCGAACCCACGTCTTCGGCATTCGCGGCCTGACGCTCTAGCCACTGAGCTAAACGGCTGATAACCACATGACTGTATACATTTTTATTTTTTTATGTGTGTTCGCGGAACTTCTTCATTTATGAACCGATTTTCTTGATTCTTTTTTTGTTGGAATCCGATATCCCAACGGTGGTACCATGATAAGGAACCCCAGATCTGATGACGGCATCCCAGAGAAATCGAGGGCAATCCGCAAATGTTATAGGTATAACGTATTTTAGTGGTTTGAAGTCGGTTTTTCTTTTGTTAAAATTATAATCTATGGTAATAACAGACATTGATATAGACAAGTGGTAAAACAGCTTTTATTGTTCGATAGAATTACAACGTGATAACTACCCAAAGAACTTCTTTTAATCTTGGATTGACAGTGAATGGTATAATATTGGTCATTTAGGTAAAGTAATAAAATTATAGTACGTTTTCGTACTATCCATATATATGCAAACAATAATATTATAATTATAGTAAAAAATCCTTCCTGGATAATATAAAAGAAATGCTAATGCGCACACACAGTGATTGTGGATGGATATGACTGAGGCGTATTTATCGTAACAGGTAAATATAACAGGTATTTCGAAATAATAGACTGTACCGGCTCTCGTCCCCAAGCCTAACAGAACCTGCCTCTATGATCTATTGTAAGATGGGATGCCGCGTCAGGAATGACTCATTGCAAGGAGCCTGAGAATCGAACCCCTTAAGTTCTTTGTGAACCGTTCGCACGTCGCATGTTTGATCGTGTGGACAGTTGGCCACACTCACACTCACTAAAAGGTAGCAAACCTCGTATGCGCGTCTATCTGGGGCACGCACTGAAAACTGTATAACAGCACGTTCTCAAGAACAACCTATCTCATTTAAGCCAAGGGGGGCGATGATAAGTTGGCGGGATCAACGCCCAATATCCATGCTTAATGTATTACGGGGATAAATTCGTTAATTCTGTCACCAAGTTTGGTCAGTTTGATGGAAGTATTCTATGTGTATTACAGACTCCTTTGTTTATCTAATACGCTGAGATATTAGTTAATTTTCTAACCATATTGTCCTAACCGATATAAGGTCATATTATCCGGGGGGATGATGCGCCTCTAGAGATAATGCTCGAGTCACCTAAATCTATACCTGTCCGTCCCGTAGAATAGTGTACAAGACTCCAGTGTGTATGGTGAGCATATAATAGAGTAGGTGTGTGGAGCGGAGCCCACTGGTTTCAGGCGAAGCATACACTAGGCACACCGCATTTGCAAGCAAACGCGAATTACCCGATTCATAGATTACACAATAACATGTTATCCCTGTGTGCCTGGTAGCTTTGAAGAGTTTACGTCATGTTGTTATTGTCATTTAATGGTGAGTCTGCATGCTTTAGTTGCGTAACTATTAACGAAATTTTTAACTTTCAACAGTTATTTTGTTTTTTATTGATTTATTTTCGTAAGCCATTTTTCGTAGCTATTATCGAGATTAAATTGCAATTTCAGCCTTGTTACTTTCCCTGGATAGGTTCTAAAAGCCACAGCAACAGCACAGTCTAGTTCAAGTCCATACCTTCATGTGAACTCTTGGAATGAGTTGCCACCTCTTTTAATACTAAATAATCTACCTCCTTTAATACTAATTAACTACGTTGTTTACCTAAGTCACAATCGTCTGCGTGTGGACCTCTTACAACGAAGTTCTCAAAGCTACTGTCCTAACAGCAACCTTTTAAGCAACAAAATCGTTTTCAAATTTATGTTCTTTTTTATATGAGAAAATGGTACGCAAGCGATTTTAAGAGATAACTGCCACGCATGGACATTAGTCGCCTTTTAGGATCGGAGCCATAAAGTGGGCTCCGATCTTGCAATAGCTTCATACGAATTGGAATGGCTTCAATAGATATAAAAAATATATGTACATATAAAATACCATAATTGGAGTGTTCTCTTAGCATAATATCGTTATTTTTATAAGAATGAGATTAGATAAAGATATGTTACTATGAACATGTATTTTTTAAAATATTATGGTAATAATTATTCTCTATATTTTTACAGTATCTATGACAGAAAACAGAAAGTACAGAAATTTTATTTCAAGTCAAGCAAAGTCAAGTGTCAACAAACCCTATATACCAAAGTACTCTGTGGTCAAGTGTCAACAATCAACAACCGTCATCAACGTTAATTTATCGCTAAGCAAAGCCGTTTGAATTGAATTTTAATCTAAGATACTTATATTTGTTTTTGTTTATTTGAATTTTTATTCCGCGTAAAATAATTTGTTGGAGGTGGTTATAACATGTTTTTTTAAATAGATATAATGGATATCTCATCTAATAATTTAACTGTTCTGCTCCGCCAATTATGTGAAGAATTGTCAACCGAGCCTGGTTTGTTTCTTTTTTTGAATTTTTTACAAAAAGGTGGTAGACAAAAATATTTTTAATAACTCTATTGTACACAATAATTTTCTTATGAATACCGTTTCAGATTATCTGAAAGATCTTTTATCAAAACTAAAAAAAGGTCTTTTTTTTTCTTACAATGTAGTACTTTTATACTGTATTTTTATCATTATATATTTTGTGTATTTTAAATTATTTACAGATGCCGCATATGAATTGGCATTATCATATTTATCTTCCACGAGCGAGAAATGTCGCTCAATTCAAGACGAAAGATTACTTTGCCAAAAAATTTACAGTCGTCTAGCAAATGTCTCTGCACAAGATGCTGAGAAATTTAATGAATCTTATGCAAAATTAAAAAGCTCTGTAAGTACGATTCTAGAATTTTACGCTATTTACCAATACTAAATATGTACCAACCGCTGTATAATATTGATATACAGAAGGCATTTATATTAAAATATTTGTATAAATTCAACTGGACCAAATGTGCCACAAATTTTTTATGGTTCACATTCCCTAAAATGAAATTTGCCAAATGGAAAGGACACTGATGTTGGTGTAATTCAATGAAAATAAAATTAAAGAAAAAATTATTGAAAACTTGTTATTTTCACTAATAAACTCCGCCATTTTATTAGATTATTACTAATTTCTCGGACAGATTAGGTTATTTTTTATAATCAACCGCTAGCAGTTCTGTTGTTAAGTCTGGTTAAGAACAAAAATTGGGAGGGGAACCATCTCCTATGACATTTGTATTAGATTATTATCTATTAAAAAACTAAAATTAAAAAATTGTATAATAAAAATACCATGCATATCTGGCAGGGGCGGCAAGTGGGGGTGACTCACCACACCACCCCTCACTCAAACCCAGACTCCTACGAAGGGGAATTGTTTCAAAATTTTACCCATATAATCAGCTACAAAGTTAGGGTTGATAGCTAAGCATTAGTCAATTTATTTATTTATTTATTTTATTTATTTAACAAGGCTTACCAACTAAATACATATAGAAACAATTATTATGAGGTGCCCTTAAACATTGTATATATGCATTTAAATTAAAGGTAAACACAACATTTAAGAAAAGCCTTCCTTTAAGGAGAACAGTAACCTATAAAACTATTACTACAATAAAATAATAAAATTAGAACAAACAAAAAAAAAACTTTTAAAATGAAAAAGTTATTGGGCTGTGTAATGTGTTAGCACCTTCCTCTTTAAAATATTTAAGCTATCAAAATAGATATCCACATCACAATTTTGAAATGTTGAATTGAATGCATTCAACAAAGATGATAAAGGTGTGTTTCTGCCATATTCATTACGGCTCTTTTTAATATGAAACGGTTTGTAATTATGTAGACGTGCACTAATTCTTGGAACAGTGATATCGATATCAATTAATTTATAATAAAACAAAGTTTTCTCAAACATTATGAACAATAAATTGTTTATGTTCTCCACCACTGACATCATCAATTTAATATCAACGATGTAATTGTTGAATTGTTACATTATTTTTATAACTTGTAAAACTGTATTTTCAAATAAATGCACTTCTAAGGGGTCAAACCCATAAAACATATTTAAATACAAGAAATATTTAAGAAAAAAACAAAGTCCTAATTTGTATGTGGTGTTTATATGTTATTCTTTTTTATCTTAATTTATTTTCAGTTCATATTGAAGCAAAGAGTATCAATTTTGACTCTTTTGTCTTCATTGTCTAATACTCCACAACAAAAAGAATACACTCAACAACTTTTTCCTGTACCAACCCTTGCAATTGCTGTAAGTATGTTCAAATTTGATACAAAGATTGAAATTAAATTAGTATATTATGTTTAATAATCATGTTTGGTTGCAAGTGTTTTTAATTATCAAGTTTAGATACAAATATATCATGTTCATTTTTTAGAATGTTGGGTCAAGTATCAGTAAAAGTACTATTGGATCTGTCAGTTGGTGCAGTAATGTATTGAAGCAGGGATCAAGCCAGAGCCTTCCAGAAAATTACAGTAATGCTGCAATTGTATTGCACTCGAGTGGTAAATGTTTAGATTGAAACTTACACCTTATGCCTGCTCTCACAGAAGTCAAAAAATACTATTTTTGATTGCACTTTTATTTCAAGATTCAGTTTTAAATGCATGTTAATTAGAATCTATTTGGCATTATATAAAAGTTTAATGCTTATTTTACTCTGAGATCTTAAAAGCTGTGTAGTGGTTAGTTGTTAAGTAAATTTACTTATATTGTTGCTAGATGTACAATTATAAATAATATAAAATAATAAATATAAGTATTGTCTAAATCAGCCTTTGTGGTTGAAATGCATGACTATTGTCGGCTACTGTATAGACCATAGCTGACAATAGTCATGCATTTCAAGTTTCAGTCTTTTCCAGCACTCATATACTCTAGGCCAGTGATTCTCAACCTTTTTTTTGTTGCGGCACATATTAAACGATTTCAAAATTTGGCAGCACACAAAGAAAAAGAAAAATTATTTACTTACTACAACACACTGCATAAATAGTTTATGACAAAAACTTTAAATATACGAAATAAACTAATATATATTACAATAATAACTAAACGTTTATTAAGGGATTAATTACAAGCTAATAATAAAAATATTTTTAATGCGAAATTTGAGCTTGATGTTTTTTGATCATTTCATTTATATTTGTTCGTAAAAATGACAATGCTACTCTCATATCGTCTTCTACATTTAACAATCTTGATCTTTTTTTAGTTTTAATGTTGGCTAATGCCAAAAAAATTTTTTTTATTAAAATTTAATAATATTAACATTATTATATATTTGCAAAATTTGGCGGCACACTAAAGTGCCGCGGCACAGTGGTTGAGAATCACTGCTCTAGGCCTATGCCTATGATATATAATAGGCCTGTGCCAAAAGTATGGGAGTGCCGGAAAAGGCGCGTCAAACCTGGTGTCAACTCTGGAGCACATTTCTGCAACACGATCGGAGTGATGCCATCAGGCACACTGAACTTATGAATGCTCAAGGAAAGAAGTTCTTTGCTCTCTGGCCCAAATTTAACCTCCGACAACGTAGCATTATACCGCGGGATTGACGATGGTGAATTTCCTCGTTCATTTAGCGTCGAGTTCGACACGCCGAGAGAGATCAGAACGCCAGCGAGTCACCCTCCATGTTCAGAACTGGAAAAGAGAAGGCTGACAGAAATTCCATAAGAAGCCTGCACATGTAGAGCGCGCAACTGGCACAGTAATCAGAAAAAGACTGGTCCTACGAACCAAGAGGAGGACTGACGGAAACCAAGTATCCATACGGGTGCAAGGTCAACAGAAGGTCCGAGAGGGAAGTGTATGCTTCTCCACATCGGAGATTCGCGTTGGCGAGGTGACCAGTTGTGTCAGATCATATGCTAATGAGAAATCGTGAACAAATCTCCCTGTGCGTAGTGGCGTTCAAGTCGCCGAGAATCACGATATCTGTGGATGGGATCTGATGCAGAACGGCAGTTTCGGCATTATTGTCATGACCTTTACAGGCACGCGTAGATTCGCGGATGGTCATCGGGATGGAAGAAAAAGTAGTGAGCCGGAGGAGATATCTGCCTCTCGATAAGGAAGAGCAAGGCCGGCTTCGCGTCCCTATGTTACAGAAGTCCATACAAAGCTTGGAACTCCTTCTGGCCTTATGTCGCCTGCTGCGTTTGCCCCAAACAGGTGTTGAGAGCGCAAAATTGCCCTACCTGGAATATGGAGGGCAGCCTGGGAATCCACGCTCAGGTGATGTACCCCCCTGGAGCATATAGATCAAATTTTGCATTGTCATGTGAGTGTGTGGGTAAGGGATGGGGAGTGGGCCTCCGAGAATCACACAGACCGAACGAAACGCGACAGCTTAGCTGCCACTCCACGCCGGTTCTTAGTGAGAGAGTGGTTCTTCCCCGGCCGCGCCGGCCCATTCAACTGCTACACCCGAAGGTGCGCAGCATGGCACTACAACTACATAACTCTCAGAAGGTATCATTATTTCTAAGACCCGAAGAAAACGGAACGCTGAAAGAGCATTAATAATTATGTTTAAAAATATAATGCTAGATTAAAAATCTAAATTTTTACTTGTTGCAAGATAGAAATGGCATTTTCATTTGGTATGTTTATATTAAAGTATTCCTGTATGATAATAATTATTTGTCAACAACAAAGATTGCTTTATTATTTGTATTTATATATTTTGCCCCTTTGGCGCAATGTTAATATGTACTTCAGAGGTATACAATAGTAACTCCATATTTTTCAAAATTATTTTCCACTAGCTACTGCCCGCGACTACGTCTGCGTAGAAAAGACTGAAGGTGTAAAATTAAGACAGAAAGACAGATATACATGAAATATGTATATGAATTGTAGTCTATGTCTTATTCTGATGTATAAGCTATATTATTGTAAAGTTTCATTAAAATCCATTCAATAGTATTTGCGTGAAAGAGTAACAAACATCCATCCATACATACAAACTTTAGCCATTTTTAATTAGTAAGGATGCACCATTAAAATCGAAAGAACAAATTCTACACAATAGTATAGATTATTAAGTCCTACGAGGCCTAATTAATAAAATATCCAATCGTATATGACATCATAATCAATAATGCATTCGAGGATTCACTCACGCTTTTGCCTCTCCCGTAAAATTTGTGTTTTGTTACATATTGCTGTTTACATTTGAGGTATAGAAATTTATTATTTAATCGTACTAATCATTAGTACGGTATGTCACATATAAAAATTTTGAAGCCAATTTCACTCGGACGCATTTATTGAGTGTGGTTACTTAGGTCTTTACAAATATGTTATTTTTGTAATGATATTATTACTTCTTTTTAAACTTTTTTTTTTTTCTTGTGGTTCTAGAATTAGAAAATCGTCATTTTTTTATGCATGTATTATTATTTGTTTACCATTCTTTATTTATTTACAATATATAATATGTTTCTTGTAAGACCGGCCCAACGAACGGACATGTGTACGCGACGCCGTATTGGCCGCGGCGGGAGTACGAACGCGCAGTGCAACTGGATCTTCACGGCCATTGCAAATGTTATATGCACGCATTTCCCACTTGGGGTTCCTGCTCGATCGGCTTAAAGAATTTATTGACCCGTCATCTGGCCTTATGCCACAAGGTATATTTTGTATAAGAATATTTTAATTGATAAACGATAATAATGTTGTATGCAAACATTTTTATTTCATAAAACTTTCTGTTCTCCAGGCCTAATGGGCGAAGGCTTGGTTGCGTCGATCAGAGACGAATTAACAGAGTACTACCGTAGCATCGCGCTGCTCCAGTCTCAGGTAAATCATACGATTTAACACTTAAATAAGTACTATTAAATATTTTAGTTTGATATGGGGTGTATATTTATTTAATAAACAGGTATGTGAAGGTGATGGAGGTGGAGGTACGTTGCGACGTGTCTGTGTGTGGGCGCAGGAACCATTGCACCGTCTCACGTGGTTAGCTAACATTGTCCATACCGCGCACCACAAGAAAGGTAATAGTAATATTTTTTCTTGGTATATTTTCATTACTTTGTACTATAATACCTTACTTCACGAGACGTTTATTTAAAATGATGTTTTTAATTTTAATAAACCATAAAGTGTTCTGTCCAGCACATAGGCTGAAATATGATATAAAATTTCTTTCTGTTCAGCAATTTAAGCATGTAGAGTGTAGAATGATTCCCAAAAACATTTCCGTCATTTTTTTTGAGCCATAGTAAAATGTTAATCATAAACTTAAGTGTGAACTTTAATTATATATATACACGTGAATATAAATCTGGATCATCCCATTGAACCTGGGCTCTCAGTCGCGGAGCCCATATAGCTAAAACGCGTAAGAAGGAGTATTTGATAATTGTAATGTGCGTGAAGTATAGGCCTTACGTTTTTAGTTTGATGACTTGTTGGCGCGGTTGCTAAACCACTGTTTTCGATCTGGGTGCGATTCCTAAACGGTACAAGTATTTGTGTGACCTTCAGATAAATGTTGACGTCGGAAAAAACTAGCCAAATAGCTTCAACAACACGGCGAACATGTTGTGTCGATCCGGGTAATTAGAACGACCTCACAGAAGACCGACGTAAAGTAGTCGGGGCCCACTTTATTTATTAACGCATTTGCAATCCTGCGGGTGTTGCAAGTGTCCATGACCTGCGGTTGTCACTTAACATCAGGTGAACCGCAAGCTCGTTTGCCGCTTTCTCACATAAAAAAAATGTCGTGAGAAGAACATAAGAAGAACTTTTTGTTTATTGTATTATCGGTTTCATTTGCAGGCGGTGAACTGGCATCGTGTGTGCACCGTTTCGTGCGTCACGGCGATGAGCGTGTCGCTACTCTCGCCCGTCGGCTGCTCACAGCCTTGACGTATCCGTTGCTTCTAATGCTGACACGCTGGCTCCTGCACGGTATGAACGGTCTTTAGTAGTGATAAAAAACAATTGACATAACGGATGCAGAAACAGAAACAGGTAAAAACGTAAAATTTAAGCGGAAATGGATTCGGAAACGGAAGTGGAAACGAAGTTGTAAATACTTTGGAAAAAAATATCCTTTTTTATAGATTATATTATTTGATATCGAAATTTAAATATCTACTATTAAGGTTCTATGCTATTAAAGGTAGTTTGGGCACTATAAGGTTTCCAGACTTCCGTAACATTATTTTTTATGTGAAAAGGCCAAGCGAGCAGATGTTTCACCTGATGTTGCTTGAATACCGCCGCCCATGGACATCTGCTGCACCCGAGGGTTTCAGATGCGTTGACAACCTTTTGAAAATTGGGCTCCGGCCACTTCACTCACCAGACGAAACGCGAAAGTATTATACTTCCACTTTGCGTCGGTCTTCTATGAGATCGTGGTACTTACCCGGACGAGTTTGCCCAATCGTGCAACAGCCGAGGCTGCTGGGTGGCCCTGCCGCCGTGAAACCTACCATGTGGTGACGAACGTCAAGATGTAAGCTATGGATTAATAATAATTTTCGAAAACACGGCTTTTGTCTACGTACGATGTCTTTAATTGATCGAAGGAAATTATGAGTACATTTTTCATGAACTACGATTTTAATTACTTTCCGCCTTCTTTTTATGGAACGGCAAGGATATGATATTATTCCATTTTAACGAAAAATGTAATTTATCACGAACCACACTTTATTATTTACATAGTGTATAGTGTACATTAAATTTATCCCAGTCTTACGTTTATACTGTAACTATCAAATATTTATATTCTATAGGTGAAATCGACGACCCGTTCAATGAGTTTTTCATTGAGAGCCGAAGCGGTGTACCGATAGACAGGATGTGGCATGACAAATATAGAGTCAGGTATGTGCAGTGATTTCTATTTAATATATTGACACCAATGAAAATACTTATCAACAGCAATGAAGTATAAAAAAATTAGTAAAAATCTGTCAGTTTTTTCAAATGTCATTTTTTTTAACATAATTTACAAAAAAATAACACACTTGAAAGAGCCTGGAGCGATCAATTCATTTCCAGTGTGTGTTATCAATCAAATAATCACTCATACTATAATACCCTTTAACACACAAACATTCCTTTTCAAGTTTTTTTAATTTAATCACTGATTAATTTTTAACGTTTTCTGGGATAAAAGTTAAGTGGATACTGTAGCTCATGGACATCTACAGTATCTTAGGGGCTTGCAGCTGTTACCTCTCCCATCAGAAAGTATAACTTCCACTTCACGCCGGTATTTTGTGAGGCCTCACGCTGTTATTTCCCCGGATGAGCAACACTTTCTGATATTGCCCATTCGAGCACTAGTAACAGCTGTTGCGTGGCCATACCACACTATCTAATATAGAAAAATATTACATCCGAAACACGGGAGTTCTCTGAATCTTATTCGCCAGACGAGACACGGGAACCTCCCACAACGGGTGGAACCGCGGACTTACTGTACACCTCAAGCGAAACGTTCATGATTGTTCTCGCGTCAGGATCAAACTGACAATGCGACGCGTATATCTTTCGGCGAGTACTCAAATCACTGCAAGCGCGCAATCCAAAATTATGTGAAGTGTCTCTTGTCCCAGGGAGTGGATGGTGCCGTCGTTCATGTCCCGCGAGCAGGCGGCGCAGATCCTGGCGACGGGCAAGAGCGTGGTTTTCATGCGCGAGGCGTGCGCCGACGAGCCCGGGCCCAGCGACCACGCGCACCACCTGCAGGCGCTGCTCAGACCGCATACGGGTAACGTATGCTCATAAAAAAATATTCATTCATTCATTCATTCATTCACGGTATTTCGGAGACATTTCATATATCTCAGTAATATTTTTGTGCTGGACAATGCCCTGATACCCTCTGTACAAAGGCGGCGTCTCCCCAGCTGTGGGACATGTATAGGCTTACTTTACTTTTATCTATCTACAACTTTTATTTATCTATCTACAACACACTACACCGGTGCGAAGCCGGGGCGGGTCGCTAGTATAATTATAGATTATTGTTTGTTCCGCTGTAGGCGACGGCGGGGCGGAGGCGGGCGCCGCGTGGTGGGAGGCGGAGGGGCTGCGCGCGGGCGTGGAGGCGGCCCACGCGGCGGCGTCGCAGCGGCTGCTCGGCGCGCTCACGTCGCACCACCACCTGCTCGACCACCTCGCCGCGCACCGCCGCTACCTGCTGCTCGCTCAGGGCGACTTCGTGCACCACCTGATGACGCTGCTGCAGTGAGTGGCCACCGGCGCCCGGCTTATGCACGCCGTCGAACGTTGCACCGCTCTTTGAAGTTATAATTTTTTTTTAAGTTTTTTCGATGTTAGAAGGCGACAAACGAGCTGGCGGTTCACCGGATGTTTAGTTATTACCGCCGCCCATTAAGGTTTGCAGCACCCGTAGGGTTGGAGATGCCTTGCCGCCTTTTAATAAAGTGGGCTCCAAGTACCCCACGGACCCCACGTCCGTACGGACGTGCACCTGCCCATTTGTGCAACAGTGAAGACTGTTCCATGGCCCTACTACAGTTGCATACTTTTCTAAATGATGACAATGAATTACGACGTGCGACGCCAATTTTACGGTGTTACCATGGCGACCAAAAACTTTTTGATATTTATTTCTTATTCGAAGATAAATATCTTAATTAGACCCGATATCAATTGCATTTAATGCCTTTTTATTCATCAACATAGAGTACTAGCACACAGGATAATTTTTTAATTATTCTTTTATTAAGTTAAAGAAATACCATCTTACGTGCGTAAATAAATAAGCACATACATATTTTTTTCCAAACGTCCAGTCCTTTACTTAAACAGAGTGGCGCAAATGTGCTCACGTTACATAATTCACCGACCTGTTCCAAACGGCTCATACGGCCTGTGAATGGGTAAAACAAGCAATCCATCAATAGGATATTTTAAAGACGCTTTCTTTCATGTCATATTACAATGGAAATGTCTCCGAAGGCAGGCTACGCAACAAAGTTTCCACACTCCTAACATCTCCGCTACGATTATAAACGATTTCAATTCGAGGGTATTTCATGTTACATTAGACACACACGAGGAATACACCGATATTGCACTGTACAGGGAGGAGCTCAACAAGCCGGCTACTTCGCTGTACGTGCACAATCTGACGTGCACGCTTGAGGCTGCCGTGCGTGCAACCAATGCGCAATTCGAGCCGCCCCACGTGCTTTCGCGTCTCCACGTAAATCTCTACCCTAACTGTATGTATAGCGTGTATATGAGTCATATTTTACTAGTAGACGATGATCATATCTTTAAAACTGGCGTAAAATAGAAGTGCTTAGTACGGAATACTTTGATTTTAGTGTTTTCTTTGGTGACTTATAGGTAACCGGAATTATCCGCTGGCAACGAATCTTCAACCCAGAAAATTTTTGTAGATATCCATGGGCGCACGTTATTATAAACAGTATAGTTTCTGCATAAAGTCATAAAATTCTCATACATTATTATATTCTCATAAATTAGAGCAAATTGAATCATTCATTATTGGAGAAATATTTTTTTAGGAAAGTATTGCAATGGTAAAAGTGACTATCTCTCGCTCTATCGTTGAACTAGCTGGGCATTTATCTAATGCCTTTTGTGTGTATTTAGATTTTATACACGTCTAGATTCCTAGTCCGGCATGTCAAAGAACAACAATGTTGAACTTAATTTAGGCGCATCGAACCGCCGCCGTCACTACGTAAGGCGTTTGCCATATAATAAACACTTATTTTTTGTGTCCGTATCAATAATTAAACGTAACGTTCTTCGGTGCACAAGGCATTTTGTCTTTGACGGGCACAAAAAAATTTTATTCCATTTGAACAAATCACATAAATCCAATTAAAAAGAACGACGTTAGCGCTCGAAGTTGTGGGGCGATTAAGAGCAAAGTCCGGTCGCGACTCCGTCGGCAGGCGACGGGCGCGAGGACAGCGGGTGGGACGTGTTCGCGCTGCAGTACCGCGTGGACGGGCCGCTGGGCACGCTGTTCCCGGCCACGTGCGCGGCCCGCTACCGGGCGCTCTTCGCGCAGCTGTGGCGCGTCAAGCGCATCGAGCACGCGCTGCACCGCGCCTGGCGCGACCACATCATACTGCACAAGCGGCTCAAGTGCATGCCCGGTAATGCCCGCTGTTGCCAACTGTTAAAAATACAGTAAAATTCACTAAATTCAAACTAAAAGTGCCTAAATGAGAAACATTTACGAAGTTTTGTATTGAATTTACCTCCTAAGTTTAGGAGGAAAATTACTAAATTACCAATGCCATCCATGGTAATGCCTTATGCCGCTCGCAAGCTCCCCCACGACTTGGTTGATAGAGGGAGGAAGGTGGAGAAATACTGACTATATTTCGATAGGAACTCGTGCTGTTTTCTTTTTGTCGGTTGGTACGCGTGATGTTAAGAGCTTGTCTGGCATATGTGGCTTGTGTTACCTTTTAACGAGTTCTCTCTATCTATCTCATGCACGATATGAAATAATTACATATGTAAAAAAATAAATGCAACAGCAGAATTTGATGCATTGATCTACCATAAATGTTGGTGAAGCCTACTTTAGTTCTTTGCTGGATGTAAATTTAAAAATTTACTAATAAATTAAATATTGAATGAATAAAAAACAACATATTTATATAACAATATTTATCCATTTTTCACAGTTAGTATTAGACTTATCAGTCTTTAATGTTCCTAAAATATTATATCGTGACATTTTAGTACATAAATTACTAACTTACAATTGCCCAGATCTGAAATTATTGCTTATCTAACTCTATTATATTTAAATAAATATATAAATATTTTGTGACATATTTTACTCAGCGTTATCTAGCCCGAAACTAAGCAACACTTGTACCATGGATACCAGATAACTGATAAACATACTTAAACATACTTTTGTAATAAAATTAATATTATAGATATACATATAAACACCCAGACACTAGAAAAACACTATGTTCAAACAATATTTTCAGTTCAATTCTGTTGTAGGGATCGAATCCACACCCTCTGGCGCAAGAGATAGGGGTCACTATCAACTACTCCAATTGTGTCGTCTAACAAAGTTCAACAATAGGACGTAATCATGGTAGGAAATAATATTATATTATACCAGCGACTCGCCCTGGTTTCGCATGGGTGCAATGTATTAATATATAAACGTTTCTTTTGAATCACTCATATAGTAAAAAAACCGCATCAAGATCCGTTAGGTAGTTTTAAAGATACAATACATAGGGACAGACAGACAGTGGGATGACTTTGTTTTTTTTTACTATGTAGTGATATTTCATGAAGGAGCGTAATCATGGTAAAATCTGGCACAGAGGTATGGGGGTTGATGAGGCGCGTGTCGTGCCTGCGGGCGGAGGCTCTGCGCCTGTGCGGAGCCCTGCAGGAGGCGAGCTGCGTGGGCGCAGAGCCTGCTTGGGCGGAGCTCTTGGCCGCCGCCGGCAGCGGTCACCACCTCGACTCGCTGTTGCGCCTACACCACAACGCCCTAGAGAGGCACTCCATACACGCCATGATACACCACACGACCCAGGTTCAACGTCTATTTTTTCATACTCGTGATCTAATATTACGTTATACGTACCTTTTTCTGTTTGTAACTAATAATAGTTTTTGTTTTAATCTGCTTTAAATAGTAACAGTAACGGCTTATATATTATAATTATGCCCCATGCTAGGCAAAGGCCTCCTCAGTGTGGTGATATATTAATATATATTGCTTTCGTGAAAAGAATGAAATTTAATATAAAATATGGATGGACTTTGTGTTTGTTTTTGTAACAGAAAACAATAATAAATTGTAGTTTATATATATATAATTATATATTCAATTATTGCAATTCACGAATGCGGTCAGCAAAAGGTGTTGATAAAGATTGGTGTACGTACGTGTGATGCATGGCGATGTTCGGCTGGTAAAAAAGGCACAAGTTTAACATATTTTTTCGATTTATATATAATATAGAATATAATATAGAGAAATAATAATAAAAAATAACACAATTTCTTTTTTTATTCTTCATAGAAACTCACTATCTTATTTATTGCTATTACTTGATTTACCTACATTAATTACAAACTTAAAGTAATTTACACATTAATTTCAAAGTCTCGAAATTAAAGTACTTCATAACTTCAAGTATGTTTAAATTACTTTTTTCATTTTTTTCTACATGTTTGCAAGTGTTCAACCAGATAGTGTTTTCATAATGGCTCAATCCTTCTAGTATTCAACTTTGTACTGTCATGATTGGTTCAATACTATTTCCAGGCAATCTTGTTTTCAAAATACATCAGACTATTATTGCATTGGACTTTTTAGTGCTCAAACATCCGTCAAAGTCTCTCCATCTCAAAACAGACTGAAGTTTTGCCCACTATGGCAAAACTTCAGTCTTAATTTTTTGTGTTCAATATGATAATTTTGTATTATAGTTTGAATCGCTTTGAGATCAGATGATCGAATCAATTTTGCGGTCTCTTTTACTTTGCTTTTTCAAGGGTGAAGTGAACTACTCGACAGTTGATGAATTCAATCTCTTCTTTAAAAATTTTTGGTATAGTGTGTTCACTAACTCCCGTTGATTCGGCTTCGGCAGTACGTTACGTTATATTAGTCAAGGGAGCCAAATTACAATTTTCTTTATTTCATGTCTTCATGAAATGAAATACTTCTTGAAGAAAATCAAATATTTTGGTTTAGATAAAGAGTTACATCATAATTATTTTATGTCTAAATAATGTTCGAACAAATTTAAATTTTATTAAAAAAATTATTATCATGCAAAATAAAACGTTTCCTTGCTACGATAAGTTTATTTTTTACGGGATCTGATATGATGGTTGTTAGACACGCGGAAACCTGAGTACAAGTTACCTGAGCAGGCGTCCGCAGTAAGGCGGGCTTTGAACTCGTCCCATTGCAATCAAACGACCTGAATGGCGTAGTGCGTAGTGTACCAGCCTCCTGCACCGGAGGGTGTGGGTTCGATCTCCACTATTGGCAAACTTTTGTGTCATAGTCTTTTTAATAGTCTTGGTGTTTATATATGTATATCATATATTTATTTATTATATTTAAGTCTATTTTGGTATTAAGTAATTTTATTGAGCACACCACCTCCCACTATTCATTAGTTTATTTTTCCTCGTCCTAAGGTTGTCTGGAAGAGATCGCTTTTTAGCGATAAGACTGCCTTATTGTACCTAGCTTTTAAGACTTATTTCATACTAATTGTATCAAATTAGTATGAAATAAGTCTAATAATATTTATTTACAAAAGAAAAGTATGTTTATCAGTTATCTAGTACCCATAGTACAAGCATTGCTTAATTTGGGAGTAGAGAAATTTGTGTAAAAATGTGTCACAAAATATTTATTTATTATATGTATAAACGCCGCTTGCGCTCGTGAATTACGAGAACTATATCAAATAACTATGTGATTTTTTTAAAAGGAATTGCAATCATATTTGGGCAATGTCTTGAATGAGACATTAGCGCTGCGCAGTTTTGAAACCACGCTACACACGGGCATAAGGGCCGAGTTAGATCGACGAGAACGCATAGAGGAATTAAAGGCTGAGAGGGTTGCCAGAGGCAAGTTCTAACTTTAGTATCAACTAACAGTTTTAGAGCTTAAACTCATATAAAAAGAATATATTATACAACAAGCAGATCGAATTTCTTTTCACATGATTTTATTAACAATCAGCTAAATTGCTTTACTTATCTCTTACGCACTTATCATATTAAATTAATTTTATTAAATAATCATGTTAATATTGTTTCATGTTAGTTTGTATATATACAAATATATTGTCAAAAAATCTATACCGCTATTTCACATATGGAATAATATAATAACTGCCATTAAAGATCTAGTGAAAACTTCCATGTATTCTAATTTATGTGCTCTTATTTGTAGGCGAGTACGCATTCACAGCAGCAGACGAAGCACAGGACAAAGAGAAAAGGAAAATATTTCATCAGTTTCTAGCAAACAGGAAAGCTGATTTAAATGTATGGACTCGTACATACAGGTACAGTAATGAAATACTAAATCATATTGATATTGTTTATTTCTATGAAAGAGAAAATTGCAAACAAGATGGGGTTACAAGTGATTACCAACGCACTTGGACATTTTCAGCAAACTAGGATCCCAATTACCTCACTCATAAGATGAAACAAAAGGTATATTTGTTAGACCATGACACTTCCCCTAATGAGCCTATCCATTTCTGCAAAAGCTTGGCCCCACCACAGTAGCAATTGAGTCAGATATCGGCGATTAATTAAACTCATTTACTTATTGAAGTATTTTTTGAAAACATAGTCATTATTATTATTGGTATGTACCGCAAAATAGCATATGAGTACCATTTATCCAACTGTTTAAATGGCTGTAGAATTTCTACTAATGGAACTGACTTTCAAATTAGAAAATATTATGTTGTTGATTTTAATAACTTCATTTAATTTAAGGGGTCATGTGACGACTTTGATACTGAAACTTGCATTGCACGCTGAGGTGTCATTGCAAACATTGGCATTCAGACTGGACTACAGCGACTTCTACAAGAGAGGTGATGCTAAACTGCATGAACCATTAACTTACCAACATAAGCGGCTCAGCGAGATAGGTCTAAACTTAGCCAAGGTAAATTATCTCTTTAGGTATATAAGTCACTCAAAATTTCAAACTCACACAAAAGCAATACTCCTAAAACATGAACTTAAATAAGAATGTAAATTACATTAATGTTAAGAAACTATTTTTTTTGTAATTTATTTAATCTGTGCCAGTCAATTGTTTTTATTTTAATATCCATGAAAACTTTAAATTGTGGCATGTACTGAAAATAATTTTTTGTTACAGAATAAAATAATAGAGCGCTCAAAGAAGAAGTGACAAAATATTTTTACGGAGTCATCAACCACAAGTATTTGTTTACCGTGGTTGGGCTTCGTATGTTCTCGGACCAATTAACTTGTATTAATAAGCATTCAAAAATATTGAAATATACCTTGTTAAAAGTAACTAAACACATAATAAATAGTGATAATATGTTATTGTCTAGCTTTTTTCAAGTCAATTTAATTCTGCTCTTTTTTATGTTGATAATTAAATAAATACTTGTTTTTAAATAAAATATATATTTTTATGAATCCTGGAGAAATATCACAGCATTGTCCATGTATTAGAGTGCTGCATCCACGAAATTGTAGGCAAAGATGTCCCATAAGTAAAGAGAAAGCTGAGTGATATGAACTATCGGCCAAGAAAAAGGTTGTCAAAAAATAACTGTTGCCATAACAACCGGTAACAAATCTGTCAAATTCGCGTGGTTTTGCAAATATTGTCGGTTTTTTTTAATATGAAGCGAACTGAACGAGAATCGTTTGCAAAAAGAGTAATTCAGTGCTATCTGAATAATGGGAAATCCGAGGCATTTCGTCATTTTTCTCAAGAAGGGGCTATAAGATCAAGTATCTTCAGGATTATTAAATGGCATGAAGACTCAGGAATGCTCAGCAGAGACTGATTTTAAGAAGATTACAGGAAGGTAACGTACCATAGCACTGATCGAAACATAGATGAGGTGAAAAAGGTGTTTAAAGAAGCACCTTCAACATCTGTGAGAACTGCGGCGGACAAATTGGAAATATTTAGTTATTTATTTATTTGCACACTTTTTTTGTACTAACTGGTACAAACGGCGGGCTTAATGCCATAAGGCATTTTCTACCAGCAAACCGGAAAGTTAGTGTGAGAGAAGTGTAGGTGCTAGCTATATGAGGATTATATAATATGTATACATACATTACGATAACAATTATTAAACACTTACAACAATAAATACATCTATATTTAAATAAATACTATTATAATAGGTAAAGTCAGGACCACAATGTTGAATTTGCAAAATGTTGAATTCCTAAAATGTTGAATTCGCAAAATGTTGATTCGCAAAATGTTGATTCCCAAAATGTTGAAGTCGTAAAAAGTTGAATTTACTGGTCCCATAATGTTGAATTCCTAAAATGTTGAGTTCGCTAAATGTTGAACTTGCAATATGTTGAATCCCAAAACGTTGAATGCAAAAAAGTTGTAGCCCAACAATGCGAACAACCATATCAGAGTATAATCTAAATTGAAATGTATTTTATCTGTGATTTTTATAGATATTGTTATGTAAATTATTATTGTGGGGATATTTATTTGTTTTCTCGTCTGGTAGGGTTTATAAATAAAAATAAACATATAGATATAAATATTGTATATTAAACCGGTGGACGATGCGGATGGTATCGAGGAGCACCGCCTTTTGAGCTTGGAGCGTTCCATCCCGGATCAGCGTCGCCTCAGATGTTCATAGAGGCTGACTGGGATCAACCCATTCGCAGACACGACTATCGGGATAATTTCAGTCAACACACCACCCCATATGTCGGTCACCTCGCGAGCCAGGTCACGATATTTCGTCTTCTTATCTGTTTCGGCTTTCACGAGGTTCTCGTCATATGGGATGGTAATGTCGACCAAAAATACCCGCGACTGTGCCCGGTCCATCAACACGATATCAGGTTTGTTCGCGAGAATCGACCTGTACGTGATGGGCCGGTCCCAATAGAGCCTTGCGCGGTCATGGTCGAGCACGACCTCTGGGTAGTACTTGTAGTACGATAGTGTCCGATCCACGTGACCGTATTTCAGAGCAAGGTCCTGGTGTAGGATTCTGACTACTAGGTTGTGTATATGCAAATACTCAGAGTTAGAAAGCATGGAACAACCGGAGATAACATGCCGAAGTGACTCTCCGGGATGGCGACAAGCTCGACATATGTCGACGGTGCCATACCTTAGGATGTATTTCCGATAGGTGTTCTCGTCTTAATAACCTGATCCTGTATCGCACAGACAAAACCTTCGGTTCCCCAAAGCGGTCACCGAAAGGTAGCCAGTTAAGAGAGGCAACAATATCTACGAAAGGTTCGTGAAGAGCCTTATACATCCTCCCGTGGAGCTTTTTCCCTTCAATATAATAAAATAATTCATTCCATATAAGAACTGAAGCTTCTTTAAGTCGAAGGACTGAAAGAGTAACATCAGTTATACAAAAAAAATGGCATGCTGATAATCTACGTCCACTTCTCCGAACCGAAAGTAGTTGTAACCGTGGTACCGTTTGGTGCGCAATTTCGTAGGTAGGGATTTTTTTTTTGAGAAACTGACCATGCCACTTCTTTCTTTGGGGTTATTTGAAGTCTATCGTTTAAAACGCATTCGACCACAGACTAGCTCACCTAAAAACAAACACTTGGAACGCCAACGAAATACCGGTGGACATGCTTCAGAGAATGGCGGGAAACTTTATAAATTCACTCAATCAGCGCATATACAATGGGGACCGTCATTTGATAGATGCAATTTTCAAAACTGCATGAAAAAAAAATGATGAGGTGATCTGTAAGGGGTAAACGACATGCATTTTAAGCAATGCACCAAGCATTCTATGCCTGCCATCAGCCATCTAGTGTATGATTTTTCCATTAATTGATCGTTTTTTTTCAAATGACATTTTGCTAAGAATTTATTGTATTTACGTGATTAGAAAATAAAACTATTTTTGCGGATTTATCGGATATTCTTGGGTTCATAAATCCGTTGTATTAATTTCTCGTCGCGTATGTTTGCATAAATAAGGATATGAAGCTATAACAATTTACAATTAAAATGTAGAAATAGTTGGAATTAGAATGCGTTATTTCGTCCCGAACCCGCTTTCTCTAATTGTGTTATTAAACCGATATGAACCTGTTATCGAACCTGATATGAATCGTGTCTAGACCATCCAGACAGCGGAACAGTAATTTAGTACAGGGCAGTCCATAGAAACATTCCATGCATTTTTTGATTCAGATAACAAACCAAAATAAAGTTTAAGCTTGGCTTGAATGCCGATGAGGTCTTTCCAGCTAAAACAGTAGTGGACTGGCATCTAAATAATCTATAAGAGACGATGGTTACTCTTAATAAGCAAGTCAAGTTAGAAAGTCTCCAATATTATAATATCTCTAAGGCCATTAAAAATCGAAGTGGACCGTTAAAGTAGTACAAATAACTATAAAAGTAAGATAAATAGATTCGGGACATAGTAACAGGTGACGAAACATGGATTTATTGCTACGATCCCAAAACAAAGCAGCAATCGAGCCTTTCGTCGAGGTCTCGAGGTCTTTCAAGATGAGCCGAAACCAAACAAGCACTCGCGTGATAAGTGCATCTAAGCGGATAATTGCTTGTTTTTTTTTAATAAAACTGGACAAACAGGCTACTGCTGCTTTAGAGAATCGTCTTATCGTGAAAGTGACTAGGACACGACCATTTTTTTGCCGGAGATTATTGACGAACTCGGTAAACGTCGTGTCATCGGCCAGACAGACAAAAATATTTTTGAAAGTGAAAAAAGTAGAACTTATGAGCTATTCTGCATACAGTCCCGACATTGTGACTTTTTCTGTTCCCAAAAATTATGAACCAATTGCACGGTCAACGATTTTCATCACCAGAAGATCTGACTGTAGTATGAAAAACACGTTTATGATGTCACCACGGAGGAGTGGCACAAATGTTTTCAAAATTGGTTTAATCGTATGGAAAAGTGCATTTACGCAAGGGCAAACTTTATTAGTATTTTTTAACAGTGCGACCCACGTATAATAAAAGCATGGAAGCTTTATTTTCACTTAAGGTTGCCTAGCGCAACTACTGTGAATGTCATGTCCGCGAGGCACGGATGCCAACTTGGGAATTCTTCCTAAATTTTGGAAGAAAAAATTTACAATGGAAGTTTTTATGAGGTAAATTGAAACCAAAACGTTTCTTCTCATTTAGGAAGAGTAAGTTTTGATTAGAATTTAGTGAATTTTAGTGGGTTTTTGAAATGCTTTAGGAGTATTTTCATGAACAGTTGGTAACACTGCCGCGAATCGCGACGCGAGCGGTTTAGGAATTTTCTTCCTATATTTAGGAAGAAAAAATGTACAAGTTTTTAGGTAATAAATTTTTTTGAGACTAATGTTATTTACATTATTGTTAAACAAAAAACTATACAGAACTACTTATTTTAAACAAAAATATAATTTAATAGTGTTGACTGCTTGGTGTACGTCAGGTCAATTCTTATGTAATAAATAATTTATAACAATAATTAAAAATTCTTCTACCCTAAACTATATTAGTGAATATATTGTCTTACTCAAAATATAAAAATTAGTAACTGACGATTGCAGGTTTTTAAAATATGTTAAAGTCATATATTAACATATTTTAAAGATATGTTTACAATAAAAGTTATTATGTTCGTTTATGTTTAAAGATTAATATGTTAATTTATTTAAAATCATTATGTTGATTTTATTGTAAACATATTCATTTCTAAAGTAATACAAAGAAATAAATTATTAGGTTATTTTATATGTAGTAAGTTTTTGTTTGAATTAATTTAAATTGCTTTAGGATGAGTATTGTGTTTGAACACTTGGTAACACTTTGTAAAGTTAAATTATACCGTTTCCGAGTTTCCGTTGAATTCAGTTTTTTATCTAAAAAACTACGAATACATTACTTAGAAAATACTTACCTAAGTTTTGAGTTACGGTTCTAAAATACTTATCAAAGTAAACATTCTTTGTTTCGCACAAATTTAAAAATGGCTTTAAAAAGTGAATTTGATAGCTTGGACGAAGAAGTGAAAGAACTTTTGTTAAATTACAAATTTAAGAAGGCCACCAGTTACGAACCGTGTACTATTAAAAACTTCAAAGAATGTTTAATTGGAATAAATGAGGTCTAGACCTTGTTAGATTCATTATTAAAAAAATATATTCCCTAAAAATAAGTAATTATAAAAGTTTTTATTCTATATCTTTTGCTGTTCAGGAGTTTGGTCTTCAGAACATCATTTACACGTTCAATCCGCACTTAGACGTTGAAAACGATACCTTAACCCCGGAAGCTTTAGTAAAACTTATTAACGCCATATGGATATTGCTGCATAATTATAAGAGTAAAACTGAAAAAGTTGATAGATTAGAAGAGCGTAATCACATTCTTGAAAGTAATAACAATCAGCTGAACGTAAGTAAAAAGCAAATGATTTTATTGTTGTTATATCTTATATGTAAAGTAATGCCTATTTAATATTTTAGGGTGTAGTGAGTAAATTAAAAGAAAAAATTACGTTGGAGAAAAACGAATCAAAAGCTTGTGTAGCTTCAGCGCAAAGAGTATCTGACCAGTCAAGTGAAATACACCAAAAGTTTGTGGAAATCCGCTCAAAACTAACGCAGATTACTAAACAGAAAGAGACAACTGAAAGGGCTTTGCAAAACAAACTTTCGAAACTGCAGTTGGAAAATAATAAATTGACTGATAAATTAAGGAACAAATCTGGTAAGAATTGGCCATTTAGCATCACAATCCTTGCACTTCTTTGTGATGTATTTGTCATAGGCATTAGGCCTTGTAGACATCTTTGTAAGATATGTGAAGAATACATGAGTGATATAGGGTGCAAGCCGATATTTTTATGACATTTTTATTCATCTTGTAAATTTCCAGAAATATTTGTTATATAGATAATATTTATTTTTTAAATGAGATATATGATTACTGTCAAATAACTTTGCAGACTCTCATGCCCCATGTTCAGAAATATGTGACTCTACAATCAATCAAATAAGGGAACGAGAGAAAAATCAAAGAAAAATCATAACAAAACTTCAAAATAGTAATCAAGCCCTAATACATGAAATAATGGCTTTAAAAGAAGTTTTATTGTTGGAGGGACTTAAAGATATCTAATTTAAAGAATTATAATAACAAACTTTTAACAGTAATTTTTAAATAATTAATTTTTAGGATGATTATGAAAACAATGTTTTGATCTATTTGATTTCATTCCTGTTTCAGTTACGTATTAAAAAAAGCTACAGTATAATTGTTTTAGACTGTGCCTGTTACTTAATAGTTTTAAAACTTACATTTATGAGCCTGCCAAATATAAATCAGTATTAGTGTGGTCATTTAAAGTGGTACTTAATTAATTATTAAATAAATATTATGCAAAAATCTTTTGTGTTTTATAATAGTAATAATAATTTTTTCATGCTTACCCTTAAAATTTTTATTTTCTAAGGACTAATAGTAACATTTTTACCAACCCTAATATTTTATCCATATTAATATTATGAATGCAAGTGACTCTGTCTGTCTCGCTTTTTTCACGCCAAAAGTACTGAACCGATTTAAATGAAATTTGGTACACAGATAGTATAGAGCCTGAGAAAGGGCATAGTGTATTTTTTATTGGAAAAAGGTTGTAAAGGTTTAAAACAATGTGAGCGAAGCTGGAAAGCTAGTATGTTATAAAGTTCAGTGTAACGAAGTAAATATAGGATTTATTATGCAACTAATTTTTTAAGCAGATGTACCTGTACCTTAATGGATAAAGCCACAGCAAAAGATTTTCTTAGTTAGGCATGAGGTAGTAAGTAATTCAATTTATGCACAAAGCACAGCCTGCAGTGTGGATACAATACAACATTTGAGATACAGAAAGAGATATTGAACAAGTACCTATCAGCAGTATTGTTGTAGTGCTCATATGGCCTAGAAATGGAACAAAATTGCCAGAAATAAAAAGTACTACTGATAACTGCTAATTAATAGGACCCTATAACTAAGACTCCTCTCTCTGTCTGTCTGTGTCTGTCTGTCTGTCTGTCTGTCTGTCCGTCCGTCCGTCCGTCCGTCCGTCCGTCCGTCCGTCCGTCTGTCTGTCTGTCTGTCTGTCTGTCTGTCTGTTCTTTTGTGCATTTCTGGGCTTTGCGACACTGAAAAAGACAAGAGCCTAGCTTTTTGATCATGCACATAATAAATTTTATTTTGTGCGTACAACATCTTATTTTGTCGGATGAGGGATCTGACAACGAATAGTCCTATGTGATCTACCTATCTCCGACATACATATATATCATAAGCGTAAGATGCTTAAGTCAGCCAAATTTTAGTTTATACGTAGGATTCCTAATTACATATTATAGGGACCAACGTCACAATAAAAGTATGAAATAACATTATTATAATCTATCCACACATGAATTTAAATTGAAATATTGTTCTGAATTTTATTCGCATTGTATTATTATATTATCAGTTAGCATTGACGCTAGCGCTTGAATTCTTAAATAGTATTGATGTACGATGTCGTTGCTCATTTGTGGCGATGTTTGGTTGAAAAACGTTCACAGAATTAATCACGTATTTCAACTTGCCAGCAGACGTCGCCTCGCTGTGACAAACCGCAATTGAATCACTCCCACTATATCTGTCATCACTCGACATTCAACGTTGAAGGAGTGCGCTCGCGCACGCGTCCGTTTCAATTAAAATTGCCGCGTTATCACAAATGTATCTTAGTGTGATAAGATCATTACATCACTGAGTGATAAGGGTCCTCAAGGACCGATTTGCCTTACCAGTGAACAGAGTATCGCTAATATTCGATATGAGTTGGCAGTAGCTAAATCGGTGTGTTACAAAAGACCTTAATAACGTTTAATATTGTGAATTGTGCACGACTATATATCCTATGTTCTGTGTTATAAAATGGGAACGGCGAAGAGACTAAAGATAACAGTGGTTGGTGATGGTATGGTTGGCAAAACTTGCTTACTATACGTGTATACTAGAAATGAATTTCCGGAGGAATATGTACCTACAGTGTAAGTAAATTATATTTTTTTTAGTTTGTTTTAGTCGCAGGTGTGGCAACAGGTCAAGTGGTCGGCTGCTGAACGGTATCGTGCGTAACTAAATTAGCGGTTGATGCGGTAACACCCTTATCTTTATGCTGTTAATTATTAGAAGGGAGGTGTTGGACTCGTTTTTAACATCATTGTGAATTCGAAAACAGTTAATTTTTCTTTAACAAATGAATTAAAAAAGTTATGTTATAAAATTACACTGTAACAATATGTGATAGTGTGCGAAAATGTCTGTTATTTTAACGATAACCATGATTTAACGTCACAGCACATAAAAATAAAAATCCGATTGTGTTTATACAACATTAAGTTGAGATAACACCGGAAATAGTATGTGCTGTCCGCATCAAGTGTGCATGGCAATCAGATGTTATTCTTTTCAGCCACGGTCAACTATTTTGACTCTGCTAATGTAGAATTATAATTTAAGTAGTGATAGTTCCTAAACAAGTTATGCTTAATATTATTAAACAAGTATTGGATGAAATTGGATGAATGCATCTTTGTCAATGTGCGATGAGTAATTTTTGTAAATTTTCAACGTAATTTATGCTTCAATTCCTTAGTAGGATGACTCATCATCAATGACTAAAATCAGAGTCAATCGGAATCACGGAATAAAATCATGTTGTTTAAACAAGTTTTAAGTTCCTATGTGTAATACGAATTTCGTCATAACGAATAAATCTAATAAAAGCAATAAAAAAATCTAATTATCGACATTATAAATAATAAATTAATTAATCGTTGAGTTTATAGGATGGTTTCGCGTAAAATCAAATGATATAGTTTTTGTCGAATTTATTTTCTATATAGTTGCAAGTTGCTGCATAATTAATAAAGAATTTGAACTGTAGACATATTTTCCGTGCAACATTACTGTTGTATGGCTACTCGCGGAGTATTGCAAAGTTATAATATTTATAAAGTCAAATGTGCGTCTCGGCATTGTTGTATTGTGCACGGCAGTCGTTTCCTCCTTATAAAACCTCGCCTACAAACGGACTTCCTTGCTGTCCATCTCTGTATCAAATACGATGCATCACAGTTTCGAACTCGCATTCTCTATTAGAATTAATTTTTCGATTATGATTTCAATATTATTAATTAATTAATTTCATAATATTATCAAATGTCCTATATCTTACAAAGTGGTAATATTTGAAACTGGGTTTTCCAACAGATTTCGTAAAGAAGACCCATAATATTAACGGGTTAGCATTTTTATTTCCACCTTAGGTCTTGTACTATATGAGTTAAGTACGGTGGTAAAAAATGACAAATATAAAATGAGACAAATATACTATGCATATGGAAATAGACGGCGTCGTTGCTTAAGTTACGAGAGACCAGGATAAAAATTCATGGTGTGCACATACCCCACTTATTCGTAGGCTGCGGGTTTGAGGGTACATCCTCTTGAAGTTTGCGGCTTTGCGGCTGGAATCACCTGTTCAACTTTTATTTCCTCCTTCCTTCTTCAGACGTTTGTTCAATGAGAAGCATCGTTCCAAATTTCCTTTCATTATTTGCTGCCATTTCTGACGATTTTTTGTGCAGTGAATTAAAAAATAATAATAATAATTTTATCGTCGAAGTGAAGTAGAAAAATCTAATTAAAACTGTACTTTTGATGTCGAGTTGCTTGGACACCTAATCGGACATCGGTTTCTCTCTGTATGGACAGTTATCGTATATTCAAACTGCTTGTTAATTATAAAATTTCAACGTTTGGTATAAAAAAGTACCCCGTCTGAGTACAATCAATTTTCTTTGAGCTTGAGTTTGTTGAATATTTCAATAGCAGATTTGTAAACAAAGTAACTAACAAAATTGTGAAACCGGCCTGTACCTACCCATATCAACGTACTGTGGGCCAGTTATTCCTTTTAAAATATGACGATTATTCTTAATAAACCAATGACATTACAATTCCATTAATTTTCTTGAACATAATGGACGCAGGTTTGACAATTATGTGGGTCATATCACCGTCGATGATGTGGAGGTGGAGATGGCGCTCTGGGATACGGCTGGACAAGAGGACTATGAGAGACTCAGACCATTGTCCTACAATAACGTAAGTTTCTTTTTTCTTGCTGAAGAATTCAGAGCCCCAGAACGTATATTTAAATATACTACACGCAAGAGAACTTGATGAAAGTTCATGGGGACAATTCGACATAGTTCGATTATCCAATTGTAAATGGTTGGAAGTAAGGATTACTTAAGCATTTATATTAAACTGAAAATGCCAGGAGATCATATCATTATTCATTACCTTGACTTTATCCTTAAAATTAATATTCGAAATTACAGACTAATTGCTTCTTAGTCTGCTACTCGGTTGGGAGCCGGTCTTCATACGAAAACGTGGTCCACAAATGGTATCCTGAATTGAAACACTTTAGTGCTTCTGTTCCCATCGTCTTAGTGGGTAAGTTAACTAAATATAGCAGAAATCCTTTAAAGTAATTTTAGTATGAAATACCTATGATGAAGTGAACGGATGTTATTAATAATGTCATCTGTATCGGACGTTTTCCTTTACACACGTCTTACATTCGAAAATTTCAAAGTTTTTTTAAAAACTTTGTGAATCTAAACCGTTCTCGAACCCAGCTGAAAAAAAAATTTCATTAAAATTGGTCCAGGAGTTTAGTACAGTGAAATACACATGTACAGAAGAATTATATATATATATATATATTTATATATATATATATATATATATATATATATATATATATATATATATATATATATATATATATATATATATATAGGTAAAAAATCTGTATAAAGAGACGTAGAGGTAGAGATCAACGGATTTTTATGTTAAATTAAATTATAATAAATATAAATATTTCGGGACATATTTTTACACAGCTTTATCTAGTCCCAAACTAAGCAAAGCTACTATGGGTACGGATAAACATACTATTACTATTACGTAATATACGTATTATCGATATATAAACACCCAGACACTAGAAAAACACTGTTCATCACACAATATTTTTCCAGTAGTGGGAATCGAACTCACACACTCTGGCGCAAGAGACAGGGTCAGGTTCACTATCCACTACGATACGGGGATCACATAACAAATTGATAGTTGTATAAGTATTGATTGATATTAGGTAAACATAAATGCTATTATGCTTTTTTAAGCCTGAAATATTAACAGTCCCAAATCGCTTCAACCTTATACATATATCTGTTTCATTGAGAATTATACAGTACTAACAGAATAAACGGATGCAAATAAATTTTGCATTTACTAATAGTAGACTCATTGTTTTAGTTCAGTGAAGGTAATTTGTGATCATTAGCCCAGTACGTGTTAATGAGGAAGGTTCTAATTATAACATTAGATTTTTTTTTCCTTATTTAATAAAAACCCTGGAATATTCAGTTTACAGTACATTATTACGTTCCTATATATTTTGGCGAAAAAAGCATTATCATCCAGGTTACATTAATTATAAATTATCCTTCAATGTTATTGCAACGTTTTTGATGAAACAGTAACATTTATATGGACGTTAAAAGTCTCTAACTTCAGAATCCGAGCGTTTCTGAAACACTGATCATCGTAGAAGTTAAATAATCAGGATTGTTATACTCTTTGAATTGATCATTCTGATCATTAAAAAGATCATTATGATGAATTCAGAGTGTTTAACAATACTTTTGGCAAATCAAATAACATTTGAAAAGCCATTTGACAGCTGATTTGTTAAAATCTACGATAATCAGTGTTTCAGAAACCGGGCGTTAGTATTCTTTTATTACTTGTTCTAATTACTTGGAGTACCCCTTAATATTATTTTTTTACTTGTCCTAGTTACTTGAACTTCCAAAGTCCTTTTCATTAATGTATGAAATGTCACTAACGATTTTTATCCGAATGCGGCGAAACCAAAAATGGAGGGTTACCTATTTGACAGGTTCCGATCCCACTGAACCGACTTTCATTAATGATTTGCCGTTAGATTTGACTTTATAGGGAGCGTCACTAAGATGTTAAAATTATAATAAATACGGATGTTTTATTTTTATAATAATTATTTAAACTATTATCATAAATAAAAATGATTGTACTAAGTAAAATGATTGTAAAAATAATATGCTATTATTCTTACTACTATTTCCCAAGAACATTCGTGACTCTATAGAATGAACTAAGAATAGATGACGGATAAAAATATCGCTCCATAAACGTCTGTAGCTACTCCTTAGCGATCATGTTTAACTGGTTCATGTAATAGTTCAGGATCATCTGAGCCTTTTATAGGCAAAGCACTTTTAGTTGTACTTGTACCAAAACTGTTCTTATCTTACTTATTCCACGGTTTGCTCTTCTTCAATCTTATAAACTTTACCCAAGACTAATTTATTAATTTATAAAAATACCCTACACTTTTTTCCACCAATGTTCTTAAATAAAATAATAATCTTTAATAAAATAAAATACAAAATTGGAAGTTTCCTCATATCGTCGTTGAAGTTCTAACACCACGTAAGTCACTTTTTGGCCATTTTGACATTTTGATGCCATTCGCTAGAGAATCGAAAGATGCATCGTTTTAGCCAATCAGAAACACGTATCGGTCAATAGAAACTCGTGAAATTATGAAAATGCATCTACACGGAATCCACCACATCGGCGTTATATTTGGAAACAGCACGAAAGTCACTTTCGTTCAATAGTGTAGAACATACTTCCCGGTTGCTCCTACCAATTAATGGAAAAAAGGTATGAAAATATAATATATGATTAAAAGATTGTATTTTTCGTTTTATTAGATATTCCTACTCTTTAACGTCGATATTTTTATATTGATATAAGCTTTTTTTAGTTAGTTAATGCTAATTAAAGTTGGTGAAATGACTTAAGTGGTGTTGCTCTAAGGCCTATCAGGAGTTACGTGGTGTTTTAATGAAACGGTTTTCTGGTTTGCCCAACGATCATATTTTAATTTGAATAGTTAATAATTAAGTAACATAAAATTTAAAATATAATTTCCCGATGTAATTAGTGTCAATAGGTTATCCACTTATTCAGTAATGAATAATTATTTCAGAAAAAAAGAATCAAAATGAGCAGTGACGAGGATGAAACTATACTTGAACTTTGCAAAGCATTAAAAATTAAGGTACCCCTGAAAAACGTAAAACAAAAATCCAAATTCCAAACCTTGAAAATTTGGATCTAAATAATTTACCTATTCTAATATTAAATAACAATGAAAATACAACTATTAGAGATACAACTTATAGATTTCGTTACACAGACTTCACCACAAATTTTAACAGACGATCATTTAAATATAATTACAGAAAATTTAATTATTACATCGGGGGAAGGTGAACAGTCTTCATTGATAATAACAGAAGAAGTTATAGAAACATCTATGATACAAGAATCAGAAGAAATGCGTGAAGACCAAACACGTTTATTATTATCAGAAGAAGTAAGCACCGAGAAAATACCTGATGTAATGATCCAAACTGTAACAGATAGACTAAGTGATAAAAATATTGATATTGTAGAAGCTAACGAAAACGAAAAAACAATTAACAACGAATATTGTGGAGATCTCAATTCTAAACGTAAGAGAAAATCCAAAGGTCAGGTAAAGTCAGATACCAAAAGAGAGTGGACCAAAAATAAATGCAAGAAATTAAGATTAGAGGGAGAGCAGTACATGGGATATCGACGAGATAGCAAACAAACAAAGTTTAAAGTTTTACATGATGTTATGCGGCCTGCGCGTGAGATAGGTCCTCGCTGCTCTTCTGAATTCTGTGCGAAGTCCAAACTTCGTGGATGTAACACTATAGCAGAGACAGAAAGAGAAAGATATTTTTTATATTTTTTGGAAACAAATGGACTGGTTTCAGAGGCAGCAATATGTTGTTTCTAATGTTGAAAGTGGAAGTAGAAAACAAATAAAGAAAACAGATTCCGACTCAAGACGAAATGTTAGTAAGAAATATTTTTTAAACACAGAGTCTCAAGGCCGAGTTCAAGTATGTATGAAAACGTTTTTAAGTACTCTAGGTATAACAGAAAATTCTATGCGTTATTGGATTGAACATTCCGAAAAAGGCATGACAAGAAACAAGAAGTGATACGACCACCTATGGAAAGAAGAAAAAAAGACTGTGTGACCTTTCTAAAAAATTTTTTTGATGATTTACCTAAAATGCCATCCCACTATTGTCGGGCATCAAGTACAAAACTTTATTTGGAACCAGTTGTACAGAGTAAATTGAAACTCTATAAATTGTACTGTGAGAAATGTTACGAACAGCAGGAAAAGCCCACCTCTCGTTGGTTATTCGATCAAGTATTCAATGAAAAGAATTTAAGCCTATTTTCACCTAAGAAAGATCAATGCGATTTGTGTTGTTCTCATAATGTAGGAAATATCAGCGAAGCCAAATACTATGAACATAGATTAAAGAAGGATAGAGCTAGACAGGAAAAAACTCAAGATAAATTAAGAGCTACTAATAAAGAAGTGCATGTCTTTACACATGACTTACAATCGGTACAGCTGTGTCCTAAACTTGAAGCCAGTGCAATATATTATAAGACAAAATTATGTGTTCACAACTTCACCATGTACAATCTTGAAAACAAAGACGTGGACTGTTATTGGTTCGATGAGTGTACTGCAGGGCTGGTGGCTTCTGTGTATACGTCCTGCATAATAGACTGTTTGAAAAAAAAAACGTTGTATAATTCTATATTCCGATGATTGCACGGCACAAAATCGCAATGCCGTTTTATCCAATGCATTGCTGGAGTTAGCAATGGACTATAACATCCAGATCGAACAAAAAATTCTAGAGAAGGGTCATACCCAGATGGAGGTAGATTCTTGTCACAGTGCAATAGAGTGTCAAATTAAACACAGAGACATCTACCTGCCTTCGCAGTACGCGTCAATTTCAAAGGAAGCTCGTCTTAAGCAGCCCTACAATGTAAATTTTCTAAATTATGACTTTTGCTTGGATTTTTCAAAATCTCTCATGTATGATTCGATTCGACCAGGTAGAGTAGCTAATGACCCAGTAGTTATGGATATCAGAGCATTACTTTATGAACCTGAGGGGCTCATAAAATATAAACTAAGCTATGATGACGACTACGTATTAGTACCCAAAAGACCTAAACCAAGAAGCACTCTACCAAAACCAAAGTTGTACCAAAGCAGAATACCAATTTCTCAGATAAAATGGACCCATTTACAAGAATTAAAATGTGTCATACCTAGTGATTGTCATAGCGGTTTGCCACATAAGTAAGACCTAAAATTTTGCGAAGTATTATATCTTGATATTGTGTAGTGTTATTAAGTTTATTTCATGAGAAGTTTTTGAGTTTTGTTTTTTTTTGCGAATATTTAAAAGGTCTTTGAGACTTTTTTTAAGATATTTTCGAATTTATTTTTGTTTATTAACATGTTAAATATTTAACTAACACTGTTACATTATAATTATTATTACAGTATAATTATGTATGTAAGACTTTATGTGATTTGATCAATTAGTATCGATGTCCTCCAGTACAAAGTAAATTTATGAATAATAATAATAAAAGTGCAATTAAATTTAAAATACTTGTTAAGGGTAAATGTTTAAATACTTAAATAAAAGGTATAATGTTTAATAAATAAAAAGACTGATTGCATTGTGATAAATAAATTAATAAATATAACAGTTTTGTTTAATTCCTTATAGAAAATGACGTAAGTCATGTCAATTTGGATATTAAAGTGACAAAACAACGTATGTCATTACTTTTGGGCTTAATATCTGTTATTGATAAATAGTTAATGATTCTACATTAAATAGAACTATAATTAAGTATACATAAAAAGTAATTTTGTAATATTATACTATCTATACAAAATTATGCAATTTTTTCTCTCTCCTGAAAAGTTGCTATTTTTGACATCCGTGGTGTTAGAACTTCAACGACGATATGTTTTTTAACTAAAAACTGCCATTAATAAAATACTTGCGCAAATTAACGTATTTTTAATGTCTATGTTTGTAAATCATTGTAGGATTTGGGACAAATTTTATTACAAATAGCATTATTAGCCAGGTATTACTAATATACTTTATTTAAACGTTATTGTTATAGTTGTAAACTACGGCTAATGTTACCGTTCCAATATTTCCTTATACAATATTTAACATTGTTTTCAGCCACCAAAATAGACCTGAGGTCATCAGGCAAGGCGGTTATTACCACTCAAGAGGGGAAGAAATTAAAGAGGAAAATACGGTAAATAATAAAATATCACACGTACTTTGTACTAATAGATAGTTAAATAATGCACATGACAATGAATTTTTGGCCTTGTCTTTATTCCATATCCAATTTACTAAGGAATAGGAACCTATAATAAGTCTAATATACAAAAATACCGGCTGCTCAAGCCGGTATTTTTGTATTGTAGCTTGCCCGTGAGAAATGATTATATATCATGCCCATATTTTGTTATAAGAACGTGAAAATCTGCCATACGAGGCATTTTTTGAATACAAAAATAATTTGTATTTTTTAACAAAAATAAATAGAAATATATCAAATTATTTGTAATGATTGGACATAATCTATGGTGAAATGTAATGAAAAGCGACAAGGGCTATCGGGTGCGCGCGTTGGCAGCTCTTTATCGTTCGGTATTATCACGAGCTGATAGTGTCCATAATGTGATAGGTCTGCAGACATTACTGTCGGTTACCTAAACACACGAAATATTAATTCCATCTCAAAAAACTTTTGCCATTTTTCGGTGCACAAAGATGACACCTTTTGATTCTTGACAGATGATATAATTCTGAGGTCAACGTAGATAGGAAGTGTCAAAACTGTTCATTTTTAGGATTCCGTACCCAAAGGATAAAACCAGACCCTATTACTAAGACTTGTCCGTCTGTCACCAGGCTGTATCTCGTGAACCGTGATAGTAAGACAGTTGAAATTTTCACAGATGATGTATTTCTGTTGCCACTATAATAACTAATACTAAAAAACAGAATAAAAAAAAGTGTGTGTGTAATTGTACATGCGTTAGAAGTTATACTTCCCTGGCGTAACACGATAAAAATCTTTTCAAAAATTTTATCTTCCGCTTTATTCTACGTTTATAGAAAAAACGACACAATAACAATAGAAAAAAGGTATTTAATACATTGAAAGTTTTATTATATCGCATTATCTAGTTAAGTAAAGTTTATTTAAGTATCTCAAAATAAATATCGTGAATACAGTTCTCACGCAAACATATTAAGGCGCTGTATGCAGTAAAAATAGGTTTTTCAAAAGATTTTTTAGAAAAATCTACACATTTTACAGCAGCAAAAAAAATATATGTTAACCTTGATCGTACATTCTAATGGACCATTGTTTCCAAAGCATATTCTCGATATATTTTCTCGATAGAAAAAGATCATGAAACTACCTCTAAAAGAGAAATTCAAATCCAAAAATGAACGTAATACATCAACAAATTTTAATGAAATTAATATCAGAGGTGTAGAATATATTAATAAAAAGGATTGTTGTTTTAATTTTTTGATTTATGTAAGATATTTGTAAATATTAATTTAATTCATTAAAATTAATTCTAACGCGATGGCCAAAACACCGTGCCATCGCGGCGCTGTTTCGGCTCTCTTCCAATTTTACACGTTGAACAGAGAGCGCTGAGGCGCCTTGCTAGATGGACCTATGCCGCTCATCGCCCGCTCACCGTTACGAAATATGTTTCGTATTTATTTATTATTAATAGTTTTAATATTATTAGACCTTCCAAAACACGAAACTAAAAAATATATATTCACATATTTCGTATTTATAAATTATTTGTATGTATTAACCGTTGTTAATTAATTTATTTAAAGCGTAATTTCAATGTCTTATCTCGTGATTGATCTATCAGTCCTATACATACGGTGTATAGGACCATCATTCTTTATGGATTGGGTTCAAATCCCAAAATTTTTTGTTGTACTTATTGTTGATTTTCTTATTTGGAAATATTTCTTAGTTACCATTTAATTTTTGTTGATTTTTATTTTCATAAATAATTACAACGAAATATTGTATTTGTTCAAAAGTATTTGTTCAAAATTGAAACAATTGGAGAACAATCTATCAGTAAATAAACCAACTTTTAGTATTAAAATTATTTAACGTCATCTATTTTTTTATTAAATATTTAATTTTTCACCCTAAAAAGAAAATTTATCTTATACACGAAAAATTATTGTTTTATAATTTTTTTATTAATTTGTTTATTTCCCAAATTGAGCCATTTTATAAAATAAAAACAAAATAATTTGTTGGCTAATAAATTAAAAGGGAAAATAATATAAGAAATACAGCTCCGCTCGATGAGGGTTTGAACTTGAGACTACACCTACAGCAATAGTTTACCGTTGTGTATAACGCTGGGACCAACAGGCTACGCAAGGTCTGTGGAAAGTGACAAAATTTCGATTCTTGTTATAATTGCTGTCGTTTATCGATACATATAAAGATTTTATCGATAGTTTTTTAAATTTTACTTTAGTTGAGGAAGTAATATAACATAGTAAATCTTGAACATTTAAAGGATAAATAAAAATTCCTAATATATAAAAAAATGTAAGTAATAAAAAAAGTTTATCCGTAATTTCTGCAAAAATTTTATGAGCCATTTCTTTAAAATAACAATATAAAACATGAAAACAAAAAAATAATAATTATTAATTTGCCTTTATTAATTTATTTCACTTTAAGATGTATTTTTAATCAATTCCTTTTCCATTTAATTAAAAAAGTAATAGTAAACAGGAAGAAGATTTTCTAAAATTGTTGATTGCTTTCCCATACTTTATAATTGTTTGTTTATTATTCCTATTATAATATAAAAGTAAAATACAATCATGGTCTATAAAAGATGTTATAGGGATCATCTGTGTACATTTTCGAAAGCCTTCCGTGATACTATCGATAGTATCCTACGGCCCATCACTAAACACACACACTAGGTAAAGAATAACTTGGACTAGCGGCGCGTCGACGAAACTCGCGCGCTGCGCGCCGCTAAGCGGCGTAACCCCTCCTCCGCTTCCTCATACTTCACCACCCGAATAGTTAAAAATTCACTGCATACAGCGCCTTAAGATGTCTAACTAACTTCAGGGTGTTGGTTTTTCGTGACGGTGTGCGCGCGCCTCGTAAAAATGTATTCTCATCATTTTTCCCTAACGCGCCAAAAGAAGTATAACTTCAAAAATATTTAAATCTGGCTCACACACAATAGACATCATTTTATGCCGTTTTAATAGGTAATGGTAAATCATTCGTTCGACGTTCGACTATCGAAATCATGCGCGAGTTCGACTCACACTTAGCCGCTTTTTTACTTTATACAAACTTGCAATCATCATCATTTTACAAACAATAATTTATATAGTTAACTATACTTTAATTCAACTGTAGCTATTATATAGCAGTTTAACGCACAATTCTTCAATGTCTATAAGTTGATATGACTTTTTTAATTATGAACCGACTTAAATAAAACTAATACTAAATGTTACTTGAAGCTTACTACAATGCATTAGTGAATGTTGCACCCAAATCGGTTAAGCCGTTTCTAAGATTAGCGCGCACAAACGTACAGATAAACAGACAAAAATGTTAACAATCATTCGTTTGGGCTCTATTGCGTTGATAAAGAAAGGCCCCGAATAATATTTTTTCTCAAATATCTTCTATGTACAGACAACGATCAGTTACATTATATTATATGTATAGATAAGTGCGTTACTACTAAGCAAGATCACAAACAGCACAGTTCTCTTTACACTGTGGTATCTTTAGACATCTTTATATATGTTCTGTGAAATCTGATCCTTCTTTCTCATATATGTAAAAGTATAGGCTTAAAGTAACAAGAAATAAACAAAAAATATTTCTGGTCCCACAGAGCTGCCCAACTTGTGGAATGCTCCGCATTAGAACGTGTCAACATGAACGAAGTGTTCGAGGAAGCTGTTCGGGCAGCTCTACGCAAAAAACCAGTCCAAAAACGCACGTGTCAATATATTTGATCAAGAAAATATCAAAATACATTAAGGCAATGGTTTTAAAATTATTTCTCTAATAAAAAGTGAATTGCAAAAAATCAGGGAAATAATGTAAACTTTTTCAAAATTTTACCTTCTTGAAACCGTTTGTTTCTCTTTTATATAAAATAGGTATGAAACAGTTGTAATCTTTTAGTATTTATGACAAAATTTTAATGTTAAAGTACAATTTCAATTTCCACTATTTCGACACAAACATATTTTTTTTAAATTAAAACCAACATGTATTAATGTATTTGAACTGTTTTTCATAAGTATTATTATAAAATTTCACAAATGTAAATAATAGACTAAAGAGTATTATTTTATGTGGCGCCAAAACCACAAAGCAAAACTTATTATGTAGGTACATTATTTTTCTTGTTTAGTACTTATTGTTCCCAATGTAAATTATTTTATTATTAAAAAAATTATCAAATATTAAAGCTGTGTCATTTTTATTCCATTAAAGCGTTTATTTCAGTATTGTATATGCAATTTTTCAAAAGAATTTCGCCCCACCGCATACATGCACCATTGTCTCTTCGAGCGTTTGAGTAGAGCACCAACTCCCAACAGGCTTTAAAGACCCGATAACTTGAGTCAGGACTCAAATACGGCGGGTATTTGAGTATAATCGCAAAATGTTTCCCAGAATGGATGAAGCCCTTCGCAATCCTGAAAACTAATTCAGGAGATCTCCCCACTTAAACTTCATTAGGGAAAGGTTTTTTTTTTATGGAGAAAAGGGGCAAACGAGCAGGAGGCTCACCTGATGGTAAGTGATTACCGCCGCCCATGAACACCTGCAACACCCGAGGACTCACAAATGCGTTGCCGGCCTTTTAGAAAAGAGTATGGTCTGTATGTGTTCTGAAGACAACGCCCGGTGCCGGCATATGTAACATCGTGCATCATCAAACAACTGACCGTCGATCTACGGCTTTGATTATATACCTGCCAAATTTACACATACCGGCGCAATAAGCTGTTTAAATAATAATTTATTTAAAAGAACATTACATAGTTACTTACTTAGATGAGAAACTTAACTAAATTATTTACATTAAAAGAAAGAGAAATAAATAATAAACAAAGTCGAGTTCGATCTATCGTAGTTGTACAAAAGTTATCTGTAAGGATCAGTTATTAATATATAATAATAATGATCTTTATTTCAGACAATACACAAAATTAAGTACATCTGCGTCAGATGAAGCTTTAACAGTCTCGGGACTGAAAGCAAAAACATCAGTTAATACACAAGTACATTGTCCATAGTTTGTTAGTATTTATAAAAAGTCACAATGTGACTTAAATCTAGGTTAGTATTATTAGTGAACATTAACAAATTGCGAATTATTATTTTGCCAGACCTATAGCAACTGCCACCCAGTGTTGCTGGAATGGACAGTCAGGTCTGTCAGCAATCATTTTCAGAATGCTGTTGCCACTAGTACGAAGGCGCTGCAGCAAAGAGACCGCTGTTTTACGCATAATGGCGTGGAATCCAAGCCATCAGTTTGGGCGTCAGCAAACATTTTAGACGCGCTGCAGCGCCACGACAGTCCCATCAACATCCTGAAAGCGTTGTTATATTGCACTCGCAGGGAATTGAAGGTTCGGCGCGAATATGACACCCAAAGACCGCTGGAGTAGAACGAGTGACAAAATGCCTTAAATAAGGTAATCTTGACATCCGCAGTACAACGGGCGAATCTTCGGGCAATCATATTGCTCCTCACCGCCAACGCCCTGCGCTCCCTGTCTATATCATCATCATCCCTTAGGTCGCTTGTGACAATGTGACCCAAGTACTTAAAACTATTAACAATACTCAATGATACATTGTTGAGAGATATTGATGGCACACAACGCGGCTTCTGCTTAGGAGACCGAAAAACGAAAATAACGGACTTAGCAGCAATTATATTTTAAGCCGTGTTCAGTCATTTCATGTACACTCATTCATTGATTATTGGAGCATGACACTTATAGTCAAAATAGGTTTTGGTCGAAAGTATCTGGTAAATTTATACCAGGTAATTTAACTTACTATGCTCCCATCACTCCTGAGAAAAACGGTGGTGATTACTTACCAATTTTATTATGACAGTATAATGGGTAGATATAGAGACATCGGAACATTCGAATCGCACTTGAGTAATCTTTTTTGTTATTAAATACAACGCTTACGTCCCGTCGGGTGCGACTTGCCACGTCCCGATGTTTGTTTAACTACTACAATGAAAATTTTAGAATACATAACAATTTTTTACTAACGAAAAACAAAACCTACTTCAAATATCTCGCTCCGTATTCATTTTATAATTGTTTTGCAAGAGTTCCCTAAGTATCTCCGGAGCCCAAGAACCAATACCAATGAAATTAATATGGTACCACATGGGAAGCACCAGCTTTCAAATAAAAAAAGAATCATCAAAATGGGTTCACTCGGTCAAAAGTTATGAGTTCGAATTGAGAACCTCCTCCTATTAAAGTCGGTTAAAAAGAGGTGCGGTGCGCCCCGCTGCCCCCAGTCAGATAATAGCTACCGATCGAGCCGAGGTCCAGTCCTCTCGGGCACCCTTGAATCGGAATGCTAATCGGGTATCGAGTGACAGCCCAAGCCGAGGTCACCACTCTGGGACCCCTGAGCCCTAGTCACTCCATGGAGAGTCCGCCAAAGCGCCAAACCGGTGAGTTTAATAATAGCATGACGACCCGACCCGAGCCTTACTTAGGAACGCTCGAGCTCAGGCACCATAACGCGGAATCGAGTTTCAAGCCCCGAGCGCCCTACCAGCGCAAATACGGCGGACATGAAAAATTAGAAGTAAAGAACAATGCCCATTTTTGACCTGATTGTGTATAGAGGTGAAATAAATATTAAAATTTAGCTTATTTTATTTTATAGTAATTACACTAATCACAATGTTAAAAGAAGGTCGGGGAAAAAATATTTTTTGATATTTCTTTACGCTTATTTTACTTCAAGGGTAAACATATTACCATGTTTTGAACGCACCTTAACAATACTTTGCATAGGACGTTCCATTTCCCACACTACCAACTTGACTGTATTCAACTTTTTCTGAGTTTTATACGTGATTTTACGTTTTAGAGAAGTGAGTAAGCACGTAATTAACAGTATTTGTATAAAAATTAAGATCAATCTTATTAGTAGTACAGATTTATTAAAAATAAAATAATAAATTATTAATGCAGCATGTAATAAAGTTCGCACGGCTGACGTAAATGGATTTTTTTGACATTTGACAGTTCTGCGAGCGACTCATACTCATCGCTCGGTATTCGCCAGTAATTGTGAGTATTTATGTTTATTATTTTTAATCTAAAAATGTCAATCATGTCCTAATCAAACTAACAAAGATCTTATAAATTATACCTGTGACGTAACACAAACAACTGTTCAAAAGATCTATATATCCAAAATATGTATTATAAACTCAATGTATGTTATTTTATATCAGATTACTGAGGATTACATTTGTAAATCTTGTAATGAACTCTTTATGAGAATAATAAACCAGGAATTAACAAGCTGTGATGTTGCTCAAGCTTCAGGATTATCTCAACCAGGTCGAAGAACAGTTTTTGATAATCCTTCAGAAAAGCAAAGACAGATAAATGCTATTATACAAACAAGTTCACAACATCACATATTCATATTTCTACATTGTTAATCATTTGCCAGTATAAAACTTGATACTATTACTCTAGATTATTTCTCTTTTGTATTTTAGATGTAAATTATTATATCTGTTATTAATTGACTGATGCTGTAATAATTTTAACCACAAATAAATACATAATTGATTGTTTTTAAATATATTTTTAAGACGTATAATAATTATTGCTTTATTACTTCTTTTGTAGATATCATCATCTGATAGAATATGCCATTCATGCTGGATGAGTTGTAAGAGTGCTGCCACACATATTAGGCATGTTGCTGAAGTTTGTGGTGTTTCTACTACTGAAGATAATTTATTTTTTATGTATCTGAGATTAATTTATTAGTGACCTTATACTATTTGCGTTAGGTACCAAATAAGGCAAGCCAAATCCTATTATGGTGAACATATTCGCTTTCATGGATCATATAGAATAGAAATATGTAGGGAGACAGGAGTTTTCTAGGAATAATCTGAGTGGAAGTGATGACATAACACTAATAAGAGGAAAAATTAAGTCCTAGCACATTTAAAGAAAACAATATTATGTCTACATTTTAATAGAAAATAATGTGTCTGGCAGAGCTAGTATAGTCGAATACTGTTGTAATCGTGTAGTTGGTTGGCAAACCATAGGATGTTGCACTCATGTTATGACTAGTGTGGTACTTCGGATGAACTATCAAGAAAATATCTCTGTTATAGCAGAATTTCTGGATAACATAGTTATAAGACATTTAAGTGAAGATGATGATAATTAATAAAGCATTCCACTGTGACATAGTGTTTTATTTTTTCCCTCGTTTTATTCATCAGGTATTATATTATAGATTATTATGTATTGTAGTGCAGGCCAATAAAATGTGTAGGGCAGATAAATGATCACTTTTAACTTACGTTTTTTAAGTAGGTACTTATGTGAGTTGTTGAAATAGCGGATAATGCTCTTGACTCAATTTATAGTGACAATAATCGAGTCTAAGCAGTGACGTAAGGGCAGTCGGTTTCTAGAAATTCACAAGTAAAAAAGACGTTTTAGACCTTAGATAGGCTAATATTATTATTTTAGAGTAAACTTGAGCGTAAATAGTTAGTTCTAGCACATTTATTTCGTTATATTATGTAACTGCAAATCCTAACCTAAAAAGTAACATTTTTTAATAATTTTTGGACTTCGTAGACCAGCAATCGTAAAAATGACTATATGATATTAATTTACTAACTTAAAGGTAGTCTTTCTGCTATACCTTGTAACTATAGATACACTTTCATTACCAGGTTTTTAAATGTATGGGAAGTGGGCATTGTTCTTTCTTTATCTTACTTACGTAAATTTCCTACAACTCATTTTTAAAGGAAAATATAGTGTTTACACGATTTTTTTCCCATAATATAACGCTAACCTGAAATACACATAGAGAGTAATAGTCATACATTTAAAGGCCTTTAAATGCATGCCAACATACCTATTTTTTACTTACAAAATATATTCATCAATAATATTCAATAATAATATTTGAATAATATATATTTTATTTAACAATAAATAGTACACAAACCTGAAATTCAATTCAATACCACCGTTCTCAAGTAACTAGGTTTTGCCGTAGTGTTTAGATTAAACTTCTATTTTACTTATTTTGAAAGAGCGGTTTATGAAGTGTCTGTATGGAGAAATCCGAAGACTATAATTATAAAAAAAATATTCAACTGACTTTCGTGATCTGTCATTATTGACATATTGTGTTATTGAATACGTAAATTATTTTCATAAAAACATCAGTTTATCCATCGGATTCATTATACATATAGATATTGTAAAAGGCGTGTACAAGTGTTAAAAATTTAATTCTTTATAATTCAAGATGAAGCGGAGTTACGATGCTATGAATTCATCTATAGAAATAAGTTCGTATCGTGATCAACATTTTAAGGTAAAAGTTAAGTAATTCTCAATATTAAAGTTTGTAATAAGAATTTAATTTAATGTTGAATACAAGTCTGTAATTGACTCATGAAATGTTCTAGGGGTCTCGTAATGAACAAGAAAAGTTATTACGTTTGTCATCAACACTTTACATAGGAAATTTATCATTTTATACAACAGAAGAACAAATTTATGAATTATTCATGCGCTGTGGTGAAATAAGAAGAGTAATTATGGGTTTAGATAAATACAAGAAAACACCGTGTGGTTTCTGTTTTGTTGAGTATTATGCTAGAGCAGATGCAGAAAACTGTATGAGGTAAGATGAGTTTTTTAAATTGATACATTGCTCTTTTTCGCTTAAAACATTGTTTATTTCTATGATTTTGTTTCAGGTACATTAATGGCACTAGATTAGATGATAGAATTATTAGATGTGATTGGGATGCCGGTTTTATTGAAGGTAGACAATACGGACGAGGAAAAACAGGTGGCCAGGTATATATTTATGGTTGTACTAACTTATGGAGTTTATGAATGAATACTTGGTTAGGGTTAATATTATTGTAGTAGTTATTAATTTTATTCTGTTTATATTTATTCTTAATTATTAATTATTTTAAAGGTCCGAGATGAGTACAGAACAGATTATGATGGTGGTAGAGGTGGTTATGGTAAAATAATAGCTCAGAAGATAACTCCAAATACATTAGAACGCTGACATCAATAATCCTAACTTAATGAGACACTTAAAAGGAAGACTAAAAACTTCAAATGTGTTTAACCATTCAACCTAAATGGAATGTGTTATGAAGAGAATACATTTTTACAAAAGAATTTTTTCGTATTTATTATTATTAATATAATAAGCTTCATAATATAGTTTTAAGATTTTAAAAAATCTGACAATTAATTAATAACAATTTATATGAACAAAGTGTAAGTTGTACCAAAAAATGGTTTTGAAAATTTTATTTATTATGTTTCTAGCAGCATAGTTAACATCTCATAGAGCATTATGCTTAGATTATAGTAGAATTATAACAATATCATTGTCTTAAACTATGCACTGCTTGTAATATAAACTATATTATGAGTTACAATAAATTACAATGTAAATGAGACTTAGTTATATGCTAATTTAATTAATTCAAATAAAAAAATAGCCGCCAACCTTTTTAAACACATGTCACTTAAGATGGATACTTTGACTTGGCCCATCCATTTTAATTGTAGGCATAATAATAGTGGGTCAAGGGACTACAATTCATTCCAATGAAGAACAATGAAACTGACCAACTGAATTTCAATAAAACGGCTCCTACCACCCCAACTAGATACCCGACGCTTGATGCTGCAAGTTAAGCGATAGCAAGTCTACCATACTCATCACTACAGACATTGCTGAATTGGAACGAACAGTACTTTAACTTTCCTTTGGACACCAGACAGTTTGTTTGGTTCTGTATTGTAATACGGTTAATTTTCGAGAGATGGCCTTGCTTGAACATGACCCAGCATAGTGCCTATTGGCAGTGAGCAAAAAATGTAAAAGAGGGTTCAGCGAATCCTTAGCGGCTTTAATAAAAATAAGTTTACTAAACTTAATGTTTCATTAGCTTTCGATGCCACCTAAAAAGCTGAATGCTTAGCTGACAACCTAGAGTTACAATATATGCTATCTCGTGAACACCTCATCCAGTTCACCTGCGTTACTATCAGCAGGGAATTTGAATTTAGGGAAGAGATTAAAGACATAATTCAAAAAACTAACCCCAAGCACGCCCCATACCCAGATAAAATGAGTATTAAAGCTGTTCCTTTCCTGCTTGGCAAGCGACCATAGTTATCGACATTCGCACACCGAACAAACCTCCAACCAGGCTATAAGCTATCGCCTAACCAGCCTCCTCAATTCCTTGGAAAAGCTATACAAATGTTTCATCCTCAACAGGTTTAAGGACCATGTTTACCCCAATGATCTCATTCCCTCAAAATTATTCGGTTATTGACTGAATTACACCTGTCCTGAACAGATCTACGCCATCGACGGAAAACATGATGAAAGGACGACATCTCCAAACACATTACCACAGGAGCTTTCTTCTTCCATATCGCAAAGGCATTGAACAGTGGATGGCTTTACAAGCTGATGGCACTTAATGTGACTGACAGTCTAGTACACACCATTTGAGTCTTCGTGTTGAATATCTCTTTCTGATACTAAGTTGAGGATACTTTCTTTACAAGCCACTCCCTCATGGCTCCTGCTTCTCTCTCCCTTACTTTTCTCTCTAAACAACCAACATCACTAGAAACCCACAAGTCCATCAAGCACTTCAAAAGTGCATATAGATGTCCAATACTACATGTCTTCCATACACATTCAGTACTTAATTAAGTTCATACTCCAAAAATATAACTTTTTTTACTTTCAATAGATTTATCTTTAATTAGTAAAATAATTGAATTTGTCAAATTGTCATATTTTCTACCTCATCCTCATCATTCTGATTCATTAATTGCCTGATAGTTGACTAAGATGTGTTGTATTTTTAATTTCATCTTATACAAATTTTAAACAACTATCCAATAACATTCAGAAGAACCATCTTAATTTTACCTCAATATGGCTCATCAAACTATTATTGGGTAGCTGAATATAGCCTCATGCATGAACTCTGTATGTATCCCTTTTATGACTAGCATTCATGGATTGACAAGCAGAAGAGCCTGCTAAAATAACGTTTACATTTCGTCTTCTACAAAAACAAAATTAAGATCATTATTTTTTTTTCTAATAATGTCTTTTATTATCTTGAATTAACTGATGTTTTTGCTTTCAGTCCCGAGACTACTAAAGTTTCATCTGACGCAGAACAGTAGGCTAGCCAGAACCCACGGGTTTGAGTCTTCTAATAATGCTTTAAAGACCATTGATATTAATATTGAACTAATTGACGAGGGTAATAAATAATAATGAGATGAAGTTTTTTGAATTTCATATAATTCATATAAAAGCACACAAAGCATACATAAAAAAATCATGTCAAAGTACTGGCACAATCAAACTGGGTTTAGTAATAAATGCATTATTGATAATTTATAATGAAATTCTACTGCATGTGCAAAAAATTAAAAATTAATATTGAAATGTTGCCGTTCCCATAAAAATACATTATATTAAATTGTTTATATGTTACTTAATTAATACAATTTAAGATATCTCATAAATAAATTAACATTTATGTTCAACAATAACATATAATAAATTTAAATACAATTTGAATATTTTATATAAATGTAAAAAATGTATAACAATTAACATAGATTAATAAAAAAACATCATAAGTTTACAAATCATCAGACAATTTTATGGTTTTTAAAGCACCTGTATATTATGCCTAGAGCTGATCATCAACAACTTTTTAAACAGTATTTAAATTTAAGTAAAGTAATTGTTTTAAAATATAAATGTTTCTAATATAAATAAATTTCTCATATTTATTACTGGTATGTTTTCAGATCTAGTATAAATAAATATTTAAGCCTCAAATTTTTCAATCTGAAATGCAGAGAGATAATAGTGCACAAAAATGGAGTCATAATGAGATTACCATTGTTTTGCAGATTAATTCAATGTCATATGACTATTTGCATAGACTTTTCTTAACATGATTATTAACATTTATAGGTTTTATATGGCTTTAAACTAACTGCTAGCAACAGATATTGACTTATATCACATAAACATAAATAATCAAACAAATTGTATTATAAGTATACAGTAGAGACTATTAATAAAAAAAAAAGAATTACAGTGTTAACATAGATCAACTAAAAAAGACTAAAGCACAATAAATACAATCCAATCTAGATTAAACCTTAGATTTAACTTTTTAAGGTACTATTACAGTTATTAAGCAATATGATTTTTATACCTGAAAAAACACTTGAATGGCATTTTTGATTTAAGTTAAGCTATGTGTAAGACTAACACTAAATGTAAGCTTTAGGCTCCAGGTAATTCAGGCATAAGATCAAACCAGAGGGTCTTTGCTTCACGAAATTCATATTGGTTCAGATGTACTATCACCTGCAATACAAAAATAAAGGTTATAATCAATGACGTCTCTATTTATATAAAGGACAATGTATGTGTGTATGTATGTTCACCTAAAACTCGAGAACAGTTGGCCCATAGGGCGACATGAACACTACGACGAATATACGTTAGTGCCAGATAGGTGACGCTGGTGGCAGTAATTTTTATCTTTTGAATGTTGTAATGAAATTATTGATATGAAATTTTGTATATTATATCCATGTGGCAGCATTGGAACACTAACTTAATGACAACTAATATGGTTACACTGCTTCAATATATTTTAATCTCACTATATGTAACAAAAGACATTTGTATATCGCGTGTACCCGTATGGGTAAAACAACAAGATTATTTCTTCTTGCTCAAGATGGCAAAACCAAAAATATTGTGTACCCCAAGTGCTTTAGAATAACAAAATCATAAACAATAAAAATGGTTTTTTTTTCGTATTAATAATGGTAGATTTTTCTAGGTAAAGTGCATTGGGCACCAGCTAGTAAAATTATAAAAGCAGCAGCAATACATTATGGTTACAATGCTGTTAGCCAATCTTATAAATCTTAATCATAAATATTAAAAAAGAAACATAATTTATTTCATAAATTTGTACTTTATTTTAACCATGCTGAGAAATAGGAGTTAAGGCGCTGTATGCAGTGAATTTTTAACAATTTGGGTGGTGAAGCATTAGGAAGCAGAGGGGGGTAACGCCGCAAAGCGGCGCGCAGCGCGCGAGTTTGTCGACGCGCCACTAGTCCAAATCATACTTTACCTAGTGTGTGTGTGTAGTGATGGGCCGTAGGATACTATCGATAGTATCATGAAAGGCTTTCGAAAATGTACACAGTATAAAGTATGAGAAAGCAATCAACAATTTTAGAAAATCTTATTCCTGTTTATTATAATTTTTTAATTAAATGGAAAAGGAATTGATTAAAAATACATCTTAAAGTCAAATAAATTAATAAAGGCAAATTACTTATAATTATTATTTTTTGTTTTTATGGTTTATATTGTGATTTTAAAGAAATGGCTCATAAAATTTTTGCAGAAATTACGAATACAACTTTTTTTTATATTAGGAATTTTAATTTATCCTTTAAATGTTCAAGACTTACTATGTTATATTACTTTTTCAACTAAAATGAAATTTAAAAAACTATCGATAAAATCCTTATGTGTATCGATAAACGACGGCAACTATAACTAGAATCGAAATTTTGTCACTTTGCACAGACCTCGCGTAGCCTGTTGGTCCGAGCGTCATACACAACGGTAAACTATTGTTGTAGTTCCAAGTTCAAACCACTCATCGAGCGGATAGATAGATAGATAGATAGTCTTTATTTGTAAAAACATGGTATACTTACATACATTGCATGCAAGATATTAAATATATTTTATTTGTTTTATTTAATTTGTTTTTGTCAAAATCAGACGGATAATTTTTCTGTATATTTGGTATCTTCATACTACTTGAAAAGCATTTAGTAAGCAATACTTATACATAAAGAAGAGTCGTGATAGCTCAGTGTCCGGGCGCTCGCCTTTAATTCAATATACTCGAGCACCCTGAGTTCGATCCCCAGTGCCGGCACAATGGAGTTTTTAACTTTAAGTGCTGACTTATCACGTTGCTCCGCGGTGAAGGAAAACATCGTGAGGAATAAGAACAAAAAAAACATATTTTTCGAAGATATGCGAAGTCCGCCAATCCGCAGTGGTGTTGCGTGGTGGACTATGCCCTGATACCCTCTGTATAAAGGAGGCCTTTGCCCAGCAGTGGGACATGTATAGGCTGTTACTTTACTTTTTTACTTATACATAAATCATTATTAGTGCATTAGTCGCCATGTTACTTCATTAGTACAATATATTTGTTCTATCAAGCTATTAGTATTGTATAATAAAGTTAATTATATAAAATTTCATCAAGCTAATACAAAAAGATTTTACTATAAACATTTTCCTTAATACATACCTGCCCAATGATGGGACTTCCTCCAAGGAAACCTTTGTGAGTAGCCACTGTGACTTCAACCTGTCTAGAGTGCAGTTCCGCATGAGGAATGACCCATTCAAACTGTTCGTCATACTCTGGCATGCAATTGTCCTTAACCACCTACAAAATATTGATACTGTATTAAATGATGTACTTATTAATTACTGGTTTCTTTGATATCTTACCTGATGATAATCATTTATGTCTAATGGGATTAATGCATTAGATGAGTAAAATACTATTTATTTAAAACAGTTACAACCAGGAAATATTTAAGAATGTATTACATTGTATCGGAAAAATTACTTACTTGCCTTTTAACTTACTTTTAATACATGAGCGATGAACTTAAATTTTAGTAATAGTTTGATAACATACCACGGTCTTGCGTTTAGAATCCTTGGAGCGTCCGGGGAGCAAGTACAGTTTCACATAAGGATCGGGCACGTTGGTTGGGTCCTTGAGGGGTATGTTCCTGTTAAAAAAATTATTTATTAATCTGATCCAAAAAAATATGCAGGTGCTAAAATAACAACTCATTGTAAGTGTCAAATTTATATGTATATTGGCCAATCAGATTGCCACTAACAATTTTCACAACTGATTTTTTTAAAGAACAACATTGGAACAGACCATGTTTACATATAATGGGCTGTATGAAAAAACTAAAAAATATATGTAAAAAATGTTTTGGTTTTACTAATTACTTTTGTTTTTGCTTTTTGGCTTATATAATATACTAGCACACCCGAAAGATGTTGTCCTGTACACACGACTTAAATCCGACAACTTATAAAAAATGTTGTAGTGTCCCGCTTTCTAAATCTAAACCAGTCTCGAATTGACTTGAAGACACACAAAAAATTTCATTAAAATCGGTCCAGCCGTTTAGGCATTCAGTACAGTAAAAATAACAGCTTAAGAGTATAATAAATAGCAATAAAAACTCATCCTTACATTATTTTATGAACAACAACATAAAGAGTTTGGTGTTGCATGCTGTATCGGAGAGAAAGCAAAATGCGTCCAAGCCCTGCTTCTCCAGCAGATCTGTGAAAGGCACCAGTATAAGAATAATTTAAAAACGTATTTACATATTTTTCTAAAGAAATCGATTTTGATTACATTAATATGAATGAAGTTGTTGAATAACATGGTGTATGAAAAAATAGCCAAAAAATATACAAGTTGTGGAAACATCTACTGAAAAATTAAATAAACGCTATTTAAACCAACGTTACACGTACGTTGTTATTGACGACGTGCGATGTACCAGCTTAGGAGAGTCACGCTCTGGTGCTGCCTGTTCTTGTGGGACATCTAAATTTATAAAAAAAATGATCACATAAATAAGTTTCGGCTTTGTATTACTATTTTTTATAGATTATGTAATACTTACCAACAGCTTTCTCAATTTGCTCTAGGGGGATAGACTTTTGGGAGCCATTTTCTTGCACTTTCTCTTCCAAGTTCTTCAATTCTGCATTCAACACTAAAGCTAAAAATAAATAAGTAATATGAGCACCTTTATGAAGGCTAGTAAATTAGAAGTCTTTCTTAATATTTTTGTTTAGTACTAAAAAGTAACAGCCTATATCAACATGTCCCCCAGCTAATAAAAGGCCTCCACTGTACATAGGGTAATTGAGCATGGCACACTCTGGATTGGTAGACTTCAGATAACAATGTAGAGATAATAACAATGTAGGAAGAAGGCGTTAAGATTTTCGTCGCTGTGGCTATCAGCCGTTTAGCTCAGTGGCTAGAGCGTCAGGCCGCGAATGCCGAAGACGTGGGTTCGATTCCCACAGCGGCGACAATCTTTTCGTACTTTTTCTACATGTTTTAATGTTCAATCTTAAGTGCAGAGATTAGCACTATAAAAAACTTTAACATTTATGTTTTTTGTTATTATTTCAAAAATATGCATGTTTCCTCACGATGTTTTCCTTCACTGTTGACCAGATGATAAATCAGCACTTAAAATTAACAATTTAATTGGCGCCGGCACTGAGGATCAAAGTCAGGATGCTAGAGTATATTAGTAATTGTATGTTAAATGCACCCCAAGTGAATTTGTCTTTGGGAGATCAGCACATGAACTGTTAAGCGAAAAATAAAAAATCGAGAAATCGCTTTATAAAATTTTGTCTGCAACTATACAAATAATTTAGTGGGAGTATACAGAAAGCATTAAGTCTGCGGTCCAAAAAAGAGAGCTATGTTTTTTTACCCGCATAGTGGGCGGAATTCAGAGATAAATAATTTTTGCGCGTACAGTACTAAATATTATTTAGGATTATTGGGTAGGGTCAAAAGATTTTTCGTATTTTTGATAAATTATAGACGTTCAAATTTTAGATGGTCCATAGTATAATAAAGTAATTCTAATTATTTTAATATCCCATCATAGTTCTTTTTCACTCAAACAAATTTATCTATTCAATGCATTTGAAAGTAGGTGGTGAGAAGAAGAATGGTGTGAAGTTTTTGATGTGTTTGTTATATATAATTTCTTCGTATATTTTCAATTTCATTAATTTAGTTAAAAATTAACTATTGGATTACGCACGTGGTTGGTTCGCGTCAGTGGAGTCTATTGCGGGCGTCGTTGGCGGCGTGGCCGGCTGCTGGACGGCGGGCTGCGGCGCGGGCTCCGGCTCCACTGGCGACTCCAATGGAGTCTCAGCCTCCACGTCGTCCTCTTTTATCGCCTCTTTCAGTATCTGCAATAGAAACACTTTATAATAAAGATATATGCCTACAGTGATACAGCAATGACATGAACATGACAGATACCACATCTATAGGCGGGGGAGCCTGGGAAATGTTTGAATCTCATCTGGTGACTTGATACCTGGCTCCTATTATAACGGATGCCACTTATGTCCACATACGTAGTAATCACTAGCGACACGCGCCGGCTTCGCACGGGTGCAATGTATTATGGATATAAACTTACTCTTGAATCATTATCTGGTAAAAAAAACCGCATCAAGATCCGTTGTGTAGTTTAACAGATCTAAGCATATATAGGGACAGACAGACAGCGGGACGACTTTATTTTATACTATATAGTGATTTGTTGTAGATGTCCATGGGTGTCGACAATTACTTAAGAGGTGAACTACCTGGACATCTTTGTCAGTGTTTCACTTATTAAAATGTTAAATATTTTCAGGAGTGTGATGAGTTCCGCATCAACATGTGTGGATAATTTCATAGAAGATATAAATATTAAAATAAAATTAATACCTTCAATTGCAGGGCCAGGATAATCTTGGACTCCGGACCAGATTTTTGTAATGTGAGCGGTTGTGTTAGCAAGCACAGATCTTTCTCCCTCAACAAGTTGCCGACGGCGTAGTTTAATTGGCCCAGGATGCTTCCAGTTTTTTGGTCTAACGCCTACGAAAGAAATAATTGCCACATTATGTTATGGAAATAAGACGTGAATGAGATAAAAATGTTACACCATAATATTTCTTCAAAAACTTCACCTGACATATAAACGGATTTAACGCGTTAATCAATATCTTTGAGTGCAGACGTGAAGGTTTGTCAATTGGAGAGATTTCGATAAACATTACACGCTCTACCTTATTATTCTCGTGTCCGGTAAAAAATCTGTGGTAGGGCCCCGCAACACCTGCGGCTGTTGCACGAATGGGCAGGTCCATCCGGGTTACCCCCGAGTACTTACCACGACCTGACAGAAAACCGGTGTGAGGTGGAAGTGTCATACTTCTGCGTTTCGTCTGGCGAGTGAGGTAGCCGGGGCCTACTTTATTAAAAGGCGGCAACGCATCTGCAACCCTACGGGTGTTCCAAATGTCCATGTGCGGCGGTTATCACTTAACATCAAGTGAACCACCAGCTCGTTTGATAAAAAACAGATACTGTTAGCATGTGAATAAGGTATAAACACTTAACGTAAATAAGTTACTAAATAAGGGAGACTTACCCTGATTTCCAATACGTCAATTTCGGGATTCTGCACCAGGAAGGAGTATCCGATCTCGTAGACGGGGTCGTCTGTGCGCATTTGGACGGCCGTGTTCTCGGTCTTCTTGCCGACGGTCACGGTTAAGTACGGGTCTGGCCGAGACTGGGGTCTTGCGTTCTGCATTTAAATTATAGACGGTGTCTCTCGGTCTCTTATGAGTTTCGATATGCATACTATACAGCGTGTCGTTACAACCGCGACAATAAATGAACACACGTCTAACGCTACATTACAATAATCATAAAAAAATATTAACGTTAAAAAAAATCCATAATTAAAAAAAATATTTTTCAAACAAACTAATTAAGTAAAAAAGAAACAAAATTAGTAACATCCTATACAACTACAACTGACTGATTCATACATTCAGAGACTTTTTCATTCGTTGCCACAGCGTCGCATTACAAGCCTAACAGTAGTCTAACAGTCTGTTTTGTCTCTTTTAAACTCATTCAACCCATTCATATGCTTTGTGACCTTTACAAATGAACTTTATGTTACAGTTTTCTATGTAAGGCTGTTCTAAAATTCTTTGTTTTGGAAAATTTAATAACTCGGTAAATATTGATGTTTAAAGAATGTAAATGTTTAATACAACTTTAAAAAGTTGTCCTCTATATGTGTGTTCATTTATTGTCGCGATTGTAATGACACTCTGTATAGGATACAGGTATCGGTTGTTGGGTACTGCGGCGGAATGCAAACGCCGTCCCCTCCCGTCAGCTTAAACGCTTTCTGTCGTGCTCCAACGTTAAAGTATATGTCCGAGCAACGCTGTGTTATTTGGTGATTGTTTTTTTTTGGGATATTAAAAACAGTTTATGATGTTATACGAATTTCGCTTTTGACGTTACGATTTAAATTATATATGTCGATTTTTAATGGACAGGACGAAACACGAATGATCGACTTACCGGCAGCTTTTTGCAAGAGTCGACATACACCGATAGAACTGCAGAGCTCAGGTCACCAGTTTTCACCAATTGTGTTTCAGTTATGGCCTGAAAATATAAATATAAATAACTACAGGGCGGATCCTGTACTTATTATAATCTAAGTAAGGTCTGATGAGTTTATCTCATAAAAAATATATGATTTTAGGTAAACGGTGAGTACTCTATATAGTTGTGATGAAAGTATCAAAATATACAGGGACGTTTATTAAGTGTATCTTTTTTTTTTTATTAACTAGTCATAAATAATTTTATAAAAAATACTTAATATATAACTTCATCTGACGCAGAACCGGTGGGCTAGCCAGAACCCACGGGTTTGGGCCCTCCGCTGTGGGTAGGGCCACGCATGTGCTCTTACGTGCGTTTAACTATGGTGTGTCATCTAAGGGCCATCGAGGTCCGGTTCGGACCGAAACCCCGATGGCCGTCGACTGTGCAATTAGCTAATCGGTGTCTGGGAGCGGGTTCTCACCGCATGAGAACCTAACGTGGGTGTACCTTGTGTACGCGTTGTGTCGGTCTCGCCGTGCTCGGAGGCGAGGGCGAACTAGTGTTTTTGTTGTTGCACTAACTGTGGGTGCACTGTTATCTGGCGGCCCCCCGGCGGTGGGTCCGACGTATCTAAGTCCCCTTCCTCGACCGGGTCGATGAGGACGTTTCGCAGGCGACGCTTGTTGACGTTCGCGTTTGTGTCGGGTTGGTAATTTGCTGCGCTTACCACCAGTGGGTTGGGATGATGTTCGGCTCTATCGAAGAACCGTTTGGTCAGGTCTTTAAAATATTCACGAATCGTCAGGAGTCTACAATCGCTGTGCAGGTCGACGTTGCGTTGATACCACTGCGCACCGGTTGCGCGACGGATGAACTTTGTACTTTTGCAACTTGGTAAGGTCTATTTGCAACTTGTACAAGCGAGTAGGGTGCGTGTGGGCGAAGGTCATGCATGCGTAGGACATAATAGGTCGTACGCAAGTCTTATATAATAATAATTTGTTCCTTAAGCGCATTTTACTTTTAGCGTTAGTTAAATTGTGTAGCCGGCCGGAGACGAACGCAGCTCTATAGCGAACGTTATTAATGTGCGTAGTAAATGACATACGCGAGTCGAAAGTGACTCCTAAGTATTTGACCTTTTTCTTCCAGGGGAGCGGTTGGCCATGAAGGGGTATTTGCCCCAACTTTCTACATTGGCGAGGGCCATTATAAAGATGTGACGGGTAAGTATTTCTTGTGAAGTGAATCACCACTCTCTTTTCGGGATTTCTATTCTCCATTTGCGGAACCAAACGCCGAGGCGGTCGGCGGCGCTTTCTAGTCGAGTGGTTAGTTGAATAAGGTTGCGATCTGAATAAAAGAGCGCCGTGTCATCCGCGAAAAGCGCGAGTTTGACGTGGGGGTCTTTAGGTATATCGCTCGTGTAGAACGTAAAGAGCAAAGGTGAGAGGCAGCAGCCTTGTGGTACGCCGGCCGTGAGGCGTCGGCTTGTGGAGATGGTGCCTTCAACTCGATATCGAAAATAGCGGTTCGCAGGAAGGCCCGGATTGTATGTACGAGCCTATCTGGCACTTTGAGTTTGTACAGCTTGTAAAGCAAGCCGTTGTGCCAGACCTTGTCGAAAGCGTTTGCGAATGTTTAGGGTGATTTAGGCAGGCAACTGAGGAGGCTGATGGGACGATAACTAGAGCGCTGGTTGGCTGGGTTATTGAGCTTGCGAATGCCGATAACCGTGGCTTCTTTCCAGTCGTCCGGAAAGCAGCAACTGGAGAGTAAAGTATTGAACTTATTTTTTTTTACGCGCGATTATGAATGATCGCTCTAACACTAACACGCACACAAGTTCGCTTGAACACTAAAATTTAGGTATTTATGAATGACTACCGCGTTGTCAACAAGTTATGTTTTTTAGGGAATAGAATGGTATTTTTTTTAAAATTGTTTTTATTTCAATAAACGATTATACTACCGAGTCTGAAACTCCTGTGTAAATTTGGGGACCTCTTAAAAGGCTCCCTGTGTATATGGATTCCCGTATCTTTGGAAGGCCAAAGAAGCTTTAATTATGCAAACGCCAGGGAACCGTTAATTTTAGAATTTGATTAAAAATACAAATGAACACTCCTTTTCGTTCCTGATACAGCCTTCTAGACATTTTTTTTTGTTTTTACTGCTGAAACTTTTAAAGTATAGTGAAGTGAAACTTTTAAGGCTAGGGGGATAAGATATTAAGGTCTTACATGACTGAGATCCAATAAATCCGTAGAGAGTCTGTGCCACGATAGCCGCAAATGGACCTTGCCATGTTTAGCTTGCTGAAGTGTTTGCCACTGAAAAGACAGATTTGTATTTTTGGTAAGAATAAAAAGGTTTTATAGTTTAATTTCTGTTTATATCTTACCGTATCCAAGCGGCCGACGCGTACAACTTGCGATATATCCATCGAGCATCTGTAACATAACAGTTTATTAATTTAAATTCAGGTTCAAGCCAACATACTCAGTTATAGATAGTTTTTAACATTATACACGTATACAACATTGATATTGCGATTAATATCTAAAGATTAAAAATTGTTATTTCAAAAAACACACATCATGAACACGATAAAAAGTTAGTAAAGTGAGTTAAATTTTAAGCAAAGCTTTATTAGCAGTATTAGTAATTTGTTTTTTTTAATTTCATAAATATACAAGACATATATATGGATAGGATTCAAAACTGTTTCTAAGAATGTTTTAGTTTATGTTGGAGGGATGAAGATAATACAATGGAATGAAACAGTAATTATGTAACACTGAACGCCAGGATATTTCAGATAAATACATTGTGGCGTCCGTCTTGTTTTAATACTCTGTGGTGCATATGGTCATGGTAATTAATCTATTTTGTTATGTAGGTAATGACTATAGGTGTTAGTTGAATCTCACGAAATAAAAAATACTCTAGTGATGTAGATCTTAAAAAATAAATAGTGATTAAACGTGTTCCAATTAAACGAAATTAAATTGACAGTCAATGGCAAGCTTGGTGCTGTATGTACGAGTGTTCGGGTCATACTAAGTTAATACCTCGGTGTCATGTTTAGTATGCGTGGAGGGCAAGGTTGTTAGGTGCTCTATTTGTTCGATTCGGCGTGGTCGGTTATTTCCAACTTTCGAACTTATAAAACTTAGCACGATACTAAACTTTATCGACATAAATTTAATTCGACATTAATTTTTAATAATTGCGTGGATTAAATAGTGTTTTAAAACTGAAGCATAAAGTAATTTTTTGTCGCATTTATACGAGAACACAATTGATTAATTGTGAAATAACAGAACCGTCCACGGACTCTGTGATTTGTTCGAAACATCGGGGATCGAAGTCAATATTAAACGCGAAAAAATCCACAAATTACTTTAATTAATGTGTACTATTCGTGTCAACACAAGAAAACATTACAAATTAAATAAAACAATTTTACGTACATTATTCGCATTTTTGAAGTACAATATGCGAAGATACTTTACAGAATATATAAAAATGCACAAGCAATTTACGGAATCCTCGGTCATGGGATTGACAAAGATTTAGTATCCGGGTCGAATAAGTTAGAACACCACACTTGATTGTATTGGTCGGTCAACGTTACATTTTTGGTGTTACCATTACAGGAGCCATAAAAGAGGCACCTGGCAACCTTGACGCTCGCGCTTTTATTACATTCCCAGCGGGTTGATACGCTACGGCACGTGCGCGCTGTATCCTGGTACCAAACAGACCTGCCCAGGCGTTCGTCCCTCCCCGCACGGTCCCAGTCGTAAAGCTGGACGGTGAAGCGTGTCGCGCTGCTTTGCAGCATTGACTGTCACAATCCACTCCATATATATACGTTTGAACAAAGCGGCCATATTTATAGGGTTACCATGTTAAATTTCCTTATCGACCGCCGGGCGTCATTAATTTGCATTAATAATATCAAGTAGTTAGTGTAAATTAGTCGCCAAGAGTTAGGACTGTAATTTCACTAAATACCTTAGTCGCTATCGGGGCTCGGCATCACCTAACTTAGCACACCCAAAGAAATCCACACATCATTAATGTCAAAAAGGTAAAAACTTAAAAAAAAAAACATACTGGCCCAAAAATAATGAATGAGTCTTTATATCATCGAGTAGTGCCATTTGTAAATGTAGGAAAATTAAATAACAAAACAATGGGGAGCGATGGAACGCTTTCAAGCATTCCGAATTGTACCGATGATATGAAGAGTCAAGCGATGTGAACGCAAAACAACACAGATCGAGACACCGCCCTAAGATGACTGAATGACGGCAAACGGACCTGCCGAGATAATCATCGTTCTGTATCCCCATCCCTGGATCCCAGTCCCACAGCTCGCATTGCAGCATTTGGCCCTTCCTTGAGCTAATTATCGCCTTGGGACAAATCACACGAGAATTATTATCAATAAGGAATCTCTGCTTCGAATCTTTCGTCTATTGCTACTGGATTTATCAATATTCAGGGAAAAATTAACAATTACAATAAAGATAACAATAACTGTACAATATTCCAATCGACTGCCAATAAAGTTCGTATATAAATGAACTCATTAGTAATTTGGGCGTTTGTAAATATAGTTACAAAAGATAAATGCAATAAATTTAAAAATAATACAAAAAAAAAGCTAAAAGCGTATGAAAGCAATTTCGAAATGATAGCCAATTGAAATATTCATAAATAGAGGAATGTAATTATTTTTTCCTATTACGTCTCTAATAGTAAATTCGAATAAATTAAAATATACATAAAATGGGATATATTTCACGTGCTACCATTTTAACTTATACAGCAACGCGTTTGGTTAAGAAAAGAAGAGCCTTTAAGATATTGCAAGTACAATAATTCATGCGCACTACCTTCTTTTTTAACTTTTATAATATAAATCAAATAAATCTCTAAGGCTCTTCCCATTTTATCATTAAAAGCATATTAAAATAAATATAGCATATCTACCACTAGTTGCATGCTAGAGTTCCCGTGCTACAAGCGTAAATGTAGACGATCATAACCGATGGTGAAATTGCTCAGTTGGGCTTCAGAACTTATCAGCCCCATTTAAAGAATAGTACTGGCAAAACTTAAACGCGTCTGAGTCATGTTTGCTTCGCAAGTACATTCGCGTGCAGAATTGAGTTGTAGATCAACTGTTAAAAGTACTGTTCGCTCGCAACTGTACACTAACGGTTTAGTTGAGTTGGGAGCGAAGCAGAAAACAATTTAGACAGCGGCGTGAAAGAGATGGCACAACAAGACCCCCCTCCCCTTCCCAAATTTCCACCGACATTTTTAAACTGTATATTTGTATACTGCGCAGCGACTTAAACAAAATTCAGAGGTTTAAGTACACTACAATTACGTAATATAGCGTTCCGAGTATCTTTAGTAGGTAATCGTCCACTTTTACCGATGTCTGCCTACCACCACCAACGCGACCGCCACCCGGCTCGAGCGGCCCACCGAGCTTGTCAACTCACCTGCCGAGCTTGTCATCGTCGTTGCCCTCGTCTTTGTCGAACAGCTCGATTTCCAACGATTGGCCCAGCGTTTGCATTATACGCGCCTTTGCGCCAAACGCACATGTCCGACGCAAACATAAGTAGGAGGAAAACAAAATGATATTCACAATCTCCAATTCGTTGTATCGTTGCGGTCATTCGTTAGCCTAGCACTTTATCGTGGTCGCGTGACATAAATAGGGCACTAGAAAGACGATGAAAGCAGAGTGCACTTCGAAAGAAAAATCTGTGTTAGTTTTAACCCATAAGCATTGATACGAAAATTGTAATAGTTCATTGTTAATTATAATAGTACCTATAATGTATACTCCTTTTATTTTCTTTGATTGATAGTAATAATTAATTTTAGTTTTTTTAATAATACTTATTTCATGATTAGGGTTGTACATCACATTAAAGTTTTAAACGCGCTTCAATTCAATTACAATTTTTTTTCATCTCTAATCTTTACTGTAAACCTAAATTTACAGAATATAAATAATTTTAATTGAAAGAATTGATGAGTGCTTTGTAGAGAGGTCTGTCTGCCCATAAGTTTATTCTAAAAATGTATAAAATTGTATATAGTGCAAAATGTTAGATTTGAAAGGCCCATAGATAGGCAAATGATATAAGGTATAGTTTATAATTTTCATGCAATATATGTATATTTCAAATACGTTCTCTAATGATATGTTATGGAAGTCCATTTGGCAGGGTATTATTTAGTCACGAAGATAATGATGGCTGAGCATACAACATTCTCTTTTCTGGGCAGAATATAATAAAAATGTGCAAAGCAATTGCATAAGTTTATTGCAATTTCGGTTTTATTACGATAACATTGTTTTTTGGAATGATTAACAATAACCGCAAAAGAAAATTCAAGAAGCCTTGCAATGAATTATACTCACCAAAAATCGAAAAGGATCTTACAAGAAACGAACACATCCTATAACTTTGCGAAAAAAAAGTGATTAAATGCTGTGTCATAATCAATAAATAAAACATACTCCGATCAGTTAGTAACTTCTAAAATATTTATTAGGAATAAAAGGTGCAATAACCTTAACCAGTGCAAGAAGGATATTATAAAAAAACTTTTATATAATCTATGCCAATATAACTTACCTCGCACCAGAAGTTCCAGCGTGGATTCACGTCGTTATCAATATGCTTTGTCTTCCATTGCTGGGCACCGACGGTTATTATGGCGTAAGGATCTGACTTACCCTTTCCTGTATAATTTGTTAAGAAAAATCAAGTGGATTTAATTCGTAAGGATAGCGTTATGTTATGATTAGCTTACCCTACGGGCGCTGCAAATGTCCGTAGACGGCAGTTATCACTTAACATCAGGCCAGCTCGCTTGCCACCTTCTCATATAAAAAAGCATTGTATATATATTTATATAAATAAAAATTTAGCTTATACTGGTTTGTGTTCACAATACATACTCAAAAACTAGCCGATGGATAAACTTGATATTTGTTCATGGCATTTATTGCGAAGTTTCAAAGAAATCGAAAAAATTACAAATATCGATGTGTAATATTAATCGCAGAGTACTAGTATAAAAATATGATTACATTAGAATGGTAAATTCACAATTATGCGACAAGATAATTTATAAAGGAGAAGTACACTGTACTACATACATGAGTTACTCTATTATTGAGACATAATTACAAGCAAGGAGCACTCTGAGTGATATATTCAATAGTAATGACTAGTGTACTGCAAAAACGCATTACAAATTAACGGATAATTTCTAGTAACACAAATGATGACATTAGACAGACATTCAGAAAAAAAAGTAGGACTTTCTCATTTTTTATTATAAGAATAACAATGATTTTCTGTAAGACAATGGGCGGGCGAACTAAGTTTTCTCTTTTCTGATTACTTAATTCCGAATATCGGTGGTTAATATCGGGTGTAAGGCGACAGGTTCATCACTTGTTTGAAACATAAACAGGTTGGTGAAATGTGGAGATAATAGAATATCACTATTTCGCTCGTTAGTGGTGAGAGCTAGGTCGTAATTTAGTGTTCCAAAATTATTACACTCACCTAACATCGATACGTCTTTCTTCATCAAATTTTGGGCTTCGACGAGATGGATGCGTAGTACACCCTATAAAATAAGCCTTCAATTATAAAAAAAAGAAAAGCTATTTATTTGACACAACAATTATGAAAGAAATAAAAAAAGATTAATTTTAGAAAATTTCACCTCATTTCAGCAGATTTCTTTTTAATTACACGTATGAACTGCCGGGCATCGTTCAATTTAAAAAAAATCATAATTTTTCTAAGAATTGGTAAAGAAATAGCACACCTCCGGTTCTGGCATACGCAGGTCCACAGTGGGTATTTCGTCGCTCAACTTTATAGGCAGTTTGTTCGGCAGCACCATTATTCTCGCCACTTGCTCCACGATACAGCGACGCAAAATGTCACTGAAAGAACCACAATTTAAATCCATAACCTTAAGCCAATTTTAACTAGTTATGAATTTTTTGGAAAAAAATAGAGCATGCGTATTTGACCGGTGAATTTATTGCAGGGGCAGCTCTTAACTGGGCACGTCTGAGTTTGATAGCTGGTTAAAGCATTTATAGTTCATGAATACACAAAACACGCATAAATTGAACAAAATACTTTGACTAGCCATTACATGACAATATAACCGTGACATTTTTTTATGTGGATGTATCTAATGTATACATTAAACATGTGTCTGGCATATAACTTACACATTTTACTGTAAGTCCTATTACGTGTAACACTTCTTCGCTGGGCAGATCTTTTCGCGAAATACCACAACCTAAGAGAAAACCGGCGTAAAATGGAAGTATTATACTTCTGCGTTTCGCCTGGTGAGTGGAGGACTAGAGACATCAAATTGAGGGTCAGTGACATGAAACATATCAGTTTATCATATTTTATTACGATAGTTAAAAAATAGTAGCAAAAATAAATTGAAAGATTACAAGTTGTTAGCTTAGAAAAGAAAAAAAAATAGTTATCATAAAATTTATATGATGTCAAATGATTAATTCTAATCTGTTTTTAGCGAATAACATGATTGTAACATCAAAGTGTCTCGATGGTTATTAAGAAACCCTAGATTAGTACGTCGCTCTTAGACAAAAACAGTCTTAGCTCAAACTTTAAAAAATAAATAGATTTGGTTTTGTCTAAACCTCCCCCTAGATCTGAGCTTGACTTAGCTATCCAAAATCCACACCAAATTGAAGATATAACTCCATTACAATTACACAAGTGGTCACCTGAAGCCAGGAATGTCCAGCACATCAGCGGCGCCAACCAAATTGAAGTCAATGCGCGGATTGTTGAGGAAGAAAACTTGCAATCCACCGACTAGAGGCATCTTTGTGATCAGAGGCTTCATCACTACGCGAACCATTCCATGAATCTGTCGATGAAATTATGAGAGACACGGACACATATTTACAATGCATAAAAAAAAAAAATGTATGTGTGTATCTATGTCCGCAAGTAGGAAGGTATTATTATATAGCATGATAAAAGAAAAATAACTAAAAATTTTATAAACCGTGTACTAGTTATTGTTTGTGAAAAAGACGTTGAATGCAATAATTGATAACGGTTTGTTTAAATAACTGGGCATATGTAAATGTCCAAAAGTTGTTATTGGTTGCCATGGTAATACCGTGAAATTGTTTTATAATGATCAAGTACCTGGAGGTACTTTTTTTTGGTAAATCATGTATTTTGGAAATAAAATAAAAAATAAAGAAAGCATGATCTGGTATAGAAAAAAAAGTAAAACAAAAAATAAGTGTGTAAATGATCGGGATACGAACCGCGGCCGTCTGTTTTGGGGCCGCCCGATTACCGACTGAGCTATTATAACATTTTTTTTGCGGCGAAATTTACCGACATATTCGAATGATATTTTTCATTCCCTGAAAACAGGGATAAAAGGACATTTTCTAAAAATGAAACCTAGCTAGATCGATTTTTCGCCCCCGAATCTACGTACATCTAAATTTCATGAAAATCGCTGGAGCCGTTTCCGAGATTCCGAATATATATATATATATATACAAGAATTGCTCGTTTAAAGGATAAGATTGAATTAAAAACTGTCTTAACAGAACAAATTAAATGCTCAGCTATTTTTCTGTACGCCCACTTATGATATCCTATATGTAAATTAACAATTATTGGCCTAGTTAAGGCGCTGTATGCAGTGAATTTTTAACTATTTGGGTGGTGAAGTATGAGGAAGCGGAGGAGGGGTAACGCCACTTAGCGGCGCGCAGCGCGCGAGTTTCGTCGACGCGCCGCTAGACCATTCATTATAGAGATGGGTAGTATCGCTTTTTCTGAGTACCGTATCTGAATCAGATTTCAATTTCAAATATCAGATTTCGAAACTATGTATTTTAATATCTAGATATTTTAAGGTCCCGTATCCACCTAAAATTCTAAAAAAAAAAAAAATTTCAACAATATTTTATACTTATTATAAATATAAATTGTGCAGGCGTATTTAAAACTTGATTCATTCTATGTACATAATTTTCCTGATATTTAAAACTTAACGTTATATATTTACAATTATTAGTGGGTTAATAATTATTTAGATTCCTCCGGGTTTAAATTCACGTTTACGCACCACTGTTTGCCTTTATTCGTCGAAAGTCTTGTTCGACGATCATTCTAGCTATACATAACTAAAGCTATTACCAGTGATACCAACTGTTCAAAAAGAATACTTCTAAATAAATTCGAAAACCCACTAAAATTGACTAAATTCAAAAAACTTACTGAATTTAAAATCACGATTTTTTTTATACTATTAAGGTAAAATTAAAACATTACCTGATTAAATTAAAAATTTCATTAACAATAGAAATTGAAGTAATATAAAAATGATTTATTTTAACATCATATATATATATCGCTTAATAATTGACTTTAACATATTCTTAGAACACGCAATCATGAGTGACAATATTTTTATAATTTGTGTAAGAAATAATACATTCAGTATTATAACTTAGGGCGGAAGAATTTAAAATATACACACAAAGCACATAAGCCTTGGTCTGATTTCCACTCAAGCAGCACAGCACTATTAAATTATATTTTTCTTTTTGTGTACTTTTATTTTTTTCCAAAAATATGAATAAAATTTAACTAATAAAAATATTCACAAAAAATTTACCTCCTATATAAAATCTCCATTTATATTTTTCTTCCTTAATTTAGGCAGAAAATTCTTAAGTAGTAAGTTGACATCCCTTACTATTACGTGCTAGGTACCAATGCAATCCAGCTTAAGGTGAAACAAAATTTAAAGAAATCGTTAATACCGTAATTCGTATTTAAATGCAACTAAAAATGTTTTTTCCATGCTGTTAAGATTCAAAATTACTTAACTACGCGCTTTGTCGCCCGTTACGGCTCAAGGCTAAACAAAACAATAAAAATATACTTAATAATATCGTTGTAGATACCATGATTAGTATTTAATTGAATCGGATCTCACGGGCTTTGTCGCTCGATATCTGATATCGTGCATTGCTTGCCGTCCCGCTCTAACTAGCGAGTATTTATATCTTACGCGCTTTGTCGCTCGATATCTGATATCGTGCATTGCTTGCCGTCCCGCTCTAACTAGTGAGTATTTGTATCTCACGCGCTTTGTCTCTCGAAATCTGTTTAAAAATCAGATATTGTGGCGTATGATATCGCGATTCGTGTCGGTATAGCGAGCGAGCACATTACATCAGATTTCGGAAATATCAGATATTGTAAAATACATAGATATTGAACGAGCCAGTAAGCGATATTCGGATATTGTACTAATATCTAGTTTTCATATCTGATACGATTTGTATCGCCCACTTCTAATTCATTACCTCGTGTGTAGTGATGGGCCGTAGGACACTATCGATAGTATCATGGAAGGCTTTCGAAAATGTACACAGATGATCTCTATAATATCTTTTATAGACCATGATTGTACTTTACTTTTATATTATTATAGGAACAATAATAAAAAAACAAATATAAAGTATGAGAAAGCAATCAACAATTTTAGAAAAACTTCCTATTTATTATTTTAAATTATCAGGAAACGGATTAGAATTGATTATAAATACATCTTAACGTCAAGTAAATTAATAAAGGCAAATGACATTTCTTACAACAAAACAATAAATAAACGAATAATTATTTATTTTCATTTAGTATAAGTATAAGTTTAATTACGCAATTTCATAGTCTCCACGTCAGAAATTACGAATACGACTTTTTTATTACATATTTTCTTAAACTTCATATCTTTCATTTATCCTTTAAATGTGAAAGACTTACTACGTTATATTAATTCCTCAATGAAATTATATTTAAAAAATTGTCGATAAAATTCCTTATATCGATAAACGACAACAATTATAACTAGAATCGAAATATTGTTCCCTTCCGCAGACGTCGTGTAGCTGTATTGGTCCGAGCGTCATGGTTGATACATCTTTTTCCAATTTTAATTTGTTAATCAATTTATTATTTTGTTGTTATTTGATAAAATGTGGAAAATACAAAAATTATAAAACAATTATTTTTCGTGTTCGTATATTCTTGTTTTCGTTTTAGGGTGAAAAATTAAATATTTTAATAAAACAAATTAAAAACAACATACAATATAAGACTTGTTAAAAATTTTAAATAATGAAAACTTGGTTTATTATCTGATAGATTGTTCTCCAACTGTTGCGTTCTACGTTCAACAAATACAATAATATTTCGTTGTAATTATTTATAAAAATAAAAAAACAACAAAAATTAAATGGTAAATTAAAAAAAATATATCTACAAAAAGAAAATCACCATAAAATATAACAAAGAAAAATGTCAAAATGTCAAATGTCAATGAAAAATTTGAACCCAATCCCTATAGAATGATGGTCCTTTACACAGTGTTACAAACTGTTCAAAAATAAAACTCCTAAAACAATTCGAAAACCGACTAAAATTTATTAAATTCAAACAAAAATTTCTAAATTTAAAATCAGGTTTTTTTTTATATTATAGGAAAAGGCAAAATAATTATCTGATACAATAAACCATGGTCAAGAACATCAAATATAACATAATTAATTTGAAATGTTAAGAATAAAGTCAAAACAATATTAAAAAAAATTATTAGAATACATAACATATTCATACCAGACACATAGGCCTTGGCCTGACGTCATCCAAAGCAGCACGGCACTGAATTTTTTTTAAATAAGTTGTTTTGTGTAGTTTTTTTCGAAAATGTGAATAAAATTTAACTCCTAAAAAAATATTCCCATAAAAATTTACTCCCAATAAACTTCCATTCCACATTTTTTATTCCTAACTTTCGGAAGAAAATTCCTAAGTTGGCATCCCTGCTTTTACACTGTTTGTATAGGACTGATAAACTTATCAATGACAAGATAAGATATTGAAAAAATTACGCTTTAGTTGTTAATTCATAGAAATAATTAAAAATACGAAATATGTGAATATACATTTTTTAGTTTCGTGTTTTCGAAAGGTCTAATAAAATTATAACCCTCAATAATAAATAAATACGGAACATATTTCGTAACGGTGAGCGGAAGACGAGCGGCATAGGTCCATCTAGCAAAGCGCCTCAGCGCTCTCTGTTCAACGTGTGGAGTTGGAAGAGTCGAAACAACGCCGCGGTGACACGGTGTTTTGGCCATCGCATTCGAATTAATTTTAATGAATTAAATTAATATTTAGAAATATCTTACATCAATCAACAAATTAAAACAACAATCCTCTTTATTAATATATTCTACACCACTGATATTAATTTCATTAAGATTTGTTGATGTATTACGTTCATTTTTGGTTTTGAATTTCTCTTTTAGAGGTAGTTTCATGATTTTTTTCTATCGAGAAAATATATCGAGAATATGTTTTGGAAACAATGTTCCCTTAGAATGTACGATCAAGATTAACATATATTTTTTTTGCTGCTATAAAATGTGTAGATTTTGCTAAAAAATCTTTTGAAAAACCTATTTTTACTGCATACAGCGCCTTAACGCGTCACAACTTTTATTTTTGCCCATTTCGTACAAAATAAAATTCAGATTAAATTCTGAATTACAGCAAAAATAATAGAAAAAGCGAAGAAAGAAATGTTATTCTCCAATTACAAAAAAATCAACGAGCTATGGATGCTTTTTTATAACGTTTCTAGTTAGGCGTCCAAGCGGCCAGTAACAGAAAATAAACTGCTACATGTGTAAGACTCATTTTGTAATTAAAAGTAAGATATGTTTTATATTTTAACACTTAATGAGTTTTTATTTGAGTGGCTATATTATTGCATGATTATTAATTATTGAATGTGTATATTTTTACGAACATTTGCACGTTGAACTTTATCTTTATTCGTAAGAAGTGTTTCTAATTATATGACCACCACTGTATATGTATTAATAATAATAATATACCTGCAAATCCTTTATTCCACCTCGGATGCGTTGTAATACGAAAGATATATCGCAATCGCCAGCATAACTGTAACAAAACGTTAAATTTATAAATGAATATAAAATTTATAAGGATACAGTATATACCATTTTCTTTCACTTGTCATATTTTTATGTTAAAAAATTTAAAGAATTTTTATACATTTATTCAAAATCCATGCTGACTAGACAAGTAGACACGTCAATGAACTCGACCTTATAAATGTTTCAGTCCATTCGTAATTTTACGGGAGCCAAACCTAGATCATTTCATATTATACTGGAAATGTTCACTTTTAACAAAGTACTTACATACGCTATTTGCTTATCTAGAAGTTGAACTACCTATGACTAACTTCTGTAACGTTTAGTGCTATTATAATCTAATAGCCAATGGCATTTTATGCTAAAGATAATTATGTTATACGCATACAAAATCGCAGGCCGAAAACGGTCCTATTTCCACACAGAGTCATAGCACACATTCACACATTTTATTCAAATCCATACTAATATTATAAATTCAAAAGTAACTCTGTCTGTCTGTCTCGTTTTCACGCCAAAACTACTGAACCGATTTAAATGAATTTTGGTACACAGCTAGTCTAGAGCCTGAGAAAGGACATAGGCTATTTTTTAATTGTAAAAAACTTATATATATATGTATATTTTAATTAAGATATTTATTTAAGGCCTTCAACGCGGGCGAAGCCGCGGGCGAAAAGCTAGTGGTTTATAAAGGATAGCGTAATTAAAGCAATAAGAAAAGAGGACAGCAAGTGTTTGTCACTTTCACAAACACAAAAGTTTCGAGGTGTACCCGTCTTCCTCGTGCGTTTTCGTGGCTTCGCTCCGGGCGCGTTAACAACGATTCTGTAGTATAAAATATCATTGCTAATTATAGCACCATACATATTATATAACACGAAATATGACTTTGTGATATACGGACGCGAATGAGGAAATGTGTATAACTATTTTCCTGGATCTGGTTGATCCTGGCCTGCTAAACACGTGCCCAGTACCCGCAATGCGTTAGTTTTAACGACGAATTTACGCCCCGATTGGCATGGTGGGCAGTGAACTGTCTCTTGCACCAGTGGGTTCGATCCCCACTACTGGAGAAATATTGTGTGATTAACATAGTGTTTTTCAGCGCCTGGGTCTTTATATATGTATAATATGTATTAAAAAGGTATCTCTAAGTATGTTTATCAGTTATCTAGTACCCATAATACAAGTGTTGCTTAGTTTGGGACTAGAGAACGTGTAAAAATGTGTCCTAAAATATTCCTAGTTCCTACGTAGGAAGTTCGCCGGCTTGTGTCAGATTTGTTGTGCTAGTTGTTGATCGTATTAAACTGATATGATTTGCAACGAGTGGATGTTAAACGTAAATTCTAACCAATTATACTACAACAAACGGGCCAACGTGTGAAGACGAGGTAACCTTCGACGGTAACCTTGAAGTTCGGGACACTCGAATTCAATATCATGGAAATCATTTGGTTATGTATCACAAACAAAATCTGCAATTCTGTATTTCTGTAAAATGAAAATTTATAAGTGAATTTACCTTTAATTTTTACAAAGAATATTTAATTTTAGGGGTGTGAGATTTCGTATAATTAAGAAATTCTAGTTTCGTTTTCGTTTCGAGAGATAAGTATTTATTAAACTTTCCACCTCATAACTTCTAAAACATGATTTTCGTCCTATGTACGGCTATGGCATCTTTGTGCATCGTTTAATTAATATAAGTTAAATATATGTACCGACATACATGGAATAAGCAAATTGATTTGGATATTAATTATATTAGTAGTATTAGTATATTAGTATTGTTAAATTAAAATCCATTATTAAAAGTAAAACTCCACTTATTTAAACGAGGTAATTAAAAAGTACTCTCATTACTGTGATTACCACGAAACACATTCCGTTAGTCAAGGTGAAAAACATTGCGCAGAAAATTACAACACAAACATGATAACCAGATAGTTAATACCGTGCAATGAAATTAGATCACACTTACAACAAGTCGACGTCCATTATGATCTCATCCCTAGAAAGATTCTTGTCGTAAACTTTCACGCCACCGACTCGAGGTGCCTGAAATGAGTACATTTTTTTTATTTTCGATTTACATTATGAAAAACGACTATTGAGTGATTTCAATTGTTGAATTAATATAACTAAAACTTTAAATTTGCAGAAAAATGGACGAAATTTTTGTCGCCACAGCGAGGATTCGCCTACTAGCCACTGACCTATAAATTTAAAACTGCATTATATGTGCAAGGAATAGCACTTTATTATCATTGAAATTAGGAAAACTGCCATGCTTCTGGAATTTTTAAATATTAATGATTTAGCAGCATAATGCTCTTATATCGAAGCCGTGATAGCACATTGTCCGGGCGCTCCCTTTTAATTCCATATACTCGAGCAGCCTGAGTACGATCCCCGGTGCCGGCACCAGAGAAATTGTTAATTTTAAGTGCTGAATTATCTCGTGCTGAGCGGTGAAGGTAACTATCGCGAGGAAACCTGCATATTTTCGAAATAATAACAAAAAAAAAATATTTCGAAGATATGTGAAGTTCGCCAATCCGCAGTGGGGCCGCGTGGTGGACTATGCCCTAATACCCACTCTGTTCAGAGGAGGCCTTTGCCCAGCAGTGGGACATTTATAGGCTGTTACTTTTTTATTTACTTTATAATTCTTTCAGTATTCACCATGATCATAATAGATTTTATCGTCTCATAAATGGCAGACAATGGTTTGATCATATTCTGTCAAAATATTTTAATATATTCCAAACATCACTTACGATCGTGCCGAGAATCATACGTTCGAACTTGAAGCCATTGAGTTTATAATTAGCCAGACTTTCGGCGACTGCCGGCTCGATGGAATCCTTTAAAAGACTTCTCGCGTAATGATTCACGTTAGGCCAAACTTGTAAAAGTATCTGTGTATTATAAAATAAAAAATTTATAACGACCGACAAACTTAACCGAAAACCACTCAAATTATAACGGAAAATGTATTACTCTATTCAGCCATTCCGCACGTTCAATATCAGGGAAAAATACCTGAAACAGGATAATTGTATACAATAAACATTAATGATATATAAGTGTATGGCATAATCAATTGCAATATGACAGAGTCTAATTGATTATTAAAAATGGGGCAAGTACAATAGCAGAAATACAAATTGAAAACAAATTGCTCACCCAAGCTGGAAGATCGTCTAGTCGTGCCAAAACTACATCTTTTTCGGAAGACACGGCAGCAGCCTTGGCCAAGTTACGTCGGTACTCATTTTCCTTTCGCCACTGGTCTCGCATTACAGACAAGATGACAGGGCCTATGAGCCATGCTACGCTCCATTGCATGTAACCAACTAGGTACACAGCACCGACAATTGATACCTGTGTGACAGTTATATCTATTTATTATATGTACATCTACGATAGTTTCCTATGTTGTTATGTCCCAGGAGGTGAAAAATTTAAAAAAAAAACATATAAAAGACTTAGGTAGCATGCAAAATCGAAGGCGAAATTCGGCAACGGATATCTTAGAGCCTTGACAAACTATAAACCAGACTGGAGATATATTGATGTTGGTGGACTAAACCATTGAATTAGACATAATGCTTGCGAATAAAGTGTAATAATAGTGTAAATGCAGAAACTACATCATAATCATCATCATTTCAGCCTGTAGGCGTCCACTGCTGAACATAGGCCTCCTCTAGGGATTTCCACTTCGATCTGTTTGAAGCGGCCTGCATCCAGCGAAGTCCCGCGACTTTGGACAGGTCGTCAGTCCATCTCGCGGGTGGCCGCCCCACACGTTGGTGCGTTTTCCAACACGTGGTCTCCCCTCGAGAACTTTGCTGCCCCATCGGCCGTCAGTTCCGCGAGCTATGTGCCCTGTCCATTGCCACTTCATCTTGCAGACCCGCTTGGCTATGTCGGTGACCTTCGTTCTGCGGATCTCTGCGGATCTCCTCATTCCTGATTCGATCACGCAGTGAAACCCCGAGAATAGCCCTCTCCATTGCCCGCTGAGCGACGCTGAGTCTCTTTAGGAGGCCCATAGTTAAAGACCATGTCTCGGCACCGTAGAGAAACTGAGAAACTACAGTCTGTAGGTTAATATATTCACTGTGCTAGAGCCACGCAACAGCTCTCTGTTGTACAAATAGGCAGGTCCATCCAAGGAAGTATATGTGTAAAAAAGATGTTTCATTTGAGACAAAATAATGTTTCAATTTAATATAATATCAGTAACAATAACCTGACATTTGAATTATACAATCAAAGATTTGTTACTACTAAAGCAGATATTATTTTATTACAACTAATCTTAACCCATCAGCTATAAATAGCAAACACTTGATAACTGCTATTACTAACAATTGTGCAGGTGGAATTCAACAGTGCTCCAATAACAATGTGATAAAATACTTTACCCAAACCTACTTACGTCTAAAAACACACTATTGAAGTCAATAAATATAAATGTTATTTTATAGCTATGATCATTGAAGTATTTCAGTAATGGATTATAATGTACTTTTACTATAGATATATATTATAGATAAAGAAATCCTTCAAATAATAGAGAAAATGATTTTAGATTATTTTAATGAGTCTTTTATAGGAATCGGACTATATGTTAGACCAGGCATTATGTACCCAACAATGCACTAATATCATTCTTATTAACATGTCATTGCAATAAAAATACTTCTTCAACACCAACAAAACCTTTTACAAACAACAATGCAAAAGAATTTATTGATTGAGCATATGTATGCAATATATAAGATTTTTTCTTTTTATCTGTATTTTTGTAGTGAGTCAGTTCTTGGGAGCCTAACTCAAGGTCTTTCATGGTTCATAGGATTGCTTAAAAAATTTTATATCCAATGTTGGGTAACATTTTCATTTAGCAGGGGGTGTTTTTTGACCTGAAAAAATTTTAATCTGTAAAAAAATCACTAACCAAATAATCAACAAGGCCGAGAGGTTGAAGCAACATTCAGGGGCCACAAAGCGAAAGTTCTGGCAAAGCACATGGAGGAGTCAAATTTATTCATGAAGTGATAAGTGTATAATAAGACAAATTGTTAACAACAAAACTGCGGACTTTCTTATTGAAAATAACAAGTTTTAAATATATTTTTTTCTCAATACTATAAGCAACCACAAAATTCTCCTTCTTGATTATTTAATTAGTGATTTTTCTTTACCAAATAAAACTTTCGTAAGGTTGACCCAGCCCTAAAAAAAATACCCACTTAAGATACTTTTTCAAAATTTGTTTGTTTTAAATACATTGCTAGAAATATAATGTTTTTAATACATTGCTGTAAAATTTAAATAAAAAAGTAATAATAACTAAACCTTTTTGAAAAATCTATAAATGATAGCCAGTACATCCATGTTGTCTTCGCTGCTTACGGGCAAGGCAAATTTGCTTGTAACTGCCATATTATTGTTACTGGCCTAAAAAAAATTTCACATTACTTTCAAAATCAAGGAAAATTAATTAAATAATATTTGGTTTATATGTTACAAGAGAAATGAAATTATTGATATGGAAAAAGAAAATTATGAAAAAATATTAGCATTTTAAATAGATATTAAATTATCTATAATTATTTTTCAATATTATTTATGGTAAAAAATATAATTTTTTAATAAATGAAAATAATATGAATAAAACTATATTTGAATAATGTAAAAATAAAGATTAAAATCATTATTATTTTTAAATATACTACGGATTTTTAGTAAACATATATCAAGCCATATCATAAACTTCTAAATTTACATAACACAACATACCATCTTTGAAGAAACAGATGTGCATTGAAATGGTAATAGTGAACTAAACAAAAACAGCGAAACACTACTTTGGATATTGGTATCGCACAACACAAAACTAACAATACTAACAGATCTGAGTCCTGAGTATGAGTATCAATTTAGATCTTGAATCCTGACGTAAGCGATGAGTGATTGATTGAGAATAAATACATGAATATGAGTCAGAAGTTGTTTCAATTCTAAAATCAATAACAAATTTAACAAAATGATGTTTTCTATTTTTAAGTCATCCTATTAAATTAAATAATATACATTGAAGATTGAAGAAGTCTCAAAATATGTAGATAATATGGAAAAATAGAATAAATTTAACTATAGTTCGCTACACAGTTCCATAGAACAGTAATCAAAATCAAAAGTAATAGTAACACTGACAAAAACCTATTACAAAATAACAGCCTGTTATTGTTATGTTATTTCATACTACGAGGTTGTAACTAGCGATGTGCGACTCGAGTTATTTGATTCGAGTAACTCGAATCAAACCTTAAACGAGTCAACTCGAGTTCAGTTTTAAGCAACTCGAATCAACTCGGTCGTCCGAACGCAAACCGGACGTTATACGCGGAGGCCTCACGAGTTGTTCCGAGTTACAGACGCGAATCGCGCGCGCGGTTCGTTAGGCGTTAGAACTCGCATCAGATTCCGCTTCGTGCTCTCGTACGGAACGGACCTCTCTCTAAGACGGAGGGCTAATGCCACCCGAATTAGACGCTACTCGCAACTTCGGTTGCAATTTAAATCTTTGTGCAAGCAGTGCAGTAGTTTAGTGTTAGTGTTGTGCTCGTAGGCAGGTTCCTGTTCTGTAAGTAGAATTCTATACACACTTCTCGCCTCAGAGGCGGCATTGTTTTTATTTAATAACTGTGTGCTTGTTGCGATAGGCGACAGCTAGGTACCCACCCTAGCGCACCTAAAGCTCAGGCGGATTAGTTGTTAGCTTTAGGCACACACCTCCCTGCCGCAAGGTGGGGAGGCCTATTTAGTAACTTACACGCCGGCGGGGCGCAAGCCCCAAAGGCTCAAGCGCTCGAAATGGGTTCCCTCCTAGAGGAATTCCTTCGCCAACGATGTCCCGAAGTGTGGGCAAACTTTCTCGCGTTCGCGAAAGAAAAATGTTTAGTCGTCGAGTTCGCCAGCGACAGCCCGGCTTCACCAGCAGTCGTCTCGCCGTCATCTCCGGCGCCCTCAGCGCCCGCTAATGCGTCGCCTTCAGCGACACAAGAAAAGCCCGTCGCGTCGACCTCCGCCGCCGCGATCATACCCATCGCGCCTTCCGCGCATCCCATCTCGGCCCCCTTCCGCTCCGTCGTTCCCGACTCACAATCGGACATGGAGGTCGAAACGACCCCCGCTGAAAACGCGAACGTCGACGGCTTCACCGTCGTAAAGTCGCGTAAGAAGGGCAAAAAACGCCCCGCTGCCGACAGCGACCCCGAATGCGAGGCCGCTTCAACTAACCAACCCACCGCGACGCCCGCCAAAACGGCGGCTGCGGCGGCTAAACCAATACCCGAATTCGCCTCCGAGCGAAAAATAATATATATATATTATATACCGCGTATACCTTGACACAACGGACGATTTCCGCCGCGTAACGAAATACTTGCGCGAAAATAAGATAGGTCTTCACACCTACTCTTTGCCCGAAGAACGCAAGCTTCGGGTAGTTATCAAGGGCGTCCTCAAAGAGTCGGATGTCGACATAGCGAAAACTAACATCCGCACTCAGGGATACCTTGTGCATGCCGTCCGACGCCTCAGACACCCCAGAACCTGTATCCCTATGGACATGGTGATGGTTGAACTTGACCCTACCCCGGAAGGTAAGGCCATCTTCAACCTGAAGAGGGTCTGTGGGCTCAGCGACCTCGTGATCGAGCCCCCGCGAAGATCGGGAGTTGTGGCGCAGTGCCACAACTGCCAACACTATGGTCACACGGCTAATAATTGTTTCGCTCACCCTAGGTGCGTCAAATGCACCGGTGACCACGGCACGCCCGATTGTACGCGGCCAAAAGATTGCGCAGATCCACCGGACTGCGTTAATTGTCATACCACCAGCCACCCGGATAGCTACAGGGGCTGCGCTAAGGCCCCGAAAACTCCCGCGAGAAAAGCTCCCGCGAAATCTACTTTGCCCAAACCCGCGCCCGTGAAATACGTTCCCGCGCCCGTACCCGTCGTAAACGCCTGGGCGAAACCCCAGGTGGCCGCGCAGGTAGTTGCGCCCCCGGTCACCTCACGACCAATCACTCAATCGCAGCCCGCCTATCAATCGGCGCCGACGCCGCAGGTGCAGTCGACACCGTCGGTTTTCGCCGAAAACAAGGACGACCCGTTCGCCCAAATTGCCAACATCTGCGCCTTATTAGACCGCATTAATAGACAAGAACTCGCCGTATTGTCCGCTAAAATAGCGGCCGCCACTGCCACATCTGGCAAAGCGCGATTTAAAGCCATTAAGGAACATAAAATGCTTGTAGAAGCCCTCTGGGCATTTACAAGCCAACCATAAACTTAATAGTCCGCGCAATAAAACCGCGCTCCGCCGCGTCGTTAGTTAGAACTCATAAAAAACTTTAATGGGAAGTACAAACGCAGGTAGAACAAAACCTCGGGCTCTGGTTGTTTCGTATTTCAACGCAAACGGCATAAAGGGTCAAAGGGACGAAATCGTGGAATTCCTTCGCGATTATAACATAGATATTTTTCTAGTGCAAGAGACATTCTTAAAACCTAGTGTACGCGATCCCAGAATCGCAAACTACAACATAGTCCGCCACGACCGGTTAGCAAACCGTCTGGGAGGCACCTTAATTTATTACAAACGGTCCTTGCACTGTAGCCCGCTCGACATTCCAGAGCTAAGCCATACAGAGGCATCCGCGTGTAGGTTAGCGCTCACCGGCCATAGGCCGCTTGTACTAGTCTCAGCCTACCTCTCGGGGAACAAAACCTTATTACAAAGCGACCTAGATACGCTACTCAACTTAGGCCCTTCCGTGATAATTGCAGGGGATCTAAACTGCAAACACGGCTCATGGGACATCCACAGCATCCCAAATAACAATGGAAAGCATCTCTTTAGCTTATCCGAAAATTTAAAGTTTAGCATAATTGCTCCTGCGACTCCCACTAGGTATCCTACGGTGGACAACTACCAACACGCGACATCGAGTATCCTAGATATCATGTTACTCAAGGAGGTCTCGCTCGACATCGAGTCGATAGAGACAATCCATGAACTAGACTCAGATCACAGGCCCGTCCTGTGTAAACTGGGCCAGAACGCCGGCGCGGTCCCTCCGACCAAATCCATAGTGGACTGGCATCGTCTTGAGGTCAAACTCAAGGTCTTGGACCCTCAGGACTTAGTCGACCTACCCGAAACGATAGCTACGTTCGATGACGCAAATCGAGCGATAGCAAGTCTCCGAGAAACCATCACTTCCACAGTCGCAGTCTCGGAACGAACGGTTAAACTGTCGGGCGATCGACGGTTTAACTTTCCGCCCGACCTGCGACTCCTAATTAGGCAGAAAAATGCAGCCAAACGCGCCTTCGACCGATACCGATCGGAATCGAACCGAACCCTACTTCGACGCCTTCAGCTAGAAGTCAAAGATCGTGTATCGGAACACCGACATAAAACGTGGGACACTCTCCTAGAGGACATCGAGCCATCGCACACCGCCTACTGGCGGTTGGCCCGCAGTCTGAAAGCAGACCCCCCCGAATCTCTACCGCCGTTAGTTCGACCTAATAGCGCTTCAGTAGCCCTAGATGACTCCGAAAAAGCCGAATGCCTTGCGGACAACCTAGAGCAGCAATGTACGCCATCGCGCGAATACACCGATACAGTCCACCTAACGGAGGTGGACCGCGTAATCGAGATTAGGGCTGCGCTTCCACCGCAAGGCGAACCTTTAAATTCAGTGACCCTCGAAGAGGTCCAAGATATTATTAAAAATTTAAAACCGAAATCCGCCCCGGGCCCAGATAATATAAGTAATAAAATTCTCAAAGCTCTCCCTGGGCCGCTTATCTGTTTACTGGCGACCATTTTCAACACCCTTCTCTCCAGTTGCTCCTTTCCGGACGACTGGAAACAAGCCACGGTTATCGGCATTCGCAAACCGAATAAACCAGCTAATCAGCCCTCTAGCTATCGTCCCATCAGCCTCCTCAGTTGCCTGGGGAAACTCTACGAGCGGCTCTTGTTAAACAGGCTCAAAGAGCACGTGTTTTCCAACGGCCTTCTGCCGACGGAACAATTCGGCTTTCGAGCTAGACACTCTTGTCCCGATCAGTTATACCGCCTAACGGAGCACATCCTAAAAGGCCTAAACCACCCGAAACATATAAGTACAGGGGCTCTTTTCTTCGATGTCGCAAAAGCATTCGACAAAGTCTGGCACAACGGCTTGCTTTACGAGCTGTACACTCTCAAAGTGCCAGATAGGCTCGTACACACCATCCGGGCCTTTTTGTTAGTTTTTTGTATGTCGAGGGCACCCTCTCCACAAGCCGCCGCCTCACGGCCGACGTACCACAAGGCTCCTCTACACGAGCGATATACCTAAAGACCCCCACGTCAATCTCGCGCTGTTCGCGGATGACACGGCGCTCTTTTATTCAGACCGCAACCTTAGACAACTAACCACTCGACTCCAAAGCGCTGCCGACCGCCTCGGCGATTGGTTCCGCAAATGGAGAATAGAAATAAATCGCGAAAAGAGTGTGGCGATTCACTTCACACTAAGTACTTACCCGTCACATCTTTATAATGGCCCTCGTCAATGCAGAAAGTTGGGGCAAATATCCCTTTATGGCCAACCGCTCCCCTGGGAGAAAAAGGTCAAATACTTAGGAGTCACTTTCGACTCGCGTATGTCATTTACTACGCACATTAATAACGTTCGCAATAGAGCCGCGTTCGTCTCCGGCCGGCTACACAA